TGGCCCTGCTTTTCGTTTCTTTTTCTGCCTTCCGTGTTATATACCCTGTTATATTGGTTCGATAGGTCCGTGGAGAATCTGGAGCTCCGATTAGTCCGAGTCAGTAATCCAGATGGGTGGATAAGGGATTTGATAATCCGATACGGAGTACAATAGTACGTATAGCGTGTATAGTGTGTATAGTCCATGCATATGTATATAAAGAATGGGTCTATCCCGTTCATCATATTTAGGGGTTTGTGGGGAAATGATACACCCAACATGAAGGTTGATAACTGTAGAACTGTACTCTGTACAATCCTAAGAAGGTACTACTCGTGTGTTTTTAAAAGAAAAGGTAGGAGATAGAAAACGTAGGGCGTTTACGCGAGATGTTGGTGTTGTTCGATCAGCATCTTCAGACATCTGTATGGACGGAGGAGAATAACCGGGGCACGGTGCATCGTTACTTGGGCTTTTCTTTTCTTTTTATTATTCCTTGATTTCTTTTTACTTTATTTCTACATATCAAGTTTCATATAGGAAAGGTTGAATTTATCTGCCCTTTGTGTGTCTTCTCTTTTTCTCCCCGCAAAACCCTCTCTCGGCCCTCCCAAAACCTCCCAAAACCTCCAATCCTCCAATCCTCCAATTCTTCAACCCTTCCTTCCACCCTTCAATCCCATCCTTCAATCCTCCAAAACTTCCAACCCTTCTGAAATCTCCTAACCCTCCCTAAATTTCCTATCTCACTCAACTCTATCCAACTTTTCTTGAACTTTCGATTTCTCTCGGCAACCTTGGAACCCCTCCATGATTATCTCATCCAGTTGAGCGCCGATTATCTTTGATCATTGTGTGGTCATACACACTTCCCCGAATTCTTGGCCCTATTACTGGCTCTGATTCTCCATTTATTATTATCCGGAATACATATCCGCTGGATCAACTGGAAAATCAGACTCCATTAGTGATCCTTGTCAATCTTACTTGGTGGTTCGTGCACCCCTCCTTCAGAAGATCCCCTGAGCCATTTCTAGGCCGATAGCCTCTGCACGTCTTGACATCATTGAATGTCCTCTGTTTCTCTGTTTCCACAACCACATTGTGAAATTCCCCTTTGGATGGCTTCTAGCTTCTCCACAAAACTTTTGTTCTACAGACCCAATCAGGCCGGGCAAGCTACCTGTCCTAGAGGCTTGTAGTACAACCCTCCACTTGCCCCATCGTGTTCTCTGTATTCTATTGGCCTCCCCGGGTGCTGATGCATTTGATTTTACCTGGCCATCACTGCTATGCATATTGATGTTTGGATCATGCTGAGACTCTGATAGTAATAGTTGATCCGCTGTGTTGGGACACACTTCAGTGTCGTACAAGGCAAAAAGTGTGCTATATTTCACCCGTGTCCCAATGTCCGTTCGATCTGTATGTCAACTTATTTGATATTTATTTATTTTTCTCTCTTTCTCTGCCGAGGCTGTCAGGTTCTTTTCTAACATCAGCAGAAAACCTTGACATAACATCCCCACCTGCCTGGACTCTTTGACTCCTTCGACTAAGCACAACAGCCGTATGCGATGTCCTTATCAAAACCTACTTGGAATCATTTCGATCCTCACCAGCACTTCCTGGAAAAACAGAACCCCGTGGATTTTTACCGGGACGCCCTTTCCTCATCTTTTCTTTCACCTGTAGCACTTTCATTATCAGCTGCTTTCTCTCACCCAATCTCTTCCAACTCCGCCAACATGAATGCTCTATCCGCCGACGAGATGGAGCGCTTCCAGAAGCTTTCCAACACCTACCAGCCGGAAGTCCAGGTAATTGGTTTCGATTATTCCGGCCTGCAGCAATGGCTGACACCATGTCGACAGGGTCCCCTTGTCTCAAACAAACAGTCTAGCCACAGCATCGCAATGGATTACTCGAATGCAGATCCTACCTTGGCTACAAAAACAAATGTAAGCTTTGGTGGCTTGAGCCTCCTGTGTGACCATACCATGTCTCGCATCTAACTTCTTATAGGCGCTTGCTATCACCCATCCCGACTGCCGTATCATGAAAGGCGATGGGAATTGTGGCTGGAGAGGTATGCTCAAATGCATTCGATATGATGTGCTTCTCATGCTAATCCTACACAGCTGTGGCATTCGGTTATTTTGAGACCCTCTTCACCCTCCGAGACACGCTCCGTATCGAGACGGAGATTCGGAGAATGAAGTCGCTTACTACACTTTTGGAACGGGTCGGTCTGTCGGATTCCATCTATGAGATCTTTGTCGACGCCACAGAAGAAGTCCTCAACCGAATCCATGCTGCTATCCAAAATGGCGCGCAAGACGAGTCTTTCCTTGTCGAGGCTTTTAATGAGGGCTACTCCTCTGATGCTATCATTACGCACTTCCGAGTAAGTTTTTCTCGTTGGATGCTGGCCCCTCTATTTCCTTGTTACTGGACGTAGACTGATTGTCTCTCCTTGCAGATTTTGACTAGTGCGTGGATCAAGCTCAACCCACACCGGTACCAATCCTTCCTTCCTATGCCACTGGACCAGTACTGCAGCTCGCGGATAGACCCAGTGAAGAGCGAGATCGACGAGGTTGGCCTTCAGGCACTGATCGACGGTGTTATTGAGGGCTCCGGCTTTGGTGTCGAGATTCTTTACCTCGACCGAAGTGAAGGCGAGGTCGTGACACCTCACCTACTCTCCTCCAATCGTCCCAGCGGTGCAACCATCCGCCTCTTATACCGACCGTGGGTTAATTATCCATTAACATGTATTGTACTGATTCTGACATTCCATACAGAGGTCATTATGATATCCTTTACCCAGTCGAAAATACTTTGAATATGGCACCCATAGTTAACCTCCAATACGGAATGACGTCCGACTACTCCCCGTGGGATCAAACTCTCGGATTTGACGTCAATTCAAGCCTAATGGCAATTCCCAATCTGATGCAAGACACATCCTTCGGGATGGGCGCTCCCATGTCTCCTATGCCTTCTGTCTCGCCAACCCCTGCCAGTCCATTCCGCATGTCTCCGCAACAAGATATGTACCAATCATCTATGCCAAACCACGCACCTATTCCGTCAATTCCTGTCTCTCCTCAACAGATCGCACCATCCGCTGCCCCGCCCCCGATGACTTCCCTACCTAGTCGATCATCAGACGGCCCGCAGATTCGACTGAACCCATTAGTGATGAAACCAAATCTAAGTCGCTCGTTGCCAGTCACCACCCCTTTCAAAAAGTGAGTTCTGGAGAATCTCTCCACGCAAATGGCATCGTTACTAACTTAAGTCTCATAGTTCCCCATATAACCAAGCCCATTTCCAAAATTCCGAGTTTGAGCCCATCCATTGGGAACCACATGACCGAAGATGAAAAAGAAATCTGCACGCTGTGCATGACAACAGCCGTGGACCTCATTTTCTTTCTCATTTCTCCATAATGATCATCGTTGGTTAATTAGCTCGACTTGTATCATGTTGCCGGGCGGATAAAGCCACTTTTTTTGAGGTTTTGATGTGAAAATCGCCCTCTTTCATCCTGGGTCTAGGGGATAGGCATGCTTCACCTTTTCTCTCTTTATCATGAGCTTCGTCTCACCTTCTCTTCTCTATGATTGTCCTCTTTAGCGTGGTGCAGCGCGTTGCATGATACAAGCGTTCTCGCCCCAGATTGTTTTTCTATTCTTTTCTCTTAAGCCTCTCGGGGTCTTTGGTTTTCTGTTCTTTCAATTCTTTTTTTAGGCTCTGGAACTGCAAGAAATGCACTACTATTGAACCGCATATATTTGGCTCACTCAGATACATTGGTAGGATGTAAGGTTGCTAGATCGGGTACTGATTTCTGTACACCGTCATAGTGCTGCTAGACATCCCTGTGACCAAACGGCGCTGGAATCAGGTTTCCCAGTGGAATCTTTCATAAATGTCGAAACATGATCTAGCCGAATGAGTAATGCATGATTGGCAATGTTTCCCAGAAATGCGATTGTATTTTCAATACGGAGTACTAGTGCATAGAGATCACTGGGGTCCTCCAAGTATCCTATCATTATAGAAGAATAGGTCAGATGTTACGATCTTGTGGTGAGAAGTTTTAGCTAGTGATATAAAAAGCAAAACAGCCAGTCTAGACGGCCTATAAACTTAACTATGTGGGTCGTGTACGGAGTATTGAATCTGGATGGAGGACGATATTCGATGTGTCACTCAGATTTTACTGAGATGTCTCTTTGATATTTTTCAAACTCAGAAGCCCCGGCAAACCATCCAGGGTCTCACAGTCCATTAAGACCATCTACGAGGTCTGGGAATTGCCTATCTAAGCAGTGCAGATAACCCCAGGAGCGTCAGGCTGTCACCTGGGACTTTGTTCTTTGTGATTAATCAAATTGAGACCCTAGAGTCTTTTTCTCAGTCTCGCTGCATACCGGGTAGACCCTTGTGCCAGGAGTAATGTCCATTCTGCGGAGCTGATTCCTAGTTGGATGGTCCTGGTGGTTCGGTGGGCAAGCACTTGGATCAACTTGCCATTCCCGCTATCGAAGTGATCAATCACGATGCTGTAATAGTGAAGACCATGAAGCTCTACCATTCTTACCCGGTCTTCTAGGATAGCCGACTGAAGGTATCATCAGTTGCATATCTTTCCTTGCCCGTTGACCTTGATGCTTTCGCCACTGTCATGTTGTGCTGATCATCTCTGCGATAAACAACTTGACAGGCGTGAATCTGCCTTTGATTCACTATATTCGAAGTATAGTTTTGTGCCGGTATCAGGCGTAGTTGAGAGGGGAGGCGATGAAGAGGGGAACCCGAGCATGTTCCTTATAGCCTTGTAGTTCTCGGCCTTTTAGTTGTTGGTATATGAACAACACGCTTCAGTAGAGAGTAGCGATTTTTTTATTTCTTCTAGTCCCCCCCCTACAACCAAACAAATAGAGCGCCTGGAGATGGCTTCGGGATAACATCCGTGGAATACGATGACTCTGAAAGCTCAGGAATCACTTCCCACCAAGCAACCGACCCACTGCATTCGGGAGAGCCCTGATAATCTGCCATAGCACATAGAAAGTATCACCCGTCGCAGAGCTAGCGTACGCCACCGGACGGGAAGGAATATCCGCAGCGACGAGGATAATATTCACCAGAGCGGCAGGGTAATGTTCACGCAAGTACGCAATGACCAGATCGTGTCCATTTGTGATTCCACCTGGAACCAGTGTCAGCATGCAAGTCCAATTTGAACCAAAACAAAAGGAAGCAGAAACAGACATACCACTAGTCCACAAGTTCCCATCCCTAACAACCCTCACTGAATCATCCCACAACTTCGCCTCGGGAAACCTCTTCTTCATTTCAGGAATTAAAAGCCGGGGCGCAGTGACTGATCTCCCCTTTGCAATCCCGGAATACCCAACAATGAAAGCACCAGTGCAGATACTCAAGGTGGGCGTGCCGACTGCGAAATGCGCACGCACAAAGTCAAGGTATTCTTCTGCTGGTGGCATGGCTTTAGGTGATGGGCCGGGGACTACCAGGATGTCTAGCTTTCCAGGGGAGACAGCAGAGTCTGTGAGGGAGTTAGTTAGTTGTATGGACATCTGAGAGGTCGTGTTGACTGTTGTATTTGGTTCGCCGTGGGCGATGTAGTGGATCTCGCAGGGTCGGCCCATGTCTATTAGTGGCTGTGGGAGTGAGCATTCTTGGAGATATTCTGGTGTTGTCATGTAGAGGAGATCAACGGCTGCTAGATCGAGGAGTTGGACGGTTCCTACGAGGAGGACGCCGATGCGGAGGGGTGGTGACATGATGCGATAGAAGGTTGAATTGGGATTTGGAAGTTTGGGATCTGAAAGTCTGAGATCTTAGAGTTGGCTCCAGGAGGAAGAGAGGATTTTATCAAATTGCGCTACGGCATGTGAGATGGCATTTGATGCGCCTGGTTTCTCAAAGAGAAACCACCATTGGTGGACTATCCAGCTGACATACGTATAGATGCCTGGCTGGGGGCCTGGTTGCTTTTCAACTCTTGATGCCAATGAAATTGCCCGAAAAGTGGTAATTTCCTCGCAAATTTGCGCATAATCGCGCAAATCGAGGTGGTTTACCAGTGAGGATGGGTTTCACATGGGCAGCACAGTGTGCTCAATCACCGTAGCAATTGTCACGATCTGGGACTTCGCTCATGAGTCTTGTGATTCCAATCGTTTCAAGCAAAGGTCAGAACATACCATATGATCAACGTGAAACCTGAATTTTGGTCTATCGGGCTGTAGCCGAAGACAAGAAATTCCCACCCGACGCCATTCCCCACAGGGCTTCGGGTTCGGGATGACGTTGCCGAATTTCTATCGGGCTTCAATTTTGATAGAAACGATATTAATAGGAAAAAGGTGTTGGTGGTCATATATCTCAATAGGATACACATAGTCACATCAGTCAATGTTCAGTCCTTCTCAGATCTCAAATTCTGAAGAACCCGACAGGGACAGGGGTTCCCCGCAATATCAAAAGTCCCCTCGGGCCAGTCGGCCCACCAACTTCGGGGAAAAGCTCCCCAGTCTCACCCGTCTCGCCAGTCCTGCCAGGTTCGCCCGTTTGGCGACCCCCTTTCTTTCGGTTGGTGCGGAGTAGACCACTCCGCGTCTATGGCCATATGCCCTAATCCTTCGGAGTACTGTGTTCCTACTTATACCCCAGACGGAGCACTGTGTTCCTGCTTTGTATACCCCAGACGGAGTACTGTGTTCCTGGACTTCAGCTTGGAGAGGATATATAAAGCCTGGGGAACAGGGATTATATCTCTGCTCATCGGTTCAGAAAGATCGACATATCATGGCTACTATTACAGCTAGCGCTCCAAAGAGCGGCTATGCGCTTGTCCTGGAGAATCCCTTTTTATGTGGTGTCGCAGCAGTGAGTATCTGCTTTGACATCGAATGGTACTACTCATTCACTAATCATGGTATAGTTCTCGACCCTAGGCGGTCTGTTATTTGGCTATGATCAAGGTGTCATCAGTGGTGTCATCACCATGGAGTCCTTTGGAGCTCGATACCCTCGAGTCTTTGCTGACAGTGGCTTCAAGGGTTGGTTCGTGTCCACGCTGTTGATTGCAGCGTGGGCTGGTTCCTTGATCAATGGGCCTATCGCCGATCGATTTGGCCGGAAGATGTCTATCAATCTGGCAGTCGTGGTCTTTACCATTGGTTCTATCCTCCAATGTGCTGCTATGAGTGTCCCAATGCTGTTCGCCGGTCGAGCTATTGCTGGTTTGGCTGTTGGTCAACTGACCATGGTCGTGCCTCTGTACATCTCTGAAGTTTCCATTCCAGAGATTCGCGGGGGACTGGTGGTTCTACAGCAATGTGAGTTTATCTCGCAAATTGGGATGTGGTACGTCAACTAATTTACGTCTAGTATCTGTCACTATTGGAATCTTGGTCAGCTACTGGATTGACTATGGAACTAATTACATCGGTGGCACCCGATGTGCTCCTGATACCCCTTACTCCGGTGGTTCCAGTTCAAAGCCCATATTCGACCCTTACCATGATGTTCCTGCTGGTGGTTGCACTGGACAGTCCGAGGTGTCATGGCGTCTGCCTCTCGCCCTGCAGATCGTTCCAGCTGTGATCCTCGGTGTTGGAATGCTATTCTTCCCAGACTCCCCTCGTTGGTTGTTGATGAAGGAGCGTGATGATGATTCGCTGCACGCGCTCTCAAGACTGCGTCGCCAGGATCGCGATAGTCCCGCACTCAACAACGAATACCTCGAAATCAAGGCTTCCATCATGTTGGAGAATTCCTTTGTCAGAGACAACTACCCTGGCCTTTCTGGATTCAAGTTGCACATTGCCCAGGTTTGTGGCCCATTTCTTCCTTGTCATTCGATTTCACTGACTCATTTCAAAAGTATATGTCCTTCCTGACAAACTGGTCCCGCTTCAGACGGTTGGCTATTGGTTGTATCGTTATGTTCTTCCAGCAGTTCATGGGTTGTAATGGTATGTCTTTTTCCAAACTATACACACTCGTCTATAGCAGTGTCTAATTCATACAGCCATGATCTACTACGCACCTACAATCTTCGCTCAGCTTGGTCTGGATGGCAACACCTCCTCCCTCCTTGCTACTGGTGTTTACGGCATCGTCAACTGCCTTAGCACCCTCCCCGCGCTCATCTTCATCGACAAAGTCGGTCGTCGACCTCTGCTCATGGCAGGTGCCGCCGGAACTTGCATCTCGCTGGTAATTGTGGGCGGCATCCTTGGTGGCTATGGTTCCTCACTCGTGAGCCACAAATCTGCTGGTTGGGCCGGTATTGCCTTTATCTACATCTACGATATTAATTTCTCCTACTCCTTTGGTAAGATTGCCTGATGACTTTCTTCCTTGCCTTCTCCGGCACAAACTAACAGCATTTCCACTATCAGCCCCTATCGGTTGGGTTCTTCCTTCAGAGATCTTCAACCTCTCCATTCGATCCAAGGCCATCTCCATCACTACCTCGGCAACATGGATGTGCAATTTGTAAGTGACAGCATTTCAAATCGGCTATTTGATTCGAATCTAACAATCTCCGTCTTGCAGCATCATTGGCCTTGTCACACCTGATATGCTCGAGTCCATCACTTACGGCACATACATCTTCTTTGCTGCCTTCTGTCTTCTCGCATTTGCATTCACCTTCTTCTGTATCCCCGAGACCCGTGGAAAGGTACGTCCCAAAATCTCTGTTCCAGCGTGAATGAAAATCGGCCATGCTAACGATCTTCCAACAGACACTCGAAGACATGGACCTCATTTTCGGCGATACAGCCGCTCACGAAGAAAAGATCCGCATCAAGCACATTGAAGCCGAGTTGCGTGGAACACCTATCGAAGAAGATATCATCAAGCCGCTCGATTCCCATGCGGAGCACGCATGAACGCCAACGTGAAACGCACTTCCGGCGTAAAGAAAACATTACGCGTACATAATAACTTATCATCGACATAGGATATCACGACCTCTATACCAAATATCAAATCCATTTGTCAAAATCATGCATTTAAAGTATTCGCTGATGCCTATATATGACTTTTAAAAAGTCCTAATTCCCAGTTTTCCATATACCCATCCTACAATGCAAGCTACATACAGAAACAAAAAAACAATCAGTGACAAAACTGCTTCATTCCGCCGCCGGGAAATTCACCCATTCGGAGAAATCCATGGCCCCCGTACTGTGCATTTGCATGTGCTGCTCGACTGGGAATAGACTTCCGCCGAATCCAGGATCGCTGAAAAGCTGCCCGGGGAACGGCATCATGTTAGGCTGCGATTGGGGGAGTATGTGCTGGTGCTGGTGTTGCTGCTGTGCCTCGTGTTGGTCTCCCTCAGTTGGGATTCCCTGTGGCACTGAGTGCGTTGGTGGACCGAGGAGTCGGTTGATGACCTCAAAGCAGCGGGTTGCGAAGCGGTTTGTGCCGAGCGAGGGGTGAGTTAGGAGGGTTTTTGTGGTTTCGATGTCCTGGAGCCAGGAGGCGGCTTCTGGGTTTGAAGGGTCGGTCATTAGGAAGACTATTGGGATAAGACCTGCTTGGAAGAGGAAGTAGCTATTTTTGTCATGTTAGAAGTCGTTCTAGTGGAATGGAATGATGTAAGGTGCGTAGATATGGGGAAATACATACAGCATGTACCATGCCCCAAGTCTGGTGCACATATAGTTCTCCATGTACTCCGAGATGGAGGAGATGGTCAGACGCGCGTTCTGGAGACAGCGCAATCGGCACTCCGTCTCGAAGGGATCGTCGCACCCTGTATCCGGCGTTCCTGGACCGCTGCCGCTAAGTGGGGCCCAGCGTCTAGCGGCCCAGCGGAGTAGGATTGGTCTGTAGATCAGAATGGTGAGGTTCCAGTTTCGCCATAGTAGGCGGTTGCGCACGAGTGCGAGGGAGTCCGGGTCTGGATTGGTTGGCTGCATAGAGAGAGGAACCTGTGGGTGTTTTAGGTAAGATGGAAGACCGTTGTACCATTCTTCGATGGGTTTTTGTAGGTTCAGCGTGTCTTCTGGGGTGAGGCTGGGGCTCGAGATGAGGCGTTGGTAGACGCTATTGGTGAGCAGATGGAAGCTGGCCTGGGCAATCAAGCCGGAGTAGATGGTTGGGCCGGGCGATTCGGCTGGCAGAGTTGTTGTTGTGGGAGTCAAGGCCTGTAACGTATCAGTTATAGCTGCTTTTCTCATGTTTCATACTGGGTGCAAATACCTCTTCGTGGATATTTCGAACCTGCTTCGCATCCATGACATTGTCCTCTGGGAGTAAGATCGGTCTTCCGAAGGTTTTGGCTGCGCCACTGTCAAAGATGAAAACTCCCCACCATAATCTTCTGCGGATCTCTCTTTGTAGAAGACTGATCTTCCAGCCAGGGAACTCCTTGTGAAGCCCCAAACTCATAGCCATTCGAACTGCTAGACCAAGATAATTCCATCCCGTGTTGGGCTTGTTCCGTTTCTGGGCATAGTTGCTCAGTAACAGTAATGCTTGGACTAATGTCAGGTTGCCAGTCTCAAACACAGACGCCTGCTGCAAGTATCCTCTGGCTTCTTGGTAGAATGTGATATCGAGGTCTGAGCTGTCATCGCCGATACACCAGGCTCCAAGAGCTAAAATCGTGTTTAGCAGGATATGCCAGGCCGTACCATGCGGGCGTAGAGATGGGTCGTTAAACTGCATCCGGAAGGTAGGCTCGTGGATAAATGGGTAGCTGGTATGATAGTTGAGGAAGAAAGCGTCGATAAACGCTTGTTCAATCAGCCCAGATGGAGCACTTTCCAAAAGCTGTGCTTTGAGAGGCACGCCTCCTGACCTGGCCGAGCGAACAGGTATATTCAGGTCAAATCCATGATCAAAAAGTGCTCGTAATGGTACGACACTTGAAGAAGCTCCTGTAATATATGTGTTAGTATAGAGAATGAAAAGCATAATGCGTAGTGGATTAAAAAGAGACTTACCAAAATAGCCAGCTCCTTCGGGTTTGATAGACAGCGCAGCCATGCCGTCCGTCAAATCACCCAGCGTAATCTCCTTCTCGGCCCAGTCAAAGCCATCGGCTTGCTGTGGGAGAGCTTCTGGTGCTGGCTCGGCCCGTTCTGGCTCATGCTTGGCCGGGGTTGAATGCCTTGAAGAAGACTTGGATGAAGGTGCTCTTGGGACCTCTGGATTTTGCAAAAGAGAACGGAGAGTAGCATCCAGATCGCCACCTGGGAAGAGCCTTCCTAAGGCTGTTTCGAATGAGTGCAGGCGATCTTCAACATAGGTTAAGTGTCTGAAGTAGTCAGAGTCAGCCATATCTTCAAATAGGAAGTTTTCCTGGTTGAAGTCACTTACTGCCGAGTCAGAGGACTTCTACTGACTTTGGGGCTGTATATACATTCCTTGTTCAGCTGTCGGCATTGCAGACAAACTGGTCGTTCTTTTGAGCACTATAATACCCGTGTTAAAAAGGCCAAGGCTTGCAGGGTTTTGTTACAAGGTACTTACTCTTGACTTGCGCAAGCGGCATTCGTCGCACTATTTGAACGGTTAGACTTCCATTCTTGCATTTATATCTCAGCTATCATGCAGACCGATCAATACATACAGCAAATGAGTGGGAATCACGAGTGCTAGTCATCTTTATCGAGGCAATTTAGATGTCTCGTATCTTGTATCCAATACGTTGTGATCATGCCATACAACGGCAGTCATCTGTATAAACAGTTAGCCAATACATTTGATATAACGAAAAATGTTTCGCGAGAGGACCTCCACATCGGGTATGAATGTATAGCACAAAAGCATGGTAGGGCTAGGATGCATGTACACATAGCGGTGTGGAAGTGATCTCTAAGATGGAGAATGTACTCACGATCGGCGCTAGAGCATAGCCTCTTGCAATGCGATGGATAAGATGCATCCATCGCTCCCCTCGATGGTGGGGAAACGGTCAGGTGATGCGTGCAGAAAACTCATGTTGCTGCCTCAGGCAGAAAGTTTGGGGGATTTTGATCGCAGGCCGTGTTGACTGTTTTGTATGTTATTTGGAACCTCTGGTGTGATTATATCTGTACTTAAGTTCCTATAAAATGTATAAATCGAGATTTTAGAGCTCAAGGTGCTGACATTGGGCGGGTAGTATACAGCAGGAACTATATATATTGCTTATACATATGGTTCTGAGAACTGTTCAGCTATTGATTTGGAGAAGCCAACAGCTAGGAAATCATATACCAGATCAAATAGTGCATCATAATCATCCCCGAGAGAATATAACCAAGAAATAGCCAGAGATATCAAACGCCATGCAATATCATCTCGATATCCTATGTCTTGGCATGGCTGGATACCTAGGGGGCCAATCAGAAGCCCGGGACATTTTTTCTCGACATCATCTCCCCGACTTGACCAGCAGCAACACTTCTAAACAAAGACTCATTAATTGGGAACGGAATACTGAAATTTGACCTGGTCCATATATATCTTGCCAGGGATAAAGAACATCATCAATATCCGAATTGAGGCGCCAACATGCCCTCTCAACCCCCACTACCGCCCCTCCTCGCGCCATATGTATCAAATCTGCCCGATTCATCTCTGACGCTAGTCTCTTCTATCCTTGGGGCAACTTCGAACTGGCTGGTTCTGAGATTTCTTCATGCTGCTTTGAGCTCGCCGAGCCCTAACGCGTCATTTGGCTCAGACGAGCTACACAATGGCATCAAGAAAAAAGTGGTGCTAGTGAGCTTCATGCGGAGTTATGAGTTCTGGAAGACTGAGGCAAAGCGATTGGTAAGTTTACAAAAGATTGACTGGTATTTGAATTTGGAATATGCTTTCGCGTTCGTTTTTTTATATCATTCATGTATTGATACATACTTTGATCAACATCACTAACCGGGTGATAGGGCCTTGACCTTGCGCGTCTGGCAGATAAGCAACAATTTGCATTCATAGATGGCCTGTCTGAGTTGTTCTACGCTCCACAAACCACATCCACTCCCAGCATCTCACCGGCTGGTCTGGGAAGCAGTCCACGCACAACGCTCCCAATGCGTTCTGCACCTGGTGCTGTACCCGGAAGATTACCACAGCCGGTGATGCCGACAGCCACAGGAGCGAGAGGGAATGTGATACCGAAGCCGGCTGAACCTGGGATTGCAAAGAAGCTCCATTTCTCTGGCCGTGGTCTCGCCTCCCTCGATGCACTAGAGAAAGATATCTTATCAGTTATTCAACAGCAAAAGAGTACGATGCAAGATGGCGATGAGCTGGTCCTCATTATAGATCAGCCTGACCTGCTCCTTGCTGCGACAGGCCCAAGTATGGGGATTGGAGCAACAGAGATGTCGGAGTGGATCACAGCGCTACAACAGGTAAGGCCTTATCACTTCCTGATAGGCAAAAACAAGGTTTACGACAGGGCTGACTATTAATTTGACAGCATGCACATGCTACGGTTTTGACGTTGGCTACAGATGCTCCATTAATACACAATGCATCTGCATCAGGAGGGCAGTTGGCTACGCCAATAGAGACGGAACATGCGTCACTTGTTATTGGGCTGGCGCATCGGGCTCGGTCGGTTATGCAGCTCCGCACTTTGGATACTGGAGCCGCAAAAGATGTGAGCGGGGTACTGCGGATCAGCCGAGGTGGTGGGCTGAATACGAGTGAAGAAGATAGCCTAGAGGAGCGAGAGGCGTTGTACTTCATTCAACGTGATGGCGGTGTCAAGGTATTTGGTCGTGGGGAATCATGAACCGAGACTGTATACTAAAGGGTTAGACGTTCGCGGGAGCTTATGAAGAACAGCCATTGAATCATGTCCAACCAAAGTCTCTGCGTCTTTTCGGAGAGCCTCGTACTGAGTAGAACAGATCATGAAATGGTAGGAAGAGTCTTCACATTGTATCTGTCATGACATGGGATATTCGCCAGCCATAGAAAAAGGAAATTCATTCACGCTTTCCCAGTGTTTTTTTAATCAGCTCTTCTCCGTAGAAAAGAGCCCCTCAACGAAACTTTTCCAATCGTCACGCAAGTTCTACTGTCATCGTTGGCGTGGCAAATAGAACCAACATGATCGACTGTTGCACACACCAACTCCACGGGAAAGCGATAAGAGTCCGGAACTGCCATTGCATTTCGAGTAATGCTATCCCGTAATGCTAATTCATGTGATGCCAGGATCCCTCCCCCTCATTCCTATTCCAGCCTCTCCGATAACGAAAACGCGACGCCGAGCAGACGAAAAAGGGAATCTAGTTGGTCACGGGGCCGCGGGCACCCTTGGGGGTACCGGTCTGGAAGCCGTTGAGGAAGCGGCGGTGGACATCACGCAGGGAGCGCATGCGGCCGGTGCCGGTGGTCTTGCGGCGCTTGGCCTTCTCACCCCAGTTGTCTATTCGTAGAAAAAATTCCATGTAAGCCAAAATTCTCGACTTGGTGCCAATATTTCCAATGAATGACCATCATTCATATCACCATTGCTCTCGGGAGGGGTATTTGCGTACACTTGCGGGTCTTGGCAGCAGGGTAGCCACAGTTGGCACAGGTGGACTTCTGGATGTGGAAAGACCGCTTGCCTGTAGAGTCGAAAATATCATCGGTTAGCCGTCATCCTTGCTAGGTTGTGTGGTTGTCTTCGCCGTAATCGCCGATTCCATCTGTCCATGTAGAAATTTGCGACTGCGGGTCGGATGGGTGGTATCGTGAAAAAGTAGGTGTGATACGTACCACAACGACGGCACAAAGTGTGCGTCTTGTTGTGACGCTTTCCGAAACTCCCGGTACCCTTAGCTGTGGTGGTTGTTAGTTTGAAGTTGTTCGACGTTGCGGAGGGTCGCAGTGCGATGTTTCGACATCGGACGTACTCATCTTGAATTATGAAACTGTGGACGAGGATAAATGTTAGTAAATTGACGAGGGTGAAGTGAGCACTTGTGGAGGGACCGGCATGCGAACGTACCTGGCAATTCCGTTGAAGGGGCTGGTTGTCGGGTCGTCGTCGCTAAGCGTCTCGAAACTTGCCCAAGATCTGGCGATTGTGCTCTAAGCGAGTGCGTTAGTTAATCACGTGGATACTATCAGGGCTTGCCCATATCCCGTGACCAACACTAACCCTCATTGGTACTGGCAATGGCCCGTGCTTAGGAATGACCACGTGACACCATCGCATCTTGGCAAGTCAACCAATTACAGTCTTGTAAATATCGTTGATGTTTATTCTATTTCGGTGATCTATGCTATTTCGAAGTAGGATTTCACCACAGCACGAAAAATAGATACAAAACACGGATTATTGGGTTGTGCATTTGTTCACTATTTAAACAGCACATCAAGGGGGTATTTTAGTACATCCGAACGCCCATGCAAGTGCAAGTAGTAGTATATGGAGAACATCATCAGAATCAATCTTTCCCTAGGAATTTCGCCATAGGATCCTCAGCAGCCAACCGGCTCCGCTTGTATGAGTCCAACTCCTCCTCTGTGACACCTGACTTCAATTCTTCTAGCGTCCGCTTTTTCCCATTGGTACTTGAATCCTGCTCTTGATTCCTGCCATCGGCTTGCTCAGACTCGCGAGAGGAATCCGCATTTTCAGCGTGCTCAGAAGTCTCCTCATTGTCGTCAGCTGTCTCAATCATCCTCAACATGTTGCCTTCTTCCTCAAAGGCCCTCTTTCCGTCTTCGCCTGTACAGTAGCTGTTCTTCACGGTGGAATAACAACATGCGTATCCCCATTTGAATTGGTACCACCAGCTACCAAAGACCGAAGTATGGTTGTTGACCATCACATCTTCGGGGTACTTAGATTTGGTTGCTTTCTTGGGCGCGCCCTTGATGGCACCGCTCTCGTCATATTCAATGAATCGCTCGTTTTCAACGACCATAGTTTCGCGCAGCGCATTGGGTTTTGAGTGCTCTCCACCACCATATTTTTCCAGTAGAGCTTTGCGATGCGCCTCACGCTTAGCTTCACTGTCAACCTTCTCCTTCTTGCGGAGAACTTCTCCAGATGTTGGATTGGCTTGAATGTGTTGTTGAGGGAGACCCTTCTCTTGTGATTCCCACGCATATTGCTGGGCTTTCTCGAACTCCGCAGCATCACCCGAAGCACGGACGAAATTCTCCTCTGCGACAAGTGCAGCAGCCTGATCGTCCTGCGCGCCCATATCCACCATTCGACGTGTTTTTGGATCGTATTTGGCGGAGTCAAGGTCCAGGTTGAGCAAGTACTTGGCAGTGTCTTCTCGAATACGTAGGTTGCGGGTTGCAGTACTCTGTTGTCGTCCCATATCGGATTCTTCGGCGTACCGGATATCTGAATCGGGGGCCTCATCGCCATCTTCACCGGCTTGAAGTTTCTTAAGATTTGATTCCTCTTTCGCCATGCGCTTGATGGCCTCCATCTCCTCATATTCATCGACGACCTGGCGATATTCGGTAGCATCGTAGCCGTTCCACCGATCTCTTTTGGCATCCCACCCCATATCGACCTTTTGAATAAGTTCGTCCGCCTGAATATCTTTTCCAGTCCATTTAGCACCTTGCTTTCGGGGTCGGCTCAGACACTCTTTGGTTTTGTGTGTCATCGCGCCGCAGTTTTCACAAGCGCCTTTGCGGTATTTGGTAGCTGCTGGGCCCGCGCGCTTTCCTCGGTCATACCATTTTGACTGATCGGGAAGGGCCTTCTGGAGACGTTGATGCTCCAGGTAGTCGTTGTTTGTCTCATCGTCAACGTAGAACGGCTTTTTCGAGATGAAGGATGGAATGTACTCGTTGGGCGTTTTTGACGCCACATCTGCGGGTTTTCGTGACATGACTGATGGGTCCAATGGGATAGAGGCGAGTATTTATTAGGGAATAAAGGGAAGCAAGTGAGGAAGCAGATCAAGCCACCTGTAGCTCTCTCCTGTTGTGAGATGAAAGTTGAGTGAAGTTGCGATAGGCCCGAGCGTGGCGGGTGGAGAATTGATATGAGGCACGTGACCAGGCGTTATCTCGCGTCGTCATGGACATACCTCAGTCGCGTTTTCTTCTCAACTATTTTTTATTGAGATGCTAAAAAGGACGCACATGCGGTAATCGGTGCATGAACCATTCATCCTTCGCAATGTTGCTGTGGCTTCTGGTTGCCATACACCAGAGCGATGGAGCCATTCCGCGTGCATCTCAACTGTATCGATCATTATCAGGCCACCGCGTCGGAGTTGGATCCTCCACTTCCCTTTCGTGATGGAGTCTCGGAGAAAGATTTCAAGCCTAAAGTGCCTGTTATTCGAATATTCGGAGCCACCGAGACCGGCCAGAGAGTTTGTGTACATGTCCATGGCGCATTTCCATACCTCTATATCGAATACAATGGGTCTTTAGCGCTGGAGGATGGTTAGTGATAATCATATTGATGATCTGATGGGTTGACTTACCAAGATTGCAGTAAATTCGGCAATTCGATCTCTTCACCTCTCAATCGATCATGCCCTGGCGGTCAGTTTTCGCCGAAATGCATATGACCGGAAAACAGCGTTTGTGGCGCACATCACCTTGGTGAAAGGAGTCCCGTTCTACGGCTACCATGTCGGATGGCGATTCTTCTTCAAAATTTATCTCTTAAACCCCTCCCATACAACTCGTCTGGTCGATCTTCTGCACCAGGGAGCTGTGATGAAACGTCCGCTTCAACCCTATGAGGCACATGTGCAATACATCCCGCAATGGATGTGTGACTACAACTTGTACGGATGTGCAACCATGAGCTGCAGTCAAGTGAAATTCCGAGCACCAGTACCTGAGTATTTCGAGCTCAGCAATCTAGACCATCGCTGGCACGATCGTTCAATACCACCTCAGAGCATACTTGATCACCCTGCGTTACAGAAACAGAGCCATTGCGCGCTGGAGGTTGATATTTGTGTCCAAGATATCTTGAACCGTCTTGATGTAAAGGAACGGCCTTTACACCATGATTTCACCGAGCTTTTAAAACCAGTCGCGGTTAATGAGCGGCTCGTTCCTAGCATGGCTGGACTGTGGCAGGATGAAACTCGCAGACGCAAAAAGAGAATGGGCATCACTGATCCCGGAAGCACTCCCTTTGGACCTGAGGAATTGATTTCAATGTCCGCGGATCCAAGAAATCAATCGAAAGGTGGCTGGATACACGAGGAAGAATTTCGTGAAATGGCATGTCAGCTTGTGGCTGATGAGAAACATGAGGATAGCAAAAAAGACACGACATTTGAGACATTCTTGGATACTGATTATCAAGCCAAAGATGTCAAGACTGCGTTGGATAGTGTCGAAGACTTCTTTCCTGACAAGATTAGTGCTTTGAATAGCAGCCGTTCCCAGGAATCAGCTGAGCAAAAAGTACCGGAAATTTTGGTTGATGAGGGTCTTGCTCTGTCCTCTCAAACCGACGGACAGTATTACTCGGATTCTGATCAAGGAGGGAGCTCATTGGAAAGGAAAATCGAACAGGAGCCTGAAACGAAAGAGGACACACTGGGCGACAGCTTTTACGACGTGGTCTTTGACGAAATGCCCTTTTTAGATGTGGCTATACCTGGGGAGCCTGCTGAAACCAGCTGTCCAAAAGCGACCATGAATGGTGTATATAAGGAAGGGCATTCCGTAGCCCAAGGAAAAAGGCCCAGAGACCAGAGTCAAAGCAGAAGTGTGGTCCCTAAAAGACGGTATTCCGAAGCTCTCGATCTGAACCATTCGCCTATCAAAAGACATAGAAATATAGCCACACATGGCTTGTCTGATGGGCTATTGGAACCACCTAACATGCGGAAGTACCAGCAAGATGAGAAACGAAAAAATGTCTCGTTTGATAGCAATTTGGAGTCTCACGTGGCAACGCCGCCATCGGAACCCCGATCATCTTCCTCGCAGAGGACAGTCCGTCCAAAGGCGCATAGTTACACCAGTGGCCTCAAATTCCCGGTAGTCAAGGACCCCAATGACCCTCTGACCATTATGCGCTACAGCCAAGACGAGGCAAATTCTTCACGAAAAGACTCCGAGTCATCCCAGCCCCTTATGGGTTCTTTGCCTTCTCGATCTGCCACAGAATTGTCAAGCAAAACCAGTGAAGCTCGGAGTTCCTCAGAGCTCCATTCATCTGCAACAGTGATGGGTCCAATCTCCCTCGATCCGCATCTCGCCGAGACCATGAAACACCTCCCCCAGTCATTCAATTTTACACCAAACACGTCATTGCGTTGTTTCAAACTTGCAAGTCCAAGTTCTAGCGAGGTCAGCTCAACAATCAATGAATATGGGCGTCCTTCGGTCGTATACCAGAAAGCATTCCACAGTGATGAAAAGGATGTACCTGAACGACCAAGAGAATATGGCGGCAGAGAATTTCGGCTGGAGAGCAATACAATTCACTATCTACCCGATTTTGACCCAACGGCAGGGGCGCCTGCAATGTTTGGTGAGCAGATGCCAACAGCGCACGACCGACATCGCCAAGAAAAGGTTGATCAGCAACTCCGAGAACGGTGTACCGCCAGGGTCTGGGAGTTTGCACCTGTTCCGCCAAGCCGGTCGGAAGTCATACAGTGGTTCGAGGAGTTAGAAGCCTCGCAAGCATCTAATCAACAAACCCCAAAGATACCCGCTGAAATGAAATCCCGCTTTCTCTCGCAGATCGAGGGTCCAACACAGAAGAACGCACATGGCTTTAAATACTCGCAGAATCGAGTGTCCAGTAGCGTGGAACATCAGGCCCAACACATGAGCACGATGAGCCTAGAAGTGCATGTGAACACACGCGGAACCCTCATGGCTAACCCCGAGGAGGACGAGATCACTTCCATATTCTGGTGCATCCAATCCGAGGACGAGGATGTTGAGGTCAACAGTCATCTTCCCGGAGTTCATGTTGGGATGGTTTACCATGGCGAAGGCGATAGGCCAGAAGCCAAAATTCACAAGGCATTGACAATTGACGTCGAGCATGAGCCTACGGAACTGGACCTGATCAACCGACTCATAGATCTTGTTCGGCACTACGATCCGGACATCATCACGGGGTACGAAGTGCATAACGCATCTTGGGGCTATGTGATTGAGCGAGCTCGCAAGAAGTACGACTTTGACATCTGCGAGGAGCTTTCAAGGACCAAATCCCAATCCAACGGACGATTTGGGAAAGAGGCAGATCAATGGGGTTTCAACCACTCATCGTCCGTCCGCATCACCGGGCGACATGTTTTCAATATATGGCGCGCTATGAAAGGCGAGCTCAACCTGCTACAGTACACTATGGAGAACGTCGTCTTTCATGTCTTACATCGCCGAATCCCTCACTATTCCCCCAAAGCCCTGACGCAGTGGCATCAAAGCGGCAAGCCTCGGAATATCCTCAAGGTCGTGGAATATTTCTCCTCCCGTGTGCAAATGAATCTAGAAATTCTCGAGGCCAATGAATTGGCACCAAGAACAAGCGAGCAGGCAAGACTGCTGGGAATTGATTTCGCCTCTGTAATTTCCCGGGGATCTCAGTTCAAAGTTGAATCTCTGATGTTCCGAATTGCGAAGCCAGAGAACTTCCTGCTCGTCTCACCAAGCAAAAAGCAGGTCGGACAGCAGAACGCATTAGAATGCTTGCCCTTGGTCATGGAACCGCAAAGTGACTTCTACACGAGCCCACTTCTGGTGCTTGATTTTCAGTCACTGTACCCAAGTGTGATGATCGCGTACAACTACTGCTACTCAACTTTTCTGGGCAGAGCAATGCACTGGCGTGGGCGAGATAAGATGGGATTCATGGATTACAAGCGACAGCCCAGACTGCTCGAGTTACTAAAAGACAAGATCAACATCGCACCAAACGGTATGATGTATGCAAAGCAGGAAGCGCGCCAGTCGCTTCTAGCGAAGATGCTTTCCGAAATTCTTGAAACCCGCGTGATGGTCAAAAACGGCATGAAGGTCGACAAAGACGACAAGGTCTTACAGCGACTTCTCAACAACAGGCAGCTAGCACTGAAGCTAATTGCAAACGTCACATACGGCTACACATCAGCCTCATTCTCAGGACGAATGCCCTGTTCCGAAATCGCCGACAGCATCGTCCAAACCGGACGAGAAACTCTCGAAAAAGCCATCGCCTTCATTCACTCCATTGAACGCTGGGGAGCCGAAGTCGTCTACGGTGACACTGACAGTCTATTCGTGTACCTAAAAGGACGCACCCGCGACCAGGCCTTCGACATCGGCGAAGAAATCGCCGAAGCAGTAACAAACCTCAACCCGAGACCCATCAAACTAAAATTTGAAAAGGTCTACCACCCCTGCATTCTCCTCGCGAAGAAACGATACGTAGGGTTCAAATACGAGCACCGGAATAAAAAAGAGCCCGAATTCGACGCAAAGGGCATCGAAACCGTCCGACGAGACGGCACACCTGCCGAACAAAAAATCGAAGAAAAAGCCCTGAAAACACTCTTCCGCACCGCAGACCTCACCCAGGTAAAATCCTACTTCCAGCGTCAATGCGCAAAAATCATGCAAGGCCGCATCTCCATCCAGGATTTCTGCTTCGCACGCGAAGTCAGATTGGGAACGTATTCAGAGCGTGGTACTCTCCCCGCCGGCGCGATGATCAGCACAAAGCGCATGATGGAGGATCCGCGCTCGGAGCCGCAGACCGGTGAGCGCGTGCCGTATGTTGTTGTTACCGGTGCGCCTGGGTCGAGACTTGTTGATCGATGTGTTGCACCGCAGACGCTTTTACATGATGTGCAACTTGAGATTGATGCGGAATACTACATCACGAAGAATATTATTCCACCGCTGGAGAGGATTTTCAATCTTGTTGGTGCGAATGTTCGTCAGTGGTATGATGAGATGCCGAAGGTGCAACGGATTCGGCGAGTTGAGGGATCTGTACTGAGACCGAATTCCGGGGTTGGGGCTAGGAAGACTCTTGAGTCTTATATGCGCTCGTCGTCGTGTGTTGTCTGTCGGTCGAGATTGTCTGATGCTGCTGTGTCTGTGTGTGGGGACTGTCTGCAGAAGCCGCATCTTACGTTGCTTGATGTTGTTTCGCGACTGCAGAGGGCTGAAAAGAGAGTCGTTGATCTGGAAGCTATTTGTCGGTCTTGTATGGGTGTTGCTCCTGGTGATGAGGTTAGTTGTGATAGTTTGGATTGCTCTGTCTTTTACTCGAGGACCAGAGATGCTGCTAATTGGAGACACTCCAAGGCTGTATTGGAGCCTGTTATTGAATTGTTGGAACGGAAGGGGGATGAGGGATTGGATTGGTAGTCTTTTGGATAGGTGTTTTGAAGCAATTGGTGTTTTGACTTGGATATCCCCCAGACTCTGTTGATGTTTAGTTCTACAAATTGGATAAAAATCGAGCCAGTTTCATTCACATCGATACAGACTATGAAGTTCATCTTAACTATGTCAAAATACTCCTCATTTTTGTTGTTTTTACACTTGAATGCTGTTTTTTTTTTTTTTTTTCTTTTCTTTTCAAACAGCGAGATATCAGCTGTTAATCATGTTGATTAGAGTGTCAAGCGCTGAAGGCTGCACATCGCCCTCCGTTTCCACAATATCCTCCCATCTAGCCTCCTTCTCAATCTTCTCCTTGGCTTCAGCGGCGTGTATTTCCACTCCTCCCTCATTCTCATCATCCTCCTCGGAGCACGCACCTGTATTCTTGTCTTGAGGCGTGGACTTGGATTTGTCAAACCGTCGACGAGCAATAAATTCTTGATGCGGGGGTGCGGAGGCAGAGCTCGCCTCAGCCTTGGGCTTGATGTTCTCATCCGCCTCCTTCGGCTTCAAATCCTCATCCATGCCTTCAACAATCTTGAGGATCTGCCGGTGGGTGTAGACCACGCCGTCGCCAATAGGCTTTCCAGAATCACCACCCGCTGCTCCATCTGAGACCGGACCTTGACGTGCCCGACCCGTCGCAACATCACCAAGGATATCGGGGAAAATCCAAGGGAAGCTAATGAGTGGAAGTTCAGTTGAGTTCACTTCAACAACGGAAAAGTCCGCTCTCTGCAATGCCTCCTTGCGTCGAGCCTCCAATGCGGCGGCTACCTGCTCCTGGGTAACACGGTACATGGCGATAACCAAGGCAGGAATGTTTCCGCCATGACGGCCTACTTTGTCATAGCATTGGTGGCGGAATCCACGACGAAGTGTACCCACGATTCTACCCAGGTCCTCCTGCATTTTATAGTCTCTGATCACGAAGCCGTGGCGGAGTACAAAAGTTGACCATACCTCGAACTCAGTGTTGATCTCATACTGAGCCATGATTTGTCGCATGTTCATGTCAAATTCCGCCTTGAGCTCTCGGGCGTATTCCATATAGGCCTCACTTTCTGGAGCCAATGGGGATTCCAGAATGCGAGAGTCGAAGGGCTTCTCCAACTTGGGAACGAAGTCGGGAGTGACCACTGCGTCATACAATTGACCGAGAATTTTGGTCGACTTGTAAATGCTGGATGGTCTCTTGAACCTCTTCTCCATGAAATGGGGCCAGAACCTAGGATCCAGAGACCGGGCCATTCTTGCATGCGCGCCGCTCTTGTTATAATCAACTGCATCAGAATGAAGTTGAGCGAGACGAATGCACTTTTCTTCCCACACGCCCTTCGGGAGTCGGTCGGCCCAAGCCAAATGGGCATGTGCGATCCGTGGAAGGCAATCATTCTTCATATACGTAACGAAGAAGGAAGTGATCTCGTCAACTGTCACATCATGGTCAAGATCTGGGGCTTTGGAACCCTTATAGTCCATACACTCGACGAACCATTTTGCTGGAATCAGATCGGGGTCCCAGATAACGAGGTAGTCATCACCGTCGAGGTCGCCCCCAGAGCACATGCTCGCAATATCCTGGTCGCCAGTTTGGGGAAGCACAACCACATCCCGAAGTGATTGCAGCTCCGGTTTGTTCACTGCTCGGACTACACGAATGTCTCCCGGGTGGAGCGAAGGGTTGCGAGCAAGAATGCAGAGACCTTCAATGACCTCGTACTCGTCACCTCCATCTAGCCGGCAGATCTGGACAAAGATTTCGGGAAGAGCGGCCAGTTTCTCTGCATAGGAGGCTTTTCTGCGCGGCAATGCGCTTCTATAGTATCCCTTCAAAACACCTGTCTCATCCATGACACCGAGAAGGTTGGCTCCTTGGTCTATGGCAATCTTTGCTTTCTCTTTGAGATGCTTCAGGTGCCAAGATTTCCAAAGCTCGAGCACGGTATTGGCAAATGGCTCGTCATGTCGCCGGAAGCCATCAGATACCATCTGGGCTAATGTTAGGGTTGTTTGGTTTGGGTCGATGTACTTTTGAAGAAGTTGAATTGCTTTCAGATCATTGCGCATGGCTCGATGGAAGCCGCCCAACATGCTGTTGAGTTTGTTATGAAAGACTTCATCCGGAATATCCAGAGCAGAAAGTACAAGAATTAACTGGCGGTTTAAGGTTGCAAGAGAGAACTGTGACCAACGAATAATCTCCAAGCCGGCTTGATTGGTTTCGAACTTTTGTTGGCTTGGCCGAAGGTGTACCTCCTGAGGCAGAGGATCCGGAGAGACAACGAGCATGCCCTTGGCTCCTCCAAGACGAAACTGGAAGGCTGAGGGTGGGTCTCCAGTGAGAGTCTTAATTTTGTGCTGGGATGTGACCATCTGGGCAAGAAATTTGGACATCTTTCCTACACCATCTGAGAATATGAAGCCATTACGGATCACTTCACCGCACGGGACAGTTTGAACAGAGGATCCAGTGAAAGCCCGAGTGGTCGAAAAGCATTGTCCCAGTCTTGCAGCATATTTAGCCACATTTCGGATGTGGTTGAATTGGCCCATCCAGGCCCGGATGGTTGCCGCTGAGACCCCGGCATCCGGTGCAAAGAAGTATGCGCCATGCTCGCGGAACTGAGAGTTCCCGAATGCGAGAAACTCGTAGTGGCGGCCCCCAATAGTGATACCGTTCGCCAATGTCCTTTTGACACGGGTGAAGACTTCGTCATTGGAATCGCCTAGTGACGAGTTAATGCGGCCCTCAGTTCTCTCATCTGTAAACCGAACCCGAAGAAAGCGCCCAGGTGCACCTTTGTTTGACCATTCGCGCACGACTCGATTTGAAATGTCTACAGTTGGGGTGTTGTAGTAGATCGTGGTCGGGGTCACTCGTGCTGTGTGCATGAAGCAGCAGTAGTTCGGAATCTTCGAGTCAGTCACTCCCTTGAAAAATTTGAGGTCAAAGATTTTCATGGGGTCAAGGTACTGTTTCTTCTCAGTTGCAACAAATTCTAGCAATCTCGTAGCTTGGTCATCCCCGAGGTCCTTTAATTTCTCTACAAAGTCGCGGGTTATGGTGAATTCAGAGAGGAATCCCTGAGACAAACAAACCTCTAGTTGATAACGGACTCTGAATGGAAGGTGCAGATAGTTCTGATCCCCTAGGTCTTGCAGCAACGTGGAAGCCTTGTTGGACTTGGACTCAGAAAAATCAATCCAATTCCACACTGGTACCGGTCGGTCGGGTTTCTCGACAAAGTGATTTCCATCTTTGATGATGATGTTATAGTCTTTGAAAATGTCCTCAACGCGCTTTAAATAGTGACTAGTATCGCCGACACGGGTCATATGGGGGTCCACATCGGGAGCGAATGAGACCTTGAACACGTTCCATCGGCCTTTCAGTAAACACTGGTAAGTTTGCAAAACTATAATAGAGGACGGCACTTACCTAGGTCAATGATATGTCCCAACTTCTTCAAGTTCGTGGGAAGATTCTTCAGCGAGTTTGGGTTATGTGTCACGGAGGTCTGACGATACCAGCTATCCTCTTCTCTCCAGCTCAACGGCTCAGTTAGTGTAGACTGAACGTCCTTGGCCTTTCGATGCCAGATGGCAGCGGATTCTAGAACAATCAAGAAGGAGTGCTGTCTTGTGGCTATGTCGTATTGTCGATAAATCTGGGACAATTGGAGAAAAGTGATTTTGACACGATAGTCATGTTGGGTCACATCTGCAGTCTCTGAACCCCGAATTCCCACTTTGAAGTACAGTACTAAGCACTTGCGTATGACATCGACCACACATCTGGGGTATGCCAGGTTGTTGAAGCTTTGCATGGAATGAACAGCGGACCGACCTAGTAGGATACCGATGTCGACTTGTATAGTTTTCAATTCCTTCAAGATAAGCATCAGTATTTGAGAATCGCACCATAGCATGCATGCACTAACTAATTCCCGAGGGAGCTCAACATTTGGACGGACTGGGCTCGGAATAGTCCCGTTGGAGTCACCACAGCAGATACTGAGCGATATCACTGCAACACGGCCGCTCCGGAGCCTCACACCAAAAGACCCAGTTCTCCAGAAGTCTTTACTTGGGGGTGGTCTATGCATAATTAGCAAACAGTATATAAGCGACATGGTGAATTGATAGGGTGCCCACTTGAAACGAATGCGAGCTTTCGAATCAGGACGGCCCGCAGCATCCTCCCAAATGTCAATGGAGATCAGATTCCCATACTGATTGAAAGCCTCGTAGATATCATGTGTGTTCATCTCTCTCGGAATGTTCAACAAGTCCACCGCACAACTTTCCCATGATCTCCAGGTTATCCAGGCCTGGACTGGCGGGGGTTGAAGAGGACGGCCAGGGGGGTTCGGGGAAGGGAACCTCAAGAAGTTGGTCTTAGGATGTTGCAAACTTGGAAGATCTGGGCCTGCCATTGTGACGCTAGTATGACAATGAAGTTTATGTATTCAGGATTTGAGGAGAGGAAGAGGAGAGGAAGAGGAGAGGAAGGGTCGATGAATGATATAGGAGGGGAATCCACAGATATGAAGGCCAATAAAACCAACGGAAAGCGAGAAATGAGGAAAGAGCGACCTTTCAAGAGTGTCAATTTTGGAAGGCACGGAAACAGGTTTAAGAGAAGGCGCGATCCTCTTAAAGTATAGACCAACTGACTGTCGAATGAGACGTAGCAGACATGGTATGTGAGAGTTCCCCCGATCAGTAGTTTGTATTGAGTCAAGTGAAAATGAGCAAGCTTAGATACAGCAAACATTCACTTACATATTGGACCTATGTGGGCTATTGTTGCCAGTGTCTTCTTTTCAAGAATGAGCTTGATGTGAGCCTAAGATATCTTGCTGAGGGATCTGGTTCAATATTTAGACAGAAATACTCCTTAAGGCGACCAGCCATCTTGATAGTTACATGTTCATTTCCGAATCGATAATGCAGCCCAGGAAAGTGACATCCTGATATGGGAACGGTTACTTACTGCCTTGGCGAAGCCAAAGAGATAGTGAAGTCCAATATACTTACTGTTTGCTATATACGTCTAGCATGTTAAATGTTAGAAAATGCTAGCGAGAATAAACAACAAACAGCTATGGATATTGTCTCATTAAAAGTATCAAGTAACAAAGTCACTGTGTGGGCTGAAGAGACCAAGACAGTGAATAGTCGGAGAGAAAATGGAATAAAAGAATGAAAGAACATACTTGAAAGCTCCACGGAATTGCCTTAGGATAGGAAAGGACCATATAGGCTTCACAGCAGTGATATCAGTCATGAAGTGATCAAACAAATAATGACTATGGTTATGCTAAATGGGGTCTCTAATGCTATAGTGGTTATAATCTATTATGTAGAAGTGTAAGTACCACATATACGACGTTTGACTACACATTAGAAGGCACATTGAAAGGCGCAGCGGATGGCAACTTTAAAGAACACTCGAAAGATAGACCGAAAGACAAACCGAAAGACACTTGGAAAGACAGCTTGGAATACATATCGAAAGGCGACTTGAAAGATAGATCAAGGGGTATAATGGAAGACGTATCAAAAAAACAAACCAAAAGAAACATCGAAAGATACGAGAGACATATCAAATACCACATCAACAAACAACCGCCACTATGGACATGTTTCAACTATCCACAAATATGTACATTAGTCATAAAACTCCACTACCACTTGGGCAACCTTCTCACTGTGGAGCTATTTGATCTGTTGATCCCGTAAAAGCCGTGCTCGAAAAGAGAAAGTCTCTCGAAAACTCCAGGTCCATATCCAAATCCAAATTATGAAGCCTGTTCTCCCCAAAATTCTCCTGGGGCTGTCTCCCCGGGAAAGAATCATCTACCTGATTTCGTTTCGACGCACTGCTACACTGTGATTTCGTCGGGCTGTTGCGGTTAGCTTCTGCCAGTGGCTTTCTCACAGAGCGAGACATGCCACTGGCCGGAGGTGGAGTTTTCGTCTTACGACCTGCAGCAGAGGGAGTACTCGAGTCATAAGGCAGGCTTGTTGACTTGCGGTTCCCTCTTGGTCGTTTTGGGGTAGGACAATTGAAGTTGGAGGTCATGGATTCAAATGGCTCTGCTGACTGTGTGTCATCTTCACCATCACTTATGGTTTGCGGGATCCTAGCAGCCGGAGTGGCGTTGACGGAGGACCTGGTTCGTTGGTGGTTCGAAGGGGTGTTTGACTCGGGGGCGTTGGCCGAGAAGCCCATCACGCCCATTAGACGACCGATGTGTTGTTGTGCTTCTGAGAACTCACGGGCCTTGGCAGCACGTTCGTCTCGTAAGGCTTGCACCTAAGGTTAACGTCAGATTGTGCGGATTTTGCATACATAAGTGGTATGATTACCTTTCTCTCTAGGTGATTGATCCGTTTGTCTTTCGATTGCACATCTCTGGAAGCATCAAGAGCGGCAGCTTGCATAGTAGCTTGCAATCGACGATTTTCTGTCTCATGTTTTGCTATCTAAAAATCCAGCAAATGATTAGTCTCACCCCTACACAAAATTGATGCATGTGTAGACATACCTCAGATATCGCTCGAGAAGCTTCGGCTTCGTGATCATATTTCAGCTGTTCAATCTCAATCCGGGACTTTTTCTCCAACTCTTCCAATGCAGAATAGAGCCTCTCAACTTCAACATTCTGTTGTGCAACCTACAAAGAGTCAGCTCAGTATCAAGCATTTTACATTGAATAGTATCAGCAAACTCACCGCTGTTTCCATAGATCCCAGTTCCTTTCGCAACTCTTCCTCCTGGGCTTGGAGGCGGTTCACGTCATCTTCTTTCTCATCAGCAAGAAGTTTAGTCTGTTTCAATGTCTCTGTAGCACTAGCAAGCTCTTGTTTCAGAGAGCTGGAGAGTTCAGACAATGTAGCACTTTCGCTCGATACTTGATCGAGACTCTGGCGTGTCTGCTCATTTTTCATTTGCAAACTGCACATTTCCTGCTGAAGCTCCTCCAGTTGATCATCCTTTTCAGTTAAAGTAGCCATCATCTCCAATTCCTTGGAGCGGGCCTTTTCCTTTTCAACAAGCAGTGTCTTCTCGGAAGTTTGTTGCTGCCGCTGAATCTCTTCGCGCGCAGATTCCAGCAATGTCTTCAGCTCATCGGTGTATGTGTATTGACCTTGAAGGAGTTGTTCAACATATGTTTTCTCGTGACCGAGTTCAGCAAAACAGTCGGATAAGCCCCTTGACTTGGTTTCAAGCTCTGTATTTTGGGCTCTCAGTTGCTCGTTTTCACTCGCATATTTGTCCCGTTCTTCCTCGGTAGCTCGTAGGGGTCCCTCAACATCATGACAACGACTCTCTAGGTCAAAGCACATATCCTCGATTTTTCTCATCATGCTGTCGTGAGAGCTCTGAGCATTCTGCATAAAGAGTTCGGTAACCCCAGAGCGCCAATCACGATTTATCTGAGTTGACGAGAGGCCATGTCTGTCGCGCAAAGCAAGGGAGCCACGGAAGGCGTTGGGACTTGTTGTTGAGAAGGCACACTCGATGCGCGGCATCAGCTGCTCCACTCGTCCCATAAAACATTTCATGATGATGTCGCCTCTTTTTTGCTCTGAAACCACGTTGTAAAGTTTTAGTAGAGATAGGAAGAGCTTGTTTTGCTTTGTGTATAGCTCAGATCCACACCATGATCCACCACCGCATTGGCTTTCGCTTGGCTGTTGGGGGAAGTATTCCATCATCTCCCCAAGAACTTTCCTCAAAGGGGCCATGGAGTTGTTGACACTGGAAAGCATAATTTCGGGATGTACTTCTTGCACACCAGCTAGTATAGAGAGCGCTAAGCTCAATGCTGCGAGCTGTCCCATCCCCAACCATTTATTACCCCGTAAGACATCGAAAGTAAAGGTCAAAAGTTGACGAGTGGCAGGCTCCCCAGACCCCTATTTATGTTAGGTGTCAAATGTTGTCCACAGCCAGAAGCTCTTATACTTACTGCTAGAGACTTTGCGAGGCGTGTAGTCAGTTGATAGGGCATCCTTTCCATGGTCTCTTGGCTATTCTCGGACAAAAGGACCTTTAGGCCAAGCTCCTGTAGCTGGGATGGCAATGAATGTGCCGGGAGAAGTGTGTGCAAGAAGACGATTACCTATTATCAGGTGATCAGCATCTCGCCTCGATAGACAAAACAACCATAACTACCATCGTTTGTGTTTGACCATAAAGACCATCTCTGACAGCCTTCTCGCACAGCTTAGCAATCTTAGGATTGTTGCCTGCTATCCAAGCCTGTTTCTGCTCAGGCTCAATTGCGTCGGCGATGCAAATGGCCAACCGAATGCTCTCAGCCGCCTGGGGCGGCGCCAAATTGCAACTGGATGAGCAAGCGAGTATGACACGCAAGACAACCAAGTCGAGTGTTTTGAGGCCGCGTTTCTGGCCAAAGAAATGCTTAATACTTAGAAGCCATGGCGCTTCTGATCCGTGTTGATTTTGAGATGTTGTATTTAATGCCGTCGCGATCTGCGCAAAGGTTGCCAGACAGAGGAGGTTGCCCATATGATCGTCAAGGTTGCGCAATGTTTTGGTAAATTCCACCTGCAGATTGGACATGACCTCGGACGAAATATCATTCAGGATCCGTGGCGAGCCTTTGAGTCCTGAGATGACTGTGTGAAGAGGTGCTACGGTCTCAACGCAGGGATTTTCTGCCATCATGCTGACCAGCTTCGTGATGAAGGCGGCAGTCCTAGCTGGTGGCACAACACCCGCTGGCAGGGATGATGAGAATAATGCGATACATGCCGTGGAATACTGCAAGGATTAGCCGATGCGCTTCATCTAGCATTTGGCTTCAACGAATGAGGCTCACCTCGGCTCCTTGAGTGTCCAGGGCCTTTTCTAGGAATGCGTCTAAAATGACCGGATGTCGCTCGAGTATCGCATCTCTAAAGGCACATGTAGATGCTAGGACAAACATCAGCAATGTCAGACTCAAGTTCCAATACAGCTTCCATTGGACACAAACCAAAAGCCGTGATCAGAGGCAAAGCGACACGCGATCGCGACAAGGCTTCGATCAAAACATCAGCCAACAAGCCTACTTGACAGGGCTTGGATAATGCCCAGGCGCCTATTGTTGGAGGTTGGGTTTGTCGCACCAGATCATGGAGATCCTGTATCATTAGCTTGTATACTACAATGCCAGTTCGATCGACTTACCTGTAACGAAGGCACATAAGGCGCAGTGACTAGACGCTCTACCTCGCGCACTAATTGAGCGAGTTGCCCTGCCATTTTCAAATTGCATCGATGTCAATTTGGTGGATATAGTTACGCGATGCAGTTTGACAAGTCTGATGTCGACGTGTACGAGGTTCTCCCCTCCGTTGCCCCGTCAACCGACATCACTTTTTCTACTCCGGATGTTACACTTTCACTATTCGCTATTCTATACTCTATATTCTACTCTATATACTATACTCTATATGTTTTACTCTATACTTTATATTCCATATTTTATTTTCTATATTTTATATTCTATACTCAATATTCTGCTAATTCTTATTCTAGCTCAAACGCCATAGCTACAACACCAATCCAGAAAGGGGGGATTATGTTGAAATAAAGACATGCCCTATCAAGGCCAAAAAGACAGCCCTAGAGAGGAAGACTTATATATTCCTGAAAAGGTATCAAGTTGCGATCTGCTCAAAAAGGAAAAACCCGGAGTTCTCGCCCGACTCCGGCTATTTAATTTGCCCCCCACGTTCAGCATCTCCACATTTTCGGTTATGGCCTGCGATAGAGCGGAATTACGGGACAGGGATGCTAGGGATTCTAGGGATTCTAGGGATTTTAGGGAATTTTAGTGAATTTTAGTGACTAGAATATGACTGTACAGACAGTATGCACTAGTGCGATTCTTTAGAGTGGGGGACACAAACGGACCCGGCCAAGAGAGCCCATCGAGACCCTGAGCTTTCTCGGCCGAAGTCCGACACTTACACAAAAAGCCCGTCACATCATGTCGGTCCGCAATATCGACATTCCCTTTTCCTTTCAACGACTTGACTCTTTCTCTTCTGTTGAGTCTTTTTATAATCTCTGTATATAATTCTCCTTCATGATGCGACCAGTTCTCCGGGTCTCACGAGCCCTGCCGGCTCCGGTTTGCCGGCCCCAGGTTTCACGCACTATTCTATCTCGCGGTGCTAGATTGAACAGCTCCACTGCCGGGAAAACAGAGACAGAAAGCACAAAAGAGAGCAACTCCTCTACTCCACCCTTTTGGACTCCGGCCAAGGCTCTTCTCGTCTCCGCATTTGCTGCGGGGTTAGGTTACGGCGTCTCCTCATATACTCAGACATCGACACAGACACCCAAGAAGCCTCAATATGGCACAGTGAAGGATTTTGAAAAGGTAGATCCTTCAATTGCATAATCTCACACACATCCGAGATCATCCAAGGCTGACACTTCCCCCCAAGGCCATCAGCGAGCTAAGAGCCAAGCTCGGTGAAGACACAATCGGCACCGACGAAGAAGAACTCCAATCACACGGCTACTCAGAATGGTCCAGTTTGAATGCCGACCGTCTCCCCGTCGCAATTGCATACCCCAAATCCACCCAAGAAGTCTCCGAGATCGCCAAGGTATGCCACAAATACCGCATGCCGATGATCCCCTACTCTGGCGGCTCAAGTCTGGAAGCCAATTTCTCCGCCCCGCACGGCGGCATGACAATCGACTTTGCATTCATGAACAAAGTCCTCGAGATCCACCCCGATGACATGGACATCGTCGTCCAGCCCTCCATCCAATGGATGGATCTGAACGAGCAGATCAAGGACACCGGAATGTTCTTCCCCGTCGACCCAGGCCCATCCGCCATGATCGGCGGTATGGTCGGCACAAACTGCTCGGGCACAAACGCCGTCCGCTACGGTACCATGAAGGACTGGGTGATTAACCTCACCGTCGTCCTGGCTGATGGCCGCATCATCAAGACCCGCAGACGTCCCCGCAAGACTTCCGCCGGATACAATTTGACCGGCATGTTTGTTGGCTCCGAGGGTACGCTTGGTATCGTCACTGAGGCTACCTTGAAGCTCGCGCCCCTGCCGGAGTTGACTCGTGTTGGAGTTGTCGCGTTCCCCACTATCCGGGATGCGGCCTCGACTGCGATGCAGCTCATTCGCAAGGGCGTCTCGGTGCAGTGCATGGAGATCATGGATGATGTCCAGATGGACGTTATTAACCGCGCTGGTGGAACTGGCCGTGAATGGAAGGTCTCGCCTACACTGTTCTTCAAGTTCTCTGGAACCGTCGCCGGTGTCGAGGATAGTATCAATCTGACGACTCAGCTCGCGAAGAATAACAACGCGCAGGGCTTCGAGTTCGCTCGTGATGACCGCGAGGCGCATGATCTGTGGTCTGCGCGCAAGCAGTCCCTCTGGAGTATGCTGGCGCTCCGCAAGGAGGGATCAGAGGTGTGGTCGACTGATGTGGCTGTGCCTATTTCTCGACTTCCTGATATCATTGGTAGGACCTCTCCAAAAAAAACCTACTCTGTTGCATGTATACTGACTCCTTTCAGAAATCTCCAAGAAGGAATTGGTCGACCTTGGTCTCTTCGCCAGTATCCTTGGCCACATCGGCGATGGAAACTTCCATGCAAGCATTATGTACGACCGCAACGATCCCGCTGAGAGGGCGCGTGTCGAGAAAGTAGTGTACGATATGGTTGATCGTGGACTGGAGATGGAGGGCTCGTGCACGGTAAGTCGTTCATTTTGGAGAGACTAGAATATCAGCTAATTCAGTACTATAGGGCGAGCACGGCATTGGCCTGGGCAAGAAGGGATCTTTGAAGAAGGAAGTCGGACCAGACACCATTGATGTCATGCGCAGTATCAAGCGCTCACTGGATCCGCACTGGTTGCTTAACCCTGGCAAGATCTTTGACTATGATGCCGAGACACCGGGTCCAGGACATTGATTGTGATTTAGCGTTGTACACATTTTAAAGAAGAATAAACTTCTAGGCTTTCCGGTGACATGGTCCAAAAATTTGAATTCAATTCTCATAACGGTGATGTTTGCTCAGAGCCTAAGACCTGAAAGTATCGCTCGAAGAGAGTCGCACTCCACTGACACCCAGTGCCTGAGCTTGGTATGTCTGTAGGCTCACTGGCTGGTTCTATGTGAGATGAATTGTCTATAGCGGCCGGGGCAGCCGCGGCAGCGTTCGCCAACGCCCACATACGGGGAATATGTTCTTGGGCTTCTGATTGCACGCTCGGCATCTCAGAACGAGAGTTCGGGACTCTGGGCTCCAGCTCGCCTAGGGAAGAACGGGAAGAAATAATATCATCCTCTCTCTGGCGCTTCAAGGTTCCCATACCAAGCTGCTGATATGATTCTGTACCCATGGTGTGTGGTTCTTCGAAGCCGCTGTCGTCATCTGGTGATGCACCCCATTGGGATGGATTAATTCGTATCATATCCCGAGAAAACAGCGCCTTCGTGCGGAGTTCCTCAATATTCTCCCAGCGATAGTCACGTCTGACATATTCGTCCGTCCTCAAGTAATCGTATGTCTCATTGACCGCGTGCCATGCCGAGTCCAACACATCACCTTTTGGATCCAGGGAAAGATTAATGAGCAGACATGTCAAGGCATCCCACTCATTATGGTCTGGGAGACTCCAAAGCCATTGTTTGCCTTTTTTGTAGCGCTTCAAAACCGCAATTCTCTGCAGAATCTCCGTGCAAACCTTTCGGAAGCTCACATGGGTGAGTATAGATTGGTCTTGTCTCGCCCGGGGTTTGATCACTGCTAGTTTGAGCTTTGCGAGTATCAAATTGCTGGAGATAATTGTAAAATAGTCTAGTGCGATACTTGGATCTAGGTGCAATAAGTATTGCTGTTCGACTTTCTCTTTGGTGAGATCAATCGCGGTGGATTTCTCTGGAGTTGATAAAACCGGGTAACAATTCTCTTCACAGAACTGGTCGGAGAAGATAATCTTGCGAGCAAAAGTGCTGATCTCAGATCTTGTGAGACTCAACATCATCTCTGTTTTCCCGCTGCAGTTCCGAGGCGGCTCTTTCATATCAGGGTCGAGACTTGCATCGTTCACGTTCGATGGGAGTTTTGTGTCGAACCATGACTCTAGTATACGCGGAGTTGTGCCACTTTCCTCTGCGGTACTAATATCGAGAATATAGATCTGCCACCAGAGTCGACGCCGCATCTCGACTTCAAAGGGTGGTAGTCTTGAAGCGAATGCATCGCGATGCAGGCCCATTTTGAGGGCAATTCCAATTGCATTCCCCAAAAACATTCTAATGTCTGATCCTTTATCACAAAACCGACTACAGGCCTAAGCAATCGTCAGATAATACCAGACCCCTCTGTCTTTCAGGATCACATACAATGTATATGAGAAAGGCTTGCAGGACGGTCATGTCCGATGACTTCGACAGGTCGGCTTTTGCAAGGGAGCTTTCAACGCCGGCGCGATATCTTGAGATGTTAATGGGATGACCTTGGGCTTTGAACCGGACACATACTTCTTCAATACTTCGTCTTTGTCTTCATCAAGCTCAACCCTACAACCTTCCACCGTCATTGTTGCCACAGCAGCATAACAAATAGCGAATATCAAACACTCCATGGGTGTTGCAAGGGCTTGCCGAGACTGTGTGTTATTCAATATCTGTTTCTGTACCGTTGGTCCATGCAGAATCTTGAGAATCGGTTCGACGTTCTCCAAGTATTTCTGCCATAGAAAAGATATCACAATTTGGGGAGGGAGAGTATATTCAATAGCCGACGGCGAGAATAATTTGAAGAAAGATAGACCTTGGTTTGAATCGTTTCCACCATGTCCGTGATTTTCATAGGAATGATGTACTATATTATGACCATGACTTCCACCAACAGATAGCAATGAAGATTGAGTCTGCAGAAGTTCCTGTAGTTGGGAGATGCGTTGCTGGAAATGATCTAATGTACGCTCAATTCTTTCAATTCGAACTGTCACATCATTGCTAGATCTTTGACTCTCGGTAATGGTAGGCTCCGCTCTTGGTGGCGCGTAGCTGCATTGTATCTTGACTTTGACGCAGTACGAGCAGGGCAGGGATCTGTCACATTTGATTTTGCGTCGACGACATTCTAGACAAGAACGCACTGCAGTGTTGGTTGAATAGGACATTGGCTCGAAATTTCTGCTCGGAAATGTAATGATGACTAGGGAATTGCAAAGGTGTAAGTCACAATATGAGCAAGTTGTTGATACGAGGCTGTGAGCTGATTGGCTAGAGCGGAGCGGCGGAGGCCCCAGTCCGCATTTCTAAGCGTAAGGCGGGCGACGGAGTAGATCGCCATATTATCTGTCCCTTTTGGAAGGTTGTTTTAGAGTCATTATTAGGGTTATTTGATTCGTTGGAGCGGAGCAGCGGACTTTTCAAGGTTCTACTCTGTATTTACGTGCTAGGCAACATTTGCATACACAGTCTGTGATATGAAATCAATGTCAGATAGAGAGAGCAAATCGCGCAGGACTTATACATATAAATATCTCCTTCCATCCTTGGTGTTGACTATTTTTCAAGCACGAAAGCGCAAGCATCTCCATCCAAGATTAGAGCTTTATCTGTAGCGCAACAACCCAAAATGGCAACTTATCTGAAGCACGTTGCAATTATCGGTGTATGTCAATCCATAATTAATGTATACATATTACCGCAGCTAAAGACTTGGCAGGCCAGCGGCAGTATTGGCAAAATCATCCTTGATGGCCTTGTTGCATCTTCCCATTTCGAAATTACCGTCATCTCGCGCAAAGACAGCGAGGCAACTTTCCCATCGGGTATAACTGTTCTCAGAGCCGAATACTCAGATCTCGGCCTCGAGGCTGCATTCAAGGGTCAAGACGTCGTCATTTCGGCGGTGGGTGCCAGTGCATTTGGCGAACAGAAGAAATTTGTCGATGCTGCCATCCGCGCAGGTGTCAAGCGTTTCATCCCCTCTGAGTTCTCGGCAAATAGCCAGAACGATGCTGTGTTACAGCTGCTGCCATTATTCAGGCAGAAGAAGGAACTCATCGAGTACCTCAAGATTAAGGAGGCCGACGGATTGACCTGGACGGGGATTGCTTCTTCCGGCTTGTTTGACTGGGTAAGTCTTCCGCAGCAAATTGGGGATTTTGATTCTTGGGCTTGAGCTGATCAGTAAATTTCCAATAGGGTCTTGCAAATGGATTCCTGGGATTTGATTTTGCCAGTCATACAGCTACTATCTGGGATGGAGGGGACAAGAGTTTCACTCTAACGAATCAGAAGGCCCTCGGTGAGGCTGTTGCCTCTGTTTTGTTGCATCCTCACGAAACTGAAAACCAGTTTCTGTTCATTGCCTCGGTTGAAACAACTCAGAAGGATATTCTTGCTGCTTTGGAGGAGAAGTCGGGGGTTGGATGGATTGTAAACAGAACCACCACCGATATTCAAGTGGGCGAGGGAGTCAAGAAGCTTGCTGCCGGGGACTTTAATGGTGCTCTTGCTCTAGTTCGAGCCACTGTTTTTGGCAACACCCCTGGACTTCGTTCAGACTATGCCAAAGAAGAGAAGCTGGCAAACAGTGTGTTGGGACTTCACATGGAAGCTGTCAGCGATGTTGTCAAACATATGTTCAATGAATAGATCAAAGTCAAGCTATAAGCCATATCACATCCACTTGTTGAGTGGCGTTTCCTTTTGACCCAAGGATATATGACGTTCCATAGAAAGATATGCAAACGAACCAAACTTCGGGGGATTAGACTTTGACAATGGACCCATATATTCTGGCCAATCGGGGAGCCCTGTTGCTGTCCGAACACAGGCGCTGACATAAGCGCGGGGCAAGGCAATTGGCTGAGAGCGATATCGCTGTCGCGGTGAAATGCTACAAGCCTTCAACCCTATCACCAGCGAAGCGGTACGTACTATTGTTGTTTTACATTGATATATTGCTATGAGATTCCCTTGGGACTCTGAATCAGGTGGTCTATGAGATCTTCAAGCTGGCAGAGCCTCCTATATACTGCATGCGGGGCTCTGGAAACGCTTTGACTCATACAGGCCTCTGGTGGTATTGACCCAATTCGGAATAGAGCAGTTGTTCTTTTGTATATCTGTTGATTGATCAGTTTTTGACTTATTGGAACCGTTGGTTTACTAACTTACCCAAGGTCTATACCCGGTTTCATATAAAACTCAAAAGTGAAATGACTCCTTCATACCCAAAGAAGAAGTGCGGTATGTGCTCAAATTTTACAAGTTATCTTATGCATCGTTCGATCCTAACATGTTACAGGTGTTCTCGGTGCCACTGGCTCCGTGGGCCAGCGCTTTATCCTACTGCTGGCAGACCATCCCTTCCTTGAGCTTCACGCTGTGGGTGCTTCTGAGCGCTCAGCTAATAAGAAGTACAAGGATGCCGTAAATTGGAAGCAGTCTTCTCCCATGTCTGAGAAGCTCAGCAACCTAGTCATGCGTGATTGCAGGCCCGAACAATTTTCGGACTGTGACCTTGTCTTCTCCGGACTGAACAGCGATGTTGCAGGCGAGACTGGTATGTGACATCAGGTTTATCAGACTGAACCATGTGCTGACAATTCACGCAGAAATGGCATTCATCAAGGCTGAGATCCCCGTCTTCTCAAATGCAAAGAACTTCCGCAAGGACCCTATTGTGCCTTTGGTCGTTCCTACTGTGAATCCCCAACATTTGGATCTGATCCCTCACCAGCGCGAGAAGTATGGTCTCAAGAAGGGCTTCCTGGTCTGCAACTCCAACTGCGCCGTTATTGGCATCGTCATTCCCTTCGCAGCTCTCCAGGCCAAGTTTGGCCCTGTCGAGGAAGTCGAGGTTTTCACCGAACAGGCCGTCTCTGGAGCCGGCTACCCCGGTGTACCTACCATGGACATCCTGGATAATGTTATCCCGTACATTAGTGGCGAGGAGGACAAGCTCGAGAACGAAGCCCAAAAGATTCTGGGTACATTGAATGCGAGCGCCACCGGTTTCGACGAGCAGACTGGTCTCCGCATCGGTGCCACTTGCACCCGTGTTGGCGTCACTGACGGCCACATGGCATTTGTCTCCTTGCGTTTCAAAAACCGCCAGACTCCGACCGCCGAGCAGGTCAAGGAGGCTCTGCGCGAGTACAAGTCCGAAGCACAGAAGCTGGGTGCTCCTTCCGCACCAGAGCCCGCGATTAAGGTGTTCGACGAGCCCGACCGCCCTCAACCCCGTCTGGACCGCAACATCTCCGGTGGATACACAGTGAGCGTTGGCCGAGTTCGTGAGGGTGCTCCAGGTGGTCACTTTGATATCCGATTCGCTGCCCTCTCTCACAACACCGTTATTGGAGCTGCTGGATCATCCATCCTCAACGCCGAGGTTGCTGTCATCAAGGGCTACATTTAAGCTAGTTACGAAAAGTGGAATTATCAGCGCATGTCACATAGATACAAATTTTCGTACAAATGAATTAGATCTCATTGGTCGCTATTCCTAAAGGGGAAGTTCACGGGTGGATCAGGGCCCCGAATGAAGATGACATAAGCAAGCGTTGGAAACCCACTAGTGGAGCCTGATTGGTTTGAGTGGAGAATAGGGCTCACAATAACCACACACTAAGCGAATTCTCCTCTGATTTGGATCATCACTTCGCGGCTTGAGCCTTCTCTTTCGACACTCCGACCACCTCACCTTCAGTCGACAAATCAGTCAAAATGCGCGGCCCGTAAGTGTCATGAGATCACCCTCTACATCATTCTGCACACTGGCATCGTCTCTCTGCTGGATTACGAGTTCAGCCAGTCACTGCGAAATTGATCGAAAATTTTCTCGACTTGGAACATCATCACTAACATCCATGTTCTTTACAGCGGAAAGCACCAGAAGCGCCTCAGTGCGCCCTCGCACTGGCTCTTGGACAAAATGTCCGGAACCTACGCGCCCAAGGCCTCCCCCGGTCCCCACAAGCTCCGGGACTGCCTTCCCCTGATTGTCTTCATCCGTAACCGGTACGCACGCAACACCATGAATTTCTCGACACGCGACGAACACCCACTGACGTTTCTTTTGTTGATAGTCTCAAGTACGCCCTGAACGGTCGCGAGGTCAAGGCCATCATGATGCAGCGTCTGGTCAAGGTTGACGGCAAGGTCCGCACCGACACCACTTTCCCCGCTGGATTCATGGACGTCATCTCCCTCGAGAAGACCGGCGAGCACTTCCGTCTCATCTACGATACCAAGGGCCGTTTCACCGTCCACCGCATCCAGGCTGAGGAGGCTGAGTTCAAGCTCTGCAAGGTCAAGCGCGTTCAGCTCGGCAAGGGCGGGATCCCATTCTTGGTTACGCACGATGCGCGAACGTGAGTTCCACACTCCACAAGTTCCGTGTCATTCAGTCGTTGGACCAAGCTTTGGTTGATCGGCGGAGGACAAGAGAACTTGGAACATCTGTTCCATCTTTCTGGAAACAGTAAGATACCATTCGATCAGGACATGGTTTTGCTAACTTGGCTTTTCGCTCTACAGCATCCGTTACCCCGACCCTGCCATCAAGGTCAACGACACCGTCAAGGTTGAGATTGCCACTGGCAAGATCGTCGACTTCGTCAAGTTCGACTCCGGTGTTGTCATCATGGCCACTGGTGGTCGCAACATGGGTCGTGTTGGTGTTATCACTCACCGTGAGCGTCACGATGGTGGTTTCAACATCGTCCACGTTCGCGATGCTCTTGACAACCAGTTCGCTACCCGTGAGTCCAACGTCTTCGTCATTGGACAGGACAAGCCCTGGGTTTCCCTCCCCAAGGGTAAGGGTGTCAAGGTACGTTACAATCCCCCCATACTTGTTTATGAATTTACTCTAACATCATTTTCTAGCTCTCCATTGCTGAGGAGCGTGACCGCCGCCGTGCTCACGAGCTCGCCAACTAAATTCACAATATCTCATGATATTCGTGGAGTAATTGGCAGCTTAAAACAAACCCTAAAAACAGTAGCTGGGAAACGGCGTCTTGTCTTGCTTAATGGGCTTGAATAATGCTTTCTCGTAGGTTTCGAACCATAGCAAACAAAACAGGAACGGGTTAACCGCTTTGTTTCCGAGTGATATGATACCATTTGACGTTACCTCTTTTTCGAATGACTTAATGACCGTATATTTATTCTGTTTCTCTTGATCTTCAACACTCTTCCTGGGTGATTAGGTCATATTTTGTTCGAGCCTCTCTCGACATATTGTTCTGCAGTCATTTCAGGCGTATTCTCAGTCATGAAGATCAAGAGAAACGTAATTCTTTTTCTCATGTAGTCAAGCTGGGAAAATTCATCGTCACCGAAATGTCACTAGAGCGTGAATCTGTTAGCACCTAAGTATTTCGCCCTTAGACCAAAACGCTACTGCATACCAAAGCTCCGAATGATCAAGCGCAAGCCGTTCGAAATTGCGACCCAGCGTCTCAACGGCACAGAATGAAGACCCAGGATATGCACCTCGATTTGATTACAACACTAAATGTCCATCATTTTTAATCTAATTTCAATATCCTTACGGAATAGAAATCAAATCCTTGAAATCTCAAAGTACACTTTCTGACCATAGTCTAAAAAATAAACACTGAATACATTTGTAGATCCCGCTCCAAGAAATATATTGCCTCATACTCATCTCCGCTGCCGTTAGGTCGAATGGATCAATCCAGAGTACAAACGCACTACCGCACGTCGGTTGATCCGATGCAGTCCTCCCGTGTCGGTGTACGATTTACACGTACAGGAGAAGCCTGTGGCGATCAACAGTAACAATTCGAAGCAATTGACCTTCTCGACAGGTGTTCTATGTTGTAATTCGCCCCCTCATGCATGATTATTGGCCTTCACCCAAGAAGCGCGAGTCGCTGGTAGGAGACGATCATCTGCAGAGGTCAGTGGCGATCATGAAGTCAGAGGTAGTGCATCCTAATTGATTTGAGTATGTATTTGAATTATGATTCACATCCACACATGTTTTGTCATAGAAATCGAGGTGTGTCCAGCGTCTGGAACTAGCTTATGCGATGCAACAGCAGAAAGTGTCCGATGTGGAGTTATTGCAGGTCTGCTTTGACCGCCGGCCGAGTCATCGGTCTTATCATTCCGCACTCCATACAGAGTACAGAGTACTGTATAGGTATATATAGATATGTATGGATTGTGTGCGATTGACAGGACTATTTATGGAGCAAAGTAGGTACATACATATACTTCCAAATTCCGCCGTACAGTCAGGGCTATTTATACACGGGATGTAAGCGAGGATATTGCAAAATAAGAAGGAAAAGCGAAAGGCCAAGAGACTAAGGATAACCCATCTCCGGTGTCGGATTGGGGATCATCTCCTTCTCTATTGGGAAGGGCGGTTCTGAATGATTATAGCGGCTCTGGAGACAATGGCATAGGGTGGGCGCTTGGTCCGTCCAATTCAGACGCACCTGCCACACCATTTCGGGGGATCACGGGGTAGATATGTAGTAAGGGGGTGAGAGAGACAAGCGGCTCACACGTCCAGTCCTTGGAAGTATGTTTTCCCTCGAGAATTTCTCCGATAGCCTATCATGGGGTGGCATGGAGTGGCGATCGTGGAAACGAATGGGTGGGGGAAGAGAGGATAATCTGATAGATCTAAACTCAATCCTAGTACTCGGCCGTCCCACGTTCGGATATCCACTGGGGACAAGTTCTCCGTGTTCCAAGCGCCATGCTGTTGGTAATATGCACGACAGGATGGTGTATGATTCCTGACCCGTCATTTTATGCAGCGTGGAGAGAGGTGAACTGGTATTTTGCAGGGGGTGGAAGCGGTATCGGACCCGGGAAAATGCAAGATGGATGTAGTAACTAGTACCCAGGTGGCAGGGGGGGATCTTGCCTTGATGCGATTATATCGCTTCATGGCTGCATGGGTGGCTGGCTGTATGGAGCTTTGGCTAGCGTGTTAGCATGGGAATTTGGAATCTGAGCTACACGAGACGCAGGAATGGACCATACTATATGGGGGATGCAGAACAATGCAGTTGTTGTGGATTATTCTTAGGGGAGTATCCCTGAGAGAGTGGGTACTTTTGTTCGAATGCACAACCGATCAATCGATCCATCGAAGTCGTATGAAGCGCCGGCGATCTGACGCGACATAAGTGGAGTCCCGGTGTAAGTCCTGCACATGAGGCCAGATATTGCATTCTAATTGTAGCGAGTCAGTTCTTATGTGTCGGAAATGCAAATACTGGGCCTAGAACGAGGGTGACTAGCAGCCTCTGCATATGCTGCACTTACAATTATTCTAGAACTTGTTGAGGATACATACGAGATACAATCTGTGAAGCTCAAGAAATAGACGAGATGTCTATGAGATATCAAACTTTGAGCGTGGATCTCGGGAGATCCGCCCCAGTGCCTTGGAACTGGGAGAAAGGGATTTTCACGTGGAAGGACATCTAGTTTGCATGCAAGTGATTGGTCTGGAGAATATACCCTTCGTAGAATTACTTACATATCTTGTACTTTATTCCTGCAACATATGCTTAAGAAACAAGCTTGGAACTACGTGGAGATTAGGGCTCACGTCACCGGCAGTGAAGATTTGACGAAATATCCAACTGTCAATAATTGAGCTTGTAATGTTTGGTATAATTTGACATACCATGGTCTAGCGGTGTAAGGGAAATCTTGCAAGGATCAAGTCTAGGATTAGATGATTTTTAATTGAACGAGAACGACAGACGCTGATCTCGCTGGATATTCTGATATAATAATGACACCGTCACCCCGTCTACTCTTTTGGGTCAACTTCAATCCCGATTGTTGTCTGAATTGGAAATTTGTCCATACCTGATGTGTTGATGCTTCTGTGTAATCCGTACTCCGTAGTTAATATCTCATTCTCTTGCACCAGCAGACTTCCATAAAATCCAGTTCTCAAAAGTTCTTTCATAGTCCACGAGTTGATCGACGGGACTTGGCATTGTACGGCCACTACTTTAGCGCCCTGTAAGTACATATGAAATCATTGGTCTGGACCGGGTTTATTCCGTCGAGAGTGGATAGTGGATATGTTGTATATCGCCTCTTGACCGACTAATTATAAGCTTCCCGATTTGAAACTTCCAGAATAATCCTGAAAGATTGACCGCTCAATTATCCACTTGTCATATTGTTAATTGAGCCAAATCTATTTCCCTTTCTGCAGCCCAACGGCCAACGGGTGTTCGGCATACAATCTCGGTAACAGGCAGAGAAGCCCAACTTGCAGATCTTTGTTCACTTTCTCCCTTGATCCTAGAGAGTAACCCTACAATCTTGATATTTCCCCCCCTTTTTTTTTTGTCAATTTCCACTTCCCGTCGGGAAAGCCTTCTAGTCTAGAAACTAGGATGAGTGCTCCGGTTGTTAATATGCCCAGAGGTCTCTGGTCCATTTTCGCTCGTGATGTGTCGAACGTGGCGGAAGTAACAGGGATACAGAGAAATCCCAAGGTAGTCTTACGTTTAAAACCAATCACCCTCACCTCTCCGGACAACCCGCTTTATCATCTGTGCGTTATTTAGTTTTTATTTGATTTCTATTTTTCCTTTTCGTATACTCCCTTCTCTCACAGCGCGTCTAACATACACCTCTCATCCCTGCCTTGTAATTACTCTATTCAAGCGCCGTGTTACATGAGAATCAGCGCCTGATGTGTTGGCCTTGAATAAATTTTTTTCCCGATGGTGTTCGCATAAATGCAATCGATCAGCCCAGAAGATTCGGCTTTTGAACCGCCTCCCCAACCCTTTTTCACCCCAGGGGATAGGCAATACTCGACACTAAAGAAAATCACCATGCCTTCTCAATCCAGTATGACAATATCAGACTCGGGGCTTTCTTACCCGTCAATCTTCCAACTGAACTTGGAGATTCCCGCCTTTTTCACATCCTATCGCTGGTGGGAAGACGAGGCGACCACTGTGTTCTGGGCATTCGATATTCAAGAAATTAGTCGTGTCATCCAATTCGGGCTTTTCTACGATGAAAACTTGCCGAGAACTTCGCTTTGCGCTCGAAACGTGGACACCATTGATACCTTTTTGATCGCCCTATCCAAGCCCCATGAGTATCAGCTCCTTGGAAATCTTTCGCATATACAGAGGGTGGAGGAGATACTGCGCAGGTCGAGTATCTCTCCTTTTCAGGCGATTCCTTGGAGTTGGCTTCCACCGCAATCAAGCCCTACCCTAGATGCACGGGAGATCGCTACCGCAATTGAGGCCGAGAGCCATTTTCACTTTAGGCAGGTTGCCTTTGAGGAATTCGTACGTGCTGCTCTCGGATACAATGCTGTCTTTGTCGAGTGGTTCCTACAGCAGCACACATCTCTGTATATTATTCTCCGGGACCATCTGAGCGCCTATCCGGAGGACATTCCTGTGTACACAGAAGTGGAAAGGGTACGTTCGGTGAAGTTCTTCTGCTTCAATCTACGGACTATTACATAGAGCTTGAGCTGACTTCTATAGCATCTCCGATCGCAGAGTCCATTTGCCCACCGAGCACTTGTCCACTGCCTTCAGGCTGTGCGACCTGGTGGGAACCGTGAAATGCCCAATCTCAGCACTGCTGGATTCGAATTCATCGCAGGCCCTATTCAGGCGTTGTTCAAGGATCAACCAGGAAGGCTCACTGCTATGCTCAAGACTTTAAGCGTTCTGGCAATCCGATTCCGCCGACAGTATATCCACCCTCGTACCATGGATTGGAAAACTCCATTTGACACCTCTATTCCTTTCCTCGACGATTGTCTCGAGTCTACATCTCCAACGGACTTGGCCCGCAGCATGAGAGTTCTGGACGAGCACCATTTCGCCGAGTTGACACGGCAAAGCCTGATAACAGAAGACGCTGTCGTGAAACGATTGCAGATTCAATGGCGTGCACTGAGTGCTTCTGTCTGGGAATGCTGTGCTGCTCTTCCAGATCTACTTCCATATCTGCAAGAATGTACCAGGGTAAGCAGTCTTTACCCCAAAAGTCGCCGAAGTCCCAAAGGTCAAAGCCCTCTAACTGTAAAACCTTCTGAACAGTCTCTCTTAACAACACGTAATTATCATTCTCTTACGGCTGTCATCAAAGGCTTGCATACCTACTCCATTCTGACCGCACCCGCCGCCAACGAAGCCACCGCCCCAGGAAACATGATTACACTCGAAACTCTGATTCCACAAGAAATCATCTCCCTCATGAACCCGGCTCAGAACTTTGCCGCCTATCGCCAACACTACCAAAGCTTCCCCGGCATTCCTTTCCTTACGCCTCATATCCGCGATCATCAACAAAATGGTGAATCCGCCCTTCAGCCGGTTTTCCAGTACCTGCAGAGCACGCAATAAACCCAAAGAGGTCACCAGATCATCGGCCTACTTAGGCTTCTCTCCGGCTTTGGCTCCGGTGAGAGGGGACAGAAAAAGCAACTCATCTCGGTGTGTGCTTGGCTTGTGTGGCTGCATGTGGTGAGACCGCCTCGCGTGGGCCGTGTGCTAAATATTGTTTCAATTATTTGTTTGTCTATGTGGTCAGCAGCTGATGCATTGATGGTGTGTTTTCCTTGGCAATCTTATGATGGGGAGATCTACACCAGATGACCTCGAATGCTATATTTCACCTGTATTTCTACTCTGATACCCATGCTAGCATCGGGCAGTACCGGGGAGTCCGGCGTTGCATTATGCTAATATGAATCTAATTATCTAATTTTTTTCCTGGTGACTTCCAAAATTCTATTGACACTTGCATAGTAGTCGATGCTCATTGGAACTGAAAACGTAACCAGACCAGCCCGTTTCATCCACCCTAACGCAGTCAAGCAAATCCAAGCATAGCAGCAGATCCTCCCAGCCACACCCTACGCACGCTCCTACCTCCTCTATGCGCCGACCCAAGAGCCTACGAATCATATGAAGCCCATTACATCCGAAGAGCCGCCTCGAGAAAGAGTAGGACCAAAGTCAAACCACGCTGATATGCAGTCTTACGGCAAGGGAGAGGAGGTCGGAGCCCCATGCCCCACCCAGAATTTCTTTGCCCTTTTTTTTTGACTATCCAAGTAGAGATGATAGAATACATATAGTGGCCTAGCCAACCAAAGCAGCAGGTCACACCTCACTCTCGTTTTGCAGCCGCCTTCGGCGCTTTCGCATAGCCAAATATGCCCAAGAAATAAGCGATTCTATTGATGAACAGGAATGTTGTGACCCCGATGTTACCCCAGGTCAAAGCGTTCCATGCCGCAACGTCTGAAAACGCGTCCCAACCCATCGCCAAGTACGTGGCGTAGACATGGCCTACATCGGCGATGGCCAGCCCGACTAGGTAGTTACGTAGTACTCTTGGCTCTGTCGTTGCATGGCAAACACCTACGCCGACTAGAAAGAGTAATGAGTAAGCATTGCCGAGTTGGTAGGCGAGCGCGACGCTGCTTGGGTGTAGGGTGGCCGGGGCTGCAATGTTGGGTGTTTGCTCGGCGATAAAGCCTTGGAGATTGTAGAGTGGATAGGCACTGCCAAGGGCTCTGCATTCAGGATGGTAGGATCAGTATTATCCTTGCATGGACAAAGGAAAGGGTTGGGCTGATCGTACAGTGAGATCGGCTCAAGGACGCCGAAGAGGATGTGTGGCCATGTTGGGAAAATGGTGGGCATTTTGGGGACCTGTGGCGTTCAACGTTATTCTTTGTTTGTGTCTTCTCAATTGTTGTGCTTTGGCCCTGACTGTAATTCTTTCGGAGCGGTCTGCAAAACAAAGCTCCCAGTAGGGTTACCTCCGCGGAGAGGAAGACAACTCACGTTTTAGTTGCAGACCACAACGAATATCAAGTCTAGAATTTTGATTGCGTGGTAGAGTCCAACAAAATCAACGAGCGAGAGTCTAAAGAAAGACCTTTTGAAATGGAATAGCCAGGGGATCTCGACAGAATGCCAGCTGACGTAGACACCCCAGGGCCCGCTTTATTGGCATCCGTCACCGCCCGTAGCCGTTATCGCATGGATCTTATCAGAGCTTCATCTGTCCCTATGGGTGCAAGTGTCAGGGACATCCAGGATAATATGCAATCCGTGATAGCTGACCGAAATGGAGTCTGGCGCCTTACGGCCTCTCGATGAATCGCTTCTCCGCGAACTTCCTCAACTATCTCTCCGTATCGCCCCTCTACGAGAACCAGTATCCTCACGAACCCTAAGCGTGCCATCGCCCCTCGAACCCAATGCCAGTGGGGCACGGGACTCGAATAATCTATCCAATTCGAATAGCAATAGTGGAAAGATCCCTGCAAATGCAAAGGCAGGCCTGCCGACAGTTACGGAATTTCTGAACGCTGCGCGTATCAGGAAAACCGAACTTTCAGCAGACTCGCAATCAAATGTGGAACGACCCCCGAGGCCGATACTTCCGGCTTTTGTGAATCTGCGTGCCTTGGAGAAGTTTCCATTCTCGTCATCCTTCGATGATGACGCCCTCCAAGCCCCCCGCAAGCGTCGACGCCGAGACCCCCAGGCCGATTCATTTAGCGAGCATCTACAGTTGCCGATCCCTCAGGCCCAGAAGGAGCAGCGGCCTCCTCCATTCGGGCCATTTGCTATTTTGAATGGATTGAATGAGCCCCCACCAAATGCTGCCCTTCTTCCACCCATTGAGGCTGGGTCTAATATTTCCCAGCTTTTGACTAAGCCCTCTGGAGGCAATGCTGCTGTTGACCCTGCGACCTTAGTTTCAGCTCATGGGACAATATCAGATGGTCAAACTGCAGAAAGACGGGATGTTAGACTTGAAGAAGTCCTCAGAACGTCTCTCAATGGGGATGAGGACAATGACCATAATGAAAATAATGAAAACATTGGAAGTACTGACCCAGTGGATCCTGATGAGATTGTCCTAGCTGTTCGCGATGCAGAAATACCCAAGACCAGCAAGGCATTGCCACACTCTCCTGGAGAGGATACACCAATGTCTCCTAAAACTCGCGGCCGGTCCCGTAAAAACCTGAGAAAGTGGACCGAAGAAGAGACGACTACTTTACTTCGAGGTGTGGTCAAATGTGGGATTGGGAACTGGACTGCTATTCTTGCACAACCGGAACTGGAGTTCAATCAGCGAACTGCCTCAAATTTGAAAGACAGGTATGCTCGGTTCTTGGCTAGTTGTATTTTCTTATGCTAAAGCGTCGCTATGCTGAAGATTCCGAGTCTTATGTCCTTGGGCGTACCGGTAAGCAATGCGAATATACCCCGTCGAAGTCATTCAAGTACAGTCACTAATAATACCACAGTGCATCCGATCCCAACGAAGCTGCGAAACAATTACATGACACTCTTGCTAACGCCCTACTCAAAGCCAAAGCAGAGGGCTCTGAGTCAAAGTCTGAGGCAGGAAGTCCGGCTTGCAATTCACATAAACCTTCCATCTCGAGTACCATCTCATCCACGCCCGATACAGATCCCGGTAGTAGTAGCATTGCCCAATCGCAGTCGCCATCATCAGGAAACAGCACACCCGCTCCCTCAAGCAAGTCCCAAATAGCATTTGCATCTCTTGGAATCCCCGAACCACACGTCGCAAAGTCCAAACGTCGCTCCCGGCGACCCTTCACAACTGCCGAAGACGAAGCCCTCCTAAAAGGCTATGCAGTGCATGGCTTCCAATGGACCCTAATCCAACAAGATGCACGATTGAACCTAAGCCACCGCAAAGCGACAGATCTCCGCGACCGCTTCAGAACAAAGTTCCCACACGCCTATCGCGACGGCGGCTCTGTGAGCGGCAAAGCCCTCACCACCCACAACCAGGCCCAAGAGTCAGCTGCAGGAGCGTCGACACCCCGTCCCCACGCTATCAGCGCTGAACAATCTCCAAGCAAGGCTTACGCCATGACTCCAACTCCGACTACCACTCCCCACAACTCGGCGTCGAGGAGTCGTCACGCTGCTACCCCTTCGCAGTCCAATCTCGCCCAGATTGATCCCGCGCTCTTGCCCCCACCTCCGCAGGGCTTTTTGGAGCACTCAATGAATCTTCCACCCGCTGCTGTGGGTGTGCTTTCTTTCTCTTTGGATGATGGTGCTGGGGCGGGTGCTTCTTCCGCAGTGGAGACACCTTGGGAAGATAATACCCTCGCTCCTATGATTTGGGATGAATTCGCCTAATTAGAGACAAGCTTTGGATGTGCTGTTGCCAATGCATCATGAATTTTTGGATTTCTTTTGGTGTCTTTCTTGTCTTTATCTTATTTTGACTTTCATCTTTTTTTTGCGTTGCATTTTTGGTGCTCTGTGGAGCACTACTTTGTCGTCTTTTATCGTTCTTTGGTTTTTTCATTGTTGATCTATATCCCGCAGTACACGATGGTTTTTGCTACACTTTCTGTTCAATAAAAGTTTTATTTTCGTAATTCAATGTCATTGACAATGAGACGGACAAGGAGAAACAGGTATAGCGAGGCAACGGCAAAATAGAACAGTAATAGTGAATTTATGGAGGAAAAAGCCCAAAAAAAAGCGCCTGCCCGGTCAAGGTAACGGATAAACCCTGTACTTGCTTGTATTTGCATTTGATTGGTAAAAAAAAAGGAAGCGGTAAATTCGGATATCAAACGAGCAGAGAAAAAAAATCCAAGCAATGATCGTTACATAGCATACACGGTGGGTACCCATTTTAAATCCCGAAAGATGTATGTCTGCCGTGCAAAGGATGTGAGAGTAAGGGGATAGGAGAGAAGGAAGGGAAAGGTGGAAGATGAATGTGAAAAATGGAGTTTGGAAAGGCCGAAGGTAAAACCCAGCCAATTCTGAGAAATGAGGCATGCTTCTCGTTAACAAATTAAAAGCGAAGGCAATAGTCATCTACCACGCATTGCGGTCCCAGTTGGGATCTGCAAAATGAGTATTAGCGCACGTTCAACAATACATAATCACAAAAGCGACCAGAGTAAACCCACCTTGTATGTAGCTGGCAAGCACCTTACTCCCCGTCTGCAGAAGAGGGTGCCCGGCGACGATCTGGAGGAAGCGCTGCAGACCCTCGCGGCGGTGCTCGATGACATCGTCACTGAAGCGGTTGGTGAACACCTTCCCGGGGAGCGGGGGTATCGTAACGCGCGTGCTCTCGCGCTCCAGGATATCGCGGAAATACTCGAAATCGGAGTACCGGCGGCGCACGACGGAATGTTTCAATTTGAAAGCGGGGATGTTGGTTCGGCACACGATCTCGTACGACGTGTACATGTTGCGAGATGTGCCATGAGTTTGCGGGTTACGGACCTGTTGCGGTCATTGTTAGTTTGGGGTGTTCCTTGGGGTGTTCATTTTTGGTGCCCGATGGGGAGTGGTGACGCGGGTTTCGGGTGGGGATGTATGGGGGTTGATTAGGGGAGAGATATGGGCACGAGACTTTGGGGTGATGGAATATAGGATTGATTCTGGTATGGGTAGCTGAGCTTTTGCACCATGTAACTCACTTCTATCTCGAGGAAATTCTCGGGAGGTCCGTAGATCTCCTCAAAGGACTGCTGTCGCGATTCTGGGACGGACTGCATCGTGGTGGGGTTGGGGTGATGCGCAGGGAAAATTAAGAAGACGAGCAGGCTTTTGTATTGCGGTGTCTCAAATATATGGCTGATGTGGGTGATTTAATTGGACAGCTTTTCTCACTTTAATTCCCTGGAGCTGAACACCACTGAGATCCAAGAAATCCAAGCCCGGAAGTTGGAGAAGCATCTCCATCAGTGGGGATGGGGAAAATAATTGATCCGTCCTTTTGGCTTATCTTTGTGACAGCCGCTTTCTCTCGGTCTGCTACTCCGTACTCCGTACATACATCTACTTCATTCTATGCACGAAATTTATTTCGATTTTCTTTTTTTTTAGAATGAATGCCTCTAAGCGTGAGTATGCCGTATACGGCACGACCCTTGACAATCATCCAACCTTTTGAATGATCAAAAACCAACTCAACTATCATTTTTCTTATATATACGCTACACTACAACTGTATATATTTGCCGTTTTCCTACCTTCCTGGTGGTCAATTTGTATACTCAATGATAAATCAGACGATACGATTGAATTTTTCAGCCTCCTTGCGTATCTTTAACGTGCTACAGCCGCATACCGAACCCGTATAACAAAGTCATTTAAAGAGGCATATGTGAAGGAAGAATCTAGCGCCAGTAGCAAGGTTTACCTTGATACTAACAACGATGATGACATTTTTCTGGTATCTCGAGTTTGATTCTGAATTTATACGTAATCCATGCATGATGGCTTCTTTTATTACATACTTGGTGTTCGGAAATTGGAATTTGCACTTTCTTACAAAGACTTTTTGTGACGTCTCTAGCCCTAGGTCAGGAAATATACGTTGTAGTAATGAGCATATAATCCATATGACAATATCTCTACCAGAAATCTATCCTTAAGTTTTCAAAACAAAATGCCACTTGAAGCCTACCGCTAAAATAAAGATATTCTAAATATCATTAAGAACCGGCAAAAAGATAAAATTGGCAGAACAACACTATCAGTCAAGCCTCATTTATACGACCCTACAATCTGAGCATTCACTTCTCTAGACCTAGAAAATTATCGGGAGACAGCATGAATCAACTACAATTGAGAGGCCTGGGCCAGACTTTCTATCAAAACCGTTCAAAGGCATTGGCAGGGTGCTGTCGCTTTTCAGAATATGCACGATGTCTGCATATCTAAAAGTTAAAGATACATTGACCAGAGGCTTCTGCTTCCCTGCATATGATACGCCATCTTGGTTCTTGAAGGGTGAAGTGAGTGCTGTATATCTAAGAAACGACGTGCTTCAATCGAACCAAGCTATAGCGTTGGAGCAGGTGACACCATGGAGGTGACACCATGGAGGTGACACAACTGGGGACAGATCTATAAATGTAAAGCTTGGTCTCGAAGGGGCAAGTAAGTCTACCCTTGGGCTTTATACTCTCAAGATGCGTATTGAAGGAAGTAGTTAGTGTATCAACTATACCTACTCATTACGCCACATAGATTCTTGTGGAACTTGATCCTTTGCATTGGAGATCAAACTCTACAAAGATATGTGGCGTACTGGGGGTGCTTGAAGACGTTAGGAACAATGTTCACCTTGATCGGAGTTAAGCCTCGGGGTTAAGCCACGGCATGACATAACCCAAAACGACCTCCAGGGCTGGCGGTGACCGAGGTCTGGACTTATCAATGTATCGATAAGCATCATCCCCTCACCTGCCAATACCACAGCGATACACCATGAGTTCAGGGTCACCTGATAATGGGAGAGAATCTCCAAGGGGCTCAGAAGGGATCTGGCACCCTGCCCGCGAATGGCTGGAAGACGACGAGCTGGATACCGATTACCACACCGCGGCAGAGCCGTCCAGGCATGATAGCGCACAGGAGGACAATATAAGCAATGAAGACCAGCAAATGGGTTTTGGTGTTGCAGATGGTAATATCAAAACCAAGTCTCTCCAAATAGTATACAAATGGACTAACCGCTCTCTCGTAATAGATAATCCCCATATCGACATCGGAAACATTCATATCGAGCTCACAGCGGACAATTTGGACGAAAGTGAGGACACAGATGACTTGAATGAGGGACACATGCGCGGTATGCTGCGCTAAAAAGTCTCAAAGGGTATCAGTACAATTGCTTATGAATTACAGTACCAGCTTCCCGATTGTTCGAGTTACTTGCATCCAGTGGTTTACAACATATCCTCCAAGCCAACGGCTGGCCGGCTGCTATGGGAGAAGAACAAGAGCATCTCGGAAATGAAGACGATGAGCTTAGCGACGAGGATTTCATGCCCATATTCCGAAATCGCCTCCGCGCCAGACGATCTACAGAAAGGGTTACACTTCCACCAGTTCCTAACCCGGAGGGCAAGAAGTTGATGGGCGAAGGTCATTTTGGAACTGACCAATTCTACGGCGACCGGCTGAGACAGCGCAAGAAGTTCTTAACGACAAGCCTTATGTGGCGAGAACTAGGCGTTGATACTGACGGAGTGCGGAAAAGAGCAGGCCAATCCATCTCCCAGGTAGGCTGAGTGTACAGTCCGCGCGCGGGTGATCATGTTAGCGAACAAGACTAACGCTTACGGTTGGCCCCTGCCAGGGATCTCATTCCAAGTTCAACTGCGGATATGATCATTCACTATGACACGCGAAGTTATTCGGGCCAGTTCTCGGATGATGGAAATTTCTTTTTCTGCTGCGCGCAGGACTTCAAGGTTCGGATGTATGACACATCTAATCCGTACGACTGGAAGTACTACAAAACCGTCGACTATCCATTCGGTCAGTGGACTATCACCGATGCGACGCTGAGCCCCGACAACCGCTTCCTTGTTTACAGTTCAATCCGAAGTCAGGCATACATGGCTACTACAGACCCAGATGATGATTCAGATCCAACCGTTTTAGATATGTCTTCTCCAGTGGGTCAAAATAGAAGACGGGGCTGGGGTGGCTCACACTTTGGGGTATGTGAAATGATGGTCTATTTGGAATACGTAATGGTTAACTTGATGAGTTATAAATAGATCTGGTCTCTTCGATTCTCCGGAGATGGGCGTGAGGTCGTCGCCGGCACATCAGAAGACTCGGTCATCGTTTATGATCTGGAAACACGACAGCCAGTCCTCAACCTACGAGATCGACATCAACATCATGTCAATGCTGTGTGTTATGGCGACACATCCTCGCCGCACATCCTGTACTCTGGATCAGATGACACGACAATTAGGGTTTGGGACCGGCGGTCAATGGGCGATGGACGTGAAGCCGGTGCCTTCATGGGCCACACCGAGGGAGTCACATATGTTGACAGCAAAGGGGATGGCCGATACGTCTTATCCAACAGCAAAGACCAAACGATGAAGCTTTGGGATCTGCGCAAGATGATGACATCCGCTGATATGGAAAACATCGATCCCGTCGACTACACAACCGGCTTCGATTACCGCTTCGAGCAGTATCCAGACCAATACCGCAGAAATGCTAAGAAGGACTGCTCTGTTGTTACATATCGGGGCCACCGAGTCCTCAAAACCTTGATTCGCTGCCATTTCTCCCCACCGGGAAGCACAAACTCACGCTATGTCTACAGCGGCAGTGAGGACGGCAAGGTTTATGTATACAACTTAGATGCTACACTAGCTGACACCATTGATGTTGGTCAAGCGACACTCAATTCACGACCGCGTGATCCAGAAGCATATGCTACAGCGTATGAGATGAGTGGGGAGATGCTATGGAGGACTTGCGTTCGAGATGCAAGCTGGCACCCGAGTGCGCCAGTACTAGCAGGTAGGAACTACCCAGAACATTTTTATTAGTGAGCATTGCTAATCCCACCTTCAGCAACTTCTTGGAATGGCTGGGGCTTGTCTACTGGCACTTGTACCGTGCATTCATGGAATGCCGGTGCTGCTAAAGACGAGGGGGATCCACCCATTGGAAAGAGCTATGACGATAGACTACGACACATCCCTGAGTTTGACGACTATCGCGAGAATGCATCACATGGTCGACCACGGCGCCCAATGCGCAGTCGGCCTGTTCGTCGATGGGTTGGTGACCAGGAATCAGGGGATGCAATGTGGTAAATGGGGACAAAGTGACGTCCAAAAGCATTTAGGGCTGGCTTTTGATTATGCACATTCTGGATATGTTCATTCATGTATCTTTGCGCAACACATACTCGGTAGGCATTTATTTTGACGAATGAAACATGTCATTTCGTCCAATCCATCCAATCCATCGTTCAGGCTGTTCAGAATCCCACAATCGAGAAATGGTAGACAGAAATAAAAGCATGAAGGGTGTGAATTAAGTAAAACAAGGTCCCCTATTGATACAGGATGCGAAAAACGGTGGTATCTCATAGATAGCGATCATGCTCTGCCTCCTATCGCTCGCCGAAAAAAAAAAAGCGCCAAGTGGCTGGTGGTGATGGCCACAGAAATCCAAAACGTAAAAGGAAAAGTGATTTGCAATGTGGGAAGGCTCGTAGTCCAGGGCGGTTTGAGGTCTCCGCGGGGTAGGGTCGTGTTGTTTAGTTGAGATGATAGAGCGGTGTCCTTCTTTAGGGCTGCCTGTGATCCCGGACATCTTGCCCATGCTGTCTCTTATCGTTCCTCATCTCTTCCCGCCCGTAAGAGTTTCCCCATTGTCAGCCTTTTCCCATCTCTCTCAACTTGTCAGATGATTTGAGTGCCTCTCCCTTAGGCGCCACCAACCAGCACTTGGTTGACGGGGATGTGAACTATAACAAGCAGGTTAATACAAGCCATGCATCCTGCATACGCGGATTGATATCCGCATTCTGGGTCACGTACTCAGCTTAACAAAGTAGCCAATGGCTCCCTATCGGCGATGTCAGTTATACCGTCATGAAATACAATCCAGGGGTCACCACAATGGTAAAACACATACCATAACCAGGAAACCCATGCCAACAGCTTGGCTGATCTTGATAAATTCACGCTTATCGGCTGTTGCAAAGTCAGCATATCGGGAACTGGAAAATTGGCTGGAATGACTGTTGATCGACATACGCTTGGTGCAGCGGCGAACAAATTGGGAACCCTCCCGGATGAAATCCTTAGGGATATCGGCAAGCTCTTGGAAAGTCTCAGACATGATTGCGGGAGAGAAAAAAAAGAAGACTGGAAGAGATGACAAGACTAAGAGCTGGAGAAGATGAAGTCGCGAACAGGAAGAAGAATAGGTGGTTTCTCCGGAATGACCAAATGGCCTTTCTGGGGACGGGATAATATTTGTTCCACCTCCAGCTCCCAGTCTGGCCCGTTCGCGATTACATCGGCATCGCCATCGCCATTTCGCATTTATACTCATTCGTCAATTTCATCTGGCGTCGAGAAAGAACTTAACGACCTTATTGAATTATCTACATCTCGGCGCCGTGCTGTACTCCTCGCCGCGAACGCTCTCACCCTTTCCCTTGTTTCATTCATTGCTCTCCTGTTCTAACCAAATTCCCTCTATCCACTTAATCGCTGCCTGTCTGTGGCGGCTTGCGCTTCTTTTTCTCTACTCCCCTTTGTATCCGGTTCATTCGTGGGACAACCTTGATTCTCATTCTTCTGTACACCGCGTCTGCAGCTCGCGCAAGTCTTGTTCTACCGGAAGCGCTTTCCTCGCTTCGGATTGTACGTATTATTCTGGCCTCCTGTTTTTATGTCTGTCATTCCTATGTTACCCTTCGGGGGATTTGGCCAATTTTCCGTTCGCTTTACCTGTGAGGACTTGTCCAACGGGCTGTTGGGAGCTAAGACGGGAATCGCGCTACCCCTACACTAATCATGGATTCTTATCGTGTTTTTCTTAATGCTAATTGGTGGCTTGTGTCTGCAGACATGCACTTTTCTTGACTTGCTCAGAAGCGGAAAGGATCAAGAAGAAGAAGGGCCTGTATTATCGAACATCAGATACTCAGGCAATTTCAATACTTTCTTTGAGACCCAGTCCCCGGAAGTGGATACTAATCTAGTTCGCAATGGCTACCGACGACGATAACTTCGACATTGACATCTACGGTGATGGCACTTACAATGCCAATGATTCCGGAGACTTCAAGCAGGAGGATTCTGAGCTCGTCCTGGACGCGCCCGAGAATCAGCCCGAGTCCAGCACCGGATCATCCAACACTGTCAAGCAGGAGAACACTGCTCCCACCCAGAATCAGCAGCTGAACAACAATGGAGCTCCAACAGCGCCTCAGCAGCAAACTCCCCACCACGGTCTGCCCGCCCCCCTCAGGGAGTCAAGCGAAAGGAATACGAGGACCAATCGGTGGATCCCGATGCCACAACTGCGTTGCTGATCTCGGATCTATCCTGGTGGACAACCGACGACGATATTCGTGGCTGGGTCAACCAGGCCGGAGTTGAGGACCAGTTGAAGGATGTGACCTTCAGCGAGCATAAAGTGAACGGCAAGAGCAAGGGGTAAGAAAATCTTATACTCGGTCGCGCATAATTACAATATCGAACATTGATACTAATATATTAAACCCTGACAGTCAAGCATATGTCGAGTTCACCACCGCGCAGGCATCGACCGCAACTAAGCACAGTATTGAAAGAAATGGTGGCCCCACGCGCAAACACACCGTGCACTACACCAGCCCACACCAGAACCCGTTTAAGACCCTTCCCAAGGATACTCCAATGCGCAATGCTGGTGGTCGCGGTGGTGGCGCAGCCCACAACACTGGTAACAACTCTAACTACGGCATGAACAACCACACTGGTGGCGGATTCCGCGGCCGCGGCGGCTTCAACAACCGCGGTATGGGTGGTAACATGAACAACAACTTTAACAACCGTGGCAATTTCAACCCCATGGGTGGATTCCAAGGTGGCGCACCAAACCCCATGATGGGTGGCTTCCAGGGTGGCCCGATGGGCGGCATGCAGAACTACGGATTCAACAATCGCGGCAACATGATGGGTGGTGGTATGCGTGGTGGTATGCGCGGCGGTCGTGGTGGAAACGCTATGGGCGGTGGTCCCAATATGATGGGTATGCCCACTATGACTCCTCCTATGGGTGGCATGGGCATGAACCCAATGGCTGGTATGAACCCCATGATGGGCGGTGGCATGGCAGGCGGCATGGGAGGCAACATGCCGATGCAAGGTGAGTGATTCCGATATACTGTCCATTCTTTCGGTTGAATACTGATCTTTTCTAGGACAACAAGGTTTCCAAGGCCCCAACCCCGGATTTAATCAAGGCTACTATAACCCCAACAATCAGGGTGCTGGCTCCGATGGAGGTTCCTGGAACCCTCACGGCGCGAAGCGCAGCCGCCAAGACTAGAACACAACTCGTGTTTGAAGCGCCGTATCAGGGCTTTTCGCTTGGGAACTACGCGCGCGTCATTTGGCTTTAGCGGCATCGCTACTGCCTTTTGCTATGGATCATGATGATTATCAGTGCACGGTGAGCTTTCTTCAGATTGAAGAGGAGATATGATCTTCCATATTCATTTATGGATGCTTTCTCATGCTCGGGGAGGGAATTGCTGCCGAACTGGGAAGGTCGAGGTTGTTTTCACAAGATCATCTTTCTAGTTCTGGTTCTAGCTACTTTTTCGTTTTTCTTTTTCTAAGGTGTATTAGGATATCTCTTCTTTTTTTTTTCAAACTCCATTTTCCAGTTTCTAGGTACAAAGTATGTACGTACATCCAAGTAATTAGCTATGTAGTCAGAGACGACTCGGCGAAATAAGGGCATGGAGATGTAACGTGATCTGACCTCACTTTCACGTCACCCCGTCGTGATTATAGAAGTGATATAGAAGAAGGATCGATGTATCTGCAGGTACGAAGTAGCTGGTACATAGCTGTATGCTCCAGTTATGCGAGGTAATGCAATGCAATACCCCTGCATCAAATACAAATACGTGGTCAACCTTAGTTTGATATCTCTTGCTAAAGGAAGCAGACTGTGCAGACTACGGTCCAGCTCATATAGAGAGAGCGTGTCTTTTTGTGTATGACGAAGACAGACCAGACAGTATACAGCCTGAGGGGGCTGTGCAAGTGAGGCTAATTTTCAACGCTGCACTGAGCAAGGGGTACTTCGTACACCCATTCTTGAGAACCCTATGGTGGCAGTGCAGTTGCCTAGAATCGTGGGAGCAGATTTATAGCCTGCCATTTCTGTGTATGCCCAAATCAGATCAGACAGTACAGCCTGACGGGGCAGTGCAGTAAGGCCAATAATGAATGATGCACCAAGTAAGACGTAGATCGATTCTTCAAAAACCCTAAAGTGGCTATGCGGTTGCCTAGAACTGGGACTAGGAAGAGCTTCATAGCGAGTAAATCCTATTTTCATTGCGGGTCCAATCTTGAAATTCGTAAAATATCATTCAAGTAGTAAATCTCCCATGAACGCGTGACGACATTATGTATCTCCTCAAAGCTTGGTGCCCAGTCGCGCAGTATACAGGCTTGTACAGGAGGATTTTTATGTAAGATATGAGGCAACAATAACAATAGACAACAAGATAGGGAATCTGGCAAGGGAAGGATATGAAAGAAGATGAAAGAAGATGAAAGAAAATGAAAGAATATGTGTAAAATGACCGAAGAGCTTGAAGGTATCAAGCACAAGGGGGAAATACGTATCAATGGGAGCAGAGGAAAGGTTAAGAGGGTGCCTTTAGATGATCAAAAATCGATTCAACCCTTTGCGACCCGCCGACAACCAAGAAACCTTGAGCATGTACAGAATGTAGATAGTTATCAATTCCAGCGCATAGCTGGTGTCAGAAGGGAGTAGGTCGTGGCACGTATCGGCATCCATGCAGCTAGTCCACTGAGCTAACTTCAGTAATATCCACTTGATGTCAAAACCGAGTGACTGGTCTTCCACGTCCTCAGTCCAGTAGAGCTGAAGAGGGATTTCGAAACCGGAAGACGATGTGAGAGTAAGCACTTGGTCAGAATCAAGATCAGAATCGGACTCAGAATCATCGTCGGACATGGTTTCAGAAGTAATTTCGCCAGCCCTTTCCTTGTACTTTGACCGTGCTGCCGATGCGCGAAGTGTGAATAGCTTCACGAAGACTCGCACCCGCGTGCGAAGGGGATGGCTGCTGGATCCACGCTCCGGGGTCATCTGGAATGACATTTCGACTCGTTCGTTTTGTGATAGTTGCAAGCTTGTGTGGGCTTTGTAATGCACGGTGGGTACTATCAGACCGGAAGATTGGCAGGGAGACACCAGTTGGGGGTTTTCTAGAGTGACCGAAGAACTTTTGGTTCTAAAAGCTAGGTCTGTGTGTAGGCCTGGAGCCTCCGGGCCACCGAAGGCTTTTTCTCTCATTTCTTTGGCTTGTCCTTTGATAGAATGCGAGTCATCCGATCTGCCAAGTCCAATGCTGCGAAGTAACCTAGTATCACTTTCGGAAACAAACGACTCTTGAACCTTGCCGCCGAGATCACTCAGGGTTGGGTGGCTTGCGGGGATCGCTGCCACCATCATAAAACTGTCATCGGGGTTTGATGTTCCCATGAATGCGTCGGGCATGCCACCATATGATCGCAGGTCCGCGAATTGCATCATTTCATTGTGATCGTAATAAGTAGATGGCTGAGTGGGCATGTTTTGGGGCATTTCAAAGCTCGCCAATGGGTTAAGGTAGGACTCGTCCAAATTGTAGATGGCAGGAGATGGATCTGGGAGAGCTGGCGCAGGCATAGTTGAGGAAGTTCTACCTTGGATACCACCCCTAGACATGTCACCACATTCGTGGCAACCACGAACCGATTTGCACAGTTGACATGTGGCCATGGGATGTTTGCATCGTCGGCATTTGTTCGGGTCAGGAGCCTTCTCCTTTGTTGGCTCTTTCTGTTTGTCCGACCGCTTGCGCTTGATCGAAGGATTGGATCGTGGCATCCTAGGGTTTTGTGGAGGCTGGGATTGGGGCTGTCCACCGGCTCCTCTGGGGAAGTGAGCCGTTGGTTGAAAAGGCGAGAGAGGCATGTCACCCGCTGAGTGTTCTCCAATGACATTGTTGGGTCTTTGGTTGTAGACGTTGTTGACTTGATCATCAGAAACAGACTGCAATATGGGACCAGGCTGCGCATTGCTCCTGCTCGCGAAGTCTCCAAAGATCGTGCTAGAGTAAGGAGCACTCCCGATCCAGTTATTGAATTGGTTGGACGGTTCTCTGTTCGGATTGCTGGGCCCAGCCACAAAAGGGTTATGACCATTGCCACCTCCACCATTGCCGCCATTGTTGTCATCGCGACGAGACTGATCGCCGTTGGTAGAGGCATTCCCCGAGCCAGGGGAAACAAGACAGTGGTCCCTGATATGTTTGAAAAAGACACGCCAAGAAGGTGTTATGTCGGAACAGATAGGACATTTAGCTGGAGGGGCGTATTTCACTTGCATTGCATCCACATCAGCTCGGGGCACACCGACTCTATTGTGTTTGCGAATAAGATGGTCAAGCATCCTATCCCGCCGGCGGATTCTTACAGTGCAGGGATGCTCATTGCAGAGCCACTCGCACTCGAGTATACCATGCCCAGTCAAGTGTCTCCTAAATACAGCAAATTTTGGATAGATTGTTCTTTGCTTCGGATTACATTGCCAGCATCGGAACAATTCGCTTTCTGGTTCAGCAGATCCATTTGGTGAGATGGGAGGTGCTGGAAGCTTTGTATGAAAGAAGTTTTTGATCGTTTCAAGGTTCTGCAATGCTTGAGGAACTTGCTCAGGACTTGACTGGCCAGAGGTGAGAGCTCTGTAGGCATCAACCACCTGAGACATGACACCATCAAGCGAAGGTTGTAGAGCAAAAGGGTCGGAACTTGGTATCCCCATTGTGGCCCGATCAATCCCCTTCGGAAGCGTTTGGACTGGTTGTGAAGGCTGCAGGGTATTGCTCTCATCTCCTTTATCATCTGCTGCTCTTTGAGTGATGATCGAACTTCCTAGATCCTCTTCTAGGTTTTGAGGGATATTTTCATCCGGAAGGTAATATTTCAGATCGATACCATCCAGATCACTCGCGAATCGCTGTGGAGGTTCCGCCGCTCGGTGATTGAGCTCGGGATTGATCCATCCGGAATCCTGTTGTGGGAGGTCCGAACCCAGACTCGTCCCTTCTGCAGAGGAGTAGTGACATAGATAATCCTGTCCAGGATTAGTACTTTGAAGCTGGGATTTCTGGATGCGTATCAACTCACGTCATTCTCTGTACCAGTCCACCCAGATGAGGTAACGGAGCCAGAAGCTCTACGCCACTGCTCATCATTGAAAGGATAGACCATGATGAACAGATTCCTTGGGAAGGTAAATAATGTCAGAGCAAAGAGAGCAGCCCTTGGAAGTAGGGAGGGGGAGAAAGAGGAATATAAGAATCCCGGAGAGAACCTGACCTTATATGCATAGGCAGTGCTACGTCTGCGCCCCCATTTCTGGGTTTATAAAATGGGTATATTAGATAATCATTGGAATTGAAAAATTACCAATTTACCAGACTAAAGCAATGTAATATACAAAAATAATCCGTTACGAGATGATCGCAAGCAAGCGGAAGAACCCCCGGGTATAACAGTGCCGGGAAGGAGGTACTAGGGTTGCCGCCCAAGCGAACAAGTGAGGCAATCGCGCCGATGTAAACTGGGAAATAAGGCAACCTAGAAGATCTTGGCCTTGAAATTTGGTGGTAGGCGTCATTGTAAAACTGTGGGAGATGAGTGTCAGATCTGGATGCTTATTCTGCAAAATAAATTAAACCAATTCGAAAAAAGATAGAGAAAAGAGAGACAGAAATCAGAAAAAGAAATCTTCTTATCTCCATAGTATCTCGGAGATTATGCGGTTTCCATTGTTCGCGGGGAACGAGGCGGTACTCAAATGAATAATACGAAACCCTTGTACATGGATAGGTACGGAAGGAGAATTTAATTATTAAAGACCTGGTGTGTGGCTTTGGGCTAGCGCAGATCATTTGCAAGTCTCTATTTTGAAAGTACACACAGTCTGAAAATACTCGGGGAAGACGACGACACAAGTACCCCACTAGTATCATGACTGGAGAGGGAGAAAAGAAAAGAAAAAAAGAAAATTACAGGTCAATACTCGTTATGTCGGTAGATCGAATGGATCTATAGACCATGCATGAGCGACAATTGGGAGTGCGTAATCCAAAGGGTGTCAAAACCTCCGACGTGACTTTGATTTCACCCATTTATATCGTATACCAAAGCCAAAAAGTTCATATTCCCTGCCAAACGGTGAAAGTCTCCAGAAATATCGACGAGGGCTTGAGAAGATTAGATGCTTACGTTCGAAACCATCGTTACGAGACACGAAGTCGACAATACATGAAATATGATAGCATGGGTGAAATTTACATTTGAGGGAAAGTGGACAACACCAGAAGTCACCCGCTTATACCCAAATCAAAGGATCATGACATACGGAGACTCCGAAAATACAAAAAAGAAAGGACTGCTGCAATATGGGATCCTATGACGCACGGACTTCTGCCTTGCTGGACAAATGATATTCAACTTTGGAGCCGACCTTGTACATTAAAGTAAATCTATCTTGTTGAGAGAGCAAGAGCGGGTCATCTAACACGGGGCTTTTGAAGCCAGGAGGAAGTGGATAAAAAGACTGAAAATTTACTGGTTACACCCCTGAAAGTGAAGCAAGACTCTCAGACCTTAGAAGCACTGTCAGGGCAATATGGAGAACAAATTTGACGGGCAGGTGATTAAAAACCAAAGCGTATTTACCCGGGATCCTGCTGCAAGGGGACTTCGGAGAAAGCAACCGCCTCTCTCCATGTCCATGAATGGATTATTCATCAATAGGGTTTAGATGAAGCTCTCCTTTGGCTTCTCACCGTTTCCAATAGCAGACCCGATTTCTCCCCCCTTGTTCTAAGACCAATCAACCCGCCTTGTGCTCGGATGACAATCATACCTGTACTTTTGTCTTTTATACGGAGTACTCCGTGCAGGGTTTGCAAAATACTGGGGCAACTGGTGATACTCGCCACTCAACATCCTCGCTTGTTTCTTCACCAGATGTTCGACTTGATCACTAGTTGCTCTGTAATTATTTCAGGCTACAATAAAAATGAAAAGAGCTGTGTAGAATAGGTTGAGACTGGATAATATCCATTCAGTTTTGTTATTACGGTATATGACGCATACGGGTAGAGAGGAAGAAAATAAAATGAAATAAAAAGATTCCTTGTGGTGCAGCAGTACCAGACAATTAGGGATGGAGTGAAGACTGACGTTTCAAGGTTCGGATCAAGTGGAGAACCGGGTTAGACCGAGAGGCTCTCTATCATCTACCGTGGGTCACCGGAGTTGGAATGCAAGGTCGAACGATACTCCAAGTCGTTTCCAGGTAGAAAATTCTTGAAGCCGGAACAATATCCATTGCTCGCTGGGTTGACAAAAATGAATGCCGTAACATGTCCTACAGTACGTCATATATTGCCCGACCACAATCGCCTTGTCTAGATCTGAGAAGAAAAATGAGATCAAAAAGAAATGCAATCTAAATATTGTTTATCTGCTCCACATACGTACAAACCTCGTCCTGTCAGAAAAAAGAAAGAAAAGAAAAAAGAATAACACAGAACAAGACAAAAGGGGGAAGGAAAAGACAAAAAAAAAAAAAAAAAAAAAAAAAACAATCTATGACCAATGACCGGCAAGACACCCCAGAAGCCCCAACCTCGAAACCGTTAGCCAACCTAGCCAAATCTTTCCCATCTAAGAAGTAGCGTCCCAACCAAATAGATGAAACCAATTCTCCGATCTTGTTCGCCACCGAGCTACCCCGTATACCCTTGTACTTTATTCTGAGACAAACTCAATATCAACGAACTCCCATGACCAAAACCTAACTTTGGGGCGAGTAGGCGGCTTTGGCAGGTGACCACGGCTCCGATGAAACGGGCGCCTGCACCCACGCCTCAAGCATTGAGCTTTCAGTCTGCACCTCGGAACTGGAGGCTGGCAAAGATTCCTGCGAAGCGTCGCTTTGGCAGAGAGGAGTAGTCTTTTCAGTAGCGTTGCCGGGGGCTTCGCCCGCGAGAAAGGCAGACGATGAATCTCTGAGAAATATTCAAGGTTAGCAGATAGAACGAGAAGACAGCTGACCCGGTTGCTTAAATGACATCAATGACAACGGGGTTGGAAATTGAGGTTGCCGGGGGTTAGGGGGAGCGCGGGCATTGACGGTGCCAAACTAGGCGACTTACTTATTGGAGCTCATTTTGGCGCTTAAATGCGAAAATTGGCCAGTCAACGGCAGCGGTGAACACCGACTTTGGGGGAGGATAGAATCAAATGGATTGATAGAATTGATAGCTAGGGGAGCAGCTCAATTACAATGCAAGAGTGGATAGTTCAATGACTGCTCGCTCAGATCTTCAAAGAGGTTGCTAGGTGCGCGAGGTGTGAGCCTGAAGAGTGTAAACTTGAAGACTTGGGAGGGAAAGAGGCCAGGATATAAGCCATTTCGAAGAGGATCCAGGGCTTGATCTGGTCATCTCGTTGCCTACAAAATAGCACCCGGGCATGAAGGCTCAACTTGCCTGGGTGGAGGGTCTAGGGTATTTTTTATCTGGCATGGAGGCAGACAAGCTTGGATAGAAGGTATAAGGTGAAGGATCTGCGATCGGATCCACCACACATGTGTAGGCATATTTAAGGGTTTTTTTTGTAGATACCATAGTGCTGATCAACACCCTAGAATTATAGAACTAGAAGCTTAGAGGCTAGTGTATCTCCTATATCTCCCTCTTCTCTTGCGGAAAGGGAATAACGAAGGTGGAGACTGGGGGCCACATAGAGAATCACTTCGTTCACAGAGTCGCCAATAGCATACAAGCTACAAATTAGATAAGTCTGGTCGGGGCCTACTGTCCTTGTATGGGCATTCATTGGGTAAAGGGCCTGCCCAGAGCGTATGTAAAAACTCTTTGGATCATTCCTCCTGTGTCTGCCCTGCCGATCTTACCCCAGTCTGCATGTCTAGACGTCAGGCGCGACACATAGGCATTGCGCGTCTGCTCGGCAATGGCTCTTGTAACAATTTGATTCAAGTGTGAATGATATCTTATCCCAATATAGGAAATGAGAATGCATTCATTGTCCCTGCAATCTTCTTCACCAGACTAGTAGGTGGACCCCTGTTTAAGGTGATGCGTTAGACCTACCCCGGGCGCTCCATGTCATCATCAGCCACAATCTTCAAAGCTCTAGAGCAGTCTGGCTGTTTTCGCCCAAGTCGAGACTCCCATTATTCAGGGTGTTTTGGGTCTATGCATCATACTGTTTACACCGTACAATAACAGGCCCGTCCAGATGCCCAAATCTCACCCTGACCTTCGCCATCACCTTTACGAATCTATTTCCCTTCAATTTCAGAAGTCCATCCCCGGGGTTGTAGAAAGTCGGTGTAGGGGTACACACACACAAGGTAACAATTCTGTCGTGCCCATTTTGGCACGGTGCATTAGACAATATATGTCAGAGTATGTGATCTGTCGATCTATAGACCCGTGGGAGTGGTCCGCCGCCACAGTTTGTAGATTGCGAACGAGGTGGATGATCTTTGAGTCTAAGCCATGCGCAACAGAAGGGAATGTGGGTCACGGAAAGTTCACCCCATTAAAGGAGAATAAACACTTTCGAGAAAATTCCTTACTATTTCGGTATTATCTTGCATATGATTGTTCACATTACGGATTCCTCAAATCAAGCCATTGGGGCTATGTCGCTCACAGAACTTTGTAGTTGGGTTCTTGGTTACGGAACCTGGGCTGCAAGGAGTCCCACACCTTGTACTTCAGGAAAGCAAAGAGTCTCGCCATCTATGCAGATATTGCTATGGGTGAAGGATCCAAGCCACGATTGTCCCTGACTTGTGACAATCTAGGCCGATCGAGGGATATAGTAGTGAGTACGGAGTAAATGATAACGAAACATATATTCTCTCCACTTTACGGCCCCTTTTACGTCATTCGGATTCTGAAACATTAGGGGGTTGGTGTTCGTGGTATCTTGTACTCTGTAAATTGTATCTATTCGACTATCGACCAGCCCTTCCAGAATTTTCGGGGATGGGTCGGGTGCAAAGTCCAGGTGTCTGGCCACATCTTCATTTACCCAACGTGCTCTGCTTGCAACGCAAGGAACACAAACAACCCAATCACCAACCTAGGAAGCCATTACTTTGTAATTCGTATCACCCGGGCGTCCCGAACATAGGATATGAAGATGAACAGGCGAAAATCTTTTACCGTAAGTCCATAGGCAAAAAAAATAAATAGATAAATCAAATCAAATCAGGCGTGGTTTGTTCACCTACTAGATAGGGGGCAACGATAGTCTATCGACGGGACTGGCTACAGACAGCCCAATCACCTCCACAAACAGGGGTCTAAGAGAAACATGAGAATCCTATATGGAGTACTTCGTACAATGCTTGCCAAATGTCGGTCTGTGGATTTTTAGTGTTTGGATCGGATACTTCGCCCACACAACTAAGGTAGTATCTCGGGTTGCGAGTGGTAATACTGGTCAACCGAAAAACAGGAATCGCGCCAAATGGGCGAGTGACCTTGGGTGCACTCGTCGCCTAGGTACAGCAGACTTAAGATGATGCCCAACTTGGGTTCCGGCCGATGTCAGTTCAAGTATGATGGTATGTGATGGAGGCAGTGCAATTAAAGACTGCTGCGCCCATTTAACTATTACCCCGTATCTGCAATGCAACATTGCGGCCCTGGCATTGAAAATTGCACAAAGGTATTGGGAGCATGTATGTCATCAAGTCTTTCCTTTCTTTCTCTTTTTTTTTTTTTATATTTTTTTTGCTGTGCCACACTTGTACAAATCGAAAAAACGGTATTATCTCGGCGGTGAGCTGGGAGCTGTGGTTGAGAAAGGCCCGTACCGTGACGCAAGTACATGGCACTGCCAGGAAGGCTGAAATGTCGGGAGTGCGGAAAAGAATGCGAATGAGATGAAACGCGAGGCAAGCTAGATTGTACCGATCCAAGGAGATCACGGTCAAAGTGTATAACACGCAGATCTGATCAAGTTCATTCGGTGCAATACCTAATCTTCTGGAGGCCGCATTTCTAGCTAATCTGCTTCGGATAGTTCAGATCAAGGTCGAGAACGTATCATACTTGGAGATCTGAACTTGAGATCTGAACTTCGCGCATGCGGATAGTAAAGTAAACCGGTCGTTGTACTGCTGAATGATGTGACGAGGATAGCAGATTGTGAAGTGATCACCGCCACACCGTAGTATCAATCATCATTCGAGATAATTAGAACTCGTACGTACCCTTTAAAATTAGTTTCCGAGGTAAACCATTGGTGAAGACTTGAAATAGGAGCCTTGCTTGGTCAGAATACAAGTGGCACCGGGCATGGGTGACCGATCAAAACCAAAAGCGAGGAAGAACAGAACTACGAGCGCAGGTCTAGGACAGGAGATCGAATCTTGAGCTATGCCGGACCGGGAAAATTGTTGACATGAACTCGGAAATTTTTTGATTTTGTTTCATTCAAGGGAATCTATGCACAGGCGAGAGATGTGCCAGGGCATCCGAAACCCTTTGCGCTTCGTCTCATGTATCAAAGTCCATTTCAGTCTAGGCAAAAATGGAGCGAAAACCCAGTAAACACCTAACAACCGCACACACCGTTCCAATTCGATAACGAGCCCTTTAAATGTGGGTATCGTAGGCGATGGGGACAACGGTCTCGGGGGCGTTGCCAGCCTGCTTGACGAAGTGGGCCTCGCGGGGGCCAACAGCCTGGCGCTTCAGGTGAACGTGGACACCCTTCTCCTTGGCCTCACGCTTCTTGATGGCGTTCTCCTTGACACGCTTGATGAAGTCCTCACGGGAGCGGGAGTGCTGGACGTGCTCAATGCGGACGCTGATGCGCTTCTCGAGGTAGCGGTTGTCGACCTTCTTGTAGAGGATGACACCGACGGCGGACTTGGTGACGTTGTAGACGACACCGGTCTTACCGTGGTAGACCTTGTGGGGCATACTGATCAACTGTTAGATTCTCGTCCCGTCTTCCCAATTTCGCGTTGCCCGTGGTGTGTGATCGCAGTGGACGGCCACTGCTATCGAGCAAGAGCGTGGGGAGAAAAGTTCGGAATTGTACTGACCCCTTCTGGACGGCACCGTTGACCTTGAGATCGACAATATCACCAACACTAAAAATATCCGTTAGATTTCAATTCTTGTCGTTTCTTTTCGAGGTTCGATGGTTTTGAGCGTACCGGTAGGTCTTCATGTAGGTAGAGAGGCGGATCATACCGGCCTCCTTGAAGCCACGGCTGAAGGCATACTGTTCATCATTTCGTTAGCACTTATCCTCCCTGAGGCCCAAGGGCGTATTCGGTTGCTCCAGATCGTGGTTCCAGTATGAAAAAAAAAAAGACGTGTGTCGCAGAGGGAATCAAAACGTACCCGAGTGCCGGCGCGCAGACCGTACGAGTGAGGCATGACGGCGGTGTTGTGGTTGGTGCTGGTGGTTAATTGTCGACGGGGCCTTCAACACGAAAAAACGAGAGTGTCAGTTAACAATTTGTGGGATGGGTGACTAATCATCGCTAAAAGAAAGCCCACTACACCGCTTTAGGTTTAGTTGGTGTACCCTATATTGGGTTAGCGCGATAATTATTCTTTGACCAATCAAAGCTTGCATTGCCTCGAGCCCTTCGTCGACTTCGAGGTTGTTGCGTAAACACGAGTCCTTTATTCTCCCTCCCTTTTTATATCTGTATCATACCATGGGGAAAAACTGTATTTCAAGTTCATTAACTTCGACCTCCATTTTATTTCAAGTCTATTCTCATGGTGATTTAGGCAGTAGCTACAAGAACGATCGGAAACAGCGGACATCTAAGTGGTGATGTCGGTGCTAGCCGAGGGGACGATGAGATTATTTGATCATATCACAGAGCTCTGCCACTGCAAGATCTTGTAAGCAGAGTGGCTTATTACCTCTAAGGTTCATGCGGTGATTCTCCATCCTTTTCCCCCGCAGACTCAGCGTTCGATGTCGCCATACACCGGCTTAACTTACCCTTGTCATCCTCGACATTCAGTGATATCAACACCCCCTGGAACCCACAGTCATAGCTCTAGGGCTTCAGAGCTCGAAGTACCAAAGGAAGCCTCAACAATAATACACTCAAACGTTGGATAGGTACGGATGTCAGGTGGCAATGCAATACAATGAACCAATGATAACCACTGAATTCTCCCCTGAGACCTGCTCAAGCAGCTACTACCCTTGGATCCGTTCCAGTGTATAGAATCTAACACAACTCACATGGGCTGAGCATCAGGGAACAGACTGTTATTCTTCGCTAGATAAACTAAATCTACAGTGAGCACTAAACCAGCGTGCTGGGGAAACCAGCGTGCTGGGGAAAACAGCTCCTGCCCATTGATTGCGATCGGCCGAAATGGTTTAAGACGACTCAAATGGCCTGATTGTCTTGGACTCCTATACCCTCCGCCTTGTTGGTATATTGTAGTGTAATAAACCATCATATAATTTCCGGTTTTGATGATTTGCCTAATGCAACATGAGGTCCCAAGTTAGAGCGATGCTTGAAAGTGTCACGACTTCCACGCTGCAATATCCAAGATAAAGGATTGTCATGTTGAGATCGAGTAGTTCGCACAGAGAACACAAAAGAATAGCTACAAATGACCATGCCTAGTTGATTGAAGGGCCGACAATCCTCAATAATGTTGCTCAAGAGTGGAACCCATCGATGGATCCCGCAGAGTCTCAAAAGTCAATGCTTACATAATCAATATTTCCCTTTTCGGACTAGCCCCTTAGGGCTCGCATCGCGCACACTCAAATTCTCAATTCGTCCTTGACCCTTCGACCTCCCGTCGACAACCTCCGCCCATCTAACCGCAGCTATGGCCCCGTGAGTATATCAACAAAATTGAAGGCATTGCAACATTCTAATCAGTTTCTGTGCAGTCGCGTTTCCTCCAAGACCTACAAGGTCCCCCGTCGCCGTAAGTGAATTCTGACGAAATTATCAATTTGGATATTTGAAGGCTAACTCTTCATCACAGCCTTCGAGTCGGCCCGTCTGTTAGTACCCTCCGGCCACTAACCAGAAGCGTGCTTCTGGTTATGTCGTTTTCATAATTCCTAACATTTTTCAATAGTGATGCTGAACTCAAGACTGTCGGCGAGTTCGGCCTGCGCAACAAGCGCGAGGTGTGGCGTGTCCAGCTCACCCTCTCTAAGATCCGTCGTGCTGCTCGGTATGTGCCAAGGAACAATCTGTGATTATGCAAGGTTTCGAGCGATCGGGTCAATGCATATCAAATATGGTGGACATGGCGCTAATCTTTCATCTTTCCCACAGTGAGCTCCTCACTCTCGATGAGAAGGACCCCAAGCGTCTCTTCGAAGGCAACGCCCTCATTCGCCGTCTTGTCCGCATCGGTGTGCTCGATGAGTCCCGCATGAAGCTCGATTACGTCCTTGCCCTCAAGGCCGATGATTTCCTCGAGCGCCGTCTCCAGACCTGCGTCTACAAGCTTGGCCTCGCCAAGTCTATCCACCACGCCCGTGTCCTGATCAAGCAGCGTCACATCCGCGTCGGAAAGCAGATCGTCAACGTTCCCTCGTTCATGGTCCGTCTCGACTCCCAGAAGCACATCGACTTCTCTCTCACCTCTCCCTTCGGTGGTGGCCGTCCCGGCCGTGTTCGCCGCAAGAAGGCCGCTGCCGCCGCCGGTGGTGAGGAGGCCGAGGAGGAGGATGAGGAGTAAATCATTCCCAATATTCCCCAAAAAATGGAGTACGGTCGGGTTTCGCTTGGGGCGCCTTCATACCATGGAGGTTCAAAATGACTGCAGCATAGCGTCTCATGTTATACGATCATGCAATACAAATGAATCAAAACAGCCGAAAGGCTTCAATTTGGAACCCGATTTAATCAATTCAATTCTTATGCTTTCGAAATTACAGCCTTGGAAGATCCAAGGACCCATATATATACAGTAGATCCCAAACGCCATTTCCCGATCCCCACCCACTAGATAAGCTCAACCGTTCGTCCCTCGTGGCATCGTACACAAGTCTAGGCTTGGCCTGCAGACTATCATGTCTGTGTGGTCCCCACCAATTCTTTCAAGATCTCTTCTGCCCCCCTGTACCAACGACCCATCTCTTCTAGTCCATCACTTTCACCCTTTTGCTTCTTGCGTTGGGCTTCACGGGCTTGCGCGATCGCATCTGACTTCCGTCGCTCCAGCACGCTGCGCTCTCTCTCTATTGCCTCAGCCTCTCGAGTCTTCCGAGGCAATGTGTTGTGCATAGTAGCCAGCTGGCGATTCAATGTTGCCAGTTCGGCCTCACGTTCCGCCAACAGTGCCAAGGTCGCGGGAAGAGGAAGATTCTGTGACGAGGAAGTATTGTTAGAATTGGAAGGATCCATGGTGGCTATTTGCTTGGCGCGGAGCTCGGCGATGGTGGACTCGAGATTCTCGATTGAAGCAGGTAGCGTTGAAAGCTGTGTAGTTTGAAGTTCGACATTTTTGTAACCTGTAGCCGCGGCAAACGCTTCAGTCAAAATGCTGGTCGTCCACGGGTCAGTGGCCACTCACGGCTTGCCAGGTCACGGCCCATTAGCTCCATTTCCTCAATCATAATCCGTGCGTCTTCTTTCCGTGCTTTGAGCTCGGCTTTCACGTCGGCTAGTTGCGTCTCTAGTTCCATGTTCTCATTGTGTCCGACAATCACAGGCGGGTCGCCAACAATGGCGCGCAAGAATTTTTCTTTCGTTACTTGCTCGAGGTAGGAGAATCGCAGCTTGGAAAATAGTTCCTATGCGAAGAAGAAATCAGCCTTTGCTGGTTTGGACAACGGGCATTCGCGGTATTCGGGCTCGTCGCGCGGACCTTGTAGTGTGAAAGATCGGCCTCCAACGAGGCCGGGGTAGGATCATCGAACTTGGAGACAGAAACATCAGAGGTTCGCTTTGAGGGAGATGGGTAAGATCCTCCAACTTCGGTGGAAATTGGCTCGCTAATGCGAATAATCGCGAGTCGTTTCTTCAGGTCGCCACTCTCTTCAAGCTGCCGAAGTGCCGCAAGGGCTTCAGATGACGAGTTTGCCATATTTGCAAGGCCTGGTTATCGAGAGCCTGGCTGTGAAAGAAAAACCAACGAGGTTTGCGATTGCTAGAGAGCTTGGAGGGGTCGAATCCACCTGCGGGCATACAGTAAATAGATATCAAAGGCGGTCAGTCCAACTTTTGGAAGGCGCTTTGGACTTCGCCTCTTGGTTCTCTTTCAACTAAAAAGGATTTCGCCTTTGTTTCATTCTAGAATGATCTCCTGCTGTACATAATTGCTCCTTGTTTGCATCCCTCGCCCTGCTCGGCGTACTCTTTCCACATCCTCGGAGTGCTGCGATCTGCGGCTCACTTGGATCATGGACGACGATTATGTTGCACAGCTCCTGGCCAAGGAGGCCAAGGAGAGTTCTATAAAATACGCGTCCCAAGGACTAAGTGCTTTCATGCCCTCAAGGTTGGTTTAGCCTCATAGTATGCGGTTTGTATAGGTACAAGACTGACAAACACCTGCAGGCCGACAAGCAATGCCCCAAAACCCAATACTCGCTTCCTACGAAATCTCATCAAAGTAACAGACAATCATAACACCGCTCTCAAGCTCAAGGAAGAAAGAGAAGCACGGGAGCGCATGCGCCAGCTGAAATATCAGGCCTCAGGTGCTTCGGGTGCTTTGGCTCCGACTTCGACAGACCGTTCTTCCAAACGACATGATGGTCGTGAAGTTCGAGGATCAAGAGACCACCGGAGAGGAGATCGGGAAGATCGCCATCTCTCACACCGAAAAAGAACACGAAGTCGCTCCCCCTTGGAGGAACGGGACCGGTCGCGGAGGCATCGACGAACAAACGAAAAATACGACGGAGCTGGAGAGAAAGACAGAGACCGTCATGAACATCGGCGCGAACATCGGGGTCACGAGTCATCTAGGAGAGATCGACGGCGTGGAGATAAGGAACATACCAGGCGGCGACGTGATCGGTCATATTCAAGGTCTCCCAGCCGTTCTCCGCACAGGGACCGAAGTATCGACCGCCATCGCCATCGAAGACAAAAACGTGATTCTGGACCTCGCTCCCTTTCCCGTTCCCGCTCACCGGAGTCGTACAAATCTCGGCGATCAAAGCGGGAAGATGCATCGCCGCATGGCTCCCTTCGTTCTCGCCTTGAACCCAACACGCGGCATAGACGAGTGTCGCCATTGTCTACTATAACCGCACGTCAAAATGAGTCCGGCAACGAATCCGATCCCCTAGAAGACCTTGTCGGACCACTCCCTCCTCGACAAAACGAGGCACCTATCCGCTCGCGCGGGCGAGGCGCTTATAAACACAATATGAGCAATATCGATGCTCATTTTGCACCCGGCTATGACCCGGCTACCGATGTGCATCTAGAAGAAGACAAATTACACTCCCTGGGCCAGGAATCCTCCCGTCGTCCTGTTGCGGGGCTCATGACGAAAGACGATGACTGGGATATGGCAATGGAGGCGCTGCGCGATCGTGAGCGCTGGAGAAATAAAGGCGAAGAGAGGCTACGTACAGCAGGAATTGACGAGGCGGTCATTGATAAATGGAAAAATAACACCGCTTTTGCGGGCGTGGACGGAGAAGGCAACCCGGAGGATGTACAATGGTCGAAGAAGGGTGAAGGACGGGAATGGGATCGCGGCAAGTTTGTGGATGACGATGGTCATATTGACATTCGGGCTGCTTGGTAGTGTTTCTTGCTGGACTTTTCCATCACTGGCGTTCTAGGACTGTGCTATGGGTGATACCAAGGTGCATATCATATCTTTCCATTATTTCTTGGTCTTTATTTCATTCATTGATATTTTGACCTTTCTTGCCTATATATCATAATTACAAACATTAAATTCTTTCAATAATTCGATGTTATATAGCCATTGCCTTTGGGTGGAGGTATATATATTTCTCCGTAGGCTAGTATTGAATCCCAGAACGAGAGCGATTGATTTCGGCGATAAATATTATCAAATAAGGGCCTTGTCTGGCAACAAAATAAAAATTCATACTAGCTATGTTGTATAGTCACCAAATAGTGCAGTGTACAATTGTCCATCGAAGTACGGAGTCGATCTCGACCCGGCCTGTTCCGCGGCTTTGTCAGAGTGCGGAAACTCCCCCGTTGATGATGATACTTCAAGTTGAACTGACGAAATTTTTTGATAAAGTCAATGCTTACTAGATATACTTGTCTTGTCCTTGACTCAATTTGTACTGATTTACAAACCCGCTGACCAACCCAAGTTGTACTCCTACATATCTACCTACAGTCTTGCACCTATCTTTTTACATTCATTACTGCTCTCTTCTCTTATCCAATAACAAAAATCTACTCATAATGACAGACGCATTTGCCTTCTCATATCCATCTCCGTTAGCGGGATACGAGAACCTAGAGCCGTTATCCGAGTAAGTATCTCATACAAACATATCGGACTCAAGACACTTATCCTCTGTTGCAGCGAGCGAGCCGAAGACGGCAAGTCATTGAAGAACCCTCAGCATGGCGTATTAAGCAAAGCCTACTCGGAATTTCCCGACCCTCTTTCCAAAGGCCGGGAGGGAGGATTCGACATTCACATCTATCATTTCCAGGTAGGTCGCGCCACCATCCACCTCGCACGACAAAGTCAAATTACAATGAAACTGACCCATCGACCAGAACAACCCTGATCAAGCCGCATACGCCAAAGCGCTCCATGAAAGAGTTAGACGAGAATGTGAGCCGCGCACTCTTTTAATCCAGGAACTGCATCGCCTGGCCGCCCACTGCGGGGTTCAGTCCTCCATCTCAATTGATCTCTTGCTTACACTTGAACAGTTCCCGAGCTTCGAATCTATACTTTCTGGGACCGGCCTATTGGCCCGCACCCGGTGGCAATGTTCGAAGTAAATTTGTTCACGCCCGCGCAGTTTGGAGCCTTTATTCCCTGGTTGGTTATCAACCGGGGACCGCTTAGCGCTCTCATTCATCCCAATACAGTGGCATCAGAGGATGAGCGAAATCACACCCAACGCGCGACTTGGCTTGGTGATCGGATTCCGTTGGATTTGAGACTTTTTAAGCTGATGAAGGCGAAGCAGGAAAACCTGTAGGATCAATGGATTGTTCTAGCAAAGTATAAATGCCATTCAATGAATATTTATCAAGAGACAAGGCCAATTCAATGCACAGTATGTACGTACTATTTACATATTTCTTCTTGGCATCCACAAGCAAGCACGGCCACATTCCACTAAATGGATAGTATTTATCAACGGACCGGAGAAGAAAACGCTTTCAAATACATACCAGTAATCATTTCGACTCTAACCATTATCTTATGATCAGTAACAGATGAGCTGTTGATATCCAAAGTCGCTTCTTTGTTGTCCGAGATGCTTCATAGCCAAGTTTCATGGCATGGCGAAGATTAACCATGCTAGCTTATCATATGAAGCGTGAAAAAAATAGATATACATAAGTAGAGAAGATTCAATAAAGTCGAAGTCGCATTCTTGCACGCATGTAGTCAATTTAAAGAACCCCGAAGCTTTTTAGTGAGTGGATTTCAGATTACACACCCTATGGTGGACTACTTTATCCCATCTTAAGCCCCGAGAATATTTCACGACAAGCGGCCATCGAGGTGAAGAGAATTTGGCCACCACAGCGTGTGATGTTGAGGAATGTCAACGGCTGGTGCAGATGATGATACTGGTGAATCCCACCGTTCTATACAGATAAGCCGAGGAGCGCCATGGGCACATCAGGGTCTCCAAGACAGATAAGTGTTACAACTAACAATATCCACAGAAAGGCTATATCACTGCAACTAAATCAATTTAGTTCGATGCCAGTCCGAACTTTGTCATGAGGGCTTCGCGGGCATGTGACATCGTCAGCAAATGAAGCAATAGAGCAATGATCTTCAGCCATGAGATGTGATATGCAGATCGCATCATTATCATGACCAAGAAATACTGTATTGCGACTCTTTATATGTACTGCTACTAATGCACCCACCTGTTCATGCGGCACCCGGCACAGGGCTCGCATTCCTCAGGGTTGCATACTGCATACTTTACCCCGGGGGATAAAGGAGATAGATAGGGCATACATACCCAAAGAATCCCACCCTACTATACAGGAAACGCCACCTGAGTACCCCTTAGATTGTCCACGGCCTCGCTGTCTTGTCCGAGTTTGAACATCTGAGTCGAGGTGCTGTGATCTGCTGCTCAGAACACTGGCATGATCCCCGCCAAGAAGACCACTCACCCCGAGGGATCCATGGCATCGCTAGAATATCAAAAGACCTTGTGATTATGAACTTATATCACTTGCAATTTCATTTAACTGCTTCTCGCCCCACGGTATGTCTTTGAATCCCATGCCCATGAGAAGTCATGCTGATAAACCTTGAGGTTAAACATCGGTATCAGTTAGCAAGGTTCGATTATTTTCCTCAAAGGAATTAAAAGACAGCTTTCCGCTCTCCAGTTCTCGAGAATAGCCACATAAGATGCGTCTTTTTATATCGTTGGCACTGGCTGGTCTATCGACCCCAGTCTGGGCATCGCTCAACGACAGGGCCACATCTGACGTCCCGCCTTATGTCTTGGAATATGGTAAACTCTCTGATATATGTATTTTTAACCCCTGCTTACTTTTTTTATAGCACCCTTGGTCTGGCTCCACAGCCAGGAAACATACATGCCGAGTGATATCCAGCAGCAGCTCGATCATACCAAGCCCAATGTGAACTGGACGGTCATCGAGGGAGTGCAGTCACCACTCAACCTCAACAACCTTGACACACTCAATTCCCTGGGTAATACAAGCGTCTATTTGACCTCGCTAGAGGGCATCGAAGCCAATCCTGAGCCAGCCTGGTTCCGGGGTATTAGACCAGACTCACAGGGACGAACCAGTAATGGTACAGGGAGTGTCATTATTATCGCAGATCGCAGCAATGGAACCGTTGATGCATTCTACTTTTACTTTTATGCGTGAGTCCGGCTGTGTGGTGGGTTTGCATCTGTACTGACTTGATATCAGATTCAACAAAGGCAGCAAGGTACTGGGCCTGGAATTCGGCGACCATATCGGAGACTGGTTAGTGAAGAACAACTGGAGAGAGTGGTTCTGGCTAAAAGATAAAAAAACAGGGAACACAACATGATCCGCTTCGTCAATGGCGAACCCAAAGAAATATGGTATAGCCAGCATGCCAGTGGACAGGCATTTACCTACGCTGCTGTCGAAAAGAAGGACAAGCGGCCGTATGTGTACTCCGCGAGAGGCACGCATGCTAACTACGCAATTGCAGGGTGAGTTCAACTACTTTCCAAGATTTGTTGCAGGTCAATACTGACAGACACCTAGAAACCACGACCACACCATCCCAGGCTTCAACCTTCCTGCAGGCTTTCTGATGGACTATACAGACCGCGGCATATTATGGGATCCCATGCTTAATGCCTACACTTATACCTACGACAAAACAACTGCTGCGTTCAAGGCTGTGAACTCCGAAGACCCGGTAGCGTGGTTGGATTTCAATGGGAGGTGGGGTGACGATCAGCCGCCTAATGAGCCCGAGATATTTGGCCAGGCCAAAAACGTTGGTGGTCCAAATGGTCCTAAGTTCAAGAGCTTGGATAGACAGAAGGTGTGTCCTTCCAACTCGTGCTTTGTGCTTCCGATTCGGACTTTCTCTGGGAAGGCTTCGTGAGGGGTGGGAGAGGATTCGGGGGTTTGTGGTGGATCTGGGGTATATTGGATTGATGATAGTATAGGAGCACATATGTAGTTTCGGTATATACGGATCAGAGTGAAAAGACAATTATCTAGATTGAGAGACTGTTTCTCGACCTGGTGGTATGAGTAAACATCAAAATGTGATGCCTCAGTTTCGCCCAAGCTTCAGCTCTGCCGAACAATCAAAAGTGAAGAACACAATAACGGTTCCCGGACCAATTGAAGGGACTTATGTTCCTCCCAATACTCCGTACTCCGGGTCTCTTTTGCCGTCAAAGATGTTGGAGTTCCTGCAAGGGCAATCCACTCCACTTTTGATCCACTCATTTATTTTTTTTTCGTGGAAACGTGAGAAATTTAGGGGGTGCAATATGGAGTATAAAGTACGGAGTACGGAGCGCTACGAGGAAAACAATACGTAGCCTCACGTACACTATACGGTACAATGCATACAACATAAGGCAAAGACTTGAATCCCCAGGAAATAGTTCGCATCCAGGGGTTCCAGTTCCAATTCCGCCCCACCCCCATGACCTCTCGTGTTTGGGCTGAGATCTTAAATTATGGTGTTTCAGAATATGATCTAGCTCAAATTGGAGCCCAGGTGGCTAGGTTTCGATATGGTTATTAACGGCGTACTTAGTTTGATTATGTGCATTAGATTGGAGCAATCGTTCTGGAGCCGAAGGCTTTTGCCCTAGGGACAAGAGTGGTTAGTCTTTACTGCGTAGGTGTCCCGTTTCAGCTGAGGTCCCATTGGATCATATAGTGTTCTCTTTCCTGTTTTCCTCCCTATCCGGTTACAATATTTCTCATTCGAAATATCAGATGTTTTCCAAGTGAAGTGGAGCCCTAAACGGCCCCTGGTGCACGAGCCACGCGATGGGAAGAACGTGCTTTTGACGAGGAATTCACTGTGATACATTCCCTTCTACGGTGATTCCCCCACGATCATTGGAGAGTTCCAACATCCCGTCTGGTGTTAGCTTCAGTTGGCGTCGGACGAACCGGCATTCAATGACCATACAAAATAAGACCGAAGCTCCCTAAGTGGAGAACGCTCTGGACCGATATTTTACCCCTGAATGGCCTTTTTCAGGTTATGGTCTCTATATTGATTGTCCCCTTAGTACTCTATAGTGAAATTAAATCTTCCCGTTCCTTTCTCTTTCATCTTTCTCCAAGCGCCGCTGTTGCTGGACGCTGTGAGCAGGCCCTATTTGCAATTCAGAAAAAAAAAAACAAAACCACGCAAAAAAAAAAAGGAACTTTGAAGTTGGAACTTTGTTCAAGTCCTAATTTCAATCAATTTCCCCCTCTTCACCCACTGGCTGGGAGCTTTTGTATTGTGTTGATTCCACTCTCGCTTATCCTTTCATTTCTATCGCAAACGCTGTTTCTGAGAAACACGATACACCACGGGATTGGCAGACAATTAGATTGAATTCCACCGTCTAGTTTCAGAGCAGTTTCGAATCGCTCCATACCGGATCTAAGCTGCACTCTTAGCGCTGTTGAACTCCGATATATCTCGTTTTATTGGTGAGTGGTACAAGGTCCCATACCCCTGTGGGGTGCAATGTCCCTGTCGATAGAGCAGGCCAAGGCAAAGGAAAGGAGAGAAAGGGGAAATGGAAGAAGAGGAAGAAAAGGAAGAAAAGGAAGAAAAGGAAGAAAGAAGACTAATCAGGAAAGAATAGACAAACCCCATCCCAAAATGGCATCCACGCGCCTGGCACCTGAAACGGACATCAACCGTCGTACCTCCCTCGGCTTTCTTCGTCGTTCTAAATCCACCGAACCCCTAGGCGATAAATCTGCTCGCAGGAAGATGTCTAAAACTCAAGTGGAAGATGAAATGCGTCGTCAGCGCGAGTCTTACGCCCCTAAAGTTCCTCCCCGCTTGCCTGATCTTTCTCCCGCCCCGCAACTGGAAACGTTTGGAGGGGAGGAACGTGATAAGATCCCCGAACCAATTCCACGTCCCCAATCTGGAGTGACCGCCTCTATGGCTGCATCAAATGTCGATCCTTATGCACGCACGGAGAGCATGACCCATCGTGGTCGGTATAGCTATGCTAGTAGTGCTATGAGCACTGTGAACAGCCCTCGCCGCGTGCGCCGTCGAAAGGATCCCACTTCATACAAGTGAGTTGGCGTTGTGACATCACCAAAATAAAGCTAACAAAACGTGTTTAGTGTGCTGGTCATTGGTGCTCGTAACTCGGGCAAGACATCTTTCCTCAACTTCCTCCGTAGTGCTCTGACGATGCCCGCCCATAAGCACCCGTCGCGCACCCCCGAGGAGGTCGAAGAGCTCGAGCGTCAAACCTCGGCTTGGGAAGGATTCACGTCGCAATACTTGGAAACGGAGTTTGATGGCGAACGTGTCGGACTTACCCTGTGGGACTCTGTAGGTCTGGAGCGGAACATCGCAGATCTGCAGCTGCGTGGCGTGACAGGCTTCCTGGAAAGCAAGTTTGAGGAGACCCTTGCCGAAGAGATGAAGGTTATTCGCTCCCCCGGTGCTCGTGATACCCACATTCATTGCACTTTCCTGCTGCTGGATCCTGTGCGTCTTGATGAAAACATCGCCATGGCGGAGCGTGCTGCCAATGGTACGTCCAAGCCCACCGATGCGCCTGTGGTTGGCATTCTAGACCAGAATCTGGATCTGCAGGTATTGCGCACGGTGTTGGGCAAGACCACTGTCGTGCCGGTGATCAGCAAGGCGGATACCATCACTTCTGCCCACATGAGCTATCTCCGCAAGGCGGTCTGGAACAGCTTGAAGCAGGCTAATATCGACCCCCTTGAAATCTTGACATTGGAGGACCAGGAGGAAGAATACTCCTCGTCGGAAAGTGCGGATGAAGAGGAAATCGTGGACCTTGAGAGCAAACCCGAGTCGACTGAGAATGGAAATACCGAAGCTGATGCCCCCGGATCGCCATCGCAGCTCAGCGAGGGCACTCGCAGGTCCACCGCGTCGCAGGCCGCCAACCAGCACGTTCCATTCTCGATCCTATCTCCCGATCCTCATTCCCTGGCCGCTGGAGACCAACCAGTCGGTCGCCGATTCCCCTGGGGATTTGCTGACCCATATGATGCCGAGCATTGTGACTTTGTTCGTCTGAAGGACTCCGTCTTTTCCGATTGGCGTTCCGAGCTGCGGGAGGCTAGCCGTGTGGTCTGGTATGAGCGCTGGAGAACCAACCGCCTCAACCGCAACGGACAGCCGGCGCCCCAGAAGCAAACCTACGGTGGTCGCCAAGGGCCTCATGATGGTCGTCGTACGCGATGAAGCTCTTTATTCTGTTCGCATAGCTTTCTCTTCCCGCACATACCCCCATTCTTCGCGGCCAGGCACCTCGCAAGGCTTCTTTTATGTCATACCTTACCTTCTTTCCTTTCTACAAAATGTTTCGAAATCCGGAACCTGTACTAGTGCTGTTCATCTATTGTTTGCACAGTAATTTGATTATCTTGAATAATTCCAAGCCAGTATGTTGTAATCGTAATGTACTTGGCCCCTTGGCAATCTTACATGCGCATTGGCCAAAAGTCCGCGGCTGAAGGGCGCTATCACCGACGATCGTGACTGCAGCTGTAAGCCAATAAGAGTTAGCCCTTCTACAGCCCTGGAGGAAGTGAAGAATCACTAGCTATAAGGCGGCCCCGATAAATACGAGGTATAAACTTCTCGCTTTGTCTTTTTCCTTTTCTTTCTCAATTCACCTTGCACGGAGAGAAAGGGCTTCATATCTAGTAGAATGGCCTAGTGGACACGATCACACAAAGAATCAAGTCCAACTCTCTGTGTGACCAAAAAAGACCTCGCCTCAGAAGAGAATAAACCCGCTGAAACTCCGAATATCAGATCAGATCAAATCAGACGTTGATTGAACAAATGTCACTCCAAGTGAATGACCCACGGTCGCGAACCAGATCCAAATCTCCTGGTCGCGAGCGCTCCCGGTCGCGCGACAGCCGAGTTTCCCACCGCTCACATTCACCAGCCGTCGAAGCTCCTAGAACGAAAGGCTACAATCCCGAAGAAGAAGCCGAAATCGAGCGCCAATACAAACTCATCAGTGAGGAACGTCGTCGCGAAACTGACGAACCCCGCCTCCTTGCCTCGCGTGCCCCAAGAAGCCCCGCCCGCTACGACGTGAATCGCTCCGACTCGGACTCCGAGTCGAGACGTCGCGGAGCAGACAGCTCACGACGCCGTCGCGATGATCGCTACGAACATTCGGATTCGGAGCGCGGCTCTGCTGCAGCATCTTCGCGGTCGCATCGACGACGACCCTCGCCAGACCGCGGGAGTCGCGTGAACCACGACTCCGACTCCGCCGATGATTTAGCTTACGGCGACGCCCCAGGCAATCATCCCAGCTATGCGCGTCCGAATCGGTACAGCTATACCCAACCCACGCAGTTCGCGCCCACTGCACCGCGACCGGGATACCCCGCCGCGCCGATCGACTGGGCCTCTGTACCGGAATGTGAACGTCCTGGATACGTGCCGCCTTCATCACAGCCCACGGGCCCAGCTACTATGCCCGGCGCGTTTCCTGCGGTTTCGGGCTACCCTCCTAGCTCGGGGTCTGTGCCGGCGCCTGTGATTGCATCGCAGTATCCTGGGTTCCCCCAACAGGCGTATGCGACGAGTGCTGGTTATGCGCCTGCGCATTATCGTACGGCCTCCGCTACTGATACTGGCTACCCGCTAGCGGCGGGATATGCGAATCCCGGTGTGTACCAGTACGCCCAGGTTGATCCTAATGTGAAGTATACTTCAAAGACGGAGAAGCCGGCGTCGGCATATGCTGCTCCTACGCATGAGCAGTACTCCAGGCCGCTGCCTCAACAATTGCAGAATCAATATTACCCGCAATCGCAGCAGAAGCCACCACAGCCGCCGCCGCAAACTCCAGACCAGTCGCATCGGCATAAAAACGAGCCTGAATTTGTGGAGATCGCGCCTGGTGGAAGTCGGTCGAGTGCTCGTCCGCACAGTCAGTCTGTGTCTTCGAATACCCTCGCAGTTGCCGGAGCCAGTGCAGCTCATTCGGCTCACCCCCCCGGCTAGCCCACTGCTGGAGCCGTATCGTGGCACTTACCAATCCATGTCACCCATGCCATCCCCGATCGTCATCCCCTCCATCCGCGACGATGACATCTCAGACCTGGAACCCCTCGACGGCGGAAACTCCGCCTCGGACTCAAGCCGACGCAGCAAGCATCACCGCTCCCACTCATCCATCAGCCGCAGCAGCAAAGACAAGAAAGACAGTCGCGATGACCGCACTGATAAACGTCTCGCCCGCCCCGGCCATGATCGCCACGACTCAAGCTCCTCTATGCCCGATGCAAAAATCCTCGTCTCCCCAACAACCGGCCGCAAACGGGTCTCATTCTATGACGCTGGCCCAGACGCCGAGGCCATGCAATCCGCCCTAAAACCACACACGCAACATAGACAGCAAACCCATCATCCAAATCCTACCCCGACTATCAAACGACGAGATCATTCTCCTTCGCGCAGAATACAAATCTCGCGTCCGAATGCAAGGAAAAGGTATCAACCTCGCCAAACACCTCCGTCTTAAACTGGGCAGTTCCTCCTTCGCAAAAGTCTGCTACGCAACAGCCCTCGGTCGCTGGGAATCAGAAGCCTATTGGGCAAACTGCTATTACCAGGCCGGGACATCGCGTCGCGAACTCCTAATCGAGTCCCTGATGGGAAGATCGAATGCCGCGATTCGTGAAATCAAAAACTCTTTCCGTGATACCAGATACGATAATAGTCTCGAGCGCTGTATGCGCTCCGAGCTGCGCGCAGACAAATTCCGTGTTGCCATTCTCCTTGCGCTTGAGGGCCAGCGACAAGATGATCGTGAGCCGCTCGATAAACGGCTTGTTCGTGATGATGTGCAGGATCTGCATCGCGCGATTGTGAGGGAGGGGGTGAGACGGCTATGATCCATATTATTGTGTTAAGGAGTGACTCGCATCTGCGCGAGGTGTTGCATGCCTACGAGCATAATTATGGGCATAATTTCACTAGGGCTATGATTTCCAAGTCGAGGAATTTGGTGGTATGTACACTTTCGTCTTGTTTTCTTTCTTTCTGTTTCAAAGCCTCTCCTTTCAGTCAATACCAAATTCATGTACTGACATATCCCAGGGTGAAACCCTAGCACACATCCTCAACGGCGCAATAAACAGACCAATGCGCGATGCCCTCCTCCTCCACCAGGCCCTACGTGAATCCCGTACCGGGCGCGAACGCTCAGAACTCCTTATTTCCCGGCTTGTGCGTTTGCATTGGGAGCCTAGACACCTCGATCTCGTCAAGAATGAGTATAGACGCAGGTACCACGAGCGTTTGGAGGAGGCTATTGCCGAGGAGATTCTCTCGCTGAATGGTGGACAGGATTGGGGGGAGTTTTGTATCGAGTTGGCACGGAATGCTTGATAGCTTTCCATTGGTGTGATATGACCCATGTCATACGTTGGCTGTTGTGTTTGAGGTGGGAATTTAGTTGGTACTCGACTTGTTTCTTGGGAAAGTTGTATCTTTCCTGGTTTTTGTTTTGTGTATACGTATCTGTTGATTGTCCCTCAACGTTCTATAGTTATAAAGTGCATTGCATACCAGATAATGCCTGGCACTGGGGACCTTTCCATTTCGGGTTCAAATACAATATCCCACCATTTCCATCCGAACACATTACTCTGATCTCAACTGTGAGACCACTTGTTGAAGTAACATCTAAGACTGAAGCATAGAAGATTGAAAGTTCCTAGAATGATGCAAAGGTAGTGGCAACAATCTACCTGTCTCATTAGCGTTTAACGCTCAACTCAATTCGATATTCCAGTCCAAGATCTTGTAACCCTCAGGTATGGAACACTATAAATTGAACATTGGTTTATGATATGTGAAGCTGCCAAGCCTCTGTTCCATAGGGCTATGTATAGGGCAAGCGGAGATCACTGATCCCGCGATCCCCCGCCAATACACTCCGCCCGTAATCGTAATGCCCCTAATGCCCGCGCCCTGTTTCCTCGGGCACCAACAGCTTGAAAAATTGGTCACACAAAATCAGACTGCAAAATGGTGGAAATAATAGACCCGTTGACACATCGTTCCATTTTTGAAAATAGTGAAAGCAGGGTGTCTATTGAATATTATTGGCCAAACGACACTCCACTCAAATCACGCGCATTTCCTAATACCCAAGCACCCCAAGTCTACTGCAGGCAAAACATCCGCCTGTGTACCGAAAGTAACAAAGATGCGCTGGTTAAGCGTGCTGAGCAGCCCTTACTAGTGCTTAGTTAGTGTTAAACCGACACCGTATCTTCCTCCGACTTCCGTTCCACCTGTAGGAATTGGCTATACTACATAAAGACAGAGGCACAGATGGAGCACTTTGGTTCTTATCAGGACAGGAGAGGTGCAGCTCACCATGCTTATATTACCTGTTTAAAAAATCAGGGTATGTGGTATCGTTGCGAAGTAGAGTATGTACAAGGGCTCATCTCTAGACAAGGTAAGGGGTGTTGAGAGGATATCGTGTTGTTGTACGATTATGAAGTCAATTCGAAATTGAAATAGCGCTATATAGGATCCTAGAAAGCCTAAGGGAGGCTTAGTGATTTGGTGAGGGGGCAGCAGTGTTGGTGTTGGTGTTGGATGCGTTTTCTAGGGTTGGTTGGCGGGTGAAGATGGATGACGCCGGGTTTTCATGGTTCTGTGCGCCACCATTTTGAATGGAGAACAAAAACAGCTCTCGCTACAAGTGTAATTAGTGGGCTAGAATTGCCTGTTCAAAAAGTATTGCGGTAGTGGTTTGATGTGGATGCGCCGCCCGGCTGACACCGAGACTGGGTTGTTTGCAGGCTAGGGAGGTATTAGTCGCCCTGATAGCTAGAGTTATTCTTGGATCTTGCTCAGGCACTGCACCGAGAGGTCTGAGTGTAGAAATCTGGTAATGGGGCTAGATGCGGTGTGTAGTGAAAGGTTGTCATCTCGGATGATGATGCTGAGAGAGGTTCTCGAAGTGTTTGCTTCGCTGGATATAGTTATCCGGCAGAATCTATCTATTTGTTTCGAGAAAACTGGTTGAAACTGGACAATCCGGAAGTTCTTTTCGTGTTGGATTAGGCGATCAGAACCGGGGGGATGTGTTGGCTTGATCAGAGGCTTCTGGACACCGTACTCTGTCATACCCCAACGACAGCGTAAGGCAGATTTTATTGAAGCTCAAAGCTATAAGCCAGCTGATAGATAGTATATTAGAACAATTTTTGCCTCGATATGTTTTCCTTTTCATGAGTTTGAAGTGTGATTTTCAAACCCTAGTGCCGCCGTGGTTGATTCACCTTGTCTTAACATGTCTTTTATACCATCCACGACAAGTCAATAATATGAGCACACTACTCTTGGAGCGCCACGTTTGTATCATGATGCGCTATCTGATAACTTGTTCCACTACCTGACTCATCGGCAGGCTGTAAAATTCAGATGGTTTCACGAAGATATCTTATATGTCCAGCAACTGGTCTAGAGTTGTGGTTACCCCCTATAATGATGCGCTTATAGTGAGGCAGTGCCAGCCATAAAATTACTGTATTAATTATCTCATTTGAAGTGGCATTGCATTCGTCTCTAATGTGCATTGTGCCTTACGGAAAGGCTTGGGTTGAGGTATAAAATGAGGAACATTCCCACCATAACTTTTAGGATACTTCACCTTGTCTACTCAATAGCTCCATCATTTACTCACTTTTTCAAGTCCATCATGCCTTTTACTTTTGAAAAATACAGGCGCCACCGCGACAGCGCGAACGCTTTTATGGAACGAATGATGAACGGTGCCTCAAACCATGAAATTTTGGCCAAAGTCTTAGGTGACAGGAACGAGAGATTTCTGGACCATGTCTATGAATTGCCCAAGGATCAGATGACAGAATCCAGCCTCTCCAATGCCGCCAAGTACAAGCTTCAACTGCATGCATTCTTCGACAAACCAGACCCAAATGCTGACTATTCAGATCATTCCAATGTCTATCTTGTCGGAAGACCAAACAGATGGGCACGTGGTTTGAGCCGGACGCCAAAACCCTGCCACTGGTCTATCTACACCAGAGGTCATGCCTATCATCTAAAGCTGGTGGAAGGGGATCAGGAACTATCGTTAGGACTTCGAGACAATTCCAGTTTGGATTGGAAATATCAACGAGAGCCTATATTTGACCCTTTCATTGCATACCATATCGGAGTCACAGATTACGAAGAACAACATGTTTCTCTACTTGCAAAATGGGTGGTCGAACAATTGGATCATCATGAACTCTCTACGGCAGCCTATGAGCAATTTGTGTTTGGGCTTGGAATTCGTATTCTTCGAGGTCCTAGCAACACGACAGCCCTTATCGGAGATTTCACACAAATTCAGAATCACGACAAAGAATCAACTACTCCTAGTGGATTTCTCACTGGCGTACGGCTTGCGGATCCCCACGAAGATATCAGTACTTGGGCCAAGAGATACTATCTGATATATCGAATTGAGACTGATGCACGAGGACTCGATCTCTGTTGGAAAAAAGGGATACTAGGCAAAATCCCCTGGAACACGCACGAGTACCATTCCTTCATCAGGCCTCTGGCTGTAGGGCCACCCGCTGTTACGAAGATCTTCACGAAGGTGGGACAACGCATTCCAATACTGTCAAAAGCTGTTCCTCCACTATATCACAGAGGCATGGCTATGGCGGCAATCTACCGCCTGCGAGAAGGTCAGTACAAAATTTCGCCTTTTTAGATACATACTGACTAAATTTCTTCAAATGTAGAAAGTCCGCTTCCACGGGACCTCGTGTTTGTGCCCTTCTATGGAACATTGCATTATATCCGCGCTACTCACGAAATGGCCGAAGATGGTAATTAAAACCTAACAATCCTCTACAGACATTATGGATATTTACTGATGTTGTGTTCCTAACAGAGTTTTGGTTCCTGGTAAATGACTTTCTGAATTCTCCGTTCGTCGAATGCGTTACATTCAACCGAGGGTTTGGAAACAGAGCTCCGCTCAGAGGAGACCCCGACAGATCGGAACTGACAGGCCTGGGCCCTGGATCATCCCCTGGAGGAATACTGCAATCGAGCAGTAGTACCATGGTCGAAAAAGAGTCTGACGAATTGGAATTGACTGTGGATGGTGACCCAACTGCAGGGCAGATGCTGCCATCGATTCAACTGGGTAGTGGCCCCATTCGCGGAAAAGAGGATGGGCTATTTGATACCTTGGTTACTCATTGGTTTGAGCATAAGGGTGTACTATGTCAGGTCTTCATCGATGGTTCGGCCTTTTTTGAACCTCCCGTTGAAATTTGAAAGATTTGCTTTATCTGACGATATACCGAACAGCGCTATTCAACAATGGGCACATGGTACGCGGTGGTGCGTTTGGCACGAGTATTATGTCCATTCTTCTTTGCTTAGTTTCTTTGGATTTCTTGTTTATACGGCGTGAGCTGTAACTCCCTTTTCATGTCCTCAATGCTTTCCATCCAGTTATTTATGAATGTTGATTTTCATGCTTACTTTTAAATCTGCTCAACAAGGGCCAGCGTTTTTCAATCACGTTATTTGTTATAAGTGAGCTGGAGTTACATTAACTTCGCAGGCACTGATAGCACTGGAATTTTGCGCAATTGATAGTCCGTATGAAATCTTGCCATAAGCTCGTTCCTAGCTGGAGTAGATTTAAAAGTAGATTCAACGATGATCCTTCTTTGCATCTCTCATAAGTGACAAGGTGTCATCTAGTAATCATCAGTTATACAGGAGTAGATTATAAACCAACGTCTTATACTTGCTATACAAGCAATTTGGTGGGGTAGGTGGATTCGTGATCGGCATGAGTATCAAAAGCTTAAAGGGAAAAGACTACGCTCCAAATCAAAGGTATTTCTAATTGAGTACAAATTGCACAGGCCTTTGCCCTAGGAAGGTGTAGGTTAAACATATTTCTTGTGACTGAAAATGAGCCCCCTGATCCCTGTAGGGCAGCCAGTGTCACGCGATCCCAGGCTCATTACGTAAAGTATCACCGCGATCACGGGATATACTTGAATTCTTCAGATGGCACAGCAAGGCCAGTCTCTAAGATATACTTCAGAGGACGGACACCGAAATTGTGGATGATTTCGAATCGCCATATAACCAGAAAGATATATGTTCTGATTTTGCAAGATACCGTACGGAATACTCCGTAGATTAAAGGAGCTTACATACCACGCAAGGAGGGCTTAACAGGAAGTGGATCATGGACTCCAAACAAGATCTTGCATTTACTGGCGCACGCGACCTCATAGTTGTACCGAATATTCCATATTCACAGGTACATGCATTTCATCGCAAGGTCTATGACCCATGGAACTCTGAAGTCATTCTCGTCCGATCGGGCTGTCTGGACCAAAGCTGACACGCAGAAAAGGCCTTCTCTGCAAGGGGAACCCCTCCGATTTGAGATCAGAAACTTATTGACACCTTGATGTCTCACTATTTACTGCAGGTTCCCGCGACTGTTGATAGTACCCAAGATACTGTCGCTATCCAAACTTCTGCACTCCAAGTTCTCATGGTTGAATGCCACGCTACTGATCGCCATTTCCCCGCAGATTTATTGGGCACGGAACAGCAGGGCCTGATATTACCTGCATTGAATCAAAGCCGACAGGTCCACATGATGCTATCATGAAGGACGTGCACTGGGTACTTTTCTTACTCATGGGGTATTAATTCCCCTGGGCCTATCGGTGATACCATCAACTTCCCCATTCTTCTTCTTCTGTAGTGCTTATTTCTTACGGCTCTTACCACACACCTCGTCTCCACACCTCTATTTGCGCCATGCTATTGTGTGACCTGTCATCTGCAAAGCGTGAACCGAACGAAAGTCAAATTACCACGACCTTCTTTTCTACTGATGTCACTCACTTGGTCAATCCGCATAGACCGCTGCTTGTCTTCCATGCGACATGAAGATATGCCGTTACTTCCAGAAACTGCTAGACCGCGTTTTGGGCTTTGACTTTGAATTCGAGTCATTCTAGGGAAGTCTGCCATTTACACGGCCCTTCCGTCCATATCCCCCTGTTCTGGCCCCCTGACCTAGCATCACTCTATCCCTCTCTTAGCACCAATCTTCTTTTATCCGGACCTTGACGGAGGTCAGCAGATCATTGTTCTTCGGAGTTATAGAGACATGCAGGTCTGCTGCTACCTCCCTTTACGCCAAGCCGCTTTGATATTCCGCCGTAGAGAGCACATTCTGGCATGCGGGTCTCGGGGAGGGGGGTGTGGGTTTGGCTTCTCCCCCTCTCTCGTTAGATTAAGCTCGACTATAAATATGTCGTTGACATTCCTCTCCTGTAAACAGAATGCCGATCCCTTTCTTCAGTCGTCCTGTCAGAGTGCTGTGTAGCGAAGCTCCTGCGAGCTAATTCCCCCTTTCTGCAAATAAATAAAACAACAGGCTTGCTCCTACATTGGATTTGTGATTCTTACCATCTCTCCCGACCAACTCTGTCATAATGCAGCTGTATCGCCTCAGTCTGCTGGTCGCTTCCTTTGTGGTCTCTATTGTAGCACAGTCGACTTTCTCTCCTGCCCGTCCCCCAGCCATACCGCTCGCTGTTAGGTCACCGTACCTGAGCACTTGGATCAATGTAGGGAGCGATGGTGGCAATGGGGGGTACTTGGCTGGCCAATGGCCAGTCTTCTGGCAGTAAGTTGATCATCACATTCAAGCTATACACGAAGCTTTATAATCTAATAAAATGTGAACAGGAACCAGGTCAACGGTTGGGCGGGTCTGATCCGCGTCGATGGAAATACATATACTTGGATGGGCCTTCCGGGATCCAAAACTGTCAATCAGACAGCGTTTGAGTATACCTCGACTAAGAGTATCTTCACCATGAATGTGGAGAATAAGATTGAAATGAAGATAACATTCCTGTCTCCTGTTACACCCAGCGATCTCAAGCGCCAGTCCCTTGTTTTCTCTTATCTCAATGTGGAGGTCTCTGCTCTTGATGGTCATAAGCATGATGTGAAAGTGTACGCGGATATCTCTGCAGGTTGGTGCTTTGGTCTCTTTCCTTACATATAATGACTGACAAAATTCTAGAATGGGTATCGGGCGATCGCAATGCCATCGCAGAATGGGAGTATGGTACCACTGACGGTGTGGCTTACCATAAGGTACACCGACAGACTCAGCTGGCCTTTTCCGAAAAGAACGAGCAGGCTGAATGGGGTAACTGGTACTGGGCCACCGACGATTCTAAAGGCATGACTTACCAGTCTGGTGTGGATGTCGATGTCCGTGGTCAGTTCGCTCAAAATGGAAAACTCACCAATGGCCGCGACACCAACTTCCGCGCTATATCTTCTGGCTGGCCCGTCTTTGGGTTCTCATCTGATCTGGGCTCAGTCGACTCTTCACCAGTCAGCACACTATTCTCACTTGGTCTGACACAGGATCAGGCTATTCAATACGAAGGTGCCTCAGGGTATGGCCCGGTACCGTCCTTGTGGAGGAGTTATTTCAGTACAGAGCTGGCGGCTCTGTCATACTTCCACCATGATTATCGCGAATCGAGCGATCTCGCGAGCTCTTTTGACAGCAGAGTGGCCCAGGATTCAATTGCCACAGCTGGCCAAGACTATCTCACTATCACATCGCTGTCGGTCCGGCAAGCATTTGGTGCTACCCAGCTTTGTGGTACAAAGGACAAGATGTACCTGTTCCTGAAAGAGATCTCTTCCGATGGCAACATGAACACTGTAGATGTTGTTTTCCCAGCCTACCCGATTTTCCTATACACCAACCCCGAATTTCTGAAGCTCGTCCTCAACCCTCTGTTTGAGAATCAGGAGGCTGGAAAGTATCCCAACAGCTATTCCATGCACGACCTTGGCTCATCTTACCCGAACGCCACGGGCCACTCAGATGGACGTGACGAGAAAATGCCATTGGAAGAGTGCGGAAATATGCTCATCATGTCTTTGGCTTATGCGCAGAAATCGGGTGATTCCGACTTTTTGAATGATCACTACCCTCTGCTCAAGCAGTGGACCAGTTATTTGGTAGAGGACTCGCTTTACCCTGCAAACCAGATCTCGACTGATGACTTTGCTGGCTCCCTGGCGTGAGTGAACCCTTCCCCTCCTGAAATTTTCAAACCTAACTGGCATGATTAGCAACCAGACCAATCTCGCACTCAAGGGCATGATTGGTATTGAGGCCATGGCAGTGATTGCCAAACAGACTGGTCACACCGCTGACGCTGCCAATTACTCGAGCATTGCCAAAGACTACATCACTCAGTGGCAGGACCTGGCTATTGCCAAAAATGCTAACCCTCCCCGAACGACTTTGTCATACGGCAACACCGCTAGCCATGGTAAGTGCAGCCCTTCGTGACGAGTCTTTGGAGGCTTGCTTAATTTCTTGTAGGTCTGCTCTACAACCTATTTGCCGATGCTCAGCTGGGCCTGGATCTTGTCCCACAGTCCGTCTATCAGATGCAAAGCGACTTCTACCCGACTGTTGAAAACAAGTACGGTGTGCCTCTAGACACCCGCCACACATATACCAAAAGTAAATACCCCAGCCGCTTACCACGCATTGGGAAAGCACTCACAATTTGATAGGTGACTGGGAATGCTTTGCAGCTGCGATCAGTTCAGTCGAGACTCGGGCTATGTTTATCAAGGACCTTGCCACCTGGGTCAACGAGACACCGACCAACCGACCTCTGACTGATCTGTACGAAACTATCTCCGGAGAGTAGGTCAACCCATCCTCAAGTCTGTCGTGAATCTTGCTAATGAAACTAGTTATCCTGGTAATCATTTCGTTGCTCGCCCCGTCATGGGTGGTTCTTTCGCTCCCCTCCTAATCCGCTAGCGGACTCCTTCACTTCTTGTTCATTTCTTTTGTTTCATTTACATCGCCTTCCTCTCCTCTGACTCTCGCTTCGAAGTTGATGCAGTATATCTACTACCAGTCACAGTGAAGACGTGCTGGATACATTCCGTTCACTTTGTTGATTCCGGTCTTGGTAAATGTGCTTTTCTTGCTTATACCCATCCGTAGCCTTGCTCTTTAGCATGGACTGTGCGAGGTTTATTGAGATATTTGGGTCTAACTCAGAATGGGACGATGTTTGTGACCTCAGTCCGCTATTCATACCGCCAGACAGGACGCTCAGATGTGTAACCTCGAGGTACATATCAATTTTACAACATATCCATTACAAAAATAAGAAAGTCCATCAAAATCCAATATACATATCTGTGTATATCATGATGCTGGTTTGACTACATGGCACTATTAAGGGATCGTGAGATAAGCAAGTAACCGATTGACGGATAATTCTTTTCTGCTAATGAAATTCGAAAGCAGCATGTATTGAGCCCCGGACCACAAATGGGAGTATCTAAATGTCTAAATGTCATATGTACCAGACCTTCATATATATGGGCTAAAATATTTCGAAATGGAGTGAAATATGTTCACTCAGATTTTCCATCCCAAGCATCGAAAGAACGAATCAGGTCTGTTGTAGATTAGCCAGAATTCCTAATAAACACGACGAATGGAAAGGAATACATACCATAGTAAAGCATCATGCCTTCGAGATGCACATCCAAGTGGATCCGCTCGTCCACAGTGTGGATATTCAGTGATCCGCCAGCCCGCGACGGACTCCAACGGTAGATATTCTCCGACAGAGACCAGTAAAAGCGGGTGTCTGTATTTCCAGTCATGACGTCTCCCGTGACAACAACAGTCGGCTTTGATTGAGATTTGGAAAGCGGGTTCGAGTGTGACTCGAAGACACTACGTGCCACTCCGGCAAAGTGCGCCCACACTTTCGACGTGAGTGGATCTGTCGGGGAAATCGGAGCTGGGGAAAGAGGAACACTAAGAGGGGACAGGGTGAGAGTGCGGTCGCTCACATCTCCTTCTGTGGATTCCGCCACACCGGGGAAAGCAACACGCAGAGTAAGGTTATGAGATTTCGCAATAGGAGTGATAAGTCGGATAGCACGCTCAAGTACCTGATCGGGCGTTTGATGCAAGGCGACACGGTAGTTGACGTCTGCTGAGGTTTTCTCTGGCAGCGCGTTTGACTTGACACCACCGTGGATTAGGTCTATCGCCTGCGACGTCTGCAATGTATAGCGGACCGCAGGACCACGGGAGCTGGCGACCGCTTCGCCTAGAGCGGCCGGGTCATCCGCTTCCAGCTTTTCGGATAGCCAACTCTCAACGTGATCGGGCGAATACCGTGCCTGGCACTCCAGCATCCCGTGGGCGGGGTGTTTGGCGTCCAGCCAGGCAGGGAACAGCTCCTTCCGCTCAAGCTCGTACAAAATCTCCGCCATAATACCGATGCCGGTGTGCGCGGGCGGGATAGAACTGTGACCACCAGGCACAGCAATATCGATGATCAGATCGATACTACCTTTCTCACCGACAGCCGGGAGAGCATACAAGATCTCGCCGTTAAGGTCAGACTCATCACCCAGGCTCTGCAGCCCCATTCCGCCCTCGTCAAGGATAAACTCGAAAGAGTCTTTGCCGTACTTTTCCTCTAGAGCTGCCGAGATTGCTCCGGCGCCGAGGAAGCCGTGTGATTCCTCGTCGAACCCAAAGGCAAATAGCACTGAGCGCTGTGGCTTCCAATCCTGCGAGAGCAGGTCTTCGACTACGGACATTAACCCAATGAGAACGTTCTTGCAGTCGCTCGAGCCGCGGCCCCAGATCCATTCGCCATCAAAAACACCTGCGAAAGGCGGGTGAGTCCAGTCTGACGGGTCGTCGATCGGGACCACATCCTGGTGGGCCATAAAGAGTAGCGGCTTGCGCGACAGGTCAATGCCCTCAAAGGTAAAGACTAGACCGAGGCGATTAATGTGCTCAACTTTGCCGCGCTCATGTCTATATGACTCATTTAGTAAGCTCTCCCTTCCTTCATGGCAGGCGATGTCCAATCATTGGACAATTTCTTACACTAGAGGGAACATCTCTTCCAATAGCGATTGGAATTCTACCACAGGTTCGAATGCCTCATCGTATGGGTCTTGCATATAATCACCAACGGTAGTTGGGATCTGCACCGCGCGCGATAGTCGCTCTGCCTGGCGAGCACGGAACGCATCGTCGGAGAGAAAGGTATTTGACGAGTGAAGCCCGTCATTAGGGGTGCTGGCCTTGGGTGGCTGTGGACAGGTTTCCCGTGTAGATGGGTTTGTTAGCGGGTTATAATGACTGCCCGACAAATCGGCTTCAGGGAAGAGAAGCTGCTGTATGGGAGGGATATTGAGGGCTAGCGATGGCACTGCGGCTAGGCCGAGAAGGGCGAAAGGTTTCATGGTCGGGTTGAGTTCATTCAAGGATTGAATTGGAAATATTCTCAAAGATCTTTGAAAATTGACGTGAAGAAATTCACGATATCTTAGAAATAGCACGTCAATGGTTATCTTATCCTTCTTCCCCTCTCCTCAGCTCGGCCGGCGGCCGTTGCCGATAGCGAATTGCCCTATCAGGATGGCTGCTTTGCCGACAGTTGGGGTAAGTGTGTTGATCATTTTGGAGTGGACAGTTCAACTTCGATTCTTCATGCTCAGATAGCTTTGATGAGAAGTGTGATCTGAAAAAAAAAAGAACAAAAAAGAAAAAGGTCTGGAATCTCCAATTGCGAGAGAGAGGGACTACTGAGACTAGAAGCCTGTGAAGGGGCATAGCCAAGGGTTAACTGCCTGGTTTTTCGGGGTCGGTACCCGGATGCCTGGATTTAGACCGCTTTCGATGCCGCTCCATTACTGCCGTATGTAAATAAACTGCCTGGCGTTGAAGCCCACGGTCTTGTATGTTGTTCTAAAGTGCTGACCAATTGAACATGAGGGTATTTTATTGATTACCTTAAATCATGGCTGCTAGAAAATCTAATCCCAGGGGTCGATTTCATACCAAAGCTCTTGAAGACGCCGCATCTCGAGCGCGTTTGCCTCGCGATTCTTTTTTTCGATCTCCGCCCGCTCTTTATAGCCGGCCGTGATCAGAGCTTGCTGTTTTTTAATGTGCTCTAGCTCAGCGCTCTGCCTTTTGCGGTCCAATTTGGCGTACTGGGCCAATGGATCTTCCAGTTTAAGATGGACCGAGCTCCGATAGTCTGCACTGGCTAGCTGAGCTACCTGAGCTAGCTGTTCCAGATGTGCAAGCTCCGCAGCATGTCGACTCATTGCTATGGACATATAGCGGGTCTCCGCATCTTTCTCTAGCTTTGCTCTCTGGTTGGCTGCATTTTGTTCATTCTTGAGTATCAGCTCGTGCCGCTTTGCTATGGCGGCCTGGGCCTCCTCGGACTGGCAACGGATGCGTGCCAGCATCCGTTCATTACTCTTCTGATCGTTTATAATCTGGCAAATATCATCTGGAGGATTCATGACGTCAGCGGGCTGCGGATTTCCTGCTAGTGCCCAGAACCTGTTGCTACACCCGAACTCGGTGAGAAGCTGGAGTAAAGATTCATCATAGATTGAGGGTGCCTTGTTGCGATGCTTCGCGACGTAGGCTAGAGGCGAGTATACTAGCCCATCTTCTTCGTATAGATTAAAGCTGTCGTTGATGTAGTCTGCCATGAAGCTGTCTAGAAGAGCCCGTGTCACTGCTGGTGCGTTTCGCCGATTGTCGAGTGCCAAGTGAAGGGCAGATTTTCCGTGCGATTTCTTTCTGAAGCTGCGATCGTCACACAGAAGTGCCATTGCCCGCTTGAGCTCATGGGCCGGTTTGTTTCCGTCTGCTCTCAGGCAGAGCTCGGCTAATGCCGTGTGACCACTGCAGTCAGAGTAGGCGTAGTCCCTCTGATTCCCCTCTATTATTAGGACTTCAATGATCTTGGTGTTTACCTCTCTGGCAGCCTCGTGGAGTGCCCCGTCGCGCACCACCAGGCTAGCTAGCATGACAGTCCGGACAAGGTCGCTGTCTCCTGTAGTTACGGCAAGGAAGAGCATGGACCGAGAATTAATTGCCCCTGTCATCGCTGTAGTGTCAGTTCCATGGCGTAGTAGACTTGCAACGACTTCGCGACGTGGTATTGAAATTGCAATCTCAAGAGGTGCGAGACCGGACGGAGTCTTGCGGTTTGGATTCGCTGGCAGCATATTAGTAGGGCAATTACCAACTTCTTGATACAAGGCATACCTCCAGCATCTAGCAAAACCTCAAAGACTTCGTCAGAAATCCTGTACCTCTCTTCTAGGAGCGCCCAGTGCAACAACGACAAATATGTTCCCCATTCCGTCTCCACCGGTGGATCAACTGGGCAACCTGCATTTATCAAATACTTGACGAGCTCTTTTTCCTGGGGATATTTTTGCAGTAGTAGAAGAAGAATGGGATGGGAGATGTCAGTAAGACTTGGCTGAGACTGATGAGAGCAAAATGCCATGACAAGGCTGTGGATTGTTCGACTGGGCACACCGGAAGTAAAAATGTTTGGGAATGCCAGGGTCATATTGTCGCGGCTTGGGCGATGGGTGAAAAGTTCTCTAAGCACACCGATATTCCCCTTTGCTGCCGCCTTTGAAAGACTAGCACCGTTGTCGTAGTTGACATCAGCACCCGCGCTCAGAAGATTAACAAGTAAGGTGAAGGAGTTTGGCGAGGCTTCAAATGATTCAATAGTATCCACCAGCGCAACACTCAGCCATCTACCCGTTGCACCTTCTTTCAGAAGGAGGGAAAGGGCGGCTTCCTGGAGTTCGGCTCTTGCTCCCTCCTTCCACGCGCGCTCAAATACTCGTGAAATGATGGCTGATCGATCGCTGGAATATGGTAGCAGCACTTTCAAGGATTTAATATCGTTCTTCATTACTGCAATAAAGATACATTTGCCATCTTGGTATGATACTGACGCATCGGCGTGAAGGAGGGATTTTAATAGAGAACGGTCACAAGATGGCTCTTGTACCTGGTTTGCGACAATGTTAACACTGTACCTTTATGTGCTGAATATGACTTACAGCTCTCAAGAGTAACCTGTCAAGTGTTGCTTGTGGCTTTGCTGAAGCAAGGAGAAGCTTAACTGCTGCAAACCGGTTTTCACATCCGAGTACATCGAATGCACAGTCCAAGGCTGCTGCAATAGCTTCGGTCGACGGCTGAAAAGCTAATAGAAGTTTGACGATGCTGACATGATAGTTGGGAGACTTGATTGCATTGCACAGTGGGGCGCCGTTCTTATGACTGGGAGAGGCACAGTGCTGGAGCAAAAGCTCACAGGCATCTCTCATTTTCTCTCCACATTCTGTAGCGGTGAGCAATGCGTCGTTGAGAAGTGATGTTTCAGTTTCTAGCTGGAGGACTTCTTTTATATAACGCAAATCAGTAGTCTTGATAGCATGCGCAAACGCTTTAGTAAATGCAGCCTCGTGTGATGAAATGAGAAGCTTGCAACCCAGATATAGTTTGAAACACTCAATGTATCCCATATCTATCGCATTGCAGAGAATCTCTCCCTGATTGTGATTGACATTGGCTCCTGCGTCAAGGAGAAATTTGATCACCACTGTTGTTTCTTTGTCATCCTGCCTCATACATTGCATCTCATGGTTCAGAGAGGCGGTCCAATGTTCGCTTGACATGTCCACGTGGATTGCGAGGAAAAGCTTGATCTTTTCCTAGTCTCGCATGGTCGCGAGGGAGACCTATGGCGAGTAAGAGACATGAACAGAATTGCGACTCGTCGAGATGGTTAAATTGAAGCAAAAGCCTCAGAAACGTAAGACTTCGGCACACTGTTGCTTTTTTGAATGCTTCTCCTCTATTAAAGGCAGTGCTCGCGGCCCCAGTCTTTAAAAGCAGCTCAGTCACCCGGATCGACGAATCTCTCACTTCGTCGATGCTATCAACCAGAGCCTGGCCAATCACAGGACCGCCGTTTGCGCCATTGTCGAGCAGGATCTCCAATATATTGTAACATCGTTCTTCGTCAAGCTTCATAGCAAGTGGGATGCATGTGAAAAGAATGGAATTCGGGAACTTGCCACCCAGTAAAATTTCAAGGACTTTGACGTCTCCATCCTGGACGACTTTGTAGAACAAAGAACCCTCTCCCTGGCCAACATCTGCACCACCATCAACTAGAGCTTCAATGTAGTCATAATTACGTTGACAAACAGGAAGATTCACGGCGATATCCAGGACCACATCCACAGAAGCTCCGGTTGCTCCAGCCTCGAGGAGTCTGCGAGTCATGTCCAACTGTATATCATGTGGAATGTTGGTCACATGGGCAAAGGCTGTGTTAACCGACTTAATTTTAGGCTGCTGGTGAAGGAGCAGTACGAGATAATCCAATTCTTGGAGCAAAACTGCCATAACCAATGCACGCCCACATTCATAATCCACCGACGCACCGAAATCAAGGAGCAAGACGATGCTTTTTAGATCCCTCGCCTGCACTCGATTGATCAAGGCCTCATGAACAACATCGCCGGTAGCTCCTTGGAGCAGAAGTGATGAGCCAAGCTTCCACCAGTCATCCGGTGATATTTCTTGTCCATACCGAGTGCTGCCAATGGAGCCAAAAATGTCGCTTGCTAAGTCTTTCCCTAAATCGTCCCCGTTGAGAAGTTCAAGCATGTCGTAATCAACGGCACGTACTGCTTCTCTATAAGCTTGGCCGTCACAACAGGTAATAGAAGTTCCTTTTCTCATCAGCAACTGCACTAAATTGCTCCAACGGTGCGTGACAGAATCGAATAAGACACCATCAACATCGTTGCCGCAGGCACCTCCATTCAATAATATCTCAATAAGTTGGTATTGGCGTCCGGCAAAAATGTGAGGTGCTGACCACACATATGATACCATCGATCCTAACAGAGCGCCAGCGGGAGGTATCTTGCATAACAGAAGCAAGATGATGATATCACCACGGTCGGCATCAATTGCATTTTTCAGTGCTATGCCGTTATCGAGATTAGAATTGGCTCCATGGGCGAGAAGCAACTGGACCACCTCAACGTTGCCAAGTTTGACTGCAGCGGGTAAGGCCTGTGTGGTGATAGCATCTGAAACAGGTCTTTGCGATCGAAGTAAGAGACGGATAAGATCCAGCTTTCCGGCTACAATAGATCCCAAAAAGCCCTCCGGGAAGGTATTTGTATCAGCCTTCTCCTCCATGAGAACCTGGAGGCCATGTATATTATCTGTGCAAATCGCCATGGGAATGACTCTGCTGACAACAGCCGAGCTAACGGAGTGAGCTAAAGCTCGAAGTTGATCAAGTCGGTTATTTGTCAAAGCTGTTGTCATTAGATCGGCCATCAGAGAATCCGTTTCATCATCCGTCGCTGACTTGCGCCATTTCAAGGATCCTGTTCGGGCCTTTTTTGGCTGATACATCTTGTAAAGATGTAGGACGCTCTCAATAACGCCAACAGGTACGGATCCGGGGCCGACAATTTGCTTCAAGACGCTATTGTAGTCCTCATACGTCCATTTATCTTGTTTTATCTTGGCTGGTGTCGTTATTGTCTTCACCTCGCCATGTCTCCGCTCTTCTGACGCCTGGGTAAGGAGGAGAACTGCTTGATCGCCTTCTGTAGGGGACCATGTTGCCGAATATGTCGATGTCATGGGTTGGAGTGGTTTTTCGTTGGGGTCTGGCCCTCTCAGAGTCTGCAACTGGGCTCGAAGCCATTCTTCATCTCTGCCGCTTTGTGGCATATTGAGTGGCATTCAAATGTGAATACCGTTACCCCCAGGTGCGGACATCGAGATTTGAGTGAACTTTACGTTTGAGGATCTCAAAGGACCCAAATGGTGTTCCTGGAGTCCGGGTCCTGCGGGTGCACACGCTAGAGCACAGCCACAGAGCCTCATCTCGACCCCTTAGCGCCTATCGTGACACTGCCCGTGTGCGATGCACATAACCGGGATCTTTAGGGCTTGGCACCAACGAAAGCTCGCGGTAAGAGTGACACCCTGTATTTTATTGCTTGGCGCCAGCCTTGAAAACGCCCTATCTAGGTATTGGACGAAATGTTGCCAAATCACTACTCAAGTAGCCTATGAAGGCAACATCTGTCAGTCGAAGCAACGGCGCGATCAGATAGATCCGTGTTATAACTAAATACAGTATTCTGTATTACAGAGAACTAAAAAAATACAATAGAAACGATAAAAATCTATAAAAAAAAAACGCCAAAACTAAACCTTCTTCCCAGCCAACACCCGCTCAAAGGTCGCGAAATTGCCTTCGTTCTTCGGATCGTAGACAGCAAAGCACACCTCACGCCACCAGTTCCCGTGGAACTCAGCCTCTCTCAGAACTTCAAGCCAGCACTGCGCAACCTCGGCCGGGGGATTCGCATAGACACCACAACCCAAAGCCCCGAGGACTAGCATACCATGTCCATTGGTTCCCGCAATACGGAGTGTTTGCCTCATTTTGGATTTGGTTAGTTTCCGGTCCTTGTCACGCGCGAAGACTTGTTGGGTGCGCCGACGGGAGGGTGAGGGTGAAGGGGCACTGTGGTGTGAGCGTGGGCTGTGGCCACGTCGCTGTGACTGAGAATCCTTCATCGCCAGTGTGCGAATTGCAGGTCTATAGAGAGCGGCAATTGTGATCCCACTGACAACGGGAAGATCTTCAGGTGGGGTAGAGGGAGACGCTAGCAGGGTGTGTCCGGAGGCAAGGTCACTCCGCATGACCAGCACGTAGGGGCTGTAAATCGACTCGTCGAGAGCGAGCGGGTAATCCCTGCTGTTGAGGCTTAGCGCTAGTGAGCTGCGGTAGCAGAGTGATTCCTCTTGTGCCATCGCGCCGTTTAGCCAGCCCCCACCTGGCTTTCGGTGGCTGGCAAAGTTGATGATTATTGGGCGGTTGTTTAGGGGGCTTGGATCAATACGGTGGGCTTGCGCTGACTCAAACAGTCTGACGGCAACGTTGAGGGTATCGTCGTTGATGACTTTGATCGTCGCGGGCAATGGGAACCGCGGGCAGCGATTGGGTTGTAAGCCCCTGAGCGAGTTGGACGATAATTTTTTAGATTTGTGAGCCTCTTGGGCGGAGTTGAGGCGATTCAGAAGACCTGGGAGAACGTTGAGGGTCTCCAGGGCGGTTTGTCTGAGGGCTTGCCTTTGGGCATTTGCTTCTGTATCTCCACGATGGCCATGGTAGCCATGACGAGGTGGTGTGTGCCTTGGGCCTGGTATGGATTGGCGATGTTCATCTACCAAGTCCCATAGCATGGACTTGATATTCTGGAAAGACATATCAGTCGGGAGTTGCTGATATGATTTCGGAGAGAGAATTGACCATATTTGAACCGGCGGCAGCATGCACTATGTCAGATATCAGGTCGGGCCATCAGCGCTAATTCTTGGCACATGTCTCGTGTTCTCTTGGGTCATGGAATGAAGGCAGCCTATTGAATACTGAAATTGTAAAACAATGGTGCGTTAGCCTCATCGGTATTGATGAAGGGGCTAAGCTTATGATACCAGGCGTAGATATATATTTCTGTAGTTGCCAGTGATACTATTCTACAGTTGCAGTGATAGTGACTGACGAGATCATGGTATGAGCTATTCTCAGAAATATTGCGTTTGTCTTTGCTCATCGTTTTTTGCTATAGGAACTGATCCTATTAGATGACGACACCCGCTTTTACAAAAAAGGTATCCCAAGCCCCATAGACTCCAAAATACTATCATCATCTAACATTCAAGTCACTAGTCTCAGGGATGTTCCATCGTCAGTGGAAACACCCCAACACAAAGGCCAAGCTGGTGTCTATTTATGTCATGTATATATCCCCTTTTGGCTGCCAGCGAGCGGCGTATAGATGTCTAGCTAATACCTTCGCGCTCAGAAAGAATGCTAAAGAGCCCAGACTCAAGCTTCGGTTCCATGGAACACAACGCGCCTGCAAGATCGGAAGTGGCTCTCTAGAGCCCTGTAATAATGCAGAATGCTATCTCTGCAGCATCCTCAAAAAGGGATTTTCAATCGATAATGCCAGTAAGTTACTGAGTGAGCCGAACCAACATGGTGACAACATGATTCTCACACGTCGCTAGATACTCGATCCATGTTCGGACCTGGAATCTACTCGAGCGTGGTGTCCTCTAGTAAGCTGCTTATTCCCCCTAGCTTATTTCCCGCTACCTCGTTCGCTCACTATACCCCCGTAGAAGCCAACATCTATAGCAGAAATCACCACGTCCGTTCCCACAAGCATGTTCTACTCCTCTGTGGACTCGATCCTGGGAATTCTGTAGACATGACAGTCGCAGGTATTCCAGGCCCGTGTGATTCAGTACGTCCCCGGCCAAGGACATATATTATACAAAGGTACTTATCAGCTAACTATATCCACAGGTGGAAGGACTTACTAAGGCCGAGGGTGGCCAGCTTGATTACCAAGAGACTGTTGTTTACGACCCAGCAAGAATCAAGCCGCTCGGTCTAGTTGTATACACGCGAGAGGGGTGGACACCACGTTAATCGTCTTGATTACTTTGATTTATTATACTCGCAGTATATCACTGAAACTTGTCCTGTTTTTTTGCACTGTAATTTTCAAATGAAATATTACCCGTATTACAGAATTGTACTCTAGGTTTACTTGTATTTTTATGGAATTCTGCCCAATGAGGCTGACTCGTGCAGGCCAAATCCAAATGGGGGCCTTGCTTCTTTGGGGAATTGTGGCGATGTCCGGGGAAGAGCCTCCTCCGCACTTCCACCGCCTGCTCTGCTGTTGTACAACAAAGCCATTCGTGAGAAATAATACGTCTATGCGAATAGAATTTGAACTCTTTCTGGTCGTTGATTATAATATAGAGTTTTTACTTTCCCCTTCCCTGCTTGTCATCGTGCCCTGTAGATTCCTCATACTCCGATCCCACAGCATGGACAGGTACTCCCCTTGCCTTTGATTCTGCCAGGGCCATGACAATACTGAACTGAAATAGGGAGAATTCGCCCGAAGATCACTCCTTGCCTCTTTCGTCTATTGATGATGATACCTCAATGACAGATCCTGATTCGACGATCTCTGAGACTGAAACTCCTATTGACCTTCCCAATATGCCTCGTATGATAGAGAGGCGTCCTAGGAATGTCCGAAGCAATACATCCGTTGTGTACGAAACCTTCGCCTCAGAGCGCACCAATGGCTCATCCAGGGCAACCCCACAAAGTTCCCCTCCACCACTGTCGACGAAAATGATCGTTGTATGTGGACATTGAGTGACTTGTCATGGCAACTGCTTATCGCTCATAGGAACTGAGTCTGTTGGACAGGTATATTCCCTTTTCGAAAAGAGGTAGATAGCTTCTGACAGTGCCAGTATTCTATCTCTCAGTTAACAAGGCATGATATATAGTTGAACGCCTTTTTTACGACTCGTGGCTCGATCGAACCAAAGTCTCCCACGTTGAAGAGATAATCCTCTTCGATATCAAAACCGTTCCATCTCTGCCTGACGGACACATGCAGGCTACATTCAAAACCGCTGGGTACGCACACCTTCTCAGTGCATTATCTCGTTGTACAAATACTAGGCCTGACGAAGTTAATTCCATTTTCAGTCGCGATTTTGAACTGCTCACACTCCTAGGGGATTTGCCACTATGCTTCTACGGTGCCCGTCGTGCTTGCTATCTTGGTGATCGTGGCCATCCTTTAGGTCTTTGCCGCAGTGTCGAATGTGCCATCTGCGCGGTCTTTCGGGAGCAATACGTAACCAGAGAAGCTGGTGAGTATTCGCAGCAAGTGATGATCATGCTTTTGGAACTTCCAGATGATGCGCTAACCGACCGAAGGTATGAGATTTGAACTGAGCCCCGGAATTCTGACCAGCCCCAGCTCGTCCCGTGAGTATCGCTACCCTGACTTTCTATCGACGTTGGTTCTAACTACGAGGTTTGACCACACCCAGAAGCCGATGCTTTCGCAAAAAACCACCATATCCGCTCATCTCAGCATGCCATGATATTTTGTGCATGCCCAGATATTGTGAGTCACTTCGATTGCGGCACAGCCCATACCAACTAACATACTATTAGGCACAATCAGATACCCAGACTATGTCTCCGGAGTCAGATGCCCCTCCTCCCTACACTGCCTCTGCCTCTATTAGTACAGTTGTGGTTCCAATCGGACTGATCATGTATACTCGGGCGGGGTGGCACCCCTCATAAATATGGCTTCCATTCGATTATTTTCAATAGGGACCTTCAGCTAAAGATAATTGAACTCATCATTTCTGCCAACAGTACAGAGTATCTTACTCATGTTCATGATCTTGAATTTCACCATAACCTCATCTATGGTATGAGTCGTCAGAAATACAGCACCTTTTTTGCGCAAGCGGAAAGGTTATTTCAGACCCCACTCTTCGAGAAACACGTTGGCCCTCTGGTCCCTCCATCCGTGAAGCTGAGGCAAACACAGTATCCAGATTGACTCCAGAATGCTAACCGAGTTAACTTCACAATGTCGTCCTGAGTGTTGTGCGAGGCGGGTGAGGGTAACCGAGACAGGGTTCGGGTAGATACATAGAGCGACGTGATCTGGCAGAGTTTGCGCTTTCCCATGAAAATATTTCAATGTAAATCAAGATAGATCCCAAGGGATATCCCAACTCAATACTACGTACCCCGTACCCTGTACCATTATCCTAATCTAATTGATTATCTCCTGTGTGAGTTCCAGGTCAAAAAAAGATATCCGAATGCTGATTCGGGGTACATTGAAATTCCAAGATAAGCATGGGGTTGTATGTTGTTCCTGAGAAACAAGGCATCCAACACGGAAGCCTCGGCTGAACCATGGATCCAAAATAGAATTCATACTCAATTTGAATGTCCGTCTTAATTTGCTTATGTATGCTACATATCAATAACTGCTTGACCTTGCAGAATTTGTCGAATGATCCAGGATATAACACCAAACAAAAAGGGAAAAAGGAGAAACAAGGGGTCACTGGCGATAACCAGCAATGTCAGATTCCTCACAAATGCAACACCCTAAAACTACTCCATACCAAATCAGGACAAGCGGCGAACTAGAAACACGCGAACTGTTCCCAAAGTTCATCCCATTTGACTCTCGGGGTCCATCCGCCGTCATGGATCGCTCAAAAAGGAAACAAGTGGCCACAACTGGGGATGCCGATCGGGTGATCCTGAGCTCGTAAGCCAATGAGCTCGATGACGCCCCAGTACGAGTTCAATAGAGCATGTCGCTTAGTGTTTCAGGTTGATCATTAGCTACTTTCGATCGGTCAATTGGACGTCGATGTCATCAGTGCTCCGTATTTGTCTTACTCCACAGAAAAACCCTCGAAAAAGATGGAGCCCACGGGTGTTCCTGACACCGACCCAACGGTCGCCTTAAAGAAGCTTGATGGGGCCCTTCTTTTTCTCTCAGTCTTCCGTCTGTCAGACATCTCCCGCTCTTTTGCACATTTCCTTAAGATCTTTTTTACCCCGCTCTTTTTCATCAACCATATATTTACTTTTGAATTCGTTGACCGAATAACATCGCCTACCACTAACCATGCATTCCAACTACATTTTCTCGGTTCTTGCCCTAGCTCTTCCCGTGTACTCGCTTAGCTCCACCGCTAGCATGGGCTGCTACTCCGACGTCGAATCATTCAAGAATCAGGGTCCCTACACCTTTCAATCACAAGGATACTGCCAGACCAAATGCGCAGAGAAAGATTTCAAGGTCGCTGCTCTGAGCCGTGGCAACATGTGCTACTGCGGCGATGAAGTCCCCTCGGATTCCGCTAAGATCGCCGACGATAAGTGCGACGTGGCCTGCTCTGGATGGCCCGATGATAACTGTGAGTCACCAACAATGTTATATATACCACAGTAACAAGAATCATCACTGACAGGATGTCTCTCATGTAGGCGGTGGCAAGGATACCTTCAGCGTCATCCAGGCGGCTGAGAACGTCAAAGCCTCTGGTTCCAAAAACTCCACTACTGCTATTGAACCCACTGCTGCCACCGCAGCTGGCGGGATCATTGTCGCACCCTCAACATCGAGCTCACCAACCGGTATGGCGACCGCGGCATCAGAGAGCGCGAATGCTTCCTCCAAGTCTGCCTCTGGCTCCCAAGCTATCGCAACTGCCTCCCCCACGCCCACTGATAACGCTGCCGGGACAATGCGCGCAGGCTCCTCGCTGCTCGGTGCTGCTATTGCAGGTATCGGCTTGCTTCTGTGAAGCTTCCTACCTTCACGCCTTGTGGTTGAGGCTTCTTATATACCGTCATTTTGATTTCATGTACCCTACATTGCATGTACAGCTATACCCCTCGCTGGTTCGTCCACAGGGCGTTCATGATATCAGGGATAATATCCTCTTCCTGCTTATGTTTCTCGTGCTAGGTCCGCTGGTCGGATTTTGGATGCATTTACTGCCTGTCTTGGGATAGGCATTCCTACACTCGTTTTGATCTTTGGGCTTGCATGAACAGACTAGATTAGCATTCGCTATTGAACACCGGATGGACTTCGATATCCTTTTCGGACAATCTAAACTCTTGCCGATAGCATTTTTTCTTTAGAAAAAATAATACTGAAGACACGTTAATAGGAGCTGTTGATGTGCACTCGCTGACTCGAAAGATAGTAATTGCCACATTGAGGGAGCTAGGATATCACGCAAACCCGCTGTTCGCAATCTCCCTCAACATGGTGGTTGTTCCTCGCCGAGGCTACGTTCTTCGTCTTATCCCACTTCCTTCTATTACTCGAATTTTTCCCATTCATGAAAATAACAAGTGTATTTGTGCGTCAGCAATCAACTATATACTGTGCTTTCTGTGGACCTTGAAGAATGCTAAAGTTGATACTCCAGTACCTACCTATAAATGTGCTGACTCGCTAGAGACTCATACCACAACCTGCTATGCCAGCACAGAAGCTTTTACCTTTCCCTCTGGTCTGGGCAGACATGGTCTCACTCACACATGCACCTTGCGCAAGGCCGACACCCTGTGTTCCGCTAATGCAATCTCCCACCACGCCCGCGGTGATATTCACACAAGCTGGATTGCAGGGATATACTTCGCGAAGAATTTCTGGGTCGCGCGCATAGGGGCCGTAAGAAGCCTTTTTAAGCGGGTCTTCACCACCGCTTTTACTCCCACTGCGCTTGTGTGACCGCCGCTGCGCTTTCTCCCAGCACGATTCAAGTTGGGCGGTCTTAGTCTGCATTGCCTTTGGATCAGCCTGAGCCAGAATGCGAACTGCATTATGGGACGAAATATGCGGCCCTTGGCCTTTGTCCCCACCGGAGGTAATATTGGCACTGTCGTGAAGAAGAACAGCGTTGTTTTTGGCATGCATGGCGGACGGCGATATCAATCTGCCAAGTCCCTGATTGTTGGACTCCCGCAACGCCTCGCAATACCAGCAGATGCATTCGCTGTATATCTTGCCGCCGGTGAGCTTTTGGTATTGCTTTGAGGTCCATGCGAAAGCGTCATTGAGCCTTATCTCGTCGATTTTGTCGTCATGATTAACGAACACGCCATCTGTCTGCGCAGTGGAGAAAGCGTAATAGCGCGCGGGAGAAAGCTGGTGTGTGTGCCAAATCAAATCAATATCGAGAGTGGGGACAACAGCATGGCCTTTATTCTTGATCATTATTTGGAAAAACACGCCGTATTTGTTGATAAAGTGGCTCATGGTCGATCTCAAACTTGGCGAATGTATCCAACCGATATTGTCCATCTTGTCTACAAACGTTCCTTGTCGTATGACAGCTCCGATCAAGTCAATGGCGAAGGGAGATGAGTTGTCCCAATATCTGGAGAGCATATTTCGAAGAGATATCCTCTCAGGCATACTCGAGTTTCCAGCAGTCAGTGTTGCCTTGTTTACGCGACGCAACAAGGAACGGCTCTTCAAAAATGCCTCGAGATGGTCGCGGATGGTTTCGATGGTGGTGCTTTCATTCTCAGTGGGATCCGTAAGCTGCAAGAGCTCGCTTCTGATGCCTTCCTTGATAAGCCGGTTGGGAAAACACACATTGTCGCCGTTTTCATCGTCGGCGGGGGTGCCATTCTGCGACAGAAGCGTGCCTGGCATAGGCAAATCATCTTTCAATAGCTTCTGCACATCACTGCGAAACTTTTGCACGCGAAGCAAATCATGTGTAGTACTGAATTTGCAGGCAGGGCATACAACCCGCAAAGATTTGTCCGCATATCCAACGCAATGTGCAAAAGCCACATCTGGATCGCATCCAATTGATCCTTCCGTCCAGGAAACAAGGACTTCCTGCTTACAACGGAAGCAAATTAGTGATTTTGTGGGGCTTCCATGAATATTTTCCCAGGAATGACCAGTTCTTGTCTCGAAATTTATCCTCGCTTCGCTTCCTGGGTCGAAGACAAGCGTCTTGTTGTCGATGGATGCGTTTATTATATCCCAGGGCATACCGGTACCCCAGAAGCTCATTTTGGACTGACGCAAGCAATCTTCAAGAAAAGCACGAGGGTTAAGCATATATGCATGCCAGACCATGATAACATCTAGGTGGTAAGTTAGGACAAAAAGGAAAACGCCTCCAATGCTCAGAATAACTCACCAAGTGGTGGTAACATATTAACAGCCCAGGCTATCTTGGCTCCCGACGAGTAATCTAGCATTGAGATGTGACTGTTATTGAGAGTCGGTAGGCAAGTCTGCCACCAAATAGTAAATCGGTCAACAGCTCTGGCCACATAAACAGCCCATCTCTTTTCCTGAATGCGAGCAGCTGCCTGGGCTTGCTTTCGGGGGTCTGTAAAGTTTCTGGCCTCACTATCGCGGACTCCGAAGAGTTTGTCTGTTCCTCTAATCAAGTTGCGAAGTTTGGCGATCGCAGATAGTAATTTCAGGTGGTTGATACATTCATCAATATCCAACGTATCCTCAGATTTAGGTGATACATTTCGGGAAAGCCTGTGTGATACATTTGGTTGTTGGTAGGTCGGTGGTTCATCAATGGGCTCGACGATAGAGGAATATGGTGGAGGGTTGGATACTGCCTCGGCACTCGCCTCAGCACTCTTGCTACTGCGGGCGAGATCTAGGTTTCCCATTTTCAGAATCAAGGATGTGTGGAAGGAAAACAGAAAAACCTACAAGATGCGAAGAAAGGAGAAATGTTCAGGTCCATATATCTGGGGAAAGATCATCGTGCTCTGCCGCGTGCACATAACATAGCCACTTCGAGTGGGGGCTAGAATATAAATATACAAAATAGTAAAATACATACATGATGCAATGCCAAGAGGCTAGCTCTTACTTGACTTTTTATATCGCCTAGGCAAATATCATGACGTACAGTAAAACGACTTGGGAATTCTTCGCCGTGTAGTATCTTCCGTATATTCATTGACCAAGCCAAACCTTTTGCTTAATTTCAAGATCAGAAATATCATTGTAAAAACATCAGGATATACGGGATTCGTTTTATCATCAGACTTTGCCGTCAACTCCCCGCTTAAAAGAACGCTCAGGTCCCATTCAGCCAGGTGGTAGTAACACTGAACCGCCTTTGCAGAACTAAGCGGGTGAGTTCTTCTATCAGGGGAGCAGTACCTAGTCAGAAATCTATCAATAGATGGGAGATAAAGCAAGTCCCGGGCTTCGTCAGAAAATTGTTCGAATTATGGTGCCCAACTGTGTGTTAGACTAGTCACTTTACACCCCTTTCCCTCATACATTAAATTATGTGCCTGCCAGAGCTTGATTTACTATCCCACTTTGCACTATGCGCTGAATTTACTTGATTTTGTATGTCGAGTCGCTAATGATGTACGGAAATCCCGCACCTGGGTCGACTCGTAGTGTGAGATCCCTAGGTGACGACAGTATAGGATGAACAGTCCAAGTGAAGTGAGTCTTCGATACGTGAAGAGATACTCACTAGGAAGTGCAAGAATAAAGAAACTTGTTTCCATCACTGGAAGACTATGGTTGTTGTATCAGACCCCAAAGTTAGCATGAAATCTGAGGTCGGCACACAACATACTTGCTCGGTGGCTGTGGAGTTATAGTTCTCACCAATCATTATAGGGTCATCTCCATTACGCCCTGCGGCTCTTGGGTAGGGAGATCTCGCTACGAATGGATAGATCATCGTCGACGGGCGGCTGATGGGGCCAAAACTTCCCGTCCCTGGGCTGTGCGCAACATCACCCAAAATGGAAAACCGAAAGGAGCCTCATATATTTTAGTCAGATACTCCTGTAATCGCTTATTTGACAGAGAGAAAACACGCCACGTCAACCATAGACTTTTGATCTCATGAAGTAATGATATACAACATATACTAAAGGACTCAACTATTCAGTGAACTTCTCCATGAGACCCGCAAGGCTGCGCCTAGCAATGATCTTCACCTAGGGAAGATGCACTGCCATTTGATATAGTCTAGGCGACACTCTCTATATGCCTTTAAATAGGCCGACTTCATCCTGATTACAGTACGGATATCTATATCTTCTTCAATATCTTGTTGCATCTCATCTTCTTACCTTTCTCATTAAACCATCAACATGACCAACGCATCAAACGCTGAAACCGGAAAGCCTAGACTAGGCCTGCGTGTCTTTGCTGTGATTTTGGCTGTTGCTACAATGTCAGTCTTTGGAGCTTTATGGCACAGCCAGGCCTGGGTATACTATATTATTGTTCGTGGACCCGGATATTCAAATGGTGCTGTGACTCCCTGGGATTGCAATCTAATAAACGAACACAGGTCGGCATACCAGGAATATGGTCCTTGACCAATGTCGTTTTAATTGCCCTCAAGCGGCCTGTCCACCCTGGCTTTCATATTGCGCTGGATCTCATCTTTACGGTTCCCCTGTGGTTTTGGGGAGTTCTCGGCCTTATAGACCAGTCTCTGGCTTATCACAATGGATATTCGGGGAATTCGTGGCGGGGCATGGCCATCGCTGCTTTATCGCTCATGGTTGCCAATGGGTAAGAGCTTTGCCTTGCAAAGGCTTAATACATGACACCATGCTGACCTATCTCATCATAGTTTCCTTCATTTCCTTCACTTTATCCTGGGTTGCTGCGATGTACACTGGAGACGCCATGCTTCACCCGTCACTTACGATTCTCGGAAGGGAGATATCGAAGACTCAGCCTAAATTCGACAACTTCGAGACAATTACGAAAGCAGAAAAACGGGAACTTTGTGAATATTTGATGGGCTTATATTGTACTTATCTGGATTATGTTGTTACGAATGTTCATACATTTGACATTATTCCTGCTTCTTGTCCTGTTTAAACTTGCCGACTGACATAGCCTTATTCCGTACTAGGGAGCTTGTCTAGCTAGACGCTGTATAATTGCTACTTACTGAGATTGAAGCCAATTTCGCTAGTGACTCTAATCATGCAGGTCAACATGTTCCTCTGAACCTTCGATCTCCTCGCCTAGCTTATTCACTAAAGCCCGCTTCCCCAACCGGTCCGATGGTATAGTGTCAGGCGATGCACCGAAGTCGAGAACCTGCACAAATCAGTAAATGACAAACAGCGTATCAGTCTGGGTGCGTACTGACCTCAATATAGCTCATGGCTCCGCGTTGAACTGCTGCAACGCAACGCTGAGCATCAAACCGGACTTGCCAGACACCGCTGAGGTCGGTGAGAAGATCCCTTTCACATACGCCAGTCCATAGGTCCCACATCTTCACATTCTTGTCGGAACCGGAGATTACCTTTCGGCCATCATGTCGGAAGGATGTGATCGCTCCAGTATGGCCGTCGAACACGCTTTGGCAATGACCATTCTCGGGATTCCAAGCTCTAAGGGTACCGTCTGCAGCTGCCGACACGAGCCAGTCTTCTTTCAAATCAAGTATTCCCACCAACGACGTGTGACCTTCGAGATTATATAACAATGCGCCTGTCTCGATGGACCAGATCTTGACCGTGTGGTCCATGGCTCCGCTGATACAGCGGTTCCTCTTATGGTCCAAAGCTACACTATAAACCTTGTATGTATGCCCCTCCAGCTTGTGTAGTGATTCTCCAGTGGATATTTTCCAAACTCGCACGGTACAGTCATAGCTACCGCTGACCAGTGTGTCCCCATATGCCGTAAGTGCTCGCACAGAATGGTGGTGACCGTTCAATATACGGATAAGATATGGACATTCCTCATCGGTTGGAGCAGGAGGGAGATACTTCGGGTCGCCAGGTTGAGGAAGTTTCCAAACCCGCATGGTCGAATCACGAGATCCCGAAATTATTAGAAGTTGCTCGGGCATCATCACTGGTGAACCGTCTGGATACTGGTCGATTTCAACTGGGAGCAATATCTGTACGCACCGTACTGTGGATGTATGACCTCGGAATACATGGGTGCACTCGGCTCTCGCAATGTCCCATACTCGGACGGAGTTATCCGTCGACACAGTGACCAGAGTATTGCCGTGAAATTCTAGTCCCCATACACCACCTTCATGGCCTTCCAGTTTTGCTCGAAGGGCCCCAGTCTTGATGTCATATACATTGACTTTGGAATTGTCGCTAGCAGCTATAATCTTGTCGGTATCAAATTGCAAACAGGTTATAACATGTCGATGGTGTGCTTGAAATGCAAGATGCATCGGTTTGATATTTTCCCACATTTTTTTACCAGAGCACAGACCGTAGACCTTGGGTGTAGACGAGGAATGAACAGAAGAGAAAGAAAAAGAGAAAGAGGTAAGGATACGAATGACTCAGAATGCATAGCCAATCACAGTGCTCACCTCTTGTCGCTTTATGAGTAAAATTGAGCACGTCCCTGACTTCCAAGGTTGATCACAGGTTATTATATAACCAACGTGATTCGGTCGCCGAGCACACTGTGTGCAGATATCACTGTAGAGCCCACCGGTGGGCCTACCGGGCCCAAAGCCCAGCCCATTAGTGGGTTGGGGCGGGTTGGGCTTTGCGGAGCGCTAAGGTCCGTGCCAAGCGCCCCACACAGTGGTCTCAATGAGCTGGGCATCCTGGACCTGGAGCAATCCGGGCCCGCCGCCCTGTCCAGTATCATAATAGCCGTTTGGTTGCTGGCAAAAGGAACCTATTAATAGTCAGACTTGAGCACAAATCTAATGTTGGGGACGTCTTGAACCTTTGGCCAAAGGGTAATATTTGTCGTCGCTCATGATGAATGACAACCGGGGGCCATAGCAATAGTTCAGATAGGAAAGAGAAAAGTTGGATGTTTGACTGCTACGTTGGGCTCGCTCGACAAGTACACTCATATAGCCTCAGCCCTGGAGAAAACCTTGGCCCTTGATGTGAGATGCCTCTGAATTGACTCTTTGTATTACGCTCACATTCATTGCCCTCATTCGCCAATTCCTACATCACGCGTGAGATGATGCAGGAATGCAGTGATAGGATCCAATGGCTAAGTCCTAAAGTTGACACATGAAGCCGCTGAGGTTCATACTGCGTAGCACGACCTACGTGTACGACAGGCATCAATACAACATCCGGTTGTTTGTAGGTCATCTAATGGCAGACAGGACCTGGATACATGGACCCACAACCAGAACATTCCACGGTTGTTCAGCGTCATTTTTGCACGTCATATAATCTATGCTTTAATAAGTCCCTACGTCTTGACGAGGTAAGCAAACCGTCATCTTTCTCGGAATTCATGAGATACTATTTCTCCACCATTGCCCTTAGTCCTTACACTAGAACATACTGCAATTGATGTAATTGAGATGAGATTCTCTTCCAAACCTGCAGTAGTCTGCAGCTCCAAAGTAGGCATGGATATATGTAATCCAGTAGATATATCAGTTGGGCCTCGCTATCTGCACCCCTCACCTCAGGGAAAACTAAGGATAATGGATACCTAACATATTCTTTGAACGGCCAACCACAGGGTGCAGAGCTTTTTAAATATAGTAACATCTTGTAGGTCTATCTGAGTTTACTAATATCTCAGTCGGCTAGACATAGCTTGACATACCAGTTTGAATAACCCAATTGTAGGAATCCTGACGTGCTTAATACGTGTTATAGTTGGGAGTGCAAGGGAGTGCCATGTATTGGACTCAGAACCCACCCAACTTCCCAACGCACATCAAGATGGAAAGATAATCAGACCAATAAGAGATAATCAGATGAGTCTCGATCGCTGAAGGTCTCGTGTTCCACTTTATAACGCCTCAGTTAACGTCATGGCCCTGAGTACAAATAGGGAAGCCGCGGCTCCATGTATCTATATTGTATATAGTCTAGTCCTCCCCAAAACGGCCAGCATTTCCCTGGTGAAAGGCTTGTATAACCTGTCTCCTGGATTGAGCAAGAGATCCTCTTGTGTGCCTTTTAAAAAGCCTTTAATCATCTACACTATATTGTATAATCTCATCCTTTCATCATGGCTGTCCAAAACAATGCCAGGTTCGACTTCATTGTCGTTGGTGGTGGCACTGCCGGCAACGTTGTTGCCGGCCGCCTGGCTGAGAACCCAAACGCTAAGATCCTAGTCGTTGAAGCTGGTGTAGCCAACTCGAAGGACATTGAAGCTATCAGAACCCCTTCGAACGCCATGGAGCTTCGTAACAGCGAGTATGACTGGGCCTACAAATCAACCATGGTCAAGCGAGACGACTATGAGCGTATTGAAAAGCCCAACACTCGCGGCAAGGCACTTGGTGGTAGTTCGTCCTTGAACTATTTCACCTGGGCTCCTGGATCCAAGAGTACCTTTGATATGTGGGAGGAGTATGGTGGAAAAGAATGGACTTGGGACCCTCTTGTTCACTATCTTCGCAAGTGTGTGACCTACCATGACGATCCCAAGGAATACCCTCCAGAAATGAAAAAGATCGGCGAAAACGGACCGATCCCGATTTCCCACTCGGACCTTATTCCCGAGATGAAACCCTTCCGTGACCTTATTTCCAATGCATGGAAGTCCACTGGTCAGCCAATCAACGAGAATATCTTTAACGGTGACATGGTTGGCCTAACCCATAGTGTTAACACTATTTACAAGGGTCGCCGCTCTGGAAGTTTCCTTTGTGTCGCCGACAAACCCAACGTCACCATTCTTGGCGAGGTGTACTCGAAGAAGCTTATGATCGATGATACCAATAATACTTGTAAGGGTGTGACTGTCATCACCGGTGCTGGCCAGGAGCTCAATCTATATGCCACCCGTGAAGTTATCGTCTCTCAGGGTGTCTTCGAGTCCCCTAAGCTACTCATGCTTAGCGGTATTGGGCCTAGCGCAGAGCTTAAGAAGCATAACATCCCAGTGATCGTCGACAGCACCCACGTTGGTCAGCATCTTCTGGATCACCCTGGTGTTCCTTTTGTCCTTCGCGTTAAAGATGGCTACGGTATGGATGACTACGTTCTACGCAAGGGTACCCCCAAAACAATCACGCCATCCAAGCCTACCAGAACAACCACAACGGTCCGTTGGGCTCCGGCTTCCTTGAGATGGTCGGATTTCCCCGAATCGACAACTACTTGGAAAAGGACCCCAAGTACCGAGAGGCCAAGGCCTCGAACGGCAACAAGGACCCATTCTGTCCGTACGGCCAGCCCCACTTCGAGCTCGACTTTTTTTGTCTTTTTGGTAGCGCATTCCAGTGGCACTACCCCACACCACCCAAGGGTCATCATATCACCGTCATGGTTGATCTTGTCCGCCCTGTCTCCGAGGGTGGTGAGGTCACCCTTAACAGCGCCGACCCTCTGCAGCAACCCAACATCAACCTCAACTACTTCAACAATGACCTCGATATCATCGCCATCCGCGAGGGTATCAGATTCTCCTACGATGTGCTTAAGCACGGTAAGGGCTTCAAAGATATTGTCCTGGGCGAGTATCCTTGGGAGATGCCTCTGCATGACGACGAGCTCATGAAGAGGGCCGTGCTGGACCGCTCCCAGACCTCCTTCCACCCTTGCGGTACTGCCCGTCTGTCTAAGAATATCCAGCAGGGTGTGGTTGACCCTGGACTCAAGGTCCACGGTCTTAAGAACCTCCGTGTGATTGATGCGTCTGTCATCCCTGTCATTCCCGACTGCCGAATTCAGAACTCTGTGTATATGGTTGCTGAGAAGGGCGCCGATGCCATCAAGCATGATCACACCGACTTCTACAAATAAGTTACTCAGCTGGAGTGATCTGTGATTCTAGTATGAAGGTCCGATATGATGTAATTTTGACTAATCCGAATTTGTGTGAAACTGTCCATAATGGATTGGTTTCGTGAAGATTATGTTTTCTTTTAGTTTTGGGTGACTGTTTTAACCACAATTAATTCAAAAGGTTATATTTTCGATTGTCTGTAGTTCCACGGCGTTCCCTGTTGGCCCTTAAAAGGGGAACTGCAATTGGTAGTTCTTCTGTTTTGCCCGTAATAAGGGGCTCATAAGTAATATGGTAGACTGGTCGGGATATTTCCTCAGGGGTACTGGACAAATGTAATATAGCTCTCTCCTACACTTCACCAGTCTTCTATGTTGATGCTGCCTAAGCCTAAGCTCCCTGACTTCTTGTCTTACTGTTACCCTTGGCCTTATTTTTGCTCTTGCCGTTGCCCTTTTCGAGAGACGGGACCTAATATTGAAGTACATAATTCCTTTGGAATCCTGATTCGACATTACTAGCCGGTCCTGGTTATTTGAAAATTGATCTAGAGGGCTCATTCCAGGAAGTATATGTGGCCGCGACTGATCAGAAGGCTGGCTTGGACAAGAAGGCAGCCCTGCGCAAGTAATTCATCGACGAAGAAACTGTACAGTGTACATTAACCCGTTCTTCGTCATCCTGCCGGCATGCCAGCCGGAGCCATGCCGCTAATTTGGCTTTGAGCATGAATTTCACCAGCCGAATGACCGAATTCTTTCCTCTCTCGCTACACCAGGTCCTCGCCAGCGACTCGGCGCCCTGCCCAGTCACTTTAACCACCATGACACCGTCATGTTCCGGGTCATCCTCGGCCATGTGCTCCTTCAGCCGCTGGATGGCCCATATCTTGCGCTCCTGATAACGCGACAACTCGCGTGCTGGCGGGCCACGCTTTGTTTGTGCGGTGAGGGCGGCAAGTCAGTCGAGCCGCGGATCCGTACATCTCTCAAATGCCCGGCGTTGAGCAGTCCCTCTGACACTACAAAATGCCTCTATATATTGATCTTAAACTACTTCGCCACGCCGGAGTCAGCGGAGAAGGGCACAGAGAGTATGTGACTCATATTATTGGTATGTTTGAGCAAATGATGTAATACTGTACGGCCTCTGCGAGTTGATTCTGAGAGTCAGAAGGGCTAGTGGAATCTGACGTTCACCCTAAGGCGTATAGTATGTACAATAAGCGGTTTATCATATTTGCGTTTTGGGAATGTCGCTCAACGCGCTTAGGTCTCTGAACTCCTCTACAGATGCCAATGTCCTGGATGCAGCCTTCGATATCTCCTCGCTGGCATCACTTCCCAATGGAAGCAACTCCGGCAACTCCCTCCCAGCTGCAACCCCTGAAGAGGTGACCACATCATAGATGATTTGAGCCCCCTTGACCGGATCACCGAGTTGAGCACCATTGAATGCAGCAAAGTTTGCATCAGTTGTATTGTTGAGTTCTCTGTATGCAGGTAATCGGCTGCTCTCGCTCGTACCAGCGATATTGGCAGAGGGATTCAATAAATCGGTTCGGAAAAAGCCTGGTTCAACCAAGCAGTGGTTGATGCCAAATTGAGAAACCTCGCCAGCTAATCCAATCGCTAGCCAGCGCAAGGCTGCCTTGGAGGCATTGTACAGGTTACAGCCAGGCATGGGATACCAGGCAGCCATGGAGCCAATGGTGATCAAGGTACCAGTGCCTTTCTCACGGAGATGCGGGAGTAGCGCGCGGTAGAGGTTCAAGGGACCAAGCGTGTTGGCCTGGAACTGGCGTAAAGTGTCTTCAGGGGAAACCTCCTCAAGCATACCGGTCTGGACATACGCAGCATTGTTGACAACAATATCAACAGTGCCATGGATTGCGAGAATGTCCTTGACAGCGGCCTGGATCTCAGAAAGTGGCTTGTTGTGGTCGAGGTACACTGGCTTCACATTGTCTGCTAAGGCCAGTGAATTGAGCTTCTCGGGGCTTCGTGAGGCAGCTAGAACAAGATCACCTTGGCGGGCAGCAATGCGGGCAAGCTCGAGGCCAAAGCCAGAAGAGGCTCCGGTGATGAGCCAGATACGAGGCATGACTGGATTAGAGGCAAAGTAACTTATTAAAGTAGTGTGCTAGAAAGCGGACTGGGTGATCAGTGGAGAGTGACTGTTTGCTTTTTAAGTGAGCATCATTCCGGACCCGCGTACACACGCCATCTGTTTAAGCCAGGCCCGTGTAAGGAGTACACATGGCATACGTAGTCGCCCGTACAGGTTTATACCCCTGTATGTATCTACCCCGCGTACTTTGTAATAAGCCCAATTGACAGACAGCGAGGCATGTCGTTCCAATTTACAAAGACTCGGATCGTGGCGCAGACCCAAATATGCATGCACTGTCAATCATTGTTCGCATTCGGTTCCATGCAGCGAGAGTCGAAAACAACTTCTTTCTAGAGACAGACCCATTCGTTCTTGGATGATACCAGAGACCACGCTAGTCCATAATAGGTTCTCCGTTTGTTTTCTTTGTGGGTTTTTCTCCAAACAAAAGCATGGGAAGAAGATTGAGTTGGACTGAGCTGGTGCCGCAACACCTTTCCTGGCTTGTCCGCCCATTCGATGACAGCGAGAATATACCCGATACTAAACCCGCAACTTGTCCGGGAAGGAGCAAGGATGTGAGGCTTTGTTCAAATAACCTGATCGAGTATGTGGAGTTGCGAGATCAGGCAAACCCACGCTAACTACAGGGATAGTAATCCCAATGGCAAATAGAACAGATATAAGAAATGCTCGTTCAGTGTAATATGAATAGTTCATGGACCGTGACAATATCGAAAGTCGCAAACGGAGTTAGCCGGAAGAATCATCCAACCATCAGGAGTTTTTCGTAAAGGAGCCCCGTGCAAGGCAGAAGCCCATAGACTCAAAAACATAAAAGCAGAAGCAGAAACAGAAATGAACGCCAACGCCATCTCATGTCTCCTTGGGTATCCTTGGGTATCTGAACGCTATGAAACGCAAGAGCAAACCGTGAGTATCTATAGATCAGAATTCATCAGATTAATCAGATTAACCTGGTGCGCTCTCCAAGCCCGGTGGAAGTGGTCGACCCTCTCTGTAAGACACGTCAGAATTGCTCGCTATACCAAAAATGAAAAGCGATCAGATCTTACCTAAGGTACTTCTTCCTCAAATTTCGAGCACGATCTTTGCAATTGACCTGAGAGCGACGCTCAAGCATGGGACCACCATCAGACGCAGGACAAGCGTTGTCTTGCTTCTTGATGGCGGCATAGCTACTACCAAAAATTCCCATGAGGTAAATCAGACGTTCATCTTCCTCCTCTGTCCATCTGTAGCTGGCCTTCGGACCCCTTCGGCTGGTCGTCGCAGCGTGGGAATTGGAAGCAGCCCAGCGACTCTGAGCACTTGAGGACGGTCCGTGCTGCTCAACGGCGGTCTCTTTATCAGTGGCATATTCACTATCAGCTCTTTGGTCCCTTTGAGGAGATCGTGTGGAGGTAGACCGGTGGTCGGAGGATCTGTTGATCTCCGCTTGCAACTCTGCTGGGGTAGATTCCCCATTGTCATGGGGGCGCTGTCGCTTCGCGGCAGGCCAATTTGACTGAAGCTTTCCTGCCCGACGCATGTCGTCGACATCCTGAGTGTTTTGTTCAAACTCAAAGTCTGTCTCATCACTTGAGTCATCATCCAGGTCATCAACATTCCGGTTTCGCTTCCCCAGCACGGTCCCTGCACCTTGAGTATCATATTGGCTGATTGGCGACACAACTCCAGCGTTAGTCTGCTTGTCAAGGAAACGTCGAGCGACCGGTTCCGACCGCTGTGTGTTTTCATCTCTGGGCGAATCAAAGAACCGAGGAGTAGGATTGTGGCTGATCCGACTGATCCTAGCGGAGTTAGGAGGGCTGGTCGATGTGATAACATCTGTCTCTGGGCTGTTGCCGAGATCCAGATCCTCGTCATTGTTTACATATGTAGAGTCATCCCCAATGTCTGCGTATCTCAGCTCAGGAGATTGTTGAATTTCGAGAGGCTCAACTCTGCGACCAGCAGAAGGGGCATCATTAATCGCTTGGGCCACAATACTTGTGTTTGTAGAAATACTTATGGCTTGCGATTCGACATTCGAGGCAGGTTGTTGACGACTAGTAGCCTGGCGCCTCATGAGTGCCGCAAATGAAGCCGGATCTCGGTAGTTGCTATAGATGAAGATTAGTAACCGTAGAAAGCGAGGGAAACTGCATATCAAAGATACCCTTTGGACTTGCGTCGACCCGGATCTTTTGCTACCGGCGGTGCGACTTGGTCGGAGACCCTTTGGTCAGAAGCCTTCTGAGAAGTGATATCTGACTGAGAAGCATTATCTTCATGTATTCTGGCGGCCTCGGATGCCTGTGCTGCCTGAGGTGCGTTCTCTGCATCTGGTGTAATGTCCACCCCCGGTGTCATGTTCATCAATCGTTCTTTTTGAGGAGACTGAGTCTGCTGGGGCAACAGTCGCCGGCGAGGGCTTTCGCCACTTGGAGGCGCTGTGGATACTGGGCGCCCACTGGGGGTTCCAACCGGTACAGAAGTAAGCCGACGAGTTGCAGGTGATTTATGCAGCTTTTCTGCCTTTTCTGACAAGCGTCTGATATCATCCTTGATTTCTCTGTCACGAACGTAGATCCAACGTGCAAGGTCCCGTTCAAATGAGCGCCATCTGTATGCCTTCTTCAAGCCATGAATATCAATGGAATCCCACTCAGAAATTTCCTCATGAAGCTCATTAAACCTATCGCTGACCGCGATGAGGAACTTTTCAGGAAGGTGTTCGGGAAGATGACCATCATCGTCCTCTAAGACACCCGGCAATTTGAAGCCTCGGAAGGACCCGGGGACATTTTGAGAGTCATCTTCGCTAGACACAAGGTCCATAGCAAAAATCTGTCTCAAGATGGAGAGTGGGTTGAAGCCCTGCTCATGCTGGCGTCTTTCTAATTCCATGATGAAAAACTGTGTGCGAATACCCAATGCAAGGTTGAAGGTGGCCTCAGTGGTACTACTTGCCCCAATTGTCCTTGACATAGAACTGTCCACAAGGTTGTTCATGACACAACCGGGAAACTGGGCATCCAGCTGTTGGATGACCTCAGACTGAGACTCGGTGCCCATGCTAGGGAGAAACATGTTCAGAGTCAAAAGAGTGCAGTTTGTCATGTAAATGTCTGTGGTTGATGCCTCCAGTTGCGCGGAAGAAAGTAAACGACGAGCCTGAGAGATGTCCAAGAACGACTTGCCATCACGAGAAAGAGGAGAGTCCTCCAATTCATCCGTCAGTCCTTCCACGGATCGTCTCAAGCGTTTGCGATTCGGGTGGTTGGAATCGACGAGCTTTTTGGACTCGGCTGCAAGGCTGTCCGGATTTAGCTCTGGGCGAACCAAGAGACTCATGACAAGAGAAGCCTGTTGTTGAACGAATGGCAGGTGAGTCGCAATTTTATCGGCAACTTGAGAAGCAATGGGCTCCACATCGTTGTGACCCAGGGTGGTACCAGACACATTGGTATGACCTTCATGGTTTTCGGGCGACTCTGGTACCACATGTCTGGGTACAATAAACCCGGGAGAAGGAGCGGAAGGCTCCTCCGTTAGCCCACTCAGCCCTGAGCAAGGTCAGAATATATTCAATTGCGAAACTGAAATGAGGAGGCAGCAGATCAAGTGTCAAAATGACAAGGGAATGGAGTAAGTGTGAAAGGTTAGAAAGTTTAGCCCGGGTCGCCTCACCACTGTGCGACTAGGATGCAAGGTTGCTGCGACTACACCAAAACAACAAAATCACCTACAATTTCGCTCTAATGATGCTTTGTTTGGCATATACCCTGCATTGGCTTCACGGCTCTGACTTCGAGTCATACGTGATCCCGTGATTCGTGCCATCAAAGGCGGTAGCCGACGTAGGGCGGACACGTGCGTCGAGGTTCCACGCGTTGTTGTGCTGGATGCGCTTTTGCACGTTTTCTTGAAATTTGATGAATCTAAAGAAAGTAAAATGAGACCACAAGGTTTTTGGTCGTCTTTTGATGAGATGGGTACGTATTGGATGGTGAGCTCAGGGGTTAAGGGGATGGCGAGAGGAGTTGTCAGGGCTTTCGGGGCTGCGTTTCTCGGGGAAAGGAAAATCAATAGCGCGTAGCACGCTAAACCTCCTTGGGGAATATTGATACCTGATATCTGCCTAATATACAAGGACTCAGACCCTAAACCCTCCAGACCCTAAACCCAAACCCTAAACCCCCATAACCCTACTTCACCCGACCAATGGCGTGCTAATGGTGTTGAATTGGAGAGATGGATGTATTTTTATTTCTTACCACTTGCGAAACAAGTATTAGAGGATGTCGCATCCTTGGATAGACAGAACTGTCGATAATACATCTTCACTTGACGATCCATTGTCACAAGACTAGTCGTTTGTTGACATGATGTATTTGGGCAGTTTTCTGGGACTTGAGTTTTAGATATATCTTTTGGGAATTTTCATTCCGCAGTATTTAGCTAGATGGCGTAACAAGGGTTGTAATGTGCAGAAGACTTTGGAATTTCATCTGTGATCTGCTACCTAGTGCTATGATCAAGGTCCACCAGTGAGCTTTGGATTTGGCAATGGAGACAAAAAGATAACATTGTGAAATCGGCCATTGCGTGGGCCAGGCACGTAATTATATCATTAAAACAGTCCTAGGTATGTCACAAGATGCATTCATTCGACTTTTAAACAGACCAACCGCCAAAAACTGTAACGATGAGTTTACATGGACACATACAACCGCGGAGATGCAGCGCTTTAAAAGATGGCTTCAATGAAGTAGATGACGCCAAACACAAGGAATGCCACAGCGCCGCCGAGAGTCACTATAGAATTCAAGATTAGCATGTGTCATAGATAGGAGCGCAAGTAGAGGATACATACCAACACGCATGCTAACCCGGCCAGCGATAGCCCGCCCACCGATCACGGCGGCTGCGGTGCAGATTCCGTGGCCAGCGCTGGCTCCAATTGTCACCCACCAGTAGTCCTGGCCAGCTGCCATGGCGATAGTGGCAATTTGGCTGCGGTCGCCCCATTCGCCGAGGAAGGTCATGACAAAGGTCTGAACCCAGGCGGGGCTGAGAAGCAGGGAGAAGAGGTTGCTCAACCCGGAAACGGCATTGTTCAGTCGCTGCCGGGGTTGTGGGGAAGATCCACGGGACGAGGACGAGGACAAGCTCTCTGGAGGCGAGGGCAGACGGTTTCCGGAGCCGCGGGTTTTGGGACGGCCAGCGCGACCTGCTTCAAGATTGTGAGGAGTAACCGAGGAGCGACGGCGGCTCATGCGCAGCTGCTCATGCTCCTTCTCTTCGAGCTCTGCTTCGACCTCTCGCATCTCTTCACCCACACCCTCATCTGGAGACATTTCGCGACCTTCTTTGAGCATCTTAACACCAAATACCAAGAACAGAATGGCAGCCATGAATTTGGTGAATGCTTTGGGGATAAGAGTAGGGACTGCATGTCCTAGGACGGCTGAAAGGACAGTCATGCCAATCAAGGCGCTGAATGCGGCACTAAACACCACCAGGCGATCGTGTCTCATGGCCATCAGCGCAGCCACAAGGAAAGTCTTGTCTCCGATTTCAGAGACGATGATCATGGTGAACGAGAATATAAGGGAGTGCATTGGGCTGCCGGCATCGGGGATACCGGAGTCATGGTCGTGGCTTAACGAGGATGAGCTTGTAGACGAACCGGAGGCGACTGAGTCGTACCCAACTCCCAGGGGATCCTCCTTGGCTATGCCCGGCGGCTTAGGGTATGGAATATCGTGTGGCTTTTCAGGCAATCCGGATGGTTTCTAGATGCACGTCAATCCAACTTGTTCAAGAAAGGAGATTGAACTAAAAGAGAATGCATAGGAAGACTTACCTCAAGCATACCAAGGCTTCCCGGTCCCTCGGCAGACCCGACTGCACTCCCGATTTTCGTGTCGTCGCTGTCAGAGACCATCTTCTTCGTCTCACTATGCGGCAGCGGAGGCGCCTCCTTGGGCCCTCCGGGAACTTTCTCCGAGACCAATTGATTTCCCTTGTCTTTCTCAGACACACCACCTTCTGTTCCGCGTGTCCCCTCTTTCGGGCCTGCCCGATACGGATCATCCATAACGCCGCCGTTGGAATAAGGGATAGCCTTGCCTTCTTCGGTGCTCAGGTGCTCCGATGAGGAGGCTTTGATGTCATATTTGGTGGAAACCGGATCACTCTCATCGCTTTCTTTGACAACTTTGTTGTCCCGGTCTGCGTTGGTTTCCACCCACGGACCAGCGTGCGGTCTGCCATCCTTGCCATCCACGGGGACGTCCGGCGCCCCTTTGGCGACATTGGATGCGACAATATCCGGGTCGGCAATACGAGCATTGTTGCCGACAGTCTCACGCGATACTCGAGAATCTATGTTGTCATTGTATGTTGTGTCGGCGAGTGCGGCCGAGATGGCGGGAAGAAGGAAGAGGAGGAAGGACGACTGGTTGATCTTCATGATGAACAGCGGATTTTCCGCAGAAATGTTGAATGAAAGTTGAAATTAGCCGTTGAATGTCTAGTCGATGATCTTTCACAACCAGGAGTAAAAGAGGAACGGATATTGAAAGCGGGAGAATTCTTGATGCCACGACACTAGGTCGCGTGAGAGGATTTGATCGACTTCGGCCAATTTTAAACGAAGATAGACCTTGGAATGAATGTGTAAAAAGAAAAAAATGGAGATATTAAGACAAAGTATACCAAGCAAATAATAGGAGAATTCAAAGCAAAGAAAGAACGCCTTGAATTTCCAAAGGGGGTCGCACGTGACCCCCTGCGAACGGCCCCCCTGGAAATAGAAATCACCTCGATCTGGACTGGATTTCTCCCTTGGATGCAAATGGCAATGGCAATTTGGCACTTTACTGTCAATATGCATAGATGTTGTCTGAATGGGAGAACTTTGGGTTAGTCTGTTACTTGCTATGTTTTGCACAATTTCAGTACGGAGTGTTTTCCCCTCACTGTGATGCTTGTGTTTCTCTTTGGACGTGCAGGGAATTTGTGATGAGCTAACTAGGTAGAAACCGACTAGTTTAGGTATAAAATCAGTGTAATTTTGTGAATGGAGTTGCTTATCTGTTTGCCCCTTATACCGCTAGAGGGTATATGAGCTATAACCTTGAAGCTGGCCGTTGGTAAATATCAAAACTGTCAACAACGGGAAAATAAATAAACAATCTATTCTGGGGAACATAGGTAGCACTCGATAAACACTTCATTTGTTGTTTTTGGTAGAATGGCTGATACGGTGGGAAGTGGGGGGGTTCTATTTATATATTTTATGCCGAAAAAAGTCTCAGGATACTCAAGGATCTCATCTCCTAGCCTGGCAATGACCATAATGGATCGTAATACTTATGAATCGTGCCACCTTTGACCCCTGGCGCTACAAATGTCGATACTCCGGCTTTCCGATCGTAGCTTTCAAATGTCGCGGCCAAACGTTTCCCACCGCCCCCTGGAAGGTCTACCACAAATGAAGGCGTCATGAAGCCAGCAATCGTACCTCGAACATGGGATTCAATATGGAGGATATCACGCAGTGGCGTGCGTAAGTCCTCAACGCCCTGGACCATGTCGCCCTGGTATACATAGTACTAGCAATATGTACTTAGCACAAGGTCAACAAGAGAGAGCATAACCATACCGGTTGAATATTATTGTCGGCCAATCGGCGAATCAGCAATTTCATAGTGTCAACATCATTGTTCACTCCGTGGAGCAAGACTGTCTGATTTCTCACAGTAATCGCATTCTCAAACAACCGTTGTGCTGCTCGTTCCGTGATCCACGAGATTTCTTGTGGATGGTTGAAATGTGTGTGGAGCGCTACACTCTTTCCTAATTTCCTCCCAAGCTCACTGGTTTCAATCAGTGCTTCAGTCCATTTATCATTGGGATGTAATATCCGCGAGGGACACACCGCCAGCCCTTTACTGGCGAACCGGATACGACGCACATGCTCGATTTCTAAAAGCTTGTGCCCTATCTCACGTAGCTGCGCGGGCTCCAAGAAGAATGAATCCCCACCGGAAACCACAACATCAGTCACTGCCGTTGTCTGTGAAATGTAGTCAAACATCGGCTCCCAGTACTTGAGTAGCGGGAGGAACCGTTTCTTGGACACAGTCTTCGTCTTTGCGCCGACGGAATACGACCGCGTGCAGAAACGACAATAGACGGGACACACTGAGCTTGCTGGTTATGTCGTTAGTGCCACTTTGGCGGTCTCAAGGATACAGAGAAGGGAAATACCTAGAAATAGCACCTTGTCGGGATAACGGTGAACCAGCCCCTTCACTGGGGAGTCTCTACTCTCAGATAGCGAATCAAGCTGAAGTTGGGGATGATCTGGCTGTGATTCCGAGGCAAGAGGAATGAACTGTCGGCGGATGGGGTCCGAGTATGGGTTGTCCCAACCAACGAGAGCCAAGATGTGCGGCGTCAGACGGGTGGCCATAGGAGCACGCTGCAAGCCCGCTGCGACGTCCAATATGAAAGATTCTCGCGTCGTGACTTGGCCACTCGCCATTGAGACAGTGGAAGGTATGACGGAATCGAGAAACTTGAGTAGCGATGCCGCATTTTCGAGAGAATTTTTCACCTGACTTCGGTCAGCTCACTATGTATAGAAAGTAGCACTCAGATCCACACCTGCCACCTATAATCGAGGAATTGAGTCTCCGTAGTATTGTGCCAGGCTGGAATCTTTCTCCAGTATTCAATCTGCGCGGCGGCCAAGGATCCCGAAAAGGCTTGGTGAGTTGTAGTAGAGTGCCATCGGTGTCGAGAAAGCCTGCATTGAACGCTGGATTGGAGCCTCCTTGAGTGGAGAAACATACCCTTCTTTGTTATTTTTATAGATTTGTCAGAGGCAAAACCCGGCATACGCTCGAAGAAGAGAATAGCATGCTCTGTCAGAATTGCAGCAATGTCGATTTGAATGAGATTCTTATAACCAGGATGTACTGAGGGATCGTATCGCTTGCGTGCAGTTTCTCTCGTAGTACTCCATCCTACTTATACAGTTGGAATCACTAACTCATGAGCTTGACAAATCTGTGAAACAACAGAACCTGACTACCTGCCTGAGCTGCTGCATCTGATCACAGCTGTGATGGAGGCCAGCGAGGTGTACAGGTAGCATCAGCCTCTTCGCATTGCGGCCATTGGCCAGACATCCTACTAGATCGCTCGCCAATAGCTATACAGTATACAGTGTACATAACTGATGGCCACAATTCCATTTTCTATGCATCATAGTGTCACACTGCCAGTCTAGCTCCCATTTTTCTGGCATGTCCAGTCATTTTTCTCACCAAAGTATGGTCTACAGGATATAATTGCTTTAGATATAGTGAGCCCAGGCCAGATGTCAACGCGCCTCTCCAGGGGTCCAGCTCCCTTGCTCGCGCTACTAGCTTCAACGTTTTGTCCTAGAAGCTGTTTCAAATGGCCAATATGAAAACATTTGTGGTATTCCTCTGCTATGGGGGTTTCTCTTTCTTTGCCGATCACCTTTACCTACCTCTCCTATATGTTACGTGATTAGCTAAACCTGAAACCCTAACCTTAGGTAGTAAGGCTTATAGAGATTATAGAAATCTCTTTAACGAAATACTAGACGTGACGCTAGAGGTATTAGACTCCCTAGAGTTTAAGTATAATTTATATTGCTAGGCTAAGCCGACGCTAATAGGATGTCAGAAGTTATACATAGAAAAGTCGTTTGCACAGAGTATGCTTTCCCTGCCTTTTTCTGCCGTCTTGAATAGACTGGAAAAGGGAAAACTATTTTAAAGATATCTAAGAAGAAATGGGAAGCCCACTGAGAAAGCTGTTGGAAAGACCGCTGGAAAGACCACTAAAAAGCCCTGTAAGAAAGACATCATAGGGCCGCAGAAGCGGCCGTCTACACTTGTAGATCATACTTAGAAATAATCGACTAGGTGACTCGTTTGAATCCCGAAAGCTACGATATTATAGATAAATGAAAGGAAGATTAGGACAAGCTTCAAGACCTACTTAGGAGGATAAGGGATGTTAATATGAAGCTATAGGGGGACACTGCCCTCCATCAAAGGATGACGCACTAAGACCTGTTAGGGGCAGTGTTCGAGTGTGTAGACGCATCTTTAAGTTCTCCACCATTTGTTAAGGTGAATAGCCAAGTAGGGCCCTTCAGTCGGGCTAGAAAAACCTCTCGTCACATGTCCAAGTTAGAGAGGAAGAACCGAGATCAAAGCACTACTTTTGTTAGGGAAGCCTGTTGAGATCAGAACTGGGACCCGCTACTAAATTGGCACAAGCAAAGGCTACGCAATCGCTGGGAGCATTTGTATAAAACCCCAAGGCTGCAATTGCTACACAAGGGAAATGCGGCTCAACCCCCGAGCCCCGGGGTACGTAATTCCCAGGGATGGGGTCCCTCAACACCTCGAAGGATATTATGTACATATGTAATCACCCCAACATTGAAGTTTAGTCCTGTTATGTAGCGACAGATTACTCGAAGGCTATTCGGAGAGTCCGTTTCATGAGACATACCAGAAGCACAATGTCTCACAAGGTGTGATGACATTACTCACGCATTCAGAGCGATTATTTGACTGGCCAGTGTCAAAAGTGTCTCAACAATAGAAAGCCTCGTCTTCGATTATGTGGTAGTTGTTTACTATGCGCACCAGGTCCATTATGAAATATGGCAACATGGGACATTGAACGACCCTCAAAGCAGTCTGTCGATCGCTGCCGATCATTCGTGGACTAAATGAAGTGGCGTTCCCAGAAGTAGGACCCGGCAGATGCCACGGGCTTATTAGATCCTCCACCTCCAAGCATCGAAATCTATAAGGTCCCAAATGAATTGCAATCCTCTGATGTATGACGATGTGGCAGCGCACGCACTGGCAAAGGGAGATACAAACATCCAACGATATGGACACACCAAGATCGAGGCTCCTTTCCCCCGCAATTTGATATGCATAATGACGGCAGCCAACACGTCTTGGTCAGCTGAGACAATCCTAGAGCATTTGACACACGATTCTAGGAGTGAGTGACACTGGAATTTCCCTCAAAAGATACGCTTATGGACGGGCAGAACATAAGAAGCGAAACTCTCGCGACAACCGCCGGATTTGAGTGGCTTGGCATATCCTAGGAATGACTGTGTGCATTCGGCTAGTGGGAAGATCGGAGTGGAGTTCACCTTCCTATTGCACGTCTTATATGTGAGTGTAGTCCATGTTAGTATTATTGGGTTCCCTGGACGTTATCTGTTAGCATGTGTGGCCTGAAGATCTACCTGTCAATGCATTGTTGACATGCAATTAACATTCTGAAAGCATACTCATTACGCGTGAGTACTTTGAAGCTACTTTGATTTTAGCGTGGCGATCATACGATAGCCAAGGTACTCGCCATGTACCTTGAGCTGTCTCACCGCCTCCCCCCACTGCCACATGGGATCGTCGATCGCCTTTTTCTTTTGGCTCTGTTTTTCCAAAGTTTCCATTATCGCGTGATCTATTCAAGAGCTTATCGCAGGGACCCTAACAGACCCTAGGACACTATATATCCCCCCGTCTGCCACTTATCTCTTCTGTACTTCACTTCACCTTTCCCCCGTCTCAAGCTATGCCTCCAAGTGGTGCTCATTTGCTGCCTGGGTTAATCTATAAGCGTTGATCGCCCTCACCCAGCGACAGATACTCCACCTGTCTTTTTGTGGGGGTTTTATCTCGTTACTGTCAAGACGTCGTCTGGAGTTGCTAGTTTTACTGGCAGCATTTTTGGGCGGATTCCGGTCTTACTTGAGATAAATAGCTGTGAGTGACTCCTCCGCTGCACCCTGGTGACCTTTTGTGCTTCCTTTTTAATTTCACCGACGCAAAAGACGCTAACCAAAAATGACATGTTTAGCATACTTGTTTCACAAACTACCCAGGCAGAACACTGCGTTCATGGTTCTCGAACAGAAGATGTCATCACCAGCAGAAGAACGCTCCAATATTATGGAGGAAAGCACGGGAATAGAACCTGTTCTGCAGCAGCCAGCTGCTTCGCGCTGGAGACGAGTCTTTGGAGGTAAAGCCAAGGAAGAGCCTGAGTCTAGCGAGAATCAGACTTATCGCGCCAAATCAACCCTGGGTATCCTAAGTGACAAAGAGACAGACGAAGTTCCTGGTGAGTGGAGAGTGCCCCGTCATTGGGAGGTGCAATGTTGTGGAACAAGGACTGACAAGTGTCTGGCATGCTTTAGGAACGGTACTTCTCTTATCGTCAAATCGAAATGAGCCCCTGGGAATGAGACACCAACCGCATCGGACATCAACATCATCTATAACCTCATCTTATCGCCCCTCGCGATCTAATTCTCGAACCAGGTCGGCGATTCCAACGAAGAGAACAGCGGACGGACAATTTGTGCTTGATCCTCAACCGGATGACTCAGTAAATGACCCTCTGAACTGGCCTGTGTGGCAACGAGATGCCGCATTGGTCTCGCTAGGCTTTTATTGCTTGATGGGAGGTGGCATGACCCCAATCTTGGCAGCTGGATTCAACAATGTTGCAAAGGAGTACGATGTCAGCACGCAACGAGTGGCTTTCACTACCGGGTTCTATATGTTAGGCCTGGGCCTGGGGTCTGTCGTGATGTCGCCCACGGCCATTTTATACGGGAAGCGACCAGTATACCTCTTGGGAGCGACCCTGTTCGTGATCTCAGCAATTTGGTGCGCAGCGTCACCCAACTACCCGAGTCTCGTGGTCGCTCGTATTTTCCAAGGTTTGGCCGTGAGCCCAGTCGAGTGTCTTCCATCTGCTACAATTGCAGAGATCTACTTCTTGCACGAAAGAGCCTACCGGGTGGGCATCTATACACTCTTGCTACTAGGTGGTAAGAATCTGATCCCCCTAGTGAGTGCCGCTATCATCGAAGGACTGAGTTGGCGCTGGGTATTTTGGATCGTCGCCATGATCGTAGGCATGTGTCTAGTTTTGCTTTTTTTCTTCGTCCCTGAAACATTTTGGGATCGCACACCCCGTCCGCGTGTGCACAAGAATAAGAGCCCACGCATCACTGGCCATAGTGTCTCTGACCTCATTTCCCACGGCTTGCGCGGACGGCGCCCGAATGTCCAACCCCAGGGCGAGTCCGCCGATCACATCCATTCAAACCCAGCATTGGCACCGAAAAAGTCCAAGCATACGCACGTTGGATTCGCGGATGACCACCCAGAAGGCAGCGATCAGGCAGTTGAGACTGAAAAGTCCGATTTCATTCCCGAAACTGGCAATGCTACCAATGGCGATCAAATCATTACACAGCCGCCGAGTCCAGCCAACGAGAAACGCGATGACTTCCTCCAACCACTACCTCAAGCTCTTGTGCCCGGCGCGCATCCAGATGACCTGGAAATGGGTCGACCGGCCGCTGTAACACCCGCGAGGACCGAGTCACTAGAGCCAGCTGGGACACCGCTGCCCGCAACCCTACTGTACACAAACCGACTCCGTGAACGCCCGAAAATCCCTTACTCTCAATTACTGCGAGTCTGGAACGGACGAATCGCGCAGGATAGCTGGTACCGCGTCGCCGTGCGACCATTTGTTCTATTTGCCTATCCATCCGTCCTCTGGTCCACAGTGGTATACTCGTTATCGGTCGGCTGGCTGATCGTGCTTTCGGAGTCGGTTGCACACATCTTCGAGGGCAAAGAGCACTACCATTTCACCGCGCTACAGACAGGTCTGGTGTACATATCACCGTTTGTTGGCGGTCTCCTGGGAACTGCAGTGGCGGGCAAAGTATCAGACATGATTACGCGGTATCTGACCAGACGTAATGGCGGCATCTACGAACCTGAATTCCGTCTCGTCATGGCGATTCCTATCGCATTGTCAACCGTTATCGGTTTGATGGCCTTTGGGTGGAGTGCTGAGATCGGGGACTCTTGGATTGTCCCGACTATTTTCTTTGGTTTGATTTCGTTTGGTTGCTGCCTGGGCAGCACGACGGCTATCACATTTTGTGTAGACAGCTATCGCCAGTATGCTGGCGAGGCGCTAGTAACACTGAACTTTAGTAAGAGTATGTTGGACTAACCTTCATTTTTGGTCTTTTGATTTGATCTAACGTGTGTGCTCTCACAGATATCCTCCACGGCCTGGTTTTCTCCCTTTTCATTGTGGACTGGCTCGATGCTGATGGTTCACGCACTGTGTTCCTGTCTATCGGCGGTATACAGCTTTTCTTCATGCTCATGTCGATCCCCATGTACATCTATGGCAAACGAGCTCGCATGTGGACGGTGCGTCAGCGGCTCATGGAACGTCTTTAAGTCGGCTCATTGAACATTTATGGAGGATTGTTGTCTTCCATTTTTCTTTATCTCTGATTACATATATTATGGGCGGCCACGGGTCACTGCATTTTTTAGATGTTTATTTTTTGGGATGCCACATCTGGAGGCAGTTTATAATAAGATTCAAAGCATCTTGCGCGAATTGAGTGTATTAACCATTATATCTATATCCCAATTTCAATGATGTTTTGATCTACTACGTATGTTGTAGTAACCGGGTTGAAGAATCCGAGGTCCTCAGGCAGAAAATTAACGTCATAAGCACAGCTCGGAGACAAGCCGAGATATGCCTTTAAGCTTAGGGCTCCACTGCTTTTCTAGCATCGCAGAGAAAGCTAAAATTCACCGACGTTGCGCCGAGTTGGAGTACATGCTCAGCGCTAGACACTGTTCGGGATAAGATGCCGTTCTCAACCATCTTATCTGATGAAATTCCGCGCCAAGTGGGGGATGTTTCTATTTGGCCTACCTTGGAGTGCATTCAATCTGATTGAGCTTCGGCCCTTCGGTCCAGGATCAGCTCACCGTGGCGTGGAGCTCGGCTTTGTTGAGACTTTTATCAATCTCCGATCTATAAATATAGGTAGTCATGGCATGAGTCTTTTGAGTTCAAAGTTCTTATCCTCCTTTCATGTTCGAGCTAAAAGCTTGATACATCACCCCAGCATCGAGTTTCAATTATGGCACTCGATACTTTGGAGTCGAAGTCGGTGGATGTGGTGTCAGCGCCTGTCCGTGAAGACATTCAGGCCCCGTCGGAAAAATTTGACGATGACTCTGATGGAAAGAAGCCACCACCGCTTGCAGCAAAATTGTGCGCAGTAGCATTGATATCGTGTATTAGTTTTGGCTCACACTGGAGTTCTGGCGTGACGGGTGCTATGAAGACCACGATCAAAAAGGTATTGAATGCTGTGAAGATGTCGATTTATAGGGTTCGCTGACGGTTGCTATTTCGTAGCAAATGCATATCGACAATGTTCAATTTTCCCTTTTGGAGGCTAGTGAGAATTTCATGGCAACTGTTCTGCTTTTGATAAGTGGTGTAATCACCGACCGAGTCGGTGGAGCTGGTATGTTGTCAAGTTTATTAAATTTGCGAGATGTATCCTGACCAGCCATTCAGAGATGATTGTTTATGGAAATATCGTTTATACCATCGGATCTATCCTCGTCGCTGCTGCCGCGACCGTGCGCTCTTTCGACTTCATGATAGGAGGTCGAGTTATCCTTGCACTCGGAGACATCGCCACACAAATCGCTCAATATAAGATGTTTTCCTCCTGGTTTCCTCCTAGCAGTGGATTTGCATCTACACTAGGATTTGAGCTTGCCATCGGCAAGATTGGAGGATTTGTTGGCAAGTCGACGGCCAATATTATTGCAAAGGTGAACGCCTTGCTCGGTTTGACTTGTCGAAGGAAGTGCTGACGGGAGGACAGAAAACCGGAAACTTTGCATGGGTATTTTGGACCTCGGTGTTCATGAATCTTTTCACAAATGCGGCTACCGCAGCGTTCTGGTTCTTCAACCAGTACTGTAATCGCCATTACAAGGGACGACGCGATAGAGCAACCAAAGAGCAACTGACAGAGAAGAACAAAAAGTTCGAGTTTCAAAAGGTGTTCGAGCTCCCGTGGACGTTCTGGGCCGTCATGGCCTTCTCTGTGTTTCAAACGAGCGCAGCGTCAGTCTTCAGTCAAAATGCCACCGAGCTGGCCGAGAAGCGGTTCAATGTCGATTCGATCAAGGCCGGTTGGTATAGTTCTCTTTCGCAGTATGCAGGTACGATATTGCTGGAGTGTATGATAGCCATGTTGGATACGCGCTGATATTGATCAGGATTTTTCCTCGTTCCCTGCTTGGGGGTATTCATCGATGTCCTTGGTAACCGAGCGTCTGTTTGTTAGTTGTATCATCCAAGTTCAACCCGATCGCAATGCTAACATCCCTAGTGTTTACCTGCGGTGCCGGAATGCTGTTGAGCATGGTTCTGATCAATTTTGCAACATCGAAGGCAGGCACAGGGGCTGCATTCGGCATCTACGCCATTGCCATGTCCCTCGGACCAACCTCCGTTATAGACAGCATTCGCACCACACTCTGGCACCAATCAGTCTTTGGATCCGCGTATTCATTGAAGGTCACCATGAATAATGCGTAAGTCTAATACCCCCACCTCCTGTGATAGTTATGTTTCGCGGCAGAATTTGACAGGTGAAATCATGATAGTATGAGCATTATAGTTCGGATCATAACCGGCGCTCTGCAGGACGCAGATAATAACTCATACCGTCGAGTGGTACAAGTTTATCTAGTCCTTGCTGCCGGTGCTCTGACTGTCAGTGCAGTTATCCTGATCGGCTCGTTTGTGACTGATAACCTGGCGGTGTTACAATGGACTCGGCATAAACGGTTGACATCGGGGGCGGAAATAATCGACCGGATTCGAGAGCGCAATTTGGTAACTCAGCACCGACGTACTCGGAACATTTCGATCATTTGCTTCGGGGCCTTGATTTTGTTGACACTTGGGTCGTGGGTGGCGTATATCTGGGGGGCAGTGACCGGTCATAACTCCTAGTCGGGTACTCGGTACTCCATAAGTTTGAAAGAATTGAATAAAACATATGATTTTCGGTTTCGATGGAGGTTTAGGTTTATAACGGAACAGTCGATTAGTATACCGCATTGTTATGGCAGTGCAGTCAAGATCGCCCATGTCGCGCCTCTGGTTTTCGCCACTATCGTCATGTGGTTCCAGAGGCTTGCAGTAGTTCCGCGTTTCCCCCTTGACAAAAATGACGTATAATTGTCGGTTGAAAATGACGGCATGGAATGTGGGAGGATGAACGAGGACTGGGAGCGATGAGATATTATGATTCAGATTACGAAAATGCGAGGTACGAAGCAAGGGAAGATACATGGGAATTAGCACCTTTTGACTGGTAAAAAGATCGTGAAAATCTATTGGCCCGTTTGGCTATGATCGTGCCTGATCTTCACGGCCAATATTGTTGCCTGAGGCCACCAGCCAATGATCTACAGCCTCACAACGCCACAGGACCACCTCACAGCCACTGAAACCTGCTCCCCTCCACATCTTGGCCACACTTCTGCTGCCCACTGGACGCCCCCTGGGACATTCAACTCCATCGTGTTCCAGTCAATTGTACCCTGTTCTGCCGATCCCAAAATGCCGCACAATCACACGAGAAGCGGTGGAGCAAGTGTGCGGCGCACACGAATATCATCGTGTTCCGAGCGCTGCTTCTTTGGGTCTTCTACGGAGTATTTCTCCCTAGGCCCACCTCTTCAAGGCCCGTCCCTATGTTGACAGACGAGATCCCTGTGCTCCGTACACACCCCGTGTCTGCCTTTCACCTGACTTGCCGTTTGGGTGTGGAGAGCTATCTCTAGATCGAGAAATCTCCAGGGCTCACTTTTCCTTTCTCCAATATTCCGTGACTAATCCAGTCACATTCGTCGCTTCAATTTCTGACCTTTTTTCGACAACTTCGTTTGTGGGATTCGACCTCTCTCACCCCTCACCTCCGTCCCTTGGTCCTCACGGGCGTGACAACTTCATCGATCTCGAAATTTGGAGTCCGAGGATGCAGCAGTGTATCCTCACACTTCTAACGGTAGTCGCAAACTATGAGTGCCACTAGGACAAGCCAGGATGGCCCACACAACGCAGACCGCAGGGCGAGGGAGCTATACCGCTACTACCAGCCTGCGTCCCAACCTGACGCGGTTCCATCATGGCTTTCTGCGGACGATGGCTTCCCGTTCTCTGCAAATTCAGGAAATACACTCACTCCGCCAATATCCGAAGGGTCAATGCCGTCACGCAGTAGTGCCGCTTCCCGACCAGCGACCGCAATGGGCCCAGATGCTCTCATGCTGGGCACCTCGAACAGTACCATGACGTCATTTGCGCAGCTGGCAGCCTTGCGTTTGAACGCCGAGCGCGTGTTTATCGCAGTATTAGATCGTGATCAACAACACATCATTGCCGAAGCTACAAAATCTCTCAATTTGAACGATCCCGCAGTTCACGACGAAAATGATTACCTCTGGTTGGGGGCCCCCGACACCCGCAAGACATGGAGTGTGTGCAAGGTAAGTCTGCTCACACGACGAGCTGGCTGATTTGTAGCCACTGTCGAACTCGACCACATACTTCAATGACTCCTGGATTTTGACGCCGTTCGACAGGACACTGTTTCTCTACCCCCGAACGATCGCGAGAATGCAGACTATCAATTTTTAGTCGTGGACGACCTGACCGAAAATGAACGCTACAAAGACCTTTCCTTCGTTGCCAATGATCCCAAATTCCGCTTTTTTGCTGGAACCCCCTTGACAACCGAAAAGAACATCAATTTGGGTTGCTTGTTCGTGTTGGATAAAAAGCCTCGAGATGGGTTGACATCGCTAGAGAAGGACACACTGGGGTCTTTATCGATGATTGTGGTGGACTACTTGAGGGTTTGCAGACAGGCTTCCGAAGGACGCCGGGCCGCGCGCCTTTCTCGCGGCCTCAGCTATTTTGTTGAAGGAAGTTCTAGTTTCGTGGATAGTATGGACCGGTCGCGTACCGACAGCGTCGGTATTCCATCAGCTACCCCGCCATCTTCCTACAATCGATTGAGTGCCTCTGGTGGCTCTCGTGGCTCACCCGACTCTCGTGGGAACGGCCTAGAAAATGCATCGCAAGAGCCATCCATTAGTCCGCCGAACAATCGAGCACTCAGCACCGACGCGCGTTCATTTAGCTCTGTCCCGTCCGATTTGAAATTGGACTCCGATTCGAAACAGAGCGGTAGTTCAAGATTGGACGATAGTTCCAAATTGGACAGCGGCTCAAAAGTAGAATCGGGCACTGTAGAGAGTTCTCTGCCAGAATGGCTCACAAGCAGCAGCCGGAATCGACTACCACCCGATGATTCGCAAGGCAACTCCTGGTGCTTCCGCAGAGCGGCCAACTTACTCCGGGAGAGTCTTGACCTGAGTGGCGACAGTGGAGTCATCTTCCTGGAGTCCAACAATAGCCCTTTGATAGATGCCGATATGGGGAGTGATTGTTCCGACACAGGCGGACCTGCCTCTGTACTGTCAGCATCAACAAATGAAGAACCATTTGCTCCCCAGGCAGGGTCCATGGCCACATGTGCTGCGGCAAATTTGGATCGATCTTTCCTCCAATTGTTGCTGCGACGATATCCCAAAGGAAAGCTATGGTCTTTCCATCGCGATGGGCTCCTCTCGACATCAGACGATGATGACCAAGAACCCCAAGACAAGGGCCCCATTGGCACTAGTACCAGCAGTCGGTCCCCACCTAGTGTAACTGCACAACCTTCCAAGTCCGTGCGAAAACGGCGGAAAGCTGCGGAGAACTCCATACTCAACCAGTATTTCCCAAATGCTGCGCAAATCATGTTTGTGCCCTTGTGGAATGCTGTTTCTTCGCAGTGGTTCGGAGGGTGTTTCTGCTGGAGTACAGTCGAGACCCAGGTGTTCACAACCTCAGTCGAGCTCAGTTCAGTGCTTGGGTTTTCATCGTCCATCATGGCCGAGTACAGCCGCGTCGAATCCCTCATCGCAGATCGCCAGAAGGGTGATTTCATTGGCAGTATCTCGTGAGTTTGTCTTCGTATCTGAGATATCTGACCTACTTGATCGCAGTTACTAATTACTACATTCTATCAGACACGAACTCCGTAGCCCTCTGCATGGCATTTTGGCCGCTGCCGAGTTTATGAACAGCACCCATCTCAATGAATTCCAGGACTCATTACTCGAGACCGTCAATTCCTGTGGTCGGACGTTGCTGGACACAATGAACCAGGTGCTAGACTTCAGCAAAGTGGTATCTTTGGAACGAACATGGCGGTCAATGAAACGCAAAAAACAGTCCTCGCTTGAGTACAAAGGATCAGACAAGCTGGCGCATCATTTGGATACGTTGGTGGCTACTGATGTGGCTATTCTCGTCGAGGAAGTTGTTGAAGGAATATGTCTTGGCCATGTCTTCGGCCAGAGCTCTACTGCTTCAGCCGACCTGCCTGTATTGATGCCACATCAAACAAAGTTGCAGAATCAGCGGTCCAACGTTGAAGTTGTTATTGATGTTTTGTTCCGGGATTGGGTCTACCGGACTCAGCCGGGCGCTTTACGGCGCATCATCATGAATCTCTTTGGAAATGCCATGAAATATACAGAATCCGGCCGTGTTACTATATCCTTGGCAGCATCTAGTCAGTCCGAAGGACGATCTCGACGGCAAGGCCTTGAAGACTTGGTCACATTAACAGTAACCGACACGGGTAAAGGGATATCGGAAGAGTTTTTACGCGGCAAACTTTACACGCCCTTTGCCCAGGAAGACGCCCTCGCCGTCGGCACTGGGCTTGGATTGTCAATTGTTCGCAGTTTGGTCAAGGCTCTAAATGGAAGCATTCGAATTCGCAGTCGTCCTGGAGAGGGCACTGTCGTACAGGTGTCCCTCCCCTTGGAGAGGCCTGTTGGTAAGGAAAGTCCGGCTATTGAACCATCTGGACAGCTTGTTCAACAGCGAGAAGCCTTGGCTCAAACTCTTCTACTACGTGAAGGATACTCTGGTAGACGAGTCTCCATCTGGGGTGCCGACCCAACCGACGTGACTTTCGACTCTAACTGGTCTGAAATTGCTCGATACCTTTCAGACTGGTATGATATGGAGATTGTCGCATGGACACCAGAAACCCATGTTGATATTGTCCTTATGGATGAAACGGATTTACCCAAATTCCGCACCGTTGCACCTTCCGCCACCCTGCCTGCTCTTCTCGTTCTATGCCACAAGTCGATGGATTACACTGGGGCAAAATCCGAGTGGTTGCCTCTTGCTTCCTCGGTGAACATCATCCGGCGTCCTTGTGGGCCACACAAATTAGCTCGAAGCGTAATGAGGTGCCTGACCCAGGATCAATCGAGATCCGTGACACCGGCTTCTGCTCAGAAAGGATTGAGTCTACCGCTCAGGACGTCCTCGTTGCCAGCACCGTCTGCACTTGATTCACCCGTCATATCCTCCTCTGATGTTATTAGCGCCCCGGACCTGAGCTTTCACGAAATTCGCCCTATGACGATCTCACCATTGCAACAACCATCGATTATCACTGCATTACCGGAGGAGATTGCAGAAGCCCCCTTACCAGCCCCCTTGGTAGAGGGCGGAGTCAGCTCTTCGCGACTCGCACGAGTCCTTGTGGTCGATGACAATCGCATCAACCTCAACCTGATGATGACGTTCCTCAAAAAGCGACAGCTGATTGAGCTGACAGCTGCTGAGAATGGCAAACTAGCCGTTGAGGCCGTGGAGCGCATGCAGAGTGGGTATGATATCATCTTCATGGACATGTCGATGCCTGTCATGAATGGGTTTGAGGCGACTCGAGCTATTCGCTCGCTCGAGAAGGATACGGATGATCGCAAGCCTGCTATCATCATCGCCTTGACTGGACTCAGCAGCTCTCGCGATGAGTCGGACGCTATGGCTGCTGGTGTGGACCTATTCCTCACCAAACCCGTCTCTTTTAGAGAAGTATCACGGCTACTAGATGAGTGGGAAAAGGATGAGATGACAGCAGAACAGGCAAAGTCATTTTAAACTGTCTATTTTGATTTGGCGTGCAAGCTTGTTTCCGAAATCGTCGTTTTGTTGATTTTGTTGCCGCTTGTGATCTGTCGCCTTGTCTCCTACCGTCTCTGCTCTTGACCATCTTCTCCTACTGCTTCCTCCTTCCTCTCACTTCAACTCCGACAACTGCCACATGAGATGCCCCATGTCTCACTTTTGTCCGTTTTGTTCTCTTTTCACCCATCATGTTCCTATGATATCAAAAGTCGTTGCGCTGTGCACCTGATTAATGTTGATCATGTTATTTTAACATCCTCAATACTATCATATCAGACAATGAACGTGATAACATTTGGACTTCTCGATGGTTTTCCCTTTCTCTGTCTCTCTCACACATCCACATCCACGCCCACATTTTATTAACTCCTATTGTTTGAAGACTTCATGATTCACATGGCATTGTGCCTCGCTAACGCTGGATACGCGGGAAGCGATTGTTGGCGTTGGTATACCTTGTTTTCATCTTTTGTTTTCTCATCTTTTTTCTGATTCTGGTTTTTGCTTCTTGCATGATACTCAACATTGTACGGCGTGCAACGATCTAACCGCCCGGTGGTACAGACGTGTCTTCTCTTTCGGGGGTTTATTTTAGTGGTTGGAATTCACATGTATATAAATATATCTGTTACTTCAGGTGGCGTTGGATCGTTTTGCTGGCCATGCGATATGTATACGCTTTGGGAGGAGGGCAAGATGACATGAAAAGTCATTATTAAATTTGGTTGTGAGAATTCAACATACGCACTTCTCATTTATACTTGCGTATTTTGTACTCGGAATTGTCCCGGTTGCCACAATTGGCACTCTTTCAGCTTGGATAGTGCGTTCGCTGGTTTGGCTTGCTCCACTGTTACGTGGTTCTTCACATGCTCCGGCGCTGTTAGTCCTTGGGACCTGTATTTCCTTTCGAGAAATCCGAGACTCTCTGTCGTCAATGAGTCAATGACCTTTGGCAACGAGGTTGTGATACCCAAGAGTTGTGCGTGGAGAGGAGCGCGAGAGTAGAAGTATAGAAGTATCAGCTGAGGAAATCGTTAGTATACACCTCGGCAATAGAGATGAAAGACAATGACATACCTGTTCATCCCTGCATAGTCAGCAGTTTACTCTGCAGGTGTGTAGGATGACGTCAAGTTGAGGCTGTAAAGGCGATTGGAGTTATTGAACAGAACATCAGCGGCTATCTTCATGGCCTGGGACGTTGTGAAGTCGCCATTTTGAACGTAATCCACAAGCACCTGTTACAAAATAATCAGCACCAGGACAGGCAATTACTAGAAAGTTGCCAACTAACCGTCTCGAAAGCCTGCCGGAACTGCCGATTAGCCAGCCAGAACGTCTCCGGGTGCAACCGGCCATCGGTACTCCAGAGCAGACGATTGGTAGGCGCAAGCTCCAAACCTTCTCTCAATACCTTCACCTGCGCCTCTCGGCTAACCATGGGAAAGACCTTGCCGAAATCAACATAGACATTGGGATAGACAGAAGCCAGATAACCCGCTTCGCGCGTGTAAGGATATCCAGCATGCAACAGCACGATATCCGCATCGGCATACTGTGCGATTAAAGGCTGCAGACAAGCAGGGTTGGCCCGCAAAAGATTAACCCGTTTATCTCCGAGGCCTCTGTGAAACAACAAAGGCTTTGCAACACCGGCCTTCTTTTTGAACGTGATTGCTTTCAGCGTCTGCTGAACTATCCAGTCGCAGATGCCCTTATCATCGACCTCGAAGCCGGATCTGGTGGTTCCAGAATCGAGGATGCGAATCAATGACCCGCCCAGAGTTGTATCATCGGAGGAATACGCATCGACGTCCAATCCAGTTCGACAGCAGATTTCCGATTTGAAGGCCACGATGTTGGGATCGTCCAAAGCCACACCGAGAGCGTCCTGGAACCGCTGTCGGAAATTGTTCCAAACTGACTCGCCGTTTTTGCGCGCGTTCGATACATCCAGGACTGTAGATTCTGCTAGGGCTTCGACCTGCACGATGCGCTTTGTCGCTGAGGCGGTAAAACTATCGTGCCAGCTGGAAGGTTCAATGTCTTCGTCGTCGCTGAGGTAGTCGTCGAGTAGTAGTGCGTGCGTGCCTTCTAAGGATTTTCGGATGAGGCCGTTGTAGTCTTCGCGCACGTTTTGATCATGGGTGGATTTCACATCAGTCCAATTTGCGCAAGGGTTGCCGTAGAGCTCGGAGAGCTGGGTTATCGCTCGCAGCGAGGGGAGGGTGGTGTTGGCATTTTCTAGGGCGCGACCGTGTGCTGAGGTGGTGATGACCTCTAATGGGTAATTCTCGTGGTCGGTGGCCGACTCGCGGTTTAGAAGATTGTGGGCATGGTTGTCGATTAGTGGGTGAGACCGAATCAGGTCTCGTAGAGGAGTCAAATCGTCCATTATGAGAATAACGAGGTTTTTGTAGTGAAGAAAATCTGATATTGAAAGATCTCCCCAGGTTTTATGCAGCCAATCAAAATATTTATTCATTAGTGGATTTAATTGACCACTCACGATTAAGCAAACACATTCATAGATTTCATTTCAATTTGAAAACATGTAGATCAAGATGATCGATAAAGAATATACTCAGTATTGTCCCTCAAGAGTCATGGTGCCCGTTTTGGTAACCAAGTATTCATTGACAGCAACGTCCTTTCCACTCTCCTTGCCATATCCAGACTCCTTGATACCACCGAACGGCGACTCGGCAGCCGATGAGTTGCCTGTGCAAATTTGTCAGAATGAACGAACTCATGAGAATTAGTATGAGAAACTCACCGGTGTTCATTCCGATCATACCCGCCTCCAAGTTCTCCAAAAGACGCCACATGCGATCGATATTCTTAGTGAAAGCATAACTGGCCAGACCCATGCTGGTATCATTAGCCACCTTGACAGCTTGATCCTCAGTCTCAAACCGATACAGCGCCGCAATAGGCGCAAATGATTCTTCCTGCGAGATGAGCATCTCCTCCGTCATCCCAGACAAGATAGTAGGCTCGAAGAAGTAACCTGGCTGCGACTTCATAGCGTTACCACCCAAAATAACATCAGCGCCGAGACGACGAGCATCCTCAACCTGCGCAGAGGCCTTCTCAATACTCCGAGGCGTAGTCAAAGGTCCCATCGTGGTATCGGCCACCGCACCATGGCCAACAACCAGTGCAGACGTGCGCTCCTTCAGAAGCGCAGCAAAGCGATCATAAACCCCAGACTGGACGTAGATCCGATTGGCAGTAATACAAGCCTGACCGGCATGACGCCATTTCAGCGACATGAGCTGGTCGATCGCCTGATCGAGATTGGCATCATCGAACACAAGGAAAGGACAATTTCCACCGAGCTCGAGGGTCAATTTCTTCAGTCCATGCGCACAGTGCTCAGCCACCAACTTGCCGACGCGCGTCGAGCCCGTGAAAGTCACCTTCTTAACAAGCGGGTGCTTACACAACGCCTCGCTCAGCGGCGGTGTATTCTCCAAATCTGTAGTCAGCACATTCAACACCCCGGCCGGGATACCAGCACGATGCGCCAGCTCCGCTAGGACGAGTGCCGAAATCGGCGTCTCGGGACTGGGCTTGACGACCATCGTGCATCCAGCCGCCATCGCAGCACCGACCTTCCGAAGAACCATGGCAATAGGGAAGTTCCATGGGACAAGAGCGGCTGCTACACCGATCGGCTGCTTAATGGTGAAGACGCGGCGGTTCGGTGCCGCGGCCGTTGATACACTTCCCTGGATACGCTCTGCTTCACCAGCGAACCACCAAAGGAAGCCCAGGGAGTAGTCGATCTCGCCGTATGCCTCTGCCAGTGGTTTTCCAGTCTCGTGAGTTACGATCTGGGCGAGGTCATCGCGGGCTGCGACTGTCAGATTGTGCCATTCTAGTAACCACTTTGCGCGTTGACGGGGATTCACTTTGCGGAATTTCTCGAAGGCTGCGTGGGCGTTTTCAACGGCGGCGGAGACATCTTCTGCGGCGTTGGCAGGGCAGCTGGCCCATGCTTTGTCGGTACCAGGATCTACATATATTAGCTTGACTTCTGTGAGATGCAGAGTAGAACTTGAAGGGACTTACCGAGGACTTCAAATCGCTTTCCGCTCTTTGCGCCGACCCATTTGTCACCGATGATGGAATCGAATTTTAGCAGACTGGGATCCGCTAGCTGGAGAAATCGTGTTAGTCGGCTATCTCACCTCGGACATCTCGCCGAATACCCCGCGGAATATAGAGAGAAGTCACATACCTTGAATGGGAGCTGATACTGTGCCATATTTGTGTAAGTCAGGTCCTTTGAATTATAAAGAGGTGTAAGATGGGAAAGTCGTGTACCTATGTACTTTATAACCCCTCACGTCTCTTGGGGTAGACCCGCTCGATTTGATATCCTTCTCCTTCAAGAAGGCTATTGGCAAGGAAAGTATTAGTAACCCTCTTGTGATCCACTCCATGTAGTCGTTTTCATCCTCACCATCACTCACACTCGGACTAACCCCCTTATACTTGGGGCATTTTAACAACGACACGCCCAGTGGATCCATTTCGCAGTTGAGCTCCAGGGAGCTTTGATGTTCGAGAGCCGATGCCGGAGCCGCCCCCGATGGACTTTCTGAGATGCTCGCCTGGAGAAGTTGATGTGGCTTCCATCGAGACGTCTGGCAACGTTTCTTACCTAATCCTGCAACCACAATCGTAAGGTGCAGCCATCACAGTCGAGGTCGGCAATAGCCATTTCTTAAGAGTTGCTAAATAAATTGACATCAATTCCGATCATGGCATCCGCCTCAGCTCTACTCCTGTTCATGTTAGGAAAATAAAGAGAGATCCAACGATAGATGATCGAGATATTCCTCTCAGTCTGGGTTCTGGACCACAAGCCCGACTGTTTCTCATCTGTCATGTGGATAGTTTGGACTGGTCGTTCAGTGTAGGTTCCAAGCCCCAGTGTTCAACGAATCATTCAGTGCACAGGGAAATACATATCCAAGCAATCAGCTAGCGCAGGTATTGAAATGCACTTCATCTTTGTACAACATAAGGGGGAAGGGAGAACGCTCCCAATGATGCACTCGCGGGATTGAACCCTGCATGACTGCCCCAATGAGTAAGGAAATCACGCTTTAGGGGGGATTTCATCATTAAATCATGCTGATGACATGGCAATTAAGCCGCACCCTCAATAACATCGCTGCAGTTGAAATCTGGCATGTATAGTTTGAACTGGTGAGCGATGTGAGAGATTTGGTCTAATAATCATCATGGACCACTTTTCTGAGCCTTTCCAGTCCCTATAGTATACGTACCTTCTTCCCCTGGGCACCCTCAAAGTGTTCCCCCGTTACACATAGCAGAATTTTTCTGCATTTTGAATGCCTCTTTTCGCCTTTTCCTACTGCCTACCTGTGCAATTGACAAGGGGGGAGAAAATCTCAAAAGATATGACATCTCAAAAGACTACTAGACAGACATTACAAGGCTTTATAACCGAATAGCTATTCTTGGATCTTATAACTCACTTTTATATCAAGTCGGGCTGCGACTACCTGTATTGTCCATTTCGGATATCCGCGCTTACAACTCAGGACTGTTCTCACATCGCAAGACCATCTGTCAAACACCCTACCTCCCATTAAGCTACGGCCTAATTCAAGCACTCACAAAAGTCCTCAATTGGCACCTGGAAATAGCATGGATATCCAAAACTGGGGAGAAGACTTTTCCGGGGCATCAAGTCGGAAAACCGGAAAAGCCCCCGCGATGCGTGGGATTACCCCAACATACAGCCTTTACCCCAGATATAAAGCTACGTCGAGCGAATGGATTGCAATTGGCATTTTCAACAATCATGGCTACAGTAACCGTTACGACTGAAGTGGGCGTGGAGTCACTCCAGACTAAAGATATCGCGACTCGACTATTGAACGGCACACTTCACTCCCAGTGGCCCGCCTTCGAGCAGTTTGCAACTATTGATGGCCTATTAAAATCTCATGCTGCTCAGCCAGACCAGGCTCAGCGGCCTCTTATATGCTATCCGATTCGCGGAGCGGCTGATTTTGAGGAGCATACAGCCGGCGATATCGATCGGTATACTGATCTCGCTGTTCGCTTTTATATGCAGCAAGGGCTTATGCCTGCGGTACGAAGTAACCGGCCTTTATGTGTTAACTTCAACTAATTGTCTCTTAGGACCCAATCCTTGACCAGGCGCCTGTTGTTGCTATGCTTGCTGGGTCTAGCTTCGAGGTCGTGGTGACTTTCTTCGCGCTGAATCGTCTTGGCTATGCCGTGCTTTTCTTGTCTACGCGTCTAACAGCCCCGGCTTATGTCCGACTAATGAATATGACAAATTGCAGTCAAATTATCATCACGAAGCAGTTTCAACAAGTTGCAACTGAAATTTGTATCGAGAGTCCTGGCTGCACTAGCTTCTACCTACTACAAAGAGAGGACTGGTTCAATCGTTCTGCCAGCATCGCTCTGTTTGAACGCCCTGGTGCAGATCCATCACGAGAAGGCAATAAAATTGCTTGGATTCTACATTCGTCGGGGAGTACTGGTTTCCCGAAGCCGATTTTTCTTACCAACCTTCAAACTCTCGCCAATTTCCGCAAGAGCTTCGGCCTGCGTCTTTTTACAATCAGCCCGCTCTTTCATTCCCATGCTCTGATGGAGCTTGGACGAGCATTGTTTACAAGAGCACCAGCATACTTAGGAAATCATTCCCTGCCAGTCACATACCAAAACCTTTTCGATGCCCTTCAGGTGGCCCGGCCACAGCAAATCAGTGCCGTGCCGTATGTGATCAAGCTACTGGCAGAGAAGCAAGAAGGCATCCAAGCACTGGCTAGTCCGCAGCTCGTGCTATATGGTGGCTCTAGCTGCCCAGACGATCTTGGCGACCGTCTTGTTGCACAGGGTGTGAACTTGGTCGCCAACTATGGAGCCACGGAGACAGGACAAATCATGACTTCTTTCCGAGCCCCGGGAGATAAGGAGTGGCAGTATATGCGACTGCACAGACCTGTTGCTGATCTCACTCTGATGGATGAGATCTCGCCTGGGGTTTTTGAATGTGTTGCATTGGATGGTCTGCCGAGCAAGGGTCCTTCAAATTCGAAACCACCCTATAGCGCAAAGAACCCAGAGAACTCTTTCAGGACAGCCGATTTGTTCACCAGACATGAGGATCCGACGAAGAGCAATTATTACAAGTATTTGAGTCGGCTAGATGATCGAATCACATTGGTCAACGGCGAAAAAGTGCTTCCCATCCCAATCGAAGGTCGTGTTAGAGAAGAGCCTATCGTGAGTGACTGTGTTGTATTCGGCTTCCAGCGGACTGTGCCTGGTGCTTTGATTTTCCGTGCCCCTGGCAAGGTGCCTCACTTGAGCGACGATGGATTCTTGGAAGCTATCTGGCCAGCCGTTGAAGCCGCAAATGCTCGAGCCGAGACGTTCTCCCGTATTCCCAAGGAGCTTGTTGTGATCAAAGGTGCTGATGTTGCATACGCCAGAACTGACAAAGGAACCTGTATCCGCGCTCAGGTTTATCAGCAATTTGAGGAGGATATCGAACAAGTATATGCCAGGTTTGAAGGGAGTGGCCAGAAAGGAGGTTCCCTCGCGCTCAGTATTCCAGAGCTGGAGCATTGGCTTCTTTCAAGATTCAGTGAAGATCTGGACGTACAAATACCCGGCGCGGAGGCTGACATCTTCTCTGCTGGAGTCGATAGCTTGCAGGCGATGCAGATTTGGAGGTTTATCGTGCGTGATATCGATATCGGTGAGCGAGGAGATGAGCTTTCTCAGAACATTGTGTTCGAAAAAGGAACTGTGAACGCACTCGCAAAGCACCTTTACCAGCTACGAACTGGTCAAGAATCCGAGAAGGACGATGAGCTTAGTTCCATGCGTGAATTGATCGAAAAATACTCCCACTTCACTCAACATTTCCCAACAACTACCAGACAACCAGAAACAGAGGTGGTGATGGTCACCGGTGCAACTGGCAACTTGGGAGCCTTTATTGTCTCGGAACTACTAAAACGACCAACAGTCTCTGAAGTCTGGGCAATCGTGCGTGCGCCAGGACAAGCAGCGGCAGGATCTCGTCTCTACAAATCGCTAGCCGATCGCAAAATCTCTCTCACCGATACCGAAGCTGCAAAGCTCCACGCAGTCCCTTGTGACATGTCACAATCCAACCTCGGTCTCAAAGACCGCGATTTACAATACTTACTCTCATCATTGACATGTGTCATCCACAGTGCCTGGGCCGTGAACTTCAACTTAGGCGTACGGTCCTTCGAGCAACAACATATCCGGGGAACTTACAACCTTCTCAACCTCTGTCTACGCTCCCGTCTACCATCCCCGGCACGGTTCTTCTTCTGCTCTAGTGTGAGTACTGCAAGCAACACGCCCAAGCCCACATCGATTCCGGAGACCATGATCGAGAACTTGGAGCACGCACAGAAAACAGGGTATGGAAGGTCCAAACTGGTAACAGAACATGTCACTCGCAACGCGATGCGTCAGACAGGAATGCAAGCCCGAGTTCTGAGAATCGGTCAGCTTGGTGGTGATACACTTAGCGCACAGTGGAATGAGACGGAAGCTGTTGCGCTTATGTTCCGGAGTGCATTGACGACGGGCACATTGCCGGAACTCAATGAGCGACTGAGTTGGTTGCCTGTTGATCAGTGTGGTCGGGCTATCTCTGATATTGCCATGAGACCTGCTGGAAGATCGGACGTCAATATGGTGTACCACTTGGTAAACCCGCGGACTTTCAGCTGGAAGCATGATTTGCTGCCTGCTTTGAGACAGGGATCAGCCTTGTTGGAATTTGAGGTTGTGGCTCCACAGGAATGGCTGAGGAGATTGGAGGGTAGTGAGCAGGATCCAGAGAAGAATCCGAGTGTCAAACTCATTGATTTTTGGAGGACTAAGTATGCAGATCAGGGCCAGTCGGAGTCCGGATCAAGGCGTAACGCAGAGGTCGGTCTTACATTCGAAACTGACCATACGATCCGAGAATGCCCATATTTGGCACTTGTGGAAGACCCCGTTACTGGTGGTTTGATACAGAGGTATATCAAGTCGTGGATGGATCGATGGACTGTTGAATGAATACATAGAGAATATAATGATTGCATTTTACCGCCGCATTACACTGAGAATGACGATAAAATTGAGAGCGAAGGTTAGAGCAAGGGTCAGAAAAGCAAATGGCAATCAAATGTTAGTTTTAGGAAGTAAAGCATCATAACAAACGCCAAAAACAATCTGGTATCTCATTTCACAAATTCAGCGTAACTGCGTATACTATGCACAGCCTGTCCCAGTCATGGGAGGACTCGCCTCACCCTTAGGAGGATGAGACCTAAGACCCTTCTGCATAGCCTGCAAGTGCTCAAACTTGTAGGTATCCTCGCCCAAGCTCCAAGCCATGACACCACCAAGATTCTTAGCCGCGACAATTTCCGTGAACTTGCGGGCAATCAACTCGGGGGTATCCCAAGTCCAGAAGATGTGATTTTCGCTATCGAAGTAGTACTGACCACCCCCCTTCTCATCGGTTTTGCCATCCTTCTGGGCTTTGCGCCATGAGTCCATAATAGAGATTCCCTTGCAGGTCCCGTAGTCTGAAAGACATCCAGATTGGCAGAACTCATCAGTAGTCCCACTATAGAAAGTTAGTTCCGATACCAATCGTATTCTGAAAATATTATTGCATACCAGTAGCCGGAAGCACTGCAGCACTGCCCAGCTGGGCACTTGGCCTTCGCTGCAGATCCACACACTCCGGTAGTTCCCTCCTTCAGATCCTTAGGTGGAGGGGCCATAACACCAGCCTCGAAAGTTAGAGAGCCAGACTTGCCATTATCTGTCCCATCGTCGTTCTCGAGCTTGGCGAGATGGCAACCGAGAGGATTCTCGTCACAGTCGGAGTTAGGGTCGGTGGTGAACCACTTGGCGTAGTACGCGAAGCCGAGATTGATCTTCGCGGGATCAGCCCCAATTGCAAGGTACTCATTGACAGTGTCCAGGGATCCCTGCACGCCGCTAGCGTGGTCGGTAACGTTATCGCGACGGTTAATCAGATCATAGCTCATGACATTGATGACATCGACGGATTTGAAGATCTTAGGACCCTGTTCCTTGGTGAAGGCAATGAAATCCTGTTTCCGACCGGGTACCGCGATAGAGAGGACTTTGTCGCCGATTGCGTCACGGATAGCTTCGAGGAAGAGAGGATACGTTTCGATTTCGCCCACTTTCTTCGAGTTGGGGGTGTCTTTGTAGTCTTGGCCGTTGCCGCCAGGGTATTCCCAGTCAATATCTGTTGATCTGAGTTAGTCCCCTACTTCCGTTTGGTTTGTTAAGAATGAATTTTCGGAGATATCTCACCGACACCATCAAATCCATTTGCGTCGAGCATCGCAGCGACATTCTTGGCATATCGCGTGCGAGAGGCCTCGTCTTTTGCTCCCTCGGAGAAGCCGGCGGTATCACCCCATCCACCAATGGCCACCATTAGCTTGGTATCTGGGCTGAAGCGCTTGCGCATAGTCTCAGGGGACTCGAATGGCTTGTACGGTTCGGGAGAGTCCGAGTTGAATAGCTTTGAGGCCGCGAAGCTCATGATGGCATAGTCAATGCCCTCGGTCTTGTCCTGGCTGGGAAGCCCGGTTACATGGTATCTTGGATAGGATATTAGCTCGAATCTCGGGATGTGTAAATCAGTTCCTCGGGTTTGTACTCACTCGTCAATGTACATGGCAAAGCGTGCGGTCACGGACTGAATGGCCAATAGGCCAAATGCGAGGCGTTTGAACATGATGAGAATCAGTTATGCGATAAGTTGTGGTGTGTTTAGAGACAGGTTCAAAGATGGGTCAAGTAATCAGGAAAGACTGTGTAAACAGATACCCAGTCTCCCGTTGAATGTGGCAAAGCAGGCTCCAAGCCGCGAACACAATGCAAGAGAAATAGAAAATGACATCTTGGCGAAAGAAGGTCAGATATTTATTCCACAACGCATGGACCAGACCATACCAGGATGATCTCAGGGCTGTCATGCGCCTTGTTCCAGATGGTCTGTCTATGCGGGGGCATGTGGACCATTCCTGTAGAGAATGTCCGATCACTGACCAATCGATATCTTGATGTTCATCAAATCGAGTCAATAGGCCCCCTGAGAGTAAGACGATCTAGGCGCTAAGCAAGGGCAACGGGCACTAAGGAGCGGCTGAGGAATGCCAAGGGAGTTTGGGCTGCCTGAAGTAGATATTGCCCCCAATTATTGAATTGCTAAAAGTAGATTCAGGGTCCATGATCCCAATTGAGAGGTTTCATATATCAGGCTTTTTTCCCTCGCAGGTAAATGGTGCAAAGCAGTTTGGGTTTACAATATATTAGGTTGCCATGCCAAATATGTGCATTCCCTTCTAACTTTGCAAGCGCATTCCCCCCTTAGAGCTCAATGACCATGTGGATGAAAATCGATTAGAATGCTCAAGCGTTCTGAAAATAGTATCTGAGGGATATTGGTCACGTCATCTCTAGCACTGTCATAGGGCACGGGAGGAGCTCGATATATGGACGAAAGACTGTTGAAAGGTCGATGTTTCAAAGAATTAGAATGATCTAGGGGTATAAGCAACAAGAACATCCAAACGCCCATAATCTATATTACATATGGCGCTAAAAAGTGATCGATAGTGAAACGCAGGGCTTAGTTCCAGTGGCGTCGAATGATAGGCCGGGCAGGGTCCCAGGGACCGATCACAACGTTCTTATACTTTTGCAAGCTAATAAGCCACCAGCTGCACCCGCCCATAACAAACGCCGTAAGAATGCTTCCTAGGACAGATCCAATAATGGCTCCTGTCCATCCTCCGCTCAGCGTAACACCAACGGCGCCACCGGTAACGATTACAAGGGCGAGTGTCAGGAGGACATGACCAGTCCATGATTTCTGTCGCAGCTGGCGCCGAAAGATGGGGAATAGCCCAAATACTTCCATCGAGAACAACATGAGACTGAATACGTGTGTCGTAGACGGTAGCCGGGATGCGAGCACGGTCGAGGCCATCACAGCTGCATTCGTGGACAAAGAAGCAGGGAACTTGGTGGTGGCGCCTGCGCCCTCCCCGCTCCCATAGTCAAAAGAGAATATATTCATGATTAGAAGCCAGCAGCTCATCGCCCAGATAGAGTCGCTGGCGGTGGACTTGGTAAGAGATTTCAAGATGGGACTGAGGCCCAGGAGGGAGAAGTAGATAAGGAAGGCAGACTTGACTGTAGTCAGGCGCTGACGGTTGCGCGGTGATAGCATCGAAACGCGGTGGGTATATTGCGGTACCGGCGGGTCTGTAATGCCAATGACGGAGGTACCTGGAGCAGATGGGACAGCACTTTGCGCTGCCAAATTAGCCACTGCATCGATACTTTCGCTGAAATCCGCACTTCGGCGGGCAGGTTGCTCTTTTGATTCATTTCCGGATATCGAAAGCCCAAGGCCGTGGATGGCGTTGGTCTTCGTATCATCCGATTGTATGTCATTGGCGGGTGTGCCGACAGCGCTGGCAAGGGAAGCCGAACTGGATCCATCATCGGCCCCAGTTATTCCATCTGCACTTCGCAGTGATTCCTCATTTTCCTGCCAGATCCAATTATCCCACAGAATCCAGCCCACAGCCGTACCGACACTTCCCCAGCAGACAATTGAGACAGGGCTCACTCGATCTTGAACGATGCTAACGAAGCAGCAAACAAAGATAACCACCGAGCACACATGTTGCACAATCACAGTTGAATCGGCCACCAGAGGCCAGAAATCGTAAGGGCGCACTCGAGGATTGCGCTGGAGGTGGTCAAGAAAGGTTTCCGTATCGGTATAGTTATCCGGGTCTATTGATAGACCGTCAGCAAGAGCGCAACACACAATTCGTGACCTGCACAGGGCCAGGGCCCACACGCAGACATACACGATTGCTTAACCCAAAGCAACTTCTTCCAAGCACCCTTCCGCTTTCGACGCCGTGGAGCACCGCCCAACTTCTTCCGCAACGCCGCAGCAGACCCGATATGGGCTCCGTTATCGCCGTTCAACGATCGCAGAGTTTCCTCGTAGTTAGTGGGCACTGAACGGGCGCGTGAGAGTGAGGGTGGGAAGTATGCATCCTCGGGAGCTAGTCGATTGGGGTCGGGGAGGGACCGTTCGACCTCAGGAGACTTGGACCCCGGGGCGCGGTTTGGATGGGTGTCGACGGGGATCGGGGGAGGAGACGTCATCGAGCACAAGAAGAACTAGCGTTGGGTCATGGCGTGAGAAGAAAATAAGCCCGGTGTTAATGTAGAGATGACAGCTAGGTGTGAACGAGAGCGCGACCAGGCCGCGGACAGGGCCCCGGCCATCTGCAGGCTGATTCAGCAGTTATCTATGGATGGCACGTGACCTCGACAGCCCTTGTTCTTTTAAGGTCGGACGAGTCCTTAGGATTCAATTTTTAGTTGGAATAGAATGTCTTTTTCGGTTATCAAAGACATATAATGAATCAAGGCTTGATTATTCAGGTATACCAAGTTCAAAAATCTGCTGCTTGTCTTAGGTTATACATCTTTTTACCTGCAATGTTCCAAGATATATAACCAGCATAAGTGCAGATTCGGCATGCAAAAAGCCTCAGTATTTTACGCAAAGAACCTAAGAGGAAGACTAGAAATATACCTAGAAGTAATGGATTTTGAGAGCCTGTGTAGGCCATGGAGTAATCTGACAAATGTTCTTTTTTTTTAGTTTCCTTGCTTTTGGAGTAAGTACACAAGACATATGCGCGCATGCGCGAAATTCCACAGGTTTGATAGCGATCTTCTAGACGCAAAGTACAAAGGCCAATATTGCCATGATATGTACCAGGACAACCACATCAAGAAGGACGAGGACCAGCTAGTGGCCAGAGTTATCACCCAATGACCCTTCGAGCACCCAGAATTGCACCAGGATCTAGAAGCCCATAGCGGGCTTGACCTCTACAACGATGACTTCACCACCAGGGCTGGAAGTCTTCCGAATGTCCTCCTGAAGGATGTCAAATTCATCCACGCAGCCTTCACCCACATACCTCACTCCGTCCAAACCAGAGACAGTGCACAACAGTCCCGTGCGCTTGTCCATGCCCATGTAAAACTCCTGGGCTTTTTGGAACACAATCTTGGCATCATCAGTCTTGAAGATGCGCACCTGATCAGATACGTCCGACATAAGCTTGTAGCGGATAGGCGTGGAGATTTCATCATTGGACCCCAATGTGCTACGACGTCTCTTTTGAGAGGGTCTCCAGGGACTTCCGAGAGAATGGGATTTATCGTGATTTTCGGAACTCCGAACCGGCGAGATAGACTTTGCCCATGGCAGGCGGGAGGGAACTGGGGTTCTGTTTTCAATCTCCGTCTCGGCCTTGGTGCTGGTCGAGATTTTGCGCATAGATCTCGAGGGCGTGAAGGGAGGCTCGGAAGAGATTGAATCCGTATCCTCGGCATCACCACCCACGTCAGGATGTTTTTTCGGAGTAGAGTTTAAGGCATGCGTGTTGAAGATATCATTTGGCCCAGGCAGCCGAGTACACTTGCGCCCATCATCAAACATGTGTGGACTGAACGTAATGGCCTTATCATCGGTTCGCCATAGTTTGAGGCCGCATGCCTGCACCTCTCCTTTTGTCTCGGTTTCAAGCCAGTCAAGTAGGTAAAGCCCCTTAATTCCCTTGGATGAGGGTCCCCTGAATCTGGGACGAGGCTTGCCATAGACGACAAGCTCTTCTGGCCCGTTCTGTGCATGAAGGATCATAATTCGATAAGTTACGATACGACGGGCCGGGCCTTTCAGTGAGATCTGAAACACGGACAGCTCGGATTCATCACCGTCGTCGTTGAACGTCCGGAAGTTCTTCCAAGTCGATGGCGCACGACCAGTCAAAGCGGCTGGATGCTCGGTATCTGCAGCATTCTCATGCCATTCCTCAAGCAGATCGAGGATTCCGCTCGGAATCGGTTGTTTTGGGCCGATGATACGCTCCACTGCCAAGGAAGGAGGTTGTTTAGTTGGGGTGGTGGGTGTAGTCTTTGGCTTTGGTGACAAGCCCTTTGCGAGTCGATTGAAGGATATGAACGCGGGAGGAGGAGTTGGCCGGGGCTCTGGAGAAGGACCCGCTGAGACTGTAATTTGGGCATCTTCCGTAATGACAACTTCCCCAGAGGCGGAGACATGATAACTGACCCGTGGAGCAGTGGGATTTATGAAATGAGTCCCTGGAGGAACGGAGTGGGACTCATGGGGTAAATCTGCTAGCTCTTCTAGTAGTGACTCGTCAATATCTGTCATATCAGACAGTGTTGGCGTTGAGACACGCCCGTCAATATTTTCGGGAGTATTGAGAACAGAGCCCTCAGGAGCGTGCTCTGTGACCTCCACCTGGACGGCTGATACATGAGATGCATCCTGACCAGCTGGAGATTGCGCTGTCAGGCATTCTAGTTGATCCGCAATATCATGAACTACATTTTCCGCCATGACGACAAGGATAGGTAGAGAAGATGACAGAAAATAGAAGGTTTGTAGAATCAAAATAGAATAGGTAGGATTGGATTAGAAGGATGAGGGAAAGAAGAAAAACTAAGAAGCGGTAATGATAAGAGTGAATGTGACACGCAAGAAACAGAGAATACACGCAAATAAATCGCCGTAGGACTAAACCTGGGATCAATCTAAGCAAAATGCAAAGATAAGTTGAAAGGCTGAGGGCTCTTTACATAAGAAATGTAAGCCACTTGGAGCAGAAAGATCCGGAAGGAGTCACCACGAGAATGAGAATATGAGTTGAGGGCTCGGAAGACAACGACATCAGAGTAGTGGCAATGGCAGACGTTCTCAGTCAACGACATCATATGGACTGTTAATATGGGCAATATAATGTGAACTACAAACCGAGAGAACTGGGATGGTACTACTTTGATGGCAGTTTGGTGCAAAAGAAGGGAATGATGAGACTTGTTTCGTTAATAATAAGAATGCTGATATCTCCTGGAGCTACATCGAAGAACTTAATCATAAACCAGACCTATGAATCGCAAGTTGTGACTTGATTTCAACATTCTACACTTTCTTCCCTAAATTTGCGCCTCAGAATACCACAGAGGACATTGCAACGCCTCATAAGTCGCTAAGGATCCTATAGAAAGCTTAATCAGATCTGCCGCCTGGGCATATCAGCGGACCGGATGCTAGGACTGCTGCGATGCGTCTCCGCGCCCAAGAGAAGACCAGCGCGTGGCAATGAATGAAAAATTATATCCAACAAACGCTGGCGACGATGACATATGAATTGTCAAGCCCAAGAATCCAATATAAAATGTAAACCGAGGGAACCGGGGCCGGAATACGGCCATCAAAGTGCATTACCTAGCGTAAAAATAAATAAAATATAGTATCTGATTCTCTAAACTGATAGATTGACATGTTTCAAGGTCAACCAGAAGGCTAGAGAGCTTCGAGTAAATGTGAATGTGTAATATGGACACACTTGAAACAAGATCGTCATGTTGGCATTTCATGGGTGACTCTGGGCTCAGTGCACATACCTAAGAAACCAGCACACTATTATCTCATGAGCTAGACACATAGTGGAGGGAGGGCATGATTTGCGTCAAGCTACGCCTTGGGAAGGTTTTCGCCCCGTTGTAGTGGTCTTCTTAGTAGAACTGCTGCTTGTTACCATTTACCCGTTCTGGCCAGTGGCCTCATGCGGCCTGAGCAGTACAGCAAAACCACTCAAATGCCTTTCACCCGTTCAGGTCAGTGGCATCAGTTACCTTCCTTGTATCATGATCCAGGTAAAGGTGATATATAAAGGATGTGATGAGCATGCCGGTTAAATCATTTACCATTGATATCTTGATAAACTGCCTTGATTTGATTTTCACGCCAAGATGCGATTCCTAGAACTCAGTATTTTGGCTCAGTTTGCCATCTCAGTGAGCGGCCTAGCTATCTTCGAGACCACCGGAGTTCGATCCAAAATAGTTATTACGCCTGTCCCAACTCTGGCAATCCCTAGACCGGATGACCCTGGATTAGAGGGTCATATGAACAGGCTCAACCTGGGTACCAATATCGTGTGTCAGCTAAAGGGGCAACCTGTTACCTTCAGCCGCTAATTCAGATAACAGCATGTTAGCAGAGGGTGCATTCTGATCAATGGCTCAAAGCGCTGTGAGACATTCGGTAGACCATATAGTAAGTCGCGTGATTGGCATTGACGAGAGAACCAGTCTGACAGTACTAGACGTGATGTATCAGGGTAGTTCTGAAAACAAGGCTACCATCTATGCCAAGTTCGACGGTGATAAAACCCCTGGCCAAGTGAAACCTGGTTGCAAGCTCACAGCATCGTGGGATGCGGAATACTATGATCTGGACTTCACCAATAACTGCCTTCAAGATCGCAGTGGAAAGTATAGCAAGTGCTGTGACGACACTACAACCACTGATGATCTCGTCAATAACCCATATGATCCCACGCTTTCATGATTACTTGAGGAGACAGTGGGTTGAAATGTCGATCTCCGGGATTGCCGTCAAGCGGAGGAATGATATTCAGGGATTTCTCCGGTCAGATACACACACTGCACCTAGGGTAGTCCAAGGCATCTATGTCATTCTGAAAAGACATCTCGAACATTGCTATACATTGAAATAGTCAAACCTGGTGTTTTTTTTTTTGGCATTCGAATATTCAGCTTAAACATACCTCGGCTCAAAGGTCTTTGGTGATGCGCTGATATCAAACTTCCATTAACGCACATAGCCAGTAGCCAAAAAAAAAGAATATGTAATTTATTTCTCGAACATGCTAACCGGACATGTGAACCGAACATGTGAACCAAAAATGTGAACCGAAAATGTGAGCCGAACATGTTAGAAATTCAAACAGGAAGCTAAAAGAAAGCTTCAGATAGATCTAAATATACAGCATGGACAGATGCCCGAAATGTCACATTGGCTTTTCACAGGTGGCTTAAAGCAGCCACTCGGTGCACAAAAGAAGTCGGCACAAGATTGGTAGTGCATAGATTGCTTTTCAGGGGTATCAAGACTCAAAGCGGAGGGAAGGTAGGGTCACGATGGTTTAGTCAAAAATCTTATAGGTCACTGGACGACCTGCCATGTTGTTGAAGGACATTGTTATTTTGAACGAGGTTTCGAACCGCCTGCGGTGCGACCACCTCGTCAACACTGTTTCTGCGACCCCAGTTTTCCGGCTGGCGTCGGAGAAAGGCACCAACGGCACCTAGATAGCCCTCATGGCGCAGGAAATACGCTTGCTTCTCGCCCTTGGACCAGAAGCGGATAGCGTAGGAGAGGGTATTCATCGTTTGCCGATGGCCCCGAATGAATGAGCCCCCAAAGTAAATGTGTTTGACTGAGTGTTTTTCTGACTGGAGATATGCGATCTGACCAATATTATTACTAATCGGGGTTAGCTCGGATTTGAGACAGTGGAAGCAAAGAAACACACCTAATGGCATAGAGCAAACTCCGGCTCATATCTTCTGGATTGGGCTTTGGTCCATGGCTGGATTCGCCCGACTCACTAGATTCCCTAGGGTCGCCGCGAATCAGGCCCTCGCCGTCCTCGGCCCCTTGCTCAGCATCGTTTTTCAACCGCAGGACCTTGCCGAAAGTACTGGCAATAGCTGTGCTCTTCAACCCGATTTTGGTGTAGTCCATGCCGTAGATATCTCCTACAAGCATATCCACTGCGCTGTTGTCTCCGCGGTCGGCCATTGCTAGCATGTCGTCAAAGGTCCGGGAGCCGGTCAACAGAGACATCAGGCCCCAGAATGTTCCACCACCGAGATGGGTTCCGCCGACACGTTCGAATTGTCTTGGACCGGAGACTTTTATCATCGACACACCCGACCCGATATTAACGAGAAGATAAGGATAGACATCGGCCCGGGCTTCGGCATATTGCATCGGTTCAGTATCGGCATCGCTGTAAGTGAAGACTTCGTTGGGGATCTCGGTAATGAAAAAGTCCAGTCCTGTTTGGGAGATGTTAGATGGTATACTCTTACGTTTGGGGCTGTTCCAGGACTTACCAATGATCAGGCATTCCATCTCCTCCTCTCGGAGAATATTAACATTTAATTCTTCTTTCAATCGATCATAGTACTTGTATGCGCCACCTCCAGTAGCTACCACACATAATCCTTCTCTTGTTGAGCCATTGCGCTTCTCGTGTTCCTCTTTGAGTTGTCGAATGAAGTTGATGCACAGGTCGATCCGGTGGGTTTCAAAGTTGAGAAAATTGAGCCGACCGCCGTTATCCGCAGTGTCCGGCTCTCGAGTGAAATAGACAAGCTTCGCAAGTGTTCCGCCGATCTATCAAGCACCCAACGTACAGTTAGCCAAGCTTCCTTTCTGGTGCCTGGTGCTATGCATTGTCTTCACGATATCCCTAGATTGCGGGGGAGGGAGAATCGCACTGCGGGGCAGAGAAAATAAATTTCGAGCAACTCACATCCACAGCCACATGGCTTACAACCCCTGTATGATGTGGAAGTCGAATATCCTTGTTTTCGTAGTGTACACCCTCTGCGTCGACCGGGCTCTTGGATCGTGGCTCGTCATCGACAATGAACGCGCCCGTCACGTTGATCTTGACAGCTCCGGGATTAGTGATTGCAGCTTCCAGACGATTGGGGCGCTTCCGCCTAGTATCTATCATTTCAGCCATGATGAGTATGAAGGGAGGTTGAGTTGGAAGATGAATGAAGGTACCCCGTTCCCAGGCTTACTGCGTATATCTCCTTCTACCCGAAACGGGCCCACGGGGTTTCGGCGATCCACTTTTTTTCCCTTTGAAGCCGAGGAGCTAATGTCCCGAGGCTTTGTCGATCTCATTATATATAGATTGACCTATAGGCAATTGGTTTCTACCTTGTTAATAAATACCCTGGTCGTTTGGCGCCTCAGATCGCTTTCAGAACGAAGTGAAATTACATACACCATATGCATATCTCCATATGATCGGCCGTGAGGGCGTAGAATATCTAGATCGAATGAACTAGACCAGCGAACGGCGGGCTTGATATTGTATAGACCGGAGACAAAGATACAAAGGCTCATACATATGAACACAAAAGAGTACATTAACGGACTCAGGCAGGGCTTATAACTAACATTCAACGTATTCTATCTAGTATTTATGTACGCTTGGTAGTTATATGCGCATAAATGTAGTCGTCAATATGGATATAAAGTGTGGGTGGATAGCTCCTTCCCAAAATGAGGAGAGGTACATCCAGTATACTTCAATTTACTAGGGTGATCCACATTGAGTTGATGTACACTCAAAGTACCTTCAGTCATGAACAGGGTAATTGCAGTTATGATCCAGAGTCTGAGCATCCCGCGCCTGCTAACGCGGTGTTTGCGTTTGCGCCGTAGATATTTCAAACCTCAGTGTTCAGACTCTGCTTTCTATTTTCTTCTCTCCCCACATCTGTCCACTCCACATCTCTCTTGATACGAGATCGTTGATACTTACGATTTGAAATCTGTAAACAATGGAATCCTCCGAGCACGAAGCTGCGTCGGCGCTGGGCAGTGCCTCCGCTGTTGACTCGGTCCCGGCCGAAGTTGCTTCGGTGCATGGCTCTAACGCTGGGGAGTCGCCTGTGGAGGGCGTGCTTTCCGGTGTGGGACCCAACGCCGAGTCTGCCAAACAGGTTGCTCGTGAAAAGGGATGGACTGATCCAGTTCCTTTCGAGTATGCTGAGCTTGCTAATAGTAAGGATCACCGTGACTGGGCAGGAGTTGCCGTTCGTTATGAATGGAAGGATGAATATGGTGATGTGGGCCCTGCCGTCCCTGAGTTGGAGGAGCAGCTTTTCCGTGGCGACCTGATCATTCGCCCTGGCGCTAAGCTCGACGAGTAAGTGACGTGAATCCTCGATCATTGCACACTGGCTTAATACCTGACGTGTCTTCTTCCACAGACTCAACAGCTACGAGGTCAACATCGAGAGTCCCAATGAGATCAGCGCGGTTACCGAGGTCAGTCTGTTGAAGAGGTTAGGTAACCATTGGTCAATCTGACAATTCATAGTGGGTGAACTTCGGTCTGCATCCCGTCATGCTTGATAATGTTCGTCTCTGTGGGTACGCACAGCCCACTGCGGTGCAGTCGTATGCAATCCCGGCTGTTCTAAACAACTTGGATCTTATCGCTGTTGCTCAGACTGGTAAGTGCTGCCGAATATGGTGTTTGGCATGACTCGATACTAAAAAAGCACAGGTTCTGGAAAGACGGGGGCCTTCCTCATTCCCATTCTTTCCAAGTTGATGGGTAAGGCAAGGAGGCTGGCTGCTCCTCGTCCCAATACCGCAGAGAGATTCAACCCAAGGGAGGACGCCGTTCGAGCAGAGCCTCTCGTCCTGATTGTTTGCCCCACTCGCGAGTTGGCCACTCAGATCTTTGATGAAGCACGTCGTTTGTGCTATCGTTCCATGCTGCGTCCGTGTGTCGTTTATGGCGGTGCTCCTACACGTCTCCAGCGCGAGGAACTTCAGAAAGGTTGCGATATCTTGATTGCTACCCCCGGCCGTCTCATTGATTTCATGGAACAGACTCACGTTCTTTCTCTCCGCCGCGTTAGGTATGCTCGCAACTCACCCGGTATTGATCGGTCCAGTGTTGGATGCTGATAGCGCTGCAGGTACACTGTCATTGACGAGGCAGACGAAATGCTTGACTCTGACTGGGAAGGCGAGTTCAAGAAGATCATGTCTGGAGGAGGTAAGTAACTGAAAGCGTTTGCTCTAGCGCGCACTCATAACCCCAACTTTACTGCGTTACTTCGTTTTAGCATTTGAGCCTTGCTAATGTGAGGGAGATATGAACGAGGATGATGACCATCGCTACCTGATGTTCTCCGCTACCTTCAACAAGGAGTTCCGGAAGCTTGCAAAGCAATATCTCAGCCAGGACCATGTGCGCCTTCGTGTTGGCCGAGCTGGTAGCTCGCACCACAACGTTGTGCAGGATGTAAGTGTGGCACCACATCGTGAAGAACTTGCAAGGTTTGAGATCAATGCTAACGCTAAGTGAAATGGCAAAAGGTCGTCTGGGTTGATAAGGACAAGAAGATGCGCGCAATCTACGACCTGTTGATCAGCATGCCACCTGTTCGCACCTTGATTTTTGTCAACAGCAAGGAGCAGGTTGACTTTGTCGATGATTACCTCTACAACTCTGGAATGCCTACCACTTCGATTCACGGTGGACGGACCCAGCGTGAGCGCGAGGATGCCATGTCAGTATTCGTTTCTTCTGTTCTATTTTACTTTACTGATCCCCCCAACCAGGCGTGCCTTCCGATCTGCAAAGTGTCCTATCATGGTTGCTACTGGTGTCTCTGCCCGTGGACTTGATGTGATCAATGTGCTCCACGTCGTGAACTATGATCTCCCCAGCAGTATGCACGGAGGTATTACTGAATACATTCACCGTATTGGTAAGGATTAGTTCAGGTTAACATGACCTGCTTTCCAGGACTATGGACGAACCTGCCACTAATATGTCTTTCTACTATCACCAGGCCGTACTGCTCGCATTGGCAACGAAGGAATTGCGACGTCCTTTTACAATGATCGTGATGAGGGCATTGCCGAGGATCTGGTGAAAATCTTGATCGAATGCAAGCAACCAGTTCCAGAATTCCTCGAATCGTACCGCCCCGCTGGTGATGTGCTGGAGTTTGATGACGACTCTGATAAAGACTTCTTCGATAATCCATCTAACGCTGGTTCTGATGCTGGCATTGATGCTCGCTCTGACGCTGAGGCCGAAGCAGGATCTGCTGTTGCTGAATCCGGTGCGGCCGATGAGAGTGATAAGGCGATTGCAAGCGATGCCGAAGATGCCAACAAGGACACTGTCAATGATGATGAGTCCGCTCCCATTGAAGAACCCGTCATTCCCAAGCCGGGTGGTAAATCCAAGTCGGAGGGCACTTCCACATGGTGGGGACCCGCAGCAACAACGAGTGAGCACAAGACGGAGCGCAAGACCGAGCACAGGGTGAAGTCTCATCCGGAGGAAGCTCCTCGGACTGGTCTGTATTCTTCTGGCTGGGCCCCTAAGGATCCGTCTCCCGAGGAGGATGATGCATTCTGGAGGTAGAGCTCAAGCTCTATCTGGCTGTGGTGAGCGTGGAAGATATCAACAAACACAAAGAACAATGGAACTCAGAGGGAAAAAAAAAGAAAAGTGAACCAAAAAAATTGGAAACGAAAGAGTTCCAACGAAGAGGACGATTGACTTTCATCCTGGATGATCTGGATGAGATCTCCTCTGATGTGACCCCGGAGGAATTTTTGAGGGCTTGATCTCTCGACTATTTGCAACCTTGATCCGTGGCACAACGTTTTCTCCTACTTAGCATCAGAAATGAAGAATATGCCTAAATGCACACCTTCAGTGTCATTTTTGACTCTTTGCACACCCTTAGTCCGCTTTAAGTAAAATTTTTCTTGGTCAACTCTATGTCATAATTTGGGTAATTCAATAGTATTCCCATAGTAAATTACACAATATCCACGTAGCCTTTGGTCCATATAGTAGGTCACATAATATCCGTAATCCTCAATTTTGTGGATATAGTATACCACCTGATATCCTCTAGATATACTATAGGAGAATCATGTTAAATTACACAAAATATCATACATAGTTACCCAAGAAAGACTTTACCTAAACCAAACCATGGCGTACAGTTAGATGAATACAGAGACGAATTGGTTCTTTCGTAATTGCACTGCAAGAACGACTACGGCGATATAGATGCAAAGGTCAGGAAGAAACACCGCAACACGGGTTTCATAGGATCTATGCAATTATCTACGTTCATTCTTCAATTCCCTCGTAGGGTGTAACTTGCAGATTGTATAGGGCAAGCATAGAGACGTATGCACTTCGAATGCACGACTCCTGCCCGTGCAAATTTGTATCCATCGCTCTTGACTCTTTGGATTGCTCGGAGCACATGGACAGTCACTTTTCAACTTCACCCTTGACCTTTTCAAACCAAAGCCCATTCAATCTTTTGTCAAGGAAACCTTTTATCATGCATTGGTTATTCATAGCTTCTGCCGCTCTTTCGCTTTTTCTCCCATCCGTAGCCTTCTTTCACAGAACTGTCGATCACGGCCATTGGAATGAACTCCGAGGGCTCGCTCCTAACGCTACGTACAACGCCTCGGAGGCAAAAAAGACAAGCCCTCCTCTTGTTATAGACACTTTTCAAAAACAGACCCACAATGACCTGGGATTCTGGCACGGCTCCGGGGAAAATCTATCCATACAATATGGACCGGGTTTCATTCGTCTATTACCAACAGACCCAGACCAGAACTTTCACACACAATTCGATTCCAACGCATGCTATAGCCTGTTGCCCTGGTACAACGAGTACTTGCATGTCATCTTCGAGGGCACAGATCAGTTCAGTGTCTCCTTCAACCAACACAACGACGAATGCAACCCGAAACGCAGGCCTTTTCCCGGCGTTGCAGACTCCGTGCAGGCGGACCGGTATGTGGTTTATCCTGACACCGAGGCCAATGGCGAAGATGTTGATTGGGACGACGATGATGATGATGACGATGACTGTGATGATGACGACGAGGATATGCACGCGGATACCTGGAAGAAAAAGCATAAGCATAGAAAATGGAAGGGTGGTCGTCGAAGGCCCATCAAAGGGCTCCCGAAAGGCCATGCAAAAATCCCAGGTGGACGTCGCGAACTATATATCCCTCTGACTCACTTTGATATTGACTTCAATCGTGTCGTGTCGGTTTCATTCCATGGCTTCTATACCAAGGAGCCTATTACTCTGCACCACGTGGAGATCGTGCCTGATGTTCCGATGCCGTCGCAGGAAAATGGCCACTATCGTTTGCCTGGGAAGCTGCCCAGTGGGAGATTGGTTCTTCGTTGTTCCCGTCCGAATTCCTTTGCATTTGGTATCGATGATGGCCAGCCGCAATTTTCTCAGCAAGTCATGCGCATCCTTGACGAGCAGGATGTTCGGGTTACTTTCTTCGTTGTCGGGGCTGGGCTGAGGGATCGGTCAAGCAATTTCACGGAGTTCTATAAGGAGATGTTGAAGAAGGGGCACCAAGTGGCGCTCCATTCGAACACTCATCCGAAGTAAGTCTACCCTGTATATTGTATTTCATGTGAAGAAGCTGACACGGAAATCAAGGATGGAATCACTGAGAACCCTCCGTGAGATTGACGACGAGATTATTCAGGCAGTGGAAATCTTCAAAGACCAGCTGAACATTAAGTGTATGCCAAATTGTAATGCCGCATTGAGAATTATTCTGACATGGATATATGCAGCTTCATACTTCCGCCCGCCATTCGGTACAGTAGGCGCCCGGCTACGCCAGGAGCTAGCCCGATATATACCAAACCCATACATTGTGAACTGGAGTGTCGACGTTGAAGATTGGCTATGGGCAAATACTTCCACCCCAGAGAAGCAGCTCGAAGCTTTCTACCGTGGTGTCGATAGTGGCGGGAATCTTGCTGTAATGCACTACCTAAATCCGACTACCATTGCTTACCTACCCGAGTTTATACGACACATCAAGAATGCCGGATACCGCATCATGCGAATTGATCAGTGCCTGGAGGACGTATCCGCTCCCCCATTGTGAATGGATGCCGTGGAATCTGTACGACTCACAGAGGAAACTACCCTGTCTATCTATTCTTAAGTGTATAATGTCTCTCCTAATCGGTGTCTTGACGCTTTCCGAGCAATGCTAGCCCTTCGTTTCTTACTCTTTTACAGATAAAGTTTAGACCAGTGAATCAATGATAGAACAAACAGCACTTGCGATTCCACAGGAAGGGGAATCGAAATCCGACCAAGCCTGTCAAGAGGTATATTGAGCGATCAAGCAAGGATATAATATGATTGAACAAACACCAACGCCACGAACACAGCATGTGTATTCAATATGATAATCAGCCACAGAACAAGTAAATAGTAGTACAGGAACACGGGAGAAAAGAAAGAAGAAACAAGTTCTCTAGACCGAGCTCAAAAAGCTCGGTATGCCCAAATGCCACAAGCTCCAAACCTAAGCAATCGCTAGAGCGTTCCACTCTTGATGCAAGCAACAGCAAATAAAAACACATAGGTAGCAAAAACGAAAAAAAAAAAAAACAACGATATATCTTGATACAACGATCTTCCCCAAAAGCACAAAAGCAAAATGCATACTTAAGAACAGTTAGACATCTCAATCCCCGAAATCAGGCTTCCGGCACAGCCCCTTTTGTTCAGTCATAGCGCGAATCCGAGTCGGAATCCAGCCTGACCTCGCATCGCCGCTCGGGACGGCAGTTCCGAGACGCGGATTCAGACTCGTGAAACATGTATTGTCAAGGAAGGAGAACTGCACACATGTTTTCTGCGTTTCGCAGATCAAGCGGCAATCATCGAAGGTCTTGGCAAAGGGCTGTTCTTCGCTTGCCATGTTATTCCAGTTCTGGCGGGTGGGTTGGCTGTTTATTTCTGGGAAAATGTATTCGCGGAAGAGGTCGCCGTGGAGGAGGATGCGTTTGTTTTTCTGTTAGAAGGTAAGTTGTTAGGGAATGCTGTGAATATAATATGAACAGGGGAGAGGGTTGGGTTAACGCACATCACGCCAGCGCTTTTGTTCGAATTTCCATAGGTTCTCGATATCGATTGGTGAGAGATGGTGGAGGGAGACGGCGATGAAACACCATGGTTTCCGGTAAAAGTCTGTAGTGAACTCGTCCAATTCGCCTATGTTTGAATTTTGAATGATCGGCCATGTGAAGTGTAGATTGACGCCTGCGTCGCTGAGGACTTTTCCGAGCACACAGTCGCCGGCCCAATGATTGTCTGTGTATATGTTCAACTCGACCTCGCGCGCGCTGTATTCGTCGGAGGCACGTTGTAGGGCGGGGTTCGAGAGCATGAAGCCCGAGCCACCGTGCGCGAAGATGACGTCTGCGATCTGAGTCTCCGTACCGAGATAGTGTGGCTTTGTGTGGTCGAACCGGGCCAGCCAGGTTAGGACCGTTGGCCAGGAGATGTATGTGTCTGCTTCGATAAAGATGAACCACTTCGCGTCTGGCTTGTGTCGTAGCGCTTCCTGTGCCATTGGGAGGAACTTCCATTTATCGAGTTTCCAGCCAGGGTTGTTGGGTTTTCCGATTGCGGAGTTGGCTTCGTCGGCGAAGTCTTGCTGCTCTAGACCCTTGCGGCCGTATTTGAGGAGGCGGTGGTAGAAGTCGAAGTCCGGGTTGTTCTTTGCGGATGTGTCCATTTCACGGAGGACATCGTGGATTTTGACGCCCTCGATTTCTTCTTCGAAATCGGAATATATCACGAAGTGGGGGATGCATCGTAAGGTTGTTTTGAAGTGGATGGGGACTTTCTCGCGGGCTTCTGTCACTCCGGTCTTCATTACCACGAGTACATCTTCCATGCCAGGAAGGGGTGGACAGAATGGGATTGGTTCCCCATTCTCATCATAGACTGGGGGAGTACTGGGGGTTGTTGTGAAATGAGGACGCCATTGGCCATTGTGACTGGAGAATGTGCCGATGTGGTAAAGGAACAAGAGCACAATGGCGGTTGCGACTGTGATGAGGCGACGATTGAACCGGCGGGGGAGCATCCTGAGAGATATGAATACGCCGAACAGAGGATAGATCAATTGGTCATTGTTTTCCCATAGCAGTAGCAGGAAAGACCGTTTACCGTTTTCCCCCTCGCCTGTTAACCAAAAGAGCAAAGAACTGGGGAAAGGTGGATGCTGGGTTGATCGACGTAGGGTTGGCCGGTTGCTGACACATCGGGGACGCGTAGCCCAAGTGGAATTTGGAAGTTTCAAATAGTTGCCCCTTCAATCAAATACTTGTTGCTTCAGATACCATAGTTGATTTTTTTGCAATTGAAAGGTATTCCAAGCTTCATTTCATCAGGGGTGAAGAGCTTCCGGGTCCCGCACGACGTCAGGATCCACCGGGATCAGCACACTTTACGAGATCGAGACATATTGAAGACTTGGACATTTTGAATTATGAAAGCGCTGAAAGTGTGTCATGCATGTACAGAACATGCCTTCCTGTAACTGTTTTAGCCTAGACTAACCCTAATAATAGGCTACATAGAAAAAGATCAAAACTATTGGCATGACCACCGAAAGCGTTGGACATTACAATCCCAGAGGATAGTTCTACACGGAACCCGGTAACAATCAACAAAAACCCCCAAAATACCCATTATTCGTTCGTATTGAATTGTATATTCGAAGCCTTACTTCGCACTTTGTGTCTGCTTCTCGATCATCTTCGTGTGCAGCTTGACCAACTCCGGAATAATGAGACTCTCAATCTCAATTCCATCCCGACTGCTTTCGTCAATCTGCTGAGGTTCCACCTGCTCCGAAGTTGACGAATTCCCCTTTTAGCTTCCGCCAACCCAACCTGATCCTCGACACCAGAGATACTCTTACTGCGTCGGGTTTTGGGAACCCGGATCCAGCGCTCATGCGGCTCATCCGGGGTAATGAAAACAACCTCCCATTTGCGCGTCGAAAGCAAATTGCCAATCACCAAGTGGTGAGAGTAGCGCTGCAGCGCAGTGCGTGCCTTGTAGACAAGCAGCGAGGGATCCGTCTCCAGTTTGAATGAGACAACCATACTCCCCTCCGGAGCCCAGCCATCCACCAACTGGTGCAGGAACTTAGGCACGGGGTCGAGGTTGACAACAAGCTTCTTGCTATTTGATGAGGGCTTCTCTTCGTTTTCGCCCGTGTAAATTTCATCCGATGAAATTGCGCTGCCTTGCATATGCGGAGGCAAATCACCAGACTGGATCTTGTGCTCTGCCATGCGACTGCGCGGAATGAAGAAATCGCTGACAGCAGCCGCAAGGTAGAAGAGCGCATCCGGGCCCAGTGGTCGCATCAGCTTCGCAATCGACCGCAGCTCGAACAAGTATTCTGCGACCGTGGTGAAAGGAAGAAGGAGTAGACGGTTGTGCTGCTTCGCGTAGCGGTATTTTCGCAGAACGCTGCGCATCTCGTCCTGATACTCGTCACGCACCATGATACGACCATGTCCAGGGTTGGGGGAGTCCGGCGACGCCGGTGCCTCCTCCATGAAATCTAGGAAACAATTGGTCGAGTGGCTGTAGTGCCGCGAATACGGTAGCAGACTGTACTGCCGGTGCAGGAAGATCACGGCGTATCCCTGCTCGAGGAAGTACTCGGCTGATGTGGCGCCTCGAGTTCCGGCGGAGAAGTTGTCAATGAAGCGTACGGTTTGCGCTTCTAGTGGTACTGTTGTGCCTCCGGATGTGACGAGTACTACGCGTCGCTTCGCCTCCACGTGGAGGTCAATGAATGCGCGTGCAAGGGCTTCATGTCGTGGAAGTGCCTTTGGTGGGGAGTCTTCATTGAAATAAACAGATTCTGCTTCCGCTGGGGGCATATCGCCGACTAATGGGGCGGCCATTGCGGTTGACGATGGGAACACTTTTGTAGAAAAATGGTTGAACAATTGGGAACGGCCGATCTGCTGATGAGGTGAACTGCAGTTAATAGGATGCCGAGGGGTGCCGCTCGCTTTAAGGACTTGGTGGGGTTGCAGGTTCTTTGTTGCCGGTCAGCTTTCCATAGGTCAAGACTCTCGTTTATTCTGAATATCGAGTTTTCCTTTGTGTACATTCAACACGGGGGTTTCAAAGGTTTTCATAGGTAAGTGGATAGCTTGAGCCCCTCCATATGTTGTTGAGACCGAATAGCCTGATCTGGCACTAGCGCTCCCGTTTGACCGATCCGTGACTGTGAATACCTGGAATATCTGGGAATAGGAAGCTCCTTACTCCTTACTCCCGAAGAGATCCAAAATTGTCACTGGTGCGCGTCACCGAGATACCGAGGTGCCACTCGGTCACGTGCCGTATGCGGGACCCCGCATGAGCTACATCATACCACATCCTTTCTATATCTCAAAACAGATGCTATGTATTTCACTGCAGATACCGGCTGCGCAAGGCTTGACTGATGGTACTCATCCGACTCGCCATCCCACCATGCTGCATGTTGCTTAGAAGAGCCTCCTCCAAGGCTGATTGGGTAACGCTTGCGTCTGACCAGTCGATCAGTTGGAATCCGGAATCCTCGGGTTTAGAACACATACCGTCGAGGTCACTGAAGCTGCTTCCCATGCTAGGAGTCCCATCGCTAGTTTCACGACCGGAGGCGGTAGACTTGCGTGAATTGTGGCGTTCAACAGTGCGTAGAGGGCTTAGTATCGATGCTCCCTGGCTGGTCCGTCTGGGTCCACCAGAGCTCATAGAGCTGGTGGATGATTCGGTAGCTACCGGGGCCCTGGGATCAGACCATTGTTCGGGACGTCGCTGTAGCGCCTCTGCTCGCTCAGCATCTAAACGGAGGGTCGTGCTCAGTTCCTGTACAGGCCGCTCCCGATGGGTATGCTGGTGTTCTCGGGGTAGGGGGAGGAATGCTGGGGCATCTTCTTCGTCGTCCTCGTCACCACGGATACCAGAGCGATGGGTGGAAAACTTGCCAAACCGTTTGAATCGGGGTACACGCCTTGTTGTGTCTTCGTCCTCGGATTCTGAATCTTCCGACGAGCTGGAGGATAGAGACTCTTCCTCGAGTGTTGGAGATTGGGGCAAACCCGCGACAGGTGGTTGCTCTCGCTTCACAGCTGAGCGCCGAGGACCGAAAGAATCCCAGCGCGGTTCTTTTTCCTCTGTTGTCGGCGTGCCGATGCGTGTAGGGTCCCGGGATCCACGAGGTTGGTTAGAAGCCGTAGTTGATGTAAAGCTCGTACGTCGGTTTTCAGCGACTGCAATCAGTGTTAAGCGGGTTCCATCCATTGGTGAAATCGAATGGCCCCCACAAAGACGGGCAGGGTTTTGGTCCATACCTCGTAGAGGGATATCTTTCTGTTGAGATACTTGCCGTGATGGCGCCCGAGAACCTAGATTGTCAGTATCGCACAGTATCGAATACAAAGGGAGCTACGGGGTATACCTGGTAATGGCGTTTCTTTTTGTGACTGTCCGCCTAAGGCCGTACTGCCAGAGATAGATCCTGGTGCCGGAGAAGGAGCATTCGACTGCGTGGTGCCGACCTTGCGCATTTGGGCCCGGGCCTGTGACAGCTGACGATCATAGAGCCATGCCGCCTGTTGAAGGAGGAAATGCAATGTGACATCAAAGTTCTCTGCCCTAAACCAACAATGTTAGCAGCCCTCGGCCTGGAGGTACTCGGGGCAGAGTGCAGTTACAGAGCTTTCCCTGAAATGATGTCAGCGATGTTGAAGTGAAGTGAAGGTAAGTCTGGAAGAAAAGCAATACACACAGTCTAAGTCGCCTTTAGATGGTCGAGAAAGAATATCCCATAACGCTTGCTCTTTGGATGCATTCCATTCCACCTATTTATGTTGTACGTCAGTCGAGGCTCGAGGGGTCTCTGTTGGGGAGACTGACAGGTGGCGGGTCGACAAAATCACCCCTGGGAAATGGTAAGCGTATGAAAACTGTGAAGTTAGTATCGATGGGGTCAACTTTGGTGGACATCCTGTAGATTGCGTGTAGAATGCGATGTCGAAAGCGCGATCTCCCAGTACTCCTGTCCAGCCAAAGAAGTGATATTTCTTTACTAAATAAAACCTGAGACTGGTGGCTTGAGAAACTAAAATGACTATTCACCAGACAGCTTGGGAGTCCAAAAGTGGGATACTAGTAGATGCGATGGCAATGGGTGTTGGCGAACAGCGTGACGACGGCAGGCGGCCATTTTGATTGGCAGAGAAGGTGCGTGGAAAGGAGTGAGGCTCTGCGTGGGATTTGCCGAATGCGGGGAATTGACAGTTATTTTATGGGACCATCAATACCGCCACAAGCGATGATATATATCGACGCACCGGCAGTGGCATAGCTCACATTACAGACCTTATGAAAAGAGAATCTGTGAAGAACAGCAGATATCAAAAGGTCAATGTTATTGACTTTGTAAGGACATCCCGCTCAGGTAGACTGTCACAGAAAAGTTACACTGTGTGCTGCATGGGTGCCTTGGAATCCGGGCATTACTATCGCCTAGTTGTAAGTTAGATAATGTCTTGATGAATACTTTGGACAAGTAGTAACGTGTTAGAATTAAAAATAACAGATGTTAGTCGATCCCAAGCTAGTACTTCTAGTCTAGGCACTGCGAGATGTCAGCAAGGCTAGTAGGCTAGGGTGAAGATCAACAGTGGCATCCCCCTAACCCCAAGCCTCGGCTGAGAGTCTGAGACTCAGCTTCAACACCCGCTTACACCAACCATGGTGGACTTATTGTATTATTACAACAAGTGCTTTGCATTCATCATCCGAACATATATGGGCTTTGCCAGAAATGTAGCGGCCACTCCAGACGAAATCCGCCAAATCAAGTCCCGGGATGCTACCCGGACCATCAAGGTTCACCTATATCGACCACCTGGCTCCAGCCCATCACCTGTCCTGATCAACTTTCACGGAAGTGGCTTCGTAATACCCCTCCATGGTGGCGACGATGAGTTTTGTCGACGAGTCAGTCACGAAACCAAGCACACGGTCTTGGACGTTCGCTATCGTCTAGCACCAGAATACCCCTTCCCCGCCGCGCTGAACGATGTGGAAGACGCCATCAAATATGTGTTTTCTTGTCCCGATGAATTCGACCTGACTCGTGTATCCATATCAGGATTTAGTGCGGGTGGCAACCTCGCGCTGGCCGCTGCGTCAAATCTCTTCCCTCGCGATACTTTCCGCTCCCTGATATCGATTTATCCTGTTACGGATCTAAGCCCTGATCCGGCTTCGAAGATAGCACCTGCCCGTGGGGACTTTGTAATTCCTCTTCCTGTTATGCGCCTCTTCGACCGTTGCTATATCCCCTCATCCCTGGACAAACGGGATCCGCGCATTTCGCCGCTCTACGCCGAGGCGGATCGGTTTCCACGACGTGTGCTTATTATTACCGCAGATGGCGATACCCTCGCGCTTGAGGGAGAGGAGCTGGCCCGGAAGATCAAGAGATTGCACGGTTGGCATGTGGTCAGCGAGCGCATGGCGGGGTGTAGCCATGGATGGGACAAGAGCACGAGGGTAGGAAGTCCGCAATACCAAGCTAAAGAGCGGGCTTATCAACTGGCATTTGATATGTTGAACGGGAGCTAGTCAATATATCCTGACTCCTGACATCAATGGATCTCGTGTTCCTGGCCTGATACATGGCATGATGCATACGTTCCATGGAACCGAGGCTATTTCCAATAACCCTAAGCCCTATCTTCCCAATCTGGTGAGCGGCTTCAAGGGATATCAGGGATCAAGTTGTATAGAGTTAGGAAATACGCCTATACAAATGCCGAGATGTTTAATCTGTTCAATGATAGTTCAGTATTTCTTCGGCTATATCCAATTTTGAACTCACTAGTGTAGAAACGGTTATAGCTTATCCAATCTAATATAAAACCTATCCCAGTTTAGTCCGTTTCAAAACCCCATTGTCCTGGAAGGGATTGCGTCAGGGTCACCCGTGGGGCTTTATTATTTTTTTTTACTTAGAAATTGCCTAAAATGAAAAAAACATGAGGAAAGCGAAACAAGGCCCATAAACTGTCTTTGTTTCCCCTTTCTACCTTTCTGGCCCCTTATTGCTTTGACCCTCTTACTTCCCTTCTACTGTCCTTACAACCCCTCATCATAACTCTCCTGGATGCCGTCATAGAACACACCTTGTCCATGTGGACGAGTATTATTCTTAGCCTTTGACCATTGCCTCCCATGTGCGCCCGCTGGTTAGGCGCCACATACCTCGTATAACTGTACATACAATGGCGTCGAGCACCGGGCCCATCTTTGATGAGGCCCAATATCGCGCCGATGTCCTCCACCACCCCTCACCCGAATCCGAAGCAGCGCAGGCGCAGCAGCTAGCTGAAGAAGCTCAACAGCTGGGTCTTCAAGTGTCAAAGATCGAAGCATCTGCGCCGCTAGCTGCCTCGATTGCATTAGGAATGGGCGATCGTACCTCCCCAAACCTATCTTCTGGATCGTCGACAGATCGGAATTCCGCGTGCGGCTCCGTTACTCCGTCCCACGACCCATCCTCGCCGGTGTCATCCGTGCTCGATCAGATCGTTGCGTCGCTGTCGGATATCACACTTGCCTCAGATCGAATGAAGCCTGGCAGTACGCGATCACTTGCTTCGCTCTCTACGCGCCCGACTTCATTTTGCTCTAGTGAGGGGAAAACGGGCCTTTCCGGGCCCGGATATAATGATCCATTTGAAGCCAAGTCGCATCGGCATTCAATTCTCAGTGTCGCCTCTGCGGACAAGAAGGAGAAGCGACGCACAAGCTTGAAGTCTGCCATTGGTAGAATCCATTTCCGCAAGAAGCGCACATCTTCAGCCGTTTTGCCCTCGGATCCGCGCATGACTGTACCCAACGGCGATAAAGGCTTTGAACATGTTTTCTTCGAACCTACGCCGGAAATTAATCGTGCGGTCCAAGAGAATGTTCCACCCAATGCGAACAGCGAGGCATCACTTCCCAGGCTGGCCATCCCTCTGTTCAGCAAAGAGATGTTACAAAGAAGCCTGGACGATCCGGAGTTAAGTGAGATGCACGAGCGGCATCAGATGGAAAGGAACCGACATCTCGCTTTTCAAGACGCCGCTCTAAGTACCCTCCGGCGTCGGCACCAGACCGCTATCTCGGAGCAGCAGTCTGACAACCAGCGTCGGGAGGATGAGAAACGCGAGCAGGTACGGTTTACAAGATCCGTTTGTTTATCTCTATGCTAAAATCTTATTGCACAGAACATCGAAGCTATAACCAAAATTGAAGAGCGACAACTGGCGGTGGAAATCGAACAGCAACGCGATTTCGATAGAGCAAAATTGAATTCGCGCACTCGGATCAAGCACATGGAGGGGTTCCTCCGCAATTCTAGCCCACCACCATCCCCCGCCGGAACTTCGACCAGAACATCGACCGGAGCCGAACGATGCTCGGAATCATTCTCGGAATCGGAATCCACTCCCCCAGCCCGTGTGCTCACTCGCCAACACATGGAGCAGCTAGAACAACAATACCACTCCCACAAAAGCATGGACCAGCTGCATGACGCCCGCATCAAAGTCCTGCGTGACCGCCAAGAACTCAAGCTGCAGGAAGCCACAGCGCGTATGGAAAAGGAACTGGTAGAAATGTGTAACCGACACATCCAGGTTGTTGCTACCTTACAAGCCGAGCACCAACGAGAAGAAGCCTCTCTCATGCACGCCTTGGATACGAAAAAGACGACTTTGCGGCACCGCTGGTACTTGGAAGAGGCTGTCCTACGTCGCCATCTTGAAGCACGACATGGCCAATCATATGGTCCTTTGCCGCCTCTTGCTTTCACAAACCCCAACACCCCGATTGCTGTCACAGGCCACTCACCACTCGATACTTCAACCCCGGATACAATCCATCCCAGCCAGGATCATAGGCCTCTTTAATTCGGAGACGATGACACGACATCTATTCAATATACCCTTTTAATCACCTCTTCAGTCCTTGTCATGCCCCTTACTCTTCTTGTAATAATTTTGAAGTCTCCTTTCGGATCAACCGACCACTTACATATATATGCCTTGCGGCCTTTTTTGGTCTCATGATAGCACAGCATTTGGTAGAGACCATTGAATAGACATACCAAGCCTGTTTATCATTTAACAGCAATGAAATTCAAATTCAAATTCAAATTTATTCAAACAATTCACATCAGGGTATCACTTGCTGAAAAAACAGGAACAAAAAAGTACAGCACCTCAGGGCTGCTGTGATGTAGACAACGCATCCACCCTCAACCTATCCAAGACCGTCTCAACCCTCCCACCACCACCAGTCATCGCATCCTCAATCTTCTTATCCCGGCCCTCATCACCAATAACAACAGCCCGCTCCACAACCCCAACATCAGACAACTTGAACCGCCCAACCCGCCCATCAACCCACTCAACGCGCACATACCGCGTCTCCAACGAAACGGCAGCCAAAGAAACAATCCCCGTGTCCCGATCCGGCGAAACATCAAACGGCAAAGACCCCCCCACCCTCACTGACAAACCCCAATTTCTCCCGCAGGAATTCAACCGCATCAACCCGCATATACCACGCAACAAGCTCCCTACGAAGCTCGCGCACAAACCCCCGCAGATCTTGTTTCCGCGCACGGCTACCACTCTTCCACGGCTTCGCCGGCTCAGCCTCATCCTCAGCAGATGAATGCCCGTCCCTATCCTCATTTTCATTGTCACGCTTTGCGCCAGGTCGCGGGAGATAAACACTCTCCAGCTTCGCAATTGATATAAATGCCGGCACTGTGTGTCGGTACACCTTTAAAAGTTTCGTAGAACTTGAATTGGCGCCAGGAGCGCGGCTCCACTCCGATTGGAGGAGGACGTAGTGTGGTTTTGCGAAGCGGCCGTTGCGCGCGCATATGTCGACGCGGACACCGAGGAGGGGTGTGGTGGGGGCTGTTGGGGATGGGTCTTTAAATGGGAAGGCTGTTGCGCCGAAGGCGATGCGGTGGTGGTTTGAGGAGCTATGGGCGCCAGCGGCATGAACCAGGGGGAGATTGTCGTGAGGTGGTCTGTTGGGTTTGTTGTGGTGGATTGAGGTTTGGGTTGTTTGCGGAGGAGCTTTTGGATCGGGTCGGTTGTTAGGAGGCTGGATGTGAGGATGCGTTTGTGTTTTTGAAGGCTTTGGACTTTGTATGGATTAGACTGGGGGTTTGATTTGAATTTTGGCTTGAGATGCTTACTTTCTGCGCGGATTGAGGTGATCTCGGTATCGAGTTCTTCTTCTTCTGGGTCTGGTGATTCCAGGGCGCGAGAGGCGGTTGTTGCCATTACGAATGTTTCAGATTCGGTTCGAGGAGCTGCGTAAGGTTCCTGGGGTATGGTTATTGTTGAATATCCCCCTTCCAACGCCGTCATAGAAGGTAAGGCAGATGCGGAGTTGATTGGAGATTGGGGTTGTTTATTTGCAGCACGTGATCACGTCAGATGTTGACGCGATGGGCTCACCCAGGCACTTGGGCAGCCGGGATTATTATATGAGATCTGAACGCATGGGCAGATTTGATAGTAGACTAAGCCTCAAAAGTGTCTAGTTGAGGGTTTGCTTGGACTATCTCGATCTTATATTGATCATATCTGATTTATGCTTAATCCCTGCAGTCCCACCGTGTTGATGTGGTGACCTCATATGGCATTGACTGCGATGTGTGTAACAAATAGAGAGAATAGAAGTTGTATATCAAGATCAGCTTCAAATGAATGCCCACATCTATACCCCCGTTCAACCAATCTTGTATAGAAGATTAAAATAGATCCCAACTCCTCCGGCTCCCCGGATCTGCAGAGCCAAGAGGCCAGCTTGCCTCATGCTTTTTGTCATCCGGTTTGATCCCCCACCAAACATCCATGAGGTTTCTTTCTTTTCATATCCCTCATTCACTCCTTCATTCTCGAGTTCATATAAGACACTCAGGGCATTTGAACCTGATCCCTTCGAAGACGAACCTTCGATCCACCCCTTTCATTATTCGATACCATACCTAATACAAACTTCGGTCCTCGATCCAATCAGGACGAAGTCGACCAAGGAGATCTCTCCCTACCATAACATACCATTCAATGACACGCAAGAACGCGAGCCTCTCCAAGCGCCGCTCCAAGCCCAACCTAAAAGTTGCTACCGGGTCAAACGGACGTGCGAATGGGAAGATGAATAATAGCATCGAAATGCGCAGGAGGGACACGCCCTCCACAGAGACCTCCGCCGAAAGAACAGCCCACCTCATGTCACGACCTTCCTTCTCCCTCGACCACGAACCGATCGTGCCTCAAACCCCAATTCAGACGAATACAACTTTCCACAACCTACCACGCAGTGATCGCCGTAACTTCCTGCTGCTGGTCCTGCTATACTTCCTCCAAGGAATTCCAATGGGCTTAGCCACCGGCTCCGTGCCCTTCCTGCTCAAGCCATACCTCTCATACGGACAAATTGGAATCTTCTCGCTCGCCTCATACCCGTACTCGCTCAAATTGTTTTGGAGTCCGATTGTCGATGCTGTGTGGAGTACGCGCTTTGGTCGGCGCAAGAGCTGGATTACCCCCGTACAGGTGATTGCCGGACTGGCTATGATATATATGGGTGGTCATATTGAGGATATGATGGTACAGGCCGGCGCGAATGATGGCGCGGGCGTCTGGAAATTCACCTACTGGTGGTTTATGTTGGTGCTGTTCTGTGCCACCCAGGATATTGCTGTAGATGGATGGGCTATCACTTTGATGTCCCCACCTAATATCTCCTACGCGTCGACCGCCCAAACGGTCGGATTGACAGCAGGCCACTTCCTGTCTTACACTGTCTTTTTGGCTTTCAACTCGAAGGACTTTGCCAACAGGTGGTTCCGAACCATCCCTGGCGAGGGCGGTTTGCTATCCCTCGGCACGTATCTCAACTTCTGGGGCTGGGCTTATCTGATCGTGACCTGTGGCCTGGCCTTCCTCAAGAAGGAAGAACGCACCAAGGAACGTGACAGCATCATGGATGTGTATAAAAGCATGTGGAGCGTCTTGAAGTTGAAAAACATCCAGACCATCATTTTGATTCATCTCATTGCTAAGATTGGCTTCCAAGCCAACGACGGAGTCACCAGTCTCAAGCTCCTGGACAAGGGCTTTGGTCAAGACAACATGGCCCTGGTCGTCTTGATCGACTTCCCATTTGAGATTATGCTGGGATACTATGCCGGTCAGTGGTCAACCAACTATGGAGCAATGCGTCTCTGGGGTTGGGCCTTTATCGGACGACTTGCAGCCGCCGTGCTCGCCCAATTGACCGTTATGATCTACCCCGCTGCCTCGGAAGTCCCAATGTGGTACATGGCCACTGTAATTGGCGAGCATGTCCTCTCAACCTTCATGAACACGGTCATGTTCGTCGCCATCTCGGCCTTCCACGCCCGCATCGCCGACCCAGCCATTGGTGGGACGTACATGACTCTCCTCGCCACGTAAGTCCTACTACCTGCTTTCTCTTCCCACCCAACCAACCGCGCACACAATAGCTAACATATCTCCAGTGTCTGCAACCTCGGTGGAACATTCCCTCGCATCTTCGTCCTCAAACTAGTCGACATGTTCACAGAAGCAACATGTCTTCCTCCAGCCATCGCCCCGGCCGCCGACTCCCTCAAAGATGCCCTCATCACGACGTCATTCTCCTGCGCGCTTGAGCCAGAGAAGAACCGTTGCATCAACGGCGGCGGCACTTGCCGCGTCGACCGTGACGGGTACTATATGACCAACATGCTTTGTGTGCTCATTGGCACGCTCACATTCATTATGTTTATCAAACCAGCTGCGCAGAAGCTACAGGACTTGCCTCTGAGGGCTTGGCGATTGACGTCTAATCCCCAGCGAGAGTGATATTGTGACTCGACTGTGGTTTTTGGTGTCTCGTGACGGCCTATGATGTCTTTGTATACCCTTTGTCTGGGACATTCTATAGATTGAATAAACAAATAATTTAGACAAGGCATTCTTTCTAGCACCTTAAGCTGTCTACCGAGGTTGCGCGCAGGCACAGATCCGCGTCACGGAACATATCAAATGAGTCTGCTGGTGTAGGATAATCACAGTGACCAGGTCAAGATGTCGACATGTTCTCAGCTGTTTTTTTAAAGTCTAATAGAGGATCAGCATGTGCATATTTGCATAGAATTCCTTCACTATGTTCAGCACAAGGCGATGTGGAATTCCTGATCATACAGCGCGCTATCCTGGCTTTGTTTAACTTATTCCCTTGTACATCTACATAGAGAATCTGACAACTTGATTATCAGTTTGTCCAAGTACCACCATACTTGACGACAATCTAACTCTTTTTCTGATATTCACTTCATAAGCCCTCTGAGATATACATTATTAAATGATCTCATGCTATCTCACTCTGCCCTGCAGGTTGGCCCATAAATTTCTGTGTCAACCGCGGAAAGTAGACATGGTCCCTTCCCTTGTTAGCTCAATCCTCCAGTTGTTGAATGTCTCCTGACATGATCCATGACATTTATCTAATGTTGTGGATCGTGGGCAAGGCAGGTGCGGGAAAGACACATTAATGCTGCACGGAGAGCCAACTATTGCCAAATGTAAACACCTATTCCTAACTGGCAACATTCATGGGAGCAACAAAATGCGGCATGAGAAGATGATATATGGCCCATTGGCGTACAAGAGCAGGAACTGGGTAGAGCAGCTCCAAGCTGGTGATAAATCTCGATTTTTCCTATGGCAGGATTTATTGACAGGGGAATATTTGTGAGAGAAGTGTCCATCGAGGTATGGAGTACGCGGATGCCTATGGACCGAAGGATTACACAAAAAATGATGCACCAGAGCTTCAAGGCATAAAGGGTCGGATACAAAGGAGCTGAAACTTATGAAAAATAACTTCTCTCTCTTGTGGTGAGCAGAGCCCACGTCTTGTCTTCACCCGTGTAAGCATCACAATGTCCAGACTAGGCACCATGCATGAGGCATTATTGTATGGTTTGTCGGGAAAAAGCTCCATACAACATAGGTACAGGTCGTACACATCAGGGGATTCAGCCACTTTATCCAACTATACGATACTTTTCGCGTACAACATAAGCCGCTATGAAGGTCATAATCTGGCCATACAGTCACCAACCCCTATAACTGGATGGAAAAAGCAACCTCGTGGCAAATATTCAAGCTGCACGTAAGCCAATGTCTGATCCCTGCTGTTCCTGAGCCAAGCAAGTGTTTATTCACCGTGTTCCCGAGTCGGTGAGATAATCAACCCTATCTCTGGGAGTCATTTGAAGCCCGAGTTCAGGACCGGACGAGCTGCACCGTAGCATATTTGATGAGATTCTTCAGGAACCAGAGTCTTGACAATACTGTGCCCAATGAGAAGCCCCAAGAACTTTAGCGCTTTTTCCCCGACGCCAAGAAGAGACTTATCCGAACCCCCTCTACGGGGTAAGCCGTATTCACATTTCCTTGGTCAGGTTCTTTCACCTGGCGTTCCAGCTGCAGGTAAACAGGGTCGTCCTCGAGTCGATGGAGTCTCGACTGGCTGTCGACGAATGTGATTGGAGATGCAGGCTCCGCTCCTGCAGGTGCATTTTTGTTCTAAAATAGTCGAACTGGGATATGAGTGGTCTTTAAGAAGAAGCAATTCTAAGCCTGTTCCTGGATATCTCAAATTCACATTTCATTCCTTGTCTCCTTCACCCCTACTGTCTACTCTGTCTACCAACTAAAGCATAATGAAATTCCTCGCCGCGTGCTTGACGCTCGTTAGCGTCTCTCCCTGGACGGTGTATGCACTGCCCAGCCCTGAGGATCTCTCGGTCCTTGCCTACAGAGCCGTATGTCAAAGAAATCAAATTTATTAGTCAACCCCGCTGATGTTTCATAGTGGGACTTCCGTCTTCTCAGTGAAGCACCGCCGGTTTGCAACAGCTCCGAAAGCAATATCGAATACTCCATTCTGCACTACTCCGGCGCAAAAAAGCGTGACTGTCAGATATTGAATACTGCCGAATTCAATTCAACAAACGTCAAGAGTATCTCGTGGAAGAGCCCGTCCGAGACCGACCGCTACGATCTTTGCATGTTCAGCTCGCCTGACTGCTCCGGTGGAGAGGACGGATTTCTGGGGAGCATTACCAATGGCTGGGAGGTATGTTATTTGTACAATGGGTTTGAGTCATGGACTATTATACCGAATGGAAACCCTTGTCTTCCAGTTGCGGGCGGTGATGCTGAAGATGGGAGGAAATAGATGGATCTGATGCAATTTTTGGAGAAACGTTGATAATGCGTGGTAAATAGGGTGTATATCAGAGAAATGTTTATACGGCTGGACATGGCCTTCGTTGAAGAGCTACAGTGCACAAAAAATAGACTTCTGGTCAGTATAATTCAAGCCGTAGTTGACCATGTCTACTCACTGGAAAGGTATTGAAGGGGCTTTCTACGAAGATGATTGCCAAGTTTGTATATTTATAGATCGCAGAGCGAAGTGTAGGAGTGGAGTGAAGGCTATTAAACAGTTCCTCAGAGCTCGCTGAGGCTTCCAGGAGATGATAGCTTACGCTGCAGGTCGAGATGTCCGATGTTCTCAGGCCGGGGCATCCCATACCATTACCAACATTCCAGTGATTGGAGATGAAGGATGTGAGTACTTCAATGAATCAAAGGTAAGTCAACCCAACATCCCGTTTTGAAATCGGAATTACTCCTTAGCATCCCGCTGCAACTCTCGAACAACGCAATCCAAAATAAGTTTCGCAAACCCACGATGCAACCTCAAAGTCCAAGCTGGAATAGTCTTCTGTTTCCACATATCGCCCTCTGCGTTCACAACCTCATAATCATGCGCACTTGCAAATCGAACCTCAACAAACATGCCTTGTCCATTCATTTGAAACGGCTCCGAGACACTCATCTCATGTCGCAAAGACGACATTAAGCGCCAAGGATACCCCCACCGCGCAATCTTCTCAAAGAACTCACGGGGTCCGTCCGGCAATTTCAAAGAGACCAATAGTCCATTACTATCCGCGTCAGCAGATGGGAGGCGCTGCACTTGGAATAAGCCGTTCAGCAGAAGACGCGGCGCGCCTGTCGTTTTGTCCGGCAAAAGTCCTTCCGCTGAGTTGCCTGTGTCCCCAGGTGTGAAACGGAAGCTAGTGAATAATCCGATGATCAAGCCCTCGGCTCGTAAGATCTTGCTGCCGAGTACAGATCTAGCCCATGCATACTCGAGCTCTGTTTTCGTTGGTGCCTTTGAGCTTGGGACGCGTGCTTCGAGGTTTTGTAGCGGTATTTGTGCGGCATAGATGTTGGTATATGCGCAGTGCTGGGTACTTGGGTTCTGCGGTTTGCGAAGGGTCTTGCTACCGGCTGCGGGAGGAAGCTCTGGGTATTTCTTTTCTAAGTAGCAAAGTCCACGGTGGATGCTGTAGCTGGCTATGCCGGTTGCAGCGGTGGTATAACCTAATAGGCGGATGGATCTTCGTGGCATAGCTGCGAGTGATAGGTTACTCGGAACTTTTCATGTAGGCTTCAAGTATATTTGAAAACAGAGCACGAGAAATCGGGGCTGCTAACTGCTTTAGGCACATCATCTGATGTTCTTGGGGGCCAAAGACAAGGCTGCCCCAACATGGTATTGGTTGATGCATCATATTATAAGATATTGCATCTCATTGTGACATAGGTAATGATCGAAGTAAACAGTGAAGTGAGTTTGTGATGAGACAAACGGAATATTATATAAGATTTCCCATGTACCATCGATGTACATCGTAGACATTCATGCCTCTGTTCTTCAATCTATTGCCCCCGCCTAGACTAACTCTCAACAACTGACTTACAGACTTTCCTCTGAGGAATTTTCATGGTGCGCAATGTCTTGATATGTTTCATGTTTCCTGCATTTAAATGTATCTTGTATTCTAGAATCCGGAAAGTAGAGGCACTGGAACCGAAAGGATGCAACGCGTCTATGGTGTCCAAGTCACTTATAACAGCGTACTCCAATCATAAGATTGGCGCTGGAATCCTGCTGACGAGAGCCGGATTTTGATGATAGTATTCCATCAACAATACAGATTACCAAGGTTATACCGGCCGCGATGAAGGAGATATATCGTCTGGGACAAAAGGGAAACCCACTGAGAAATTTTAGGTTGACATGTCGACGGTATATACCGATGCACTACGTACAGTCACCAAAATCACAGCAAGAAATAATTTTGCTCACGGTAGCTGGCCTGGTATCACCCGAGCCAGCAAGCCAGGTAGCAATATTATTGTATACAAGGCTGACTGGACTCAATCATGAGCTACTGGGCGCGAGGGAGGGAGAAGGGAGGGTTCTTGGCTTGATTGATCAATGGATGAAAAAGCGCGGTGTATATACACTGAAGTCTAGCAAGCAATCGCTCACTCTACGAGCCAGCAACAGAAAATGGGGTCATCAAATACCCAGACTGAGCATAAGAAGCATCAAGTCAAACCCATTCTGGTTCGCGTAGTAAAGCCAAGCATAAAAGCCAGCTTCCGCGTCTTGTTTCCCTTCAAATTCCCGTCAAATTCTAACTTTCAGATTGCTTCCATTTCAACATTCACCAAGAAATTTCCAACCCTTTCATAACAGCCTGCGGGAGTGCGGATGTCAAAGCATTCGCAGGATTTTTTTTTCCTCAATGGGCCAGATCTCAATCAGGAGTTCCTTCATCAATTATCTAACAAACTGGTATTCAAAATCAAGTCGCTTGGTGCCTTTGCGGCGCACACGTGCACTTGGGGAACTGCACCGTCGGTGTCAATACAAATGACTAGTGGAATCAATGTTTTTCCAGGTTCAATTGTAGTCTTATATCATTAAACACGTCAATTTCTGAAGAGCGATGTGAAGGGCACCGTAGTCTGCAAATGTAATATTGGCTGCTACTGGATGTTGCTTCCGAAACCAAATAACCTGGTAGCGAGCATAATTGTGCCTGGGCGACATACTCATTTGAACTGTACTTTGTACCGTGATATTCCAATGCGATTGATAGGTTCGTCGGGTTGAGTGTGAAGTTGATTTTCGTGAGAATGAGTTCTTAGAAGAAAGCAATGAACATGAAGTGATTCAGCTGCAAATTTAACCTATTGATAGCGTGTATATATTGATGGACGTGACAACTCGAGAGAGGAAACAAAAGGATGGACAAGTAAAGGGATGCAGATGATGATGCACTTACTCCCATGAAGCGCCTTATATGTTTCATAGGGACAAAGGAAGGTCTGACACCTACAGCCAGGCAAGCACTGTCTTGCTGTGCAACGCAAGAGCATGGGAATGAATAGACTCAATTTGATTAACATTAGATTATGGGAAAAAAAACCCCTGAGTAGACCGCCGCAAAGGCCACAAATGGGCCTCGGTCCCGGGCCCAACCCATCCCAGAACTCATCAATAGGGGCCAGTAAGCCTATCATTGCGCATGACTACCTATGGTGCTGGCATATCCTAATAGGTATTTTAATAGTTGATTAAAGAACTGGTTGTTTTACGAATATTCCACTCTATATATACCGGCGTGTATATGCCATGATCTTGGCGATCGTAACCATCGAAGGTCTCTTTATTGCTGCAGTCTCTGGAGATCAGCATCTGTTTCCCTCTCGGGGTCTCATATGACCTTCAATTTGGAGCTTCAGCAGTCATTTTAATACCTAGAACTACTAGCATGTTCTATATTTATTAGAAAGCTGTGGCCAATTGGCACATTTACATTATTTAGTGCCTATTAGGCCATATTGAGCCCTATAAAGTGCCTAGTCGGCGCTCATCCCGGCCCTATGGCCCACCGGGGCCCGAAAGTAGGGCCCAAAGCCCAGCCCGTTTGCGGGTTGGGTTGGGCCGAGTTTGGGCTTTATGTGCTCCGCAGATGTCTACCTCTGAGCAAGGGGAAGGCATTCCCATTGAGAATAACATGTATATTCAAAGTTGCTGCCAATTCTTCTCAAATATCGCTACAATATAATCAAACTATCAAATACTAATCCAACCCTATGTATCCATACTCCGGACGACGTGATGACATAGACTGTGGATCAACGGATCGCCCCGCCGACCCGCAATATTTTTTTCTCTCCGACACAACCTCACCTGAACTCTCTCTCCTCCAAAGCCAAGGCATGACAACCACAGATTCCTCGTCCAGCGAATCTACCTCCCCAGCAACAACAATGTCAACCCACACCCAACCCGATCCCGCTGTCGACAACTCCCTCGATGACATCTTCGGCTCCTCGCCACCCCGCGAAAGCTCCCTCCCATCAACAACCACCCCAAACCCCCAATCCACCGAACCCTCCGACCTCCCCAGTCTCCGCCGTCAACATGTGACAGCAGGCTATCGTGACGGTACATCCGCCTCGAAGGGCGCGCACGTACAGGAAGGATTCGACGCAGGCTTTCCTGTCGGTGCCCAGCTGGGTATGCGCGCCGGTACCGTACTAGGTATCATGGAGGGACTGCTACGCGGGCTCGAGGAGCGGAGTGGACCAGGGGCTGTGAAGAAACCCGCTGTGCGGGCGGGTCATCTTGATACCGCATCTGGATCTGGATCTACGAAGACGGATGACAGTGGCAAAATTGAAATCGCGGAGTTACGCCGGCAGAAGAGGGAGCAGATTCGTGTGCTCTATGAAGCAGCACTTAAGGAATTGGACGTGCAAGCTGTTTTTGCCGGGGCTGATGGCGCTGGGGCGGAGGTTGAACCAAAGGCCGAGGGTGAGGAGGAAAAGGCGGAGACCCAGCTTAGGCGGAAGGGGGATGTTGTTATCTCCAAATGGGAGGGGAGGGTTGATGTTCCGAGGTGGGAGGAGAACATGGAGGCTTTAGAGATGAAGGAAACCAAAGAGGGCAAGGGCGAGGACCAGGCTGTGGAGCACAGTTGAAGTTGTCTTGGATTTTTGCAGACATGTCCATGGCTTGCACTATTTGTTTGTCATCGATACGACACAAGGCCGTATTTTGTCTGAGATCTACGTAACAATGCCCCGCCAGATACAGGCACAGGGGAAGGAACAGATTTCTGCTCTTGCCGCTTGCAGATGCGAATGCAGCATTGGGTCTCCGCGCGGCTCGAGATTCTCTCGGGGTCTCTGCTCTTCGCTCCCCGCTGCAGGCTCATCCCTGCCGCAGTTATGCGAGTACCCAGATCCTTGGAACAGGCTCCGCTGCGACTGCAAGGTTGGTGCGGCCGATGAGCGGGACGGAAGGCCGGTCCGGGCTGTATTTCCTCGATCGTTTGGGATAGAAAGATCCTTCTTCTCTGAGACACTGACGCTGGGGTCTCCGTACACCACTGTAGGCTCGGTTGTTGCTATGGTGGTGTTGTGGGTCGGATTTATGATCCGATTCTAACTTTCTTCGATTTCGAAGACATTCCGCCAGGCTTTCGGTGGACGGGTATGAATCAATTAGATTACGATATATTGCCTAGATAAAGATTGACTTGTCAAAGCGAAGAGAAACTTCAAAAACCTCCTGCCTGTCAAACACGAGGCAGAAGTGACGAGTCACATGTCACACAGTTTCGCAAACCTACCTGTCAAATCTATGTTGTCATCGCACAAACCAAAAGTACATCCAAGCAAACAACCGAAATCTAGACAGCCCATATCGAGCTCCCCATGGCTCCACAACACAAACTCCGATAGATCTGTAACCTGCTAGGTTGGTGGGTCTCGGGGACGTAATGGGGACCTAGGCGGTGGATCGGCCACCTTGCCTTGCGTAGGAGGTCGCAGCGGAAGAGCCCCGGGGCAGGGCGAGGGGATTTTTTTAAACTACCCTAGTAATACCCCTGTCTTAGCGTTACCTGTCAAACAGACAATTAGGAGATCGGCCAGGTAGGTTGGAGTTAGAGAGCACGGACTTGTGATATCAGATTCGCGAATTGATGGAGGGCATACGGGAAGGGCGTAGGTTGGCTGGATAAGACTTGCGAATCAGATTGGTAGACTCCATTTAAGCTTGTATGACATAAGGAGCATATTTGACGAATAAACCCGGCAGGACGAGTCTTTTCAGCCGAGGTGAAAATTCAAGGTCTCGGACGAGGCAGCGATTGGCTCTTGCCGGACGTTGAGGGGCGGCTCATGCAAGGGTTCGAGTCCGTCCCCGAATCCGTTACCTGTACGGAGTATACAATATCCTTAAGTACGGGGATGCAGCTTTTAGTATTTGGACGAGAGCAGATCGATCGTGTCAATTGTATGAGAGGTGTATGTCGGGTGCGAATGTCGGTCAATGGGTGTTAGTTGGCATGTGCCGTTCCAAGCCCTAAGTACTTAAACCTCAACGCCTCGACATGTCGGCCATCCCACATCCGCGGCCAGTGGACCCCTTCCCGTGGTCCCCGGTGCAGCCGTTGTGGAGACCGTACAAAGAGCTGCATTTCGAGAATCCGACAGGTAACCAGCGTGTTAGTGTCATTCTGGCAGATCCAATATCCGGGATTCGATTACCGTGGCTATATATTGAGATTTCGAAACAGACGCAAGAGAAGCTGCGGACGATGTGGATTTGGAATGACAATGACGCACTACATACGCGGCACGTTGGGCTATGCAAGTTCTCGCGATGAGTCGGCTGTAGAGCAAAAGTCTGAAACTGCTAGCTGAGGGGTAAACCTGTGGTAGCCTGAGAGGAGGTTTGGTGGCTCCCTTCGCCCTTGTCAGTGGTCTGGAACTTCGTTGATTTGTAGTTTGATCCCCGTGCACAGCGAAAGCATTGATGTCTCGCCTACCTAACAGAAGGGCTGTTGTTACACATCATTATTCGGTTCAATTGATGGTTGAAGGATGTCGCGGTAGTATCGAAGATACCTGTGAGGATCGTCTGAATCCGCAGGGCCCGCATTCCACAAAACGTCCTCATCCCCTAGACAACGAAGTAGCAAAGATCGTTCGTGCTTGGATAAAATGTGGAGGTTTCTATTTGTGTCTATCCAGAGGAAATGAGGAAGTAAAACATCTTTTGATGAATGCAAGAAAGAGAATGGTTGCAGGGAATGCAGCTTTTGGGTCATAGGAACACAGACCACACGAGTCTTGGTGTCCCTCTATATTGAATTATAGATCACAGGTTGAATAAGGCAATGGCTGTCGTAGCAGAAGTGGCGGGACATGATTCAGTCACACATGGTAGAGATGAAGACCGTTGATAATAACTTCGTAATAAAACAGAGCGATATAATACAGCACGCGAAATTGGGCAATCAAGACATGCAAGGAAATCAAATCAAGGTTATGACAAGTAGGAAAATTAATGATAGTTAGCTCGAGGGCATCGAGTCATGAGTCGGTAGTCATGGTCGCTAGGACCAGGCATCATTTTCGTTTCGTGGCGCGAGGTAGCGCATGTAGAGAACGTCTTTGAGCGCATCTGTGTCCAGCCACATTCGGGTCTGGAGATTCATTATTTTCATTTTGCGCAGGAAGCAAAATAGCATTGATTGCATAAGGGAGTGGACGTGTTCGTAATCATCGAGACACATTGAGACATGAAGGGAATGATATGAAATCGTTGGAGTGATCGTTGGTAAAGTCGGTATGTTGTAGCATGGTTTCGTCCGTAAAATCAAACCCAGGGAACCGGAACGCCGATTTAAAATGCATCAGATAGTAGTAACATTCGTCTTCTTGTGGGACTTTTGGGGCTTCTGGCAATTCAATGAACGTAGGGAGCTCATGAATCGCTGGAAGAGGGGCCGCTGCTCGCGAACTCCATTGGTGGGGGCTTGAAAGTTGGTTGGGGCTTGGGAGTACAGGTCGTAGCAGAACGAGGTCAACTTCTCCTCTTCACCCTGCTCAGAGTTGGAATTGTTTGAGTATGTAGGGGAGTCAGAACGCTGGCGGCGCCGGAACTGTGCTTGGAAAGCAGCAGCAGCAGATCGGTCAACGTCGGAGCTGTTGGTACTGCTATTCTTGCGCGAGCGAGGAGGGCGAGTCAGAGAGGTGGAGGAGGGGGCAACGAGACGCAGTGTGTTCAAGCCATCTTTCGGTCGCACACCATCCTTGCTAGTGCTGGGGCGATCCATGCTGGGACGGAATGCTTCTGGGATAGGCTCTCCCAGGATATCCTCTGACATGCGTGGAAATTGCTCAAATGTCTGCCCATCGAGCATAGCTTGATGAAGTTTGGGCTGGGACTTGGCGCCACGAAGCTTAGCGCGGCTGCGAACTTTCCGTAGCGTGTCTATGGGGCGGCGAGACATTGATTTACGGCCTGCAGACTCAGACTCGGAGTCGGACTCCCAGACTGACTGCTCGCAGAAGACATCAATGGTAGAGATCGATGGCCGCTCCATCGAGGTTGCCGTCCATTGGCGAGAGATGGGCGGAGAGCTAGCCACAGGGCTAGGAACTGGACTAGCGCAGTCGTTGGCGGGGATGAAAAGAGGGTGGTCAAAGTGGGTCATATGAGGCTCCATGGTGACAGGATTGATCAGGGATGGAGGGGAGATCATGGAAGCGTCGAGTGGTGGGCGTGTTCCCGGGCTAGATTGCTTGCGGCGTGATGTGTTGTGGAAGCTCGCGGCGCGCGACAGGTTCAGAACGGCTGGAGGCTGCTTCCTGCGGCGAGTCCGCGATGAGCATGACGCTGTAGCGTCCTCGTAGCCCATGGTGATAGTAGTGGTAGAGTCGTTCGATTGTTGAAAGCAAGGCGTGGTTGGACGAGCATCCGCCGGTGTGAAAGGAGGGACCGGTGGGGGAGGGGGAAGAGAGTAAGCAGGTGGTGTAGATGCAGGGAGATAGAACCGGCGACGGGGCTCAATCTGGACCTGGTTTGCGTGCTCGTACAGCTGCTGAGTCGCCTCAAAGACGGCGTCGGTGCAACTAGGTGAATCGTAGGCAGAAGAAAAGGAGCTGCTAGGCGTCAAGTCGGGAGTGGTGCTGTCTGTATGAACGGAGCTGAACGATACGTGGCTGCTGTGGAGCGGACTGTGTTCCTCCGTTGAGGGAGTGTATCGGTGGAATCTCAAGCTGTTCTCCAACTCCACCTGAGCCAGCGTGGAGCGATCAGGTCCAGGGTACTGTAAAGGGTTGTGGATGTCCTTGTTGTGGGTCAGGGACAGAGAATAGTATTGGCTTTCGTCTTCAAAACTATCATTGCGCATATCCGATGTGTAAGGATTCCACGATGGCGTAGCGGCCAATGATTCCTCCAGGTAGAAGGGATCGAGATTAGACTCTTCGAGGAACTTTGCGCCGGCCTTTGGGTAGTAAGATGATCCCCGCTTTGCAGGTGAGGGTGATGGGAGACAGATTGTAGTCTCTGACCTATTCCGATCTTGATACAGCACGTCCAACTCGGCTGGACAATAAAGACCTCTGTGATCCATGGGACTGTGCGCTCGAGTAGTATGAAAGAGAAGTAACACGAGAAATGCAAGATCTCTAGGATATAGACACCGTCAAATACAGAGATGGAAGAGAGGACAATTGCCACCAGGACGAGAGAGAAAGAGAAGGAATGAGGAATGAAATGACCGAGGTCGAGACCAGGGTGAAGGGGATATGTTTATACCAAAAATAACCTTCAAGACCCAGAAGCCCTAGACCTATGATCCGGTGGCTAGCGGGAAAAGCAGATGCATGCCAATGCACAATGTAAACAACACAAGCACAGACGATCATGACCTATCTCACCTTGCATGGTCCCCTTCCGTAGGGATGTTGCAGCAAGGACCCTTCGATTGGGTCCCCCCAGCAAGGGTGCGCGGAACTCGATCCGTACAATTGGCACTGAAAAACATCCCGAGCCATCACAATTAGGATTGTATGTCTCTGTGTCTCCGTGTACCTGTGTTCTTGTGTTCCTGTGTTCTGTATGTCTGTGATATCGAAGCCATAAGAGTAACACAAGGCTCTTCGTGCCACCAGATCTCGAACATTTGAAATATTTTCAATCTGTCAGAGACGAATCAAAATTTACATCCCACATCTGCAGTCTGCAGAAGTCCAGTGCAGTGGCTGGGAGAGAAAATGTGAGATATCACTGGACGTCTGGGGCGGAGTTCCCGAGATCAGCCACTAACGCTGCTGATCGCCGCAATCTATGTGGTCTATTTGCTCTGTCACTTCGAGGTACTTTGGACTTTCAGTACTTCTGGTTTAGGTCTTTTCTCGGTCACCGTTGCACATTCCTCGTAAACCTAGCAACGTTAAATCGAGCCTCATAATTCGATAAAACAACGTTCCATCTCGGAAATTGTTCTCAAAACACCGACGTCATGGGCGTATTTTATTTTATTTTAATTTATTTTTCTTTTCCCTGCTTGGGAGCAATGGCTGGCTAGATACCTCTAATGCTTTTTCTGATATCAGTCGTAACTGGGGTTTCGTTGCACCTTTGTAGGAGTGAAGAGGAGATATACTTGCTCCCTTGTGTTGCTAGTTCCTCTATATCTCCTGGGTCTGCCCTGATTCCTTGATAAATTGGTGCCTGGATGCAAGCGAGTCAGATAAACTATCCTAATTTGCCACAACATGGATTCGACGGTCGGACACTCAAGGAGCTGAGCTATACCCTGACAGTGGACAAATCACACATGTTGTGCATCTGTAACTCTGACAGTATGCTGCCATTGGTTCATCGTGGAACTCTTTCTGCTAATCATTTTGTGATCTGACCATACATATTCACTTTTAGCCTTTCAATATGTCAATGTGTTTGCTGAGTCTAACTCCAGGTGTCGCTCTATCTCATGAGTCTCCAGCTCTATATTGTATACCATTGTACACCCCTGGGATTTCTATTGTTCTGGATTGTTACACTTCAGGAAGTTAGCTGCCCAAATAGACCAAAACAAAACAAACAAACTTAAGACATATGCTCCGCTCAGTCAACGAGCCCCACATTCCATCGAAAGGTTTGACTTGCATGCATCCCGCTACACGTACAGCCGAAGTGCAGCCATCCCGCCGATGTAGTATAAGTATCGACGCGCTCCCGAGTAGAGCCCCTGATCTGCAGGCCCAATAGCTCTTCATCGTCCAGTTCATGCACTGTTTGCGATCTTTGGGCGATTAACTCGCCGCGGAAGCAGCTTTTGCAGAGACCCTCGCCTCCCGTCCTCTCGGTCACATTCTTTGTTAGATGTTGAGTGCAGACACATAGAGTTTGGAATAGATGTGTTCACAATGTACGAGCAGTCTCGAGAGCATCATTTCCCAAGATACCGAGTAGCGAGTACTAGATCCTAGAGGATGGATTTTCCAAGGCAGGCAATGGTATTACAATCTAGGGCCTCCCAACTCCTCGATTGAAAACCTCATTTGAGCTTAAACCAGAAGTCAAAATGAAAGACGACAATGATTACCACAATACAATATCCCACAGTCAGAAAAAACTTGAACCGATCCCTTCTCAAAGGAGTTCCATTCATCAATCTCAGGAGTGTCTCGCAAACCGTATTCTCGTAATTGGCCAATAGTCCCTATCCCAAGACCCTGGACAAGGGAACTGAAACACCTAAGCTCCCGCAAATCTAGGCTGCTGCAAGGCATGCTTGAAACCTCCCTCGATCCTCGGTCTTAGCTCCCTGCAAGAGACTTTCCGGGTTTCGTGTTCATGCGTCCGCGCTGCGGGTAGCCCTTCCCCGGCTCGACTGAGGTATCAAATTTTCCGATCCCAAGGATGGCCCTTGCCGTTCATTTGATGATTTCCAGGCCTTGGACAGAAGGATTAATATTTACTTTCAAGGCTGTAGTGCTTATTGGGCGCTTATGTTCGCTTGGGTGTCTCGTTGTGGTTTCGGTGGGGTCTTGTAGGAGGCCTCCTAGCTTCAGGTATTGGCATTGGGGATGGCTAGGGGCTCTAGTCACTATCGTTGGGTGCATACATGTATTACTGCCCAGGTAAATAGTAGTATGTTGTATGTAGCACTTGAATTCTATAGTTTAGGGAAGAGCTGGAGTGTCCCCAAACACCCGTTTAACGTTAGCATTCGCACCCAGGGGGACTTGGGCGCGGCCGAGAACACGGCTTTCCCCAAAGAAGCCCGTATCCACTCCCGATTGCGCTGGACACATCAGATAGCTGCTTCGTTGCATCTAAAATCAGGCGCTACACTAATTTGGGGATGCAATGGTCTCCATGGATTCCACAAGCTGATTGAAGAAGCGATAGTCCGCAAGGCCACCATAGGTGAATCCATTCATTCTGTGAAGTGTTGTTAGAGTGCAGCAGATAATGTAGATAAGCACTAGATACTAGAGGCATTAGGCCAGACTCGCCAGTCTCTCGGCAGCACTTGAGATGTTGATTTTGTTTCTCAGATGACCAAGTCCGCCAAAAAAACGGAAATGTCACTCAGCTTTTGAAAAAGGTGGCCCACTTTGTATGGTGTTTTTGTCGTGCACAGACCACCCCCATACAAAAATTGTCCCCCGGCGCAATTTCTAGCCACTTTTACTGTTGTATGGAGTTTGACCCCCAAAATGGGGTCGGTGGGTATATGTAGAGAGGACGATGACTCGTCTTAACACTTTCCCTACAAGGCTGATATTTCCTGCGGCTTTGATGGTTGCTGCATTGCACACCTCAGAGCTGGGGAGATCACCTACCGGATCGGTGTTACTCAAGGCCTAGTAACGTCTGATCACCCCTATAACGTCCTCCCCGCGCAGTGTCACGGGTCCCTTTGGGGCCATCCGCGACGCCCGGCCTGGAACTTATGGGCTTGCCATGCAGGGCCCTCGACTGTTTTGCTATGGCGACTATCAAACCCTCCACACTTGTTTATTCTCGATCCAAGGTTCCTGTGAAAGTCCAGAGAGTTCCCTTCTAGGCTCAATTACCATTTTATTGGCTCTTTGCTTCGTAGTTATAGGTCGGGATAGGTTTAGCTTAGATCTGAATTGTACATACCTGATTACTTGTTTCAATCTCCCACGGTTTGGACCTCAAACCTTGGAACCTCTAGTTGCTTTGTCATGGCCTCGGGAACACCCTGAGACGATGTCATTGCGGGGAAGAGGCTGAAGAGTGCCACGTATATAGCTCGATACAGTATCTTATGGTAGAAATAGAATGATCTCACAATATATCATCCGTATATGCAGGCGTTCATCAAGTCGATTGTAGTTCTAAAAAAACAAAAAAAAAAACAAAAACAGTTCCCCTTTCCATGGTTGGTTGTGGGGAAAGTCGTTCGTTCCAAGAATCGTCATCACACGAACCAATGGACCAGATGGAACCTCACCAAGATCTAATATTGTGGAAATAACAAGGAGAATAAGGAGAATCGCCATAATCAACACATGTAAATCGCCCATTGAGGCCTAATAAATTGAAACGGTAATAATATACTCCAAATATTAGGACCTAATCACATCTTACCTCGGAGTACTCCGTCGACAAATATATATATTGTTGCCCGACATATACAAAATGTGATTTGCCAACACACCATAATTTGAATTGTACCCAAATATTCTTCCAAGATTAGCCTTGAAAGTCAACCATGGCACAGCGAAATTAAATTCCACTTGAGTTCATCGGGTTTTGCTCGTAGAGGGCTTTTCCTATCTTTGGACTTCTACTTCGTACAACTTCTACAACACAATACACATGCATTTCTAAAATGGCATAGCTTTGGGTTATTTGATATCACAGTACCCACTACGGAGTACAGTCTGTGCCACCGGCTCACGGTTGCAGCTAATTATTGAGGTATTGCGTCCCCCAAATTGGTTGCGCAGCGACATTACGATCTGGACGCGTGACGACATTGGAATATTGAGATCTGACATACTTCAAGTGCCTAAGTATCTGGGACTCGGCAATAGCCCCGAAAAAAAAGCAAAAAGACGAAAAAGAAAGGGGGTTTGACTTGGGCGAATTAGGGCAGGCACGCCAGCATTCCTACCTTAGGGGAACATCACCCTTTAGCTTCAGGCCCGCACAGATTCCAGATTCTTCATTTCTATACAACATACAGATTACAGAGTATAGGTGTTTGGATTTGAATCCGGGCAGCTGGAGTTTGAGGGTTGGTGCTTCATCCCCGAGACACGTTTGGTGCGCTGCAGCTCGAGCTGCGGTCCCAGCCATCTCAATTAACCAGCCACCTCGCACTCCGACCCTTTCTCGTTCTTTTTACCTCTTCAGATTTCAAATCGCTTCAATTTTCATCCTAATTGCATTATATTGTGCATTGACTATTCCATTGTACAGCCGTTGGGGTTGTGAATCCTCTCAACTTTCAGCGATCGATAATTTTGCGATCGCGATTCTGGGGAGCTATCCACTGTTGCAGTGACGCAACACTCGCATTGTCGTCCAATCCACTATTTCACCAACCATTCTTAGAGGTGTCTCGACATATCTCCAAAGCCCCTAACGAAGACCACGACTCTTACGACCCATCAACGTTCACGACCTTTGCGCGGCAACGCCAGCCGACTGTTCAACGACCTTCTTCCTCTACTTCAGCCGACCAATTCCGACCCCCGAGCGGCTCTGACACCCAGCGTCCCTTACGTCGTATCCCTCGCCAGGCAGAGGTCCGCCAATCCGCCCACCGTCGAGCGGTATCCTTAGGCGCCCAGGTTCCACATACTAATCGACCCCAACCGGCGCGTACAACCCCGGTCTCCGTGCAACACGCCGCAGCCAGTGCCATCGCAGCGCTACGTCCGGCCGTTTCCGAAGCAGAGACCGACGACAACGGGTCTACCGTCGACGACCCCTACCAGCTTCTCACTACATCATACTGGCCGCAGAGAAAGACCGGAGTTTCGTCGCGCACCGCGTCAGCGATCCTTTTTGCCCTTGAAGAAGCTATCCGTGGACCGCTACAGCTCTCCACTGACTGGGACGAGGTGAATGCTTCCATGTCAGACATGGCAGGCGTCGCTGGCCCCGCCGGGCCTGTGGGCAATAGCCGTGTTCAGAATGGTGGAGCCCGTGTACCCCAGAACCCCATCTCAGGGACATCACAGCCACCAAGTGGAATGAGGACCCCTACGGACATAATGAGACAGCGCCGGGATCGAGAGGCTCGCCGCAAAGCGGAACAAGAAGCCCGGGAGAGAGAACAGGAAGAATTGGAACGACAACAACTGGAGCAAGAACAACAGGCTCACGCTGAAGCCCAGGCCCAATTACAGGCCCAGGCCCAGGCTCAACAATATCCCGCTGGCGTTGCCGCCGACAATACCTCTCAGTCAAGAATTAGAGCGTCACGAGCGAGGGGCCCCGAAGGCCAACCTCAACCCATGCCCGTCGCTTCCGGACCAACAGCTGCTTATCGACCAACAGCAGATGTTGCCCCGAGTACCCGACCATCAGAATACCAGACCGCACCACCGACAGTTGGAACAGGGCAACTGGCTAGCCAGCCACGACTGACACAGGCAACTGGCCAGCAGCCTCAGCACGGTCGCTCGCAGAGTGCGGCAGAAATTGGAGCTCAAACCAGACCAATTGGGGTCTCCAAGTCCGCCCAGGCCCTACCTGCGGGACAGTCTGGTGCTCCTCAAGCTCTTCAGCAGCCAAAACGTGTTGGGTTTCCCCACGCATTCGAGCGATGGGAAACACTCTCCTCACACTGGGAGGGTCTCACTAGCTATTGGATGCGAAAACTCGAACAAAACAACGAGGACCTAGAGCGTGATCCGATCAGCCAACAATTGGCTCGCCAAATCACCGACTTATCTGCCGCTGGTGCCAATCTATTTCACGCAGTGGTTGAGCTGCAACGTCTCCGAGCCTCCTCCGAACGCAAGTTCCAGCGCTGGTTTTTTGACACCCGCGCTGAGCAGGAACGCTCCAAAGAAGTGCAGGCAGAATTAGACCGTCAGCTCAAAGAAGAACGGCAAGGCCGAGCCGATGCCTTTTCCGCCGCCCAGGAAGCCGCAAAGGACAAAGTCAAGGCCGAGGAACTGCTCAAAGAAATGCGTCGCGAACTTCAAATCTCCAAGGAGGAGGCCCGCCGCGCCTGGGAGGAACTTGGCCGTCGTGAGCAAGAAGAGCGAGACCGAACTAACTCACTGCGGAACGGGGAGCCGACTCTCGTTGGAGGAGTTCAGGTTGTTCCTATGGTTTCTGGCCTCCCGAGTCGTCACACTACCCGGCCGCAGACCCGCGAGGGTCCCTACCCCGGCGGACCGACCGCCACAACCATGGGCACTGATGCGTACCACGGCAAGTCCGCAGCGAGCGCAGGCGGCAAGTACTACGAAGATGGCACGCCGATGTCTCCCACAGGGTCAGACCCTTTCATCGAACCCAAAAAGGTAGACCCACCTGCCTCCAAAGCCCCCTACCCGGGTCCACTGTATGATCACGAAAACACTGTCCCATACCCAGGACCCACCACCTCAGAACCTGACACACGCTCCTACGTCGGCAGCAGTGAAGCCGGTGACGAAGACTATGTCCCCTATCCTGACGATCCTCATGGAAACCCCGTCAGCTATCCACCAGGTCCTTCGTCAGAGGGAAGCGAAGAGTATGACCCAGAAGGCCACTACATGCCCGATGGCGCCTACACCTCCGCTGCCTCTTCTGCACCACTGCAAGCTCCGCATACACCCACCTCGGCTGCGGACTACAGTGGCTCTGGCTGGGGCCCTGGCACTGGGTGGGAGTCTGTGACCCCACGCCATCGTCACCCGACGCGTCTGAGTGATGTCCTCGAGGAAGACGAGCCCAGTCGCACGAATCCCAGCCGCGCTACCAGTCGCAGTCAGGCCAGTCGGAGTATCCTTTAAAACACGTAATCTCCATTGTCATGCATCCTATCCTTCGATCGAGTTGTTTTGGCTGGGTTTTCGTCACTAGCCTTTTCGATGCATGCATAGAGAAGTCTGGAGAGGCATTTTCGTGCTATCTCGAGGGTGCGTTTTCCATTTTGGATTTTTCAACACAGTCTTCTTCCAATTGGCTTCTGTGTCTGTATGTGTTATGTCTGTCCTTTCCTCTGCTTCTGTAAAATTGGCGTTCAATTCCCCCTATCCCCAACATCGTTATGTTCCCTGTTTCGTATGTCTTCCTCTGTGATTTAGTTTCGTTCTCAACGGCGATAATACTTAATTGCCTATTTTCTTTTATACGTAGTACTGCAGGGATGCGTTCGCCCTTCTACATCAAACTACACACATGGAGCAGAATTAATAGAAATGATTTCTATTCCAACATTTAGAAAAAAAAGAAGCCCCCTCCCCCCTGCCCTTTCCCGTACTAGCCGCCGGTCCTCCAATCGACCCAGAAGGGCCAACCGGGGATCGTGACAGTACGGGAGCGGCTTCATTTATGCCCCTCCCCCCTTCATCTCACTCTTCCATCTCAGAAAATTGAGAGTGAGAATCCTCTCAGTTCGCCCCAGGCTCCTTGCCTTGGCCCTAGTTCGTGGCAGCCCCCCCCGGCATCAGCCTTCTGCCCCGAATCCGCTGCACTTGCAGCACGCTTCTTCTTCTTGTCCATCTTCTTTTGCTGCGCGACCTCGAACTGAATGCGGGCCTTGTCGGCCCAGGCCCGAAGGCACTCAGGTCCACGCAAGCACCAGATAAGAATCTCCCGCGCCGCCAGCGCATCCACAAGCGAATTCTGCCCCGAAGGACCCTTCCGGATTTCAAAATCCAGTATCTCCCGCGCCAACTGCTTCAGCCCCCACACACGTGGAAGCTCATGCTTCGCGGCGAAGTTAAGGAATGCCGCCTCACCGGTGACAAGGGCGGTGTCCACAATCCGGCCGTGGAGCAGATTCAGAGCCCGCATAGCATGGTGAAGACCATGGCCGATCAGCACGGTATCACAGTCCATGAAGCTTTTCAGCGCGTTGCGCGCATCCAAGTTCGAAGTGAAAGCTTTTCCATCCGCGATGGCGGCGTCCACGTCTTCTTCCGTGATCCCGCCTACTGACGCCGGCCAGCTCGTGACCTTTCCTGAGGGTTTCACGTAGCTGTTGATCAGGACTTCACCGGTGAGGAAATCAACTGCGGTGATAAAGGCGAGCTTTGGGTTTGTTTCGGCGGGTTTGATTGTCTCGCAGTTGAGGACGATCGCCTTTCGGCGGTCTGTGGACAACCGCGCGAAATTGTGGGTTTGATGTGGCTCGCCGCGCTTCAGGCAGGATGTTGTGTCGGTGAATTTCGCGCCCCTGTAGCCTTGGCAACGCAGACGTGCGGCTGGATGGCACCTTCCCAGAATGTACTTGTGGAGGAGGTTTTGTTCAGGTTCTTCTAGGTTGGTCCAGCGGTGTTCCATTTCGCCATAGGCTAGTGAGAAGCTTGGTGCGGGCTCTGTGGGCCGCATGGATGGGGAGGACGGCGCGTTGTTCGTGCTCGATGCTGCGGTTGTGGTCGGGGCGTTTGCTTCGGCAGTTGTGGTATCTTGGGCGGGTAGGTGCGTTGATAGCTGGTAGGTGTCTTCTTCTTGGTCGGACGGTTGCACTGGAGACTCAGAGTGGCTTCCAGGAGACTCAGAGTGATTTTCTGGAGGCCGACGGTCTTGTGCTGGAGCTATCGCTGGAGTTATCGCTGGAGGCTGTGCTTGAGACTCCGGTGGAATCATTGCTGGAGAGTGGTTCCCAGAAGACTCAGAGTGATTTTCTGGGGGCCGACGGTCTTGTGCTGGAGCTATCGCTGGAGTTATTGCTGGAGTTATCGCTGGAGTTATCGCTGGAGTTATCGCTGGAGGCTGTGCTTGAGGCTGCGGTGGAACCATTGCTGGAGGCTGACCGGGAGACTGAAGGTTCTGCGCTGGGGATTGGCGAACCTGAAGCTGGGCCTGATTGGGCTGATAAAATGGTTGATAGGCCTGGACGGTTTCTCGATGAACGCGAGGGTGCGTCTCATAGATGTGGGAGGGTGCTTGACGAACCTCCACTGGCAACTGAGCAGCCTGAAATGGTGATTGAATCATTTGGGCTTGTCCTTGATATGTCTGAAGAGCAGCGCGCTGGATTTCTGCTTGATATTCAACAAGATGACCATATGGTTGAGCAAAGGGAGGTTGTGCATAAAATATCAGATATTGCGGTGCAACGAAGTGGTGTCGAGGTTGGAAGAAATGTGCTTGACCCTGAGCAGCCCACCTTTGGGATTCAAAGACGTGAGCCTGCGGTTGATCTTGTGGAACAAACTGAGGACGTGATGGAAGTCTTGGATGGGGTGATGGAAGTCCTCGAGGTTGTGGTGGTGGAGCTTCAGGTCGTGGTGATGGAGCTTCAGATCCTGGGCGAACAGCTTGACGTTCAGACGGAAGAGCCTCTTCGCCTGCTTGAAGGGACTGATCAGATGATTGACCACGGCTTTCAATTGCTGAATCACGACTGTTCAGGGTGAATGCTTGACCATGCTGGCTAGTGGATGGACGGGTTTGGGTCGATGTTTGTTCGAGCCGCACCGGCGACTGTACCGGGGATGAGTTTGCTGTTCTGGTCAAAGAGACAGGCTGGAAAGTCGAGTGTTCTCTGGATGCCAATCCCGGTTTGTTATGGCCTGCATCCCTTCTGTGCCGAGCCAGGTCGCCCAGAACAGCAAATAATTTGTCACACTTTGGGCATGAAAAGATGCTGTGTACAAACTTCACATGGTCATTGAAACCTTGCTCAGTTTTGAACCTCCGATCTGGGCATTCTGGGCAGTGATACCACGTGGGCTGTACAGGTTTATGGGCGGGCTTCTTGGCCCTAGACGATTTGCGTGCCATGATGAGTGAGCTGGTGGATGGAGATAGACGTCTGTTGACGGCTTCGAATTATGAATGTGAGATGAAGAAGGAAGAAAATGGGATGAAATGATTTGAGGAGCGTCCTCAACGCGTCTTATACGCGACGGTCGATAGCAGCAGCTCTGCGCCAGATATGAGATGGTTGTTATTTGAAGAGCTGAGACGCGTCTCAATGGCGACGCTCTAAACTAGCACGAGATATCTTCGCGCTTACCCCGGGCCTTTAATTGACCAATATGACTACAAAGCTACGCACTCGCGTCACTGAACCGTCCCTTGGTACTAGCACACGAGGCAAGCCAACATGATAGTTTAGATTCCTTGGGTGCTACCAAATCGTATTTTCCATATGTTTCGTGTGTGATTCTACTATTCCCCGTCATTTAGCCGTTCCTTGGGCGCCATGGCAGAATAAAAACTATTGGGCAATTTATCAGTTCATATATTGGTTGGTCATGAGACAAGGAATCCCTAGCTGAACCTATATAAGATATTCAACAATCATTTGAAGCACTGAGGACTTGCCCGGTCCTTTTTATATATAACCGTAAGACGACTGAAGTCTGTACACTGACGGGTATGGAATAACGTACATATTATGCATTGTTATATGAAGCACGCTAAGTGGAGGAGGATATTAGGGCTAAATAAAGAAAATTCAAGGACAGAGTACTCGACCTTCTAGGCACAAACCGTGAAGGCAAACCGTGAAGGAAAAGAAATTCTGTCTTCTGTCTTCATGTTCGATTTGATACCCATTGATTTTGCGCTTAAGATAGAAAACGCTCGCATTTTTGGGCTTCGTGGAAGCAAATATACATAATCGTACTCTGCTTTCTGCGAATTTCCACGCCCTTCGAGCTAGTACGATCTGATTGATTTCGCTTATTCATTAGAGTCAAGACTTTACCTCTGGCACTTGTGCACATTAGTTTCCTAATCACAATAGATATATATTGTGTTTTCATTTTGGACCTCGTCCTACATGCTCGCAAACGGAAGTCACTACGCTGGAGAGGACAGTATCAGCTACCTCATGTTTTCCAGTAAATCAAGGAAATTGATTGAGTGGACTGAGACAGGAAGAGTAAGACATACCCTCAGACAAATCCTGGCCACATAGGTTAAAGGGCCATCCGATGCCTAGGTCTCGTCAATACTGATCTATTCCCTTTCATCCATCATAGTTTATCCACAATTCTTTCACAAAAGCAGCTTATCCATATAATTGGTTCCTAGTTTGAATTTTACAACAGTGTTGACATACGGATCATTGTATATTCACCTCACGTGAGAGTTGATCTTAGTCTTGCTCTTTTTGAAGGTGGCACTCGCACTTTTCTCGTGAAGACGCAGCTTGTTTATTGCTATTGAAGATCCTCGCTAATTGTTTGTTTGCGGTTCCAAGGATTTCCTTATCATCCACCTCCATCTTGTGTCCAAAGGTAAGGCCATTCAGCCCATGGCTGGGTTTTGCAACGAAATAAAGACTGGCAACACAAGTCCTCCTTTTTACTGTCGCTGGCCGGTCAAAAAGCTTCCGTTCGAACTCTCGTTGTCGCATTCCCACAACTCCCCATTTGGCTGTTTTATGGGCCAAATCCCCCAATCCCTTCGAAACCTTACAATCCATGGACTGTTGAAAAGCCGGAAAAACAACCGTCAATATCACATAATTGAAATTCCACCGCTCATTGACCGGTTCTCTCTTATTGCTTCCTAGTGCATCTCTCATTACAACGATCCATATCCTTCCGTTCCGTCGATGGAGACTGAAATCTCGATTTCGTATACTACACATTCGGCAATGAGGAAGTTGGAACTTCTGGCAGCTGCCCCAGACTCAAAGGATCTATGATTAAGAGAGATTAGGAGATTTTTTTGGCAAAACAGTTCCTGACAGAAACCACTTGAATTGTGTTTTAATGGCATCCTCCACGCCTCTTCACTCTACGAAGGCACCCCCCCGTGGACCGCGACCATTAACTTTTTCAAGAGGAAATTGGAAGAAGAATAAGAACCGTTACTATCGGTCCATGCGAGGAAGAGATCATTGAAGAAGCCAAGGCTATCAAGCAGGCGTACGAATACAGCCATTCGAAATGGGACCACTGTAACAACAGAGCATTGATGCAACGAAGAAAACCTCACCCTGGGTCCTTTCTTTTTGATTTCTCACCTTGATATCCACCGACACATCTTTACTGACCGAGACTATTGCATAGGCTGCCCATACATCAAATACCTTGTCATCTATCACCGGAATAGCGAGGTTATACCTCTTGTGTCAGATATCTGCCACAGTCATGAAACAAATAGTACCCCGGGGATTATCAGGGTTACTCAAGTGACTGAGGTTGAGTCGCGTCAGGCAAAGGAGTGAGATGGATGCGCTTTTTGGCCTCTGGGCATGGTGTAGCATTTCACATGGGGAATCAGGCTGAGGAGATTGCTCTTGTTTTCCTTTTTATCTCTCGTTTCTTAGAGGTCTTTTGCCCCTGTGGCCTGAATCCCTTGTCACCGGGTCTTCCGTCTCGTGGGGATTGACAAAAGCTATAAATCCACAGAGTCACATGCCCCTACGTATGCTGATTCAGCAGAAACTGCTTCCAACCTTGGAAGGTACTTGGTCATAAAATGATCTCAACTCAGCTCTTCAATATATAATGTCCGACGCACGTCATCAAACGTTGCTTTGTTTCTACTTCCTATCATCCTCATATTTCTTTCGTTGTCCAAAATATCACTATGTGACATCCGGTTGAGCCGACTCCCTATATAATCTATCACCCCCTGAGACTGATACTATCTCCATCAAAATGTGGATTTGGGGTATAACCACAGCTATATAAAAGTAGCATTTGTCACGTTGCTCCTTTTGGGGACGGCAGTCGTCCCTGCACCGTGGAGATGTACGTGATTCTAGGAATGGTTCAAGACTCACATTTTCCACGCCACATTTGCAGTCCTTGAAAAGGTACAATGTAGATATTGGGAAGAACGAAGCTATGGACTTTCAAATAATTACTTTGACGGTTGCTCGTGTAAAACCCATTTAGCGTAGTACTCATCTACTTTTAGTCCTCCATAATCACCGTTCGGATCCTTTCACTGCAGCTCCTCTCACCCACGAATATACGATCCCTCAATCCATCAGAAGGATTGACAGGTCAACAATGACTTAACAAAGACAAGTCGCTTTAGAGGTCCTATAGGCAGTAATGTTTCAACTGATAAGTATATTTTCCAAAGGCTTACAACCAAATGAGACATAAGGTCCCGCCAATAAGCCATTGAGAAGAGAAAATTTACCGATGAAGGATAGCAGAAAGCTTGTCGGTGCCATCCCCATGTATTGACCTGCTGGAACCTCCAATCCAGCACCGGGTGGGAGGCATAGAGTGAGTACAGGTTTGCGAAGGAATCTTGCGGAAGGCGCTTTTAGTGATGGGGATGAATGTTGGTTTCATCAATCTACACGTTTATGCAGACGGTCTTTGGTCTTCATCGCCCATAATAATGCGCTGTACCTTGGAACATCGGATAATCGACGTGACCAACAAGTTGCGTGGCCTACAGGCCCAGACGCGGGCTAAACAATGGGCAGAGGACTGTAAATTCGAGTACACACGTAGTTTGGAAACATCAGTATCAATACAGTCCGATGGTGAATGAAGTCTAATTTGAAGTGAGCTCATTTACTATTCATTTCTCTATCAGTTGATACCTCAGTAAATGCTTCCTTATCGTTCAACCTTTACTAAATTCGAATTTCTAGCGCTATAAATTCAGAGTGAGGCATTGATGCTGTATCAAGCAAACGTTGAGGTCTCACGTGGTGTCGCTACTTTAAAAGGCGAGAGGTGACAGCTGCTCCTTCCTCATCAAGGTGTTAGACCTTCCTCATATAATCAGTCTTATAGGAAATAAATTTAAACCTCTTCCAGCTCATCCTTTCTCTTCCTTCCCTCTTTTTCCTCTTTCAACTTTCACATTTCTCATGCAAATACACAAAATCGAGGTATGACTACCTCCACAGTTCCAATCATGTCAGAGCAATGAGCTAACATCGAGCGTGTCTTATAGATCCTATCTTGGAATCCCCAGAGCTCCAAAGCAACCAAATTTAAATCGCGTTCAAACACAGTAGGATATCCTGTACCCAACCCGATTCCCCCGAGCGAGCTTAGTATAGACATGGCGCTAACTTGGAACATTGCAAAAGTGTCTCAACCTCGCCCAGTACAGTCAATGAGTGCTGGCCACCTTGAGATTCTCTCACAACTACGAGGTCGGGCATCAAATCGAGCTGATGGCCAGGCAGCAATGATGCAGGAGGCAACTCTAGTGATGGGAGTTAGTGCTCACTTAATTGTTCTATATGCCGAGGAGTGCCCTCAGTGGTCATCGGCAGTTTTGAGGCTGCTGGTGAAATTCGAGCGGCGTATGAGTATACTTGCTCACAATATGTATACTCTACGTGAGCAGGAACGGTCCGATCTCTGGGTAGAGCAGTGGGTGTTCGATCACATGGGTCGGTAGGGCCAGCGAGGCCCTAAGCCTGTGCAGTTCTCCCAGGGCCGTAGTAAGGCAGGTTTAATCGCCTTTGCGCCAACCGGGGCTTTGTCAGGCAGAATATTAGTCACAAATCCATGATCTAGAGGGGAGCATGCCTTCATACATCTCATTTTGCAAACAAGTACCCTCAGGTCAGTGAAACAGGTTGATGAAAAAGCCCCAACAAGTCAGAATGCCAAATCAGAACTGGCTGGGTTCCGGGCTCACCCCATATCCATTTCCCATTGGATCAAGTTGATCAAGAACTCACATCAACAGTACGAGCATCACCCCGAATTTACTCAATCTACAACATAGGTATTTATATTCAAAGCTCTTTCCGCTTATCCTTTCTGTTCCCTTTCCCACCTTCCAAATTTATCATTATTTTCTGCCACACACACCAGTCATAGGTATGATCACCACGACTCCGATTGTGGTAAACCAACGAGCCAAGACCTAACTTGTGTGATAGGCTTCACCGTCAAGATTTCCTTCAATTTTCTTGCCACTGAACTCAACACGCAATTAAAACAAGTAAGATACTCTTTATCCAACCCAACTACTCTCAAGAAAACCTACTATAGATATAACGCTAACATTATTGTAAAAGTGTCCGACAATCGCCCAGTGCGATCGATGAGCAGTGGCCACCTGGAGATTCTCTCCCAGCTCCGAGTCCGTGCATTGAACCGAGCCGATTCTCAGGAAGAAATCATGCACGAGGCAGTTATACTGATGGGAGTCAGTTCCGGCCTGAGTAGAATTTATGCCGAGTTATCCCAGTGGTCCTCGGCAATTGGGAGAATGCTAGGCGTACTTGAGCAGCGGATGCGTGTGATGGCAGATAACATGTCTACACTGCACAAAGAAGAACGTTCTGACATTTGGGTCGAGGAGTGGGTCTTCGAACATATGGGCTGATAGGGCCAGGAAGCCCCATGTTTCCACGATCATCTTTTCACCGTGACCTTCTGTACACTATCATACTGCTATCGTTATGTGTTGGCCCGAAGCATCTATCTGGTTTACGAAAATTGAGTTTGACTTAATAGCATATAAAGAGTCTTCGCTGAGCTGCTCAAGGCCCCAGGCACGTGCGTTGCACCTAGAGGGGAGAGCACCCTCGTACATCTCATTTTGCAGAAAAGCTCCCCGAGGCCAATAAAACAGTTTTTGACAAGTCAGACTGCCAATCAGAACTGGCTTGGTTCCGTGCTCACCACATCTTGATTCCTCATTTGAGCAAGTTCATCAAGAACTCGAATCAACAGTAAGAGCCTTATAGAAAGTCAACTCAATTTATCAGATAGGTATTTTTATTCATGATAATTCCAAATTATTCTTTCTCTTCTTTTACTTCTTTCAAATTTCCCATCCTCTGTGCTGTACACACCAGCCCTAGGTATGATCGCCTCCGCAATTCCAATCATGGTATAACAATGAGTCAAGACCTAAATATAACTTGTCTTACAGGCTTAAACCATGAACATTTCCCACCATTCTAGAAATATTATCAGAACCAACACGCGATCAGAGTAAGTGAAATACCCCTCATCTGACCATATCCCCTATACGGGACCTTAATATGAAGATAACGCTGACGACATTGCAAAAGGGGCTGAGAACCTCCCTATACAGTCCAGACGTGCTCACAACCTTGAGATGCTTACAAAGCTACGAGTTCGCGAGGCGAGGCGAGATACGAGAAGAGAATATGGAGGCTGTCATCCTTAGAGGGATCAGTGCCCGCCTACTCGCCCTGAACCTGAATGGGCGCTCTCGCTGGTCTCTGGTAGCTCTGTGGATGCTTCAGACACCAGGAAAAAAGATGCAAGAGCTTTTGGACAAGATGCTCGCTCTACAGGATGAAGAGTGATCTGACCGCTGGACGGAGCAGCGGGCATTCCAATGTATTGGATGAGACACCGGCAAGCCACCCGATCTACACCTTGAAAGAGAGCGCTTTACCGTTGTGCTTTGTACTTAGGCAGCCTCCCAATACTCATACTTTGACCTGTGCTATCTCTTTGTTCCAATATGCAGCAATTACACATGAGGCAACTCTTCTGATGGGATTCAGTGCACGCTTGATTATTCTATATGCCGAGGAGTAACCTCAATGGCCATCAGCAGCTTTGAGGCTGCTGATGACGCTCGAGCGACGTATGAGTATACTTGCTCGCAATATGCGTACTCTGCTTGAACAGGAACAGTCCGACCTTCGGATGGAGGAGTGGGTATTCAGTTACATTGGATGATAAAGCTGCAATCCACCTGACCGTTGTCATCAAATGATATCATGTCATCGTTGTGCTTTGTACCTGGCCATCCTCGTTGTCAGGTATAAATTGACATGTGCTATATATTTCTCCCAGTAAGTAGCAATTAATTGTGGAGAAAGAAGCTGTGGTCATTGGAGTCAGTGCTGGCTCGATAGGCCTAATTTTTGAGCAGTACCCTCAGTGATCATCGGAAGTTCCAAGAATGCTGGTGGCACTCAATCAGCGCATACGAGTACTTGTGGATAGGATGTCCGCACTGCACGAGGAAGAACGCCCAGACCCTTGCGTGGAACAGTGGGTTTTCAGGCACATGTCTCCGATAGTATCAATTTACTGTAAATTTCTGCCTATACCTTATGTACTCGCCCGCAATATCTATCTGTTTTAGTAATGTTCAGCTTCAGTCCATATCAATAGGTGAGTGTTTGCTAAGCCATCCGAAGCCTGTGCATTGCATCTAGAGGCGAGTATTTCTTTACTCAATCGTCAACTACAAGGTCTTGGATCTGAACTATAGATTTATTCTCGATAATAAGGCCCCATGGCCCAATGAAACAAATTTGGTCAAGTCAAGTCAGAATGTCAATAAAGACTGGCTGGGTTTCAAGCTGACCCCATAATTACTGTTCATTCAACTGAATAAATCAAGACCTCGAAGCAAAAGTAGGATCACTACCACAGACCTATCAAGTTCGTAAAGAGGTCAAGACTTCTACCTGTACAAATTACGTTACAGCGGCACTACCGCGTCGTAAGCTGGTCCGGATGTGTAGCCATCATTCGATAATCGCCTAGTCTCTGTTGACTGCCATTATTCATTTCGCAAGTTACGATGTGATATCTCCATATTTCCATTCATTACTCTCACTATGATCTTGCATTATATTTACTGGTATGTATAGACTGCGGTTATTCATGACTGCTCATTGGTCAAGCGCGCCCGTTGAACCTCGGGCACTTCCCCACACATTACCTCATCTCCCCGCATTTCACCCACGTGATAAACTCAGATTCAACGTTTTCCCTCATCCCACTCCCTACGATAGATACTCAAATCTGGAGAACACGGAATGGGTGGATGGTCAGTGTACTGCGCGATATGTGCCGGTCCATTCTCTAGTCAACTCGATGTTGACCCGGAAGAGACGGCCCAGGATGAATGCTGTTATCGCGACAAGGTATTGAGGGATTGCAAGCTAGAATGGCTAGACGAAGTCTGTGGCATGGGTATCAATCCTGACTCGCCTAGAGATGATAAGTTTGTGGCACTTACCTGAGAGCGGTAGAATAAAGGATATGTTCTTATACACTTCAAATTTAGATCGTTTCTCTCGGGTGTCGGCTTTTACTGGGACTGTGTAAGACTGTTTCCAACATGGCAGAGAAGGTGATTGAAGTTAATTTTGATCATATAGGGATCAATATGTGTCGCCCCAGGAGGCGGTAAGTCTGTCGCTTACTTTGTAGGTCTGAACCAACCTAAGTTGAATGAACTGACCGATGCCCCCATCAGATCCTAACGAACCTTTATATGGTGATGATGACCAAATATCTCTCACTGCGTAAGTTGCCCTACTCAGACTTGCTACCCCTGTTTCCTCACGCTCTTAGTTACCATGACCTATCGGATTCCGACCTACCTCATGTCTTTCCTTTCCATCCAATATGCTACTATGGTATTCTCCAGAGATGTATACATCACGAAAACATGGGCAAGGTAAATCAGAAAGTATTGATTGATGTCATGGAAGAAGCGTCAGATGAAAGCCACATCAGGTTGGATCTCAGTTATGGCGAACCAGAGCCACCCACGGAACAGTATTGGTTCAGTGTCAAAGGCCAAGAAGTAGGTTGCCTGGACCACTTGTTGCTGATGGGAGAAAAAATGCTTATACAAAGCAAGCAGGTTTTGGTGGTCAACCCGGTTGAAATCCCCCAACTGAAAGCCGAGCTTGACGACATCATGGAATCTATCCACAAGATGGCAGCACCGGACCAGCGTTCCCGAAGCCCAGATATTTTCGACAGGTTACCGGTTGAGTTGCGAAATTGGGTATTTGAATTTCTTCCAGCTGGTTCAATTGTTGCCTTGAAGGCTGCTTCACTGGCAATGCACTCGACCACCTTGTCTGGAGAGTGTTGGAAGCGCAGGCTACGAACTGAATTGCCATGGCTCTGGGAGATCCACGATATAGATATCTTCCAATCACAAGAGGTAGAGGAAAGGGCTTCTAAGCTACTTCTTAACATTGAGAAGAAGAGTCTGTACACATCCGAGAGTGACGATTACATCTTCGGGCTTGCCAACCGGAGGCGTATTTGGGGCGTTTGCGAGCAGCTTCGGAGCCGGTACTTGCAAAAGCTTGAGGGTATTGCCAATACATAGGGTGTGGACCCTCACACATAACGGATGGGCGAAATAAGTTCTAAAAGTTGGGTTGCCGTCGAGGTTTAGACACTGCTATATTCTGAGCTCAAGAGGATGGCGACTGTTTGACCAGGGAATTTTGCATACGGATCAACGTCAGAGCAGCACTCACGTCTTTACATGATTCCAATAGACCAGCCGTTCTGTTCATTCACACCAGTTTCTTGGATATATTTATCATGTTAACTCACCAATCTTGTCCAATTAGTATGGGAGCGGTGGAGTGGAAGTTGCATCCCCCATGCTCGGGTGCGATGGTTTGAAGCGGCCTCTGGCTCCATGCATGCCTGAGTCTTGGATATTGAACCCTGATTTGCAATAAGAAAACTTCCATTATCAGCTTGACCACTTTTAGGAGGAGACCATATAACGGCAGGCTCTTTGAACCTACCTAGCTGGCCTGGCTACGATGTGTCCTGCCCTGGCCATAGTGCCTAGTTCAGGCGGCGTTTGAAAACACGGCCATCTCCCTTCTCTTCAACAAAGAAACCCATTTGGACACAACTGTGACGCAATGGCGACTGAATAGTATTCTAACTAATTTATAAATCATCAATCCTACGGACTTACACTTGTCAAAATTCACTTTGTCCTCACTCCCCTTTGACTGCCTCCTTCAGCAGCGCTGTAAACCGTATATTTTGGAAACTTATAATGGGAGACTCATCATTCTTTCATTATCCTTCCCTAAATTATCATTTTCCCTTCATCGATGGGTTGTCAAATACCTGTCATCATGTTATATCCGACGCAGCATACCTTGAATATATCAGGCTCCGGCGTGGTGAGCCTGTGTCTATGAGTATAGCATAAGCACTCGTTTCCCTATACAGCCGCGCTCCTGCCTATTTAGTATGAGGTGACAGCAGCACCTTCCTCATGAAAACACAAATTCTGTCGTGGCATATTTTATCTTAGATGCTCTCCATACTCTGCTTCCTTTCACCTTCACCACCCACATCTCTGAGAAATTTGATTCTCGTCCCCCAAGAAAGGTGGAATTCCTCCCCCTATGTGATATGTTTGACGACTCAAGGTACTAACTTGTACTGGGGATCGTATAGGAAAAAGCCACACCTACAGAATTCTCTTTAAGTTCTTCACTACTCATTGATTTCAGAGAGTGAGATACACCACATAGATATAACCCCCTTTGAGCAGACCGCTGAGATAAAACAGTGGACAGTCAAAATCCTATCCGAGTCCTCACCAACTGGCAGCTGGAGGAGCTGACCCAAATCCGCCTCCGGGCTACTGGAAGAGCCCGAGTGCGTCGCGCGGTTATGGCAGATGCTTATCGAATCATGCAGCGTCTGGAGGAACATCTTGCATCAACCCCTACGGTGGACTTCGGCTTTGATGAGTGATGAGCGAAGCCTCTCAAATAATGAGACTTGCTCCGGAGCGTATTGCATCAATCCATACGCTGAACTACAACTTTGACAACGTCCCTATTCTTTGGGGATTCGAAGCGAGGATAGGACTCTGTGCCGAAGAGAGATACGACCGTGCCATCGAGCAACAGATCTGGAGAGATCAGTGGGCAAGTGGACTGGATGACTCAGGGTGTAGAGACTGGTTTCTGGTTTCGGTTTCGAATCACATGTGTCTAAGATGCGGGTAACGCCAATGACTGTCAAAGCTACAGCAACGCAAGTCGCTTCTGCGAAGAGGTAGGGACTTGCTCCGTTCGCCTCACACTCCTTTGATGCTAATCTGAGACTTCTTTGTAGATTCCCCTTGAAATCGAGGGTCACCGATACGAGTTGCTGGCTCTTCTGTCGTGGGCTGGTCTGTTCTGGGGGACTTATGATCCCCATCGTCCGAACTCTGACGGTTTCGTTCTAGGCTAGGTTTTACCTAGGAGCACGTTGGAGCAGATTGCACAGCGGATCGTTCAGCTCTATGAGTCTTTTTGCGTCCTCGCTAAGAACTATATTGATAAGCATGGTATCCGGCCTAGTTGCTCCGTAAGATCCTCTTTCCCTTGTTCCGCGCCCCCCCCTCCCCCACCTTTTTTTTTTTTTTTTGTGTGATCTTAGTCCTTTCTAACACATTGGTATTTCCTTAGTAATCACGCCGCTCCTCCTATAGTGGCTAGCTCCTAAGTCGGCTACCTATCCCCTAGTTTATAAGGGGTATACCGGTCTAGTTAAGTGTTTCCCTTCTTCGATCCTTCCTACTACTCACTAGTAGTAGTAGTGTAAAGGATAAAGGTCCTTTCAATTCTGATACCCAGTCATCTATCTAAGTACGTTATTCTTGTCCTAGGGTTAAAATGGGGTTAACTTATAATCGGCTTAGGACTTAGTTCGAGTAAATATAGGGTACTACAATATGAGAACCCTAAGATCCTTAGGATCCTATTCCCTTCTATAAGAGTTAGTCTTACTACCTAAGACGAATACATTTTGATCCCCTCTCCCAATCACTAAGCCTTGTATCTTACCCGGTTGCCAGGCCTTATACCTGATAATCGTATACTCTTATAGTAGAAGACCACTTTTAATACTAAGGACTAGGAATAAATTTCTATTAATTTAATTATAATATATTAACTCCCCTTCTAGTTCCTGGAAAGCCTAGAAATATTTAAATTTATTCGATTTACTTACCTCTTAAAAGATATACCTCTAATCTTAACTCCTAAGATAGTATAGTGTCACCTATAAATAATAGTCAAGGGGGATTATTAAAAGGCCCTTTCTCTTTTACTAAAGAATACTAAGCTTCATTGCATCAATCCATACGCTGAACTTCGACTTTGACAACGTCCCTATTCTTTGGGGATTCGAAGCGAGGATGCTGCAGCTGCTCTGGCGGATGATAGGACTCTGGGCCGAAGAGAGATACGACCGTGCCATCGAGCAACAAATCTGGAGAGATCAGTGGGCAAGTGGACTGCAGGATTGAGATGAGGAAAGGATTCAATAGCTGACAGATTGGGGAATTCACAACTCTTTATTGTGCACGTCCTTGATCCTCAGTTCAGGTGTTTGTATCGGACGTAGAACAATCAACTCGATACAAACTAATGTCTCTTCTATACAACTGTTGCTAGAATAATTGGTGATATAGGAATTTTAGAGTTAGAAAGGTGGGGAGTGGTCTACCTCCACCACCGTCGTAGCCTTGCTCATTCATTTTGAAGCAAATTTTTGTCCCTTCCCCACAGATGCCTACTATCGGGGTTCAAATCTTTCTTGACCGTCCTTTACTTCTTCTCCTTCCTCACTTTCCTTGCCATACTCAAAGGATACCACGTGCATGGTAGAGCCTCTACGACATTAATCAACATTTATGCGGAACAAGAGACTGACGAAGTCCACCACTTCAAACCTCCCAATCCAAACATCGCAAAAGCTCAAGGTCTTCCCGCTGCATTTCAATCAGTCAGATATCACCCATCCTATGACTTGGTAATTGGTTCTCAAAGCTATTTTCAAACATCAAACTGACGACGACAAAGTGACTGACCTTCAGCCTATCCCAGCGTTAGGCGACTCAGATCAGGGGGCAGCTCACTCGAGCGAGTTGGAAGAACAATGCGGGATGACGCCCGCGCACGCGCCATATACGAAAGGTTTCGATAATACGATCTGTACAAATTACGATCTACCAATGTGCCCTCCACGATTAGCTACCGCCAATTGACACGATCGAAAAGGTTACAACACGAATCGTCGCTCTTGTTGAGGAGATGCTTTATCTACGAGCAGAGGGACTTCATGATCGCGCTCTGGAGCGTTAGATCTTGCGACTGCTCTGAAGCCTATCTGAAGACGGTTTCTCCCAGACCCATGCCTTCAACTTCGGGAGCGGGTCGACCAGAGGGATGAGATGTTCAACCTCTACAATGTCTCGGGGAAGGCGGTAAAGGGTCTTACTCCCATCCCACCCCACGTCGACCTCCCAAGATACCTTGGAGCCGAGAGTTCGGGGGAAACGGATGAGGATGAGAGCGAGGAATGATCGAGCACGGGAAGAATAAGGACCAAGATATTACCACAAGGGGTCTTCTAGGTGGTTTTCGTATCAGGGGAAACATGATGTATGTTATTTTCATTGCTTGCTAGCTGACCTAGCCCTTGAAATTCTTGACCCAAGTCATGAATTAGTACCCGTCGCATCCTGTAACGCGATGGGCCCCGGATCTCGGGATTGCTCCGGCGGGTATTGGTGATAGAAACCAGGGTATAAGTATCTTGGGATTCCCCGCCAGGTTTAGTTTCTATCTTTCTTGAATATCACAAGCAGTATTAGTCATTAAGACCAGTTCAGTAAAGCGTAACAGGTCGAGTCCTGTTCCAGCCCAGTCTAGTTTAAAACCGTCTTCGTCAATTTTATTTCTTTTATCGGTGACCGACTGCCTTTTTGCAAGGTGAGCTTGAGGTAAGGGAAGAGGGATGATGTGGTAATTTCATTTACAATTACTTCCTTGTTAAAAGTCATGTTATATGTGCGTCAACGCCAACCAAAATTACTTTGTGCTCCAACTTAACAAAGGGTTCTTCCTGATGGTCGTAGCGATTCGTGCTACACGTGTGAGACTTCACCATTGTTATTGCAAGATCAAACTCCATATATATTATGAGCTCTCACCCTGAGTTTAGTTTCTGGTGATATCCTCCTTAAAAGTTCTACTATCTCTCTTGATCTAAAGCAAATATTCTGGCCTGATTCCTAAAGTCGTATACAAATCATATAAATATATATCTTACTTGAAGTACCAAGGGGTGAGCATGGATATCAAAAAGAGTTTAAAGTTACCCTATCCTGGCCCTTGCCTCCAAAGTGTGTTAACCGTACCCTCATTGCGGTACCTCGCCTGCTAACGTGTCAATAGCTATTTAAACCCACCGGCTCAAACGGTTGAGATATCGTCGAATGAATCTTGTCTACCGTCAGAAGGAAGAAGTGGCACACCTGAATATAGTTCCAACGCTTAGCGATGCGCACTTGGAAGAGCTTACCCAACTAACGTACCGGCGTTCACGTCGAATGTATCGTCGCAGCATGATCCTACAAGAGGTATCAATCATTATCCACTCCATTGCTGATATCATGGTCGAGCATCCCAATGGCTATCATGAAATCTTGGAATATATCCTATCGTGTCTTGAGGCCCATGTAGCTCAACGTGTCTGTTCTACATCCGATCAGAATTTATCTGTGGGTGGGTCTTTTTTCAACCATTGCTCGAAAGCCATTTTACCTGACTAGGGGCTATGTAACATCTCATCTCACTTTGACCTTACTCTTCGTGGACATCGGTATTTCAACACCGTCACCGAACAGGTCTGGCAAGAATTCTCTGGCGACTTGAGCGGCACCCTATGAATCTAATTTGGTGGAGACGGCAGCGGAAGCTTTGAGTATAGCTTAGAAGTAAGGATTTTTGCTTGCTCCCGACGAAATCATCTCAAATCTGCCAATCTACCCATACCTGGCACCATGAAGGAGCTAGGGTCGCAACTCACTGGTTTTTCACACCACCATAGCCTCGCACTCTTCTCCATGGTGTGATAACCTTACCTTCCTCGCCTGTCGTAGTGATTGTTATTCAAAACCTTCGATATTTATCATTTCTCTCTTCTTCCCTCCTCAACGACCCACAGTTTCTCATCCTCACTTGATACATAATCCCCAGAGGTAAATTCTCCCAATATTAGCCCCAGCCCACGGATCTAATCGACGCCGGTTTATTACAGATTGAAGCCTCAAATCTCTTTCAACGTTCATTTACGGCTTTCTCATAACTCAGATTCCAATAGTGAGATACATGCCCGCCCCTATGCCACATTCCAAAATATATAGCTAACAAGGAGAGAGTGGATGACACGAACCCAGTCCCAGCTCCCAACGACAGGCAGTTGGAAGAACTCACACGACTGAGATACCGCCGTGAACTCCGAATCGACCGCCGCACGGTGATACTTGAAGTCTCCATCATCGTTGATTGGATTGGAGTGATGATGCAGCATACGAATGGCCCCCAACTACATCTGGATGATATTCTGGAGCCGTTGGAACCACGACTCAATTATCTACTCCAGAAGATGACTGACCTGCGCAACGAAGAGTTGGCTGATCGTCGCCGGGAACAGTCTATCTGGGCAAGTGTCGCGTAGGTAATCATAAGAGGATTTGGTCTACGCTCATTTTGGCGAGGGCAGCAACAGCAGGTGGTATGGGATCACGAATATGAACACTGAAAAGATAAATCAAATAAAACTGCCGAAAAACTTTCTTTTGTAGAGCGGTAGGCTACAGGATTATGCTCAAGAATGCCATTTCGTATTCATCAACCCCCATGCTTTATCCCGAGGGCTCCCTGTCGTTCTGCTCATGTAACCTATCCTGGGTGTCTTAACGTGGTTATACTGTTTATATGGATAACTTCCTTCTGAGTCTTCGAATGAAGGCCACGAGCAGCACATGTTTAAAATTGATTATGTATCATTCCATCTGGCATGGATTGACCTTAATTTTAGTTAACATCCTTATTTGACTACCATCTATGAGATGACACTTTTCTATCGAGTGTGTTGAGGAAGACGACAACCTCATTGCAGAGACTTTGATTGATGTATACTATATGTAGCCATAAATTAGAAACCAGTTCATGATAAGAAGGGCGCAACTGTCGAGTTGAGGAAGCGCCCCGACCAGTGCTTCAATATTTAATGAAGCCATGTAAAGACAACTATGATAGAATGGTCACCATGAGTTAAGGATAATATATCTGCTGAAAGATAGAAGATTTCTTTTATATTTGACAAAAACTCATCATGTACTATAAATATTTACAGATTAGCTATCGACATATAAAGAGATGGGTATTATAATAGACTTGAGCTGCTGGGGCCTGGGGGGCCTGGGAAAGCAGTTCACTGAGTTACCTGCCGGTTGATATGCTTGAGGATCTTAATGAACCTGGAGCTGAAGTGTTTGGACAGCCTTAGATGCTAACAATGCTCTTTATCTCCAAATCTTTGTTTATTCGGGATATAACTGCCAAACAAGACCGCGGTTTTCTATGACCCCGCTTATATCGTGTTGTGCCCCCCCTTTGATCGAATATTACTTTGCTGTCATGTTGATATCATATCAGTACATAAGATATTATTAAACATATTTAAACCTCAATAATGTTATGTATCTTGCTAATGTGCAGGCATTTGCTTAGCGACTCGTGGTCCCTCCTGAAGATATGGTTGCGCTTCCCCATGCCACTCGGAGTACCTGCTTTGCAAATTGAACGGCCATGTCGCAGCCGTGCTGCAGGAAATGCGTCGCATTCGCGCTGAACAAGAATTTGATCATTGGCTGTTCGAGTTCATCTGACTTCACAATTCACGTATTGGGATGGAAAGATATGAATCTGACTTGAATCAGAATGAAGAGCAGCACAAAAATGGAATGATAAAGAAGAAAATCAAGGCATAGGGCTTTTAAGTACGTTATTTCTTTTCTTAGTAAGATTTTCAATCTTTATCAATTGAAAATTGTTCATTCTAAATTTCAATGGAAAGCTCTTTTCTATAGGCTCAAGGACTTATTGTAGAGGTCTAATCTACCATACTGCTAGCGTTTTGTGTACGTCGCGTTATCCTTACTTTCACTTTCTTTTCACGTCGTGTCAATCTCATTATTCAACTGCTCCTCCATCAGATCTCATTTCACCATCAATATTCAGTGCTAAAAAAAGGAAGAAAGAAGAAGAAAGAAGAAGGAAGAAGATAAGATTATCAGCGATGACGCTCAATAAATACCTATTTTCAGGAAAAATTGGACCTTCGCCAAGAAGGATCATCAGAGAAAGCACCACTGTCACCTCAAGGAGATCCAGAGCAAGAAAGCTTAAGAACTTCTCAGCCAGCAAGACCAACTACCTTGGATCACGGCACTAACTGTCCATGTATCTGGATATATTAAACTTGGGTAGAGTAGGATGTTACGTATAGATTCAACTAGGATTGATAGGAGGGGAATAAGTGAGAGAGGGGTGATTAGAAGGTGATCTGTACGAAAAGACCAAAGCGAGATCTCGCGACTCAAAACATATGTGCATAAGCAGTTAAAGGGCCTATGACACACATACAGAGAGCAAGTATCATGGTATGACAAAAAGAGTGAGGAACAAGGTCGTAAGGCAATGAGTCAACCCAGGGAGTTCCTATCGCGATTCTACCAATGGACTCAGATAATCATGAATCTGTTATTGTTATGGAACCTCATAGATCTCTTGGGCCTCGGAGCTTTAGATAATTCAAAACATTTCCACAGCTCAGCGGACCTTGCGCCATATCTGGCGCTCCAAATGGCGATGGTATCGCTCCTCACCCCGGAGGTGGTAACTTTCGCCGAGGATACGGATCATTCGGTGTTCCATATTTATCAGCATGTAAATGGGAAGAGGTGTCTCGGGTGCGAAGACATTCATGATGGCTTCAACAACACTTATGATGCTCCATGCCTCGTGTCTCATCGCTCGAAGAGTACGATTCCGCCGAATCCGGTGTACACGCAGTCGTGTCAAACGCTCGAGCTGTGCCGAATTAAGTGTCGGAATTGGTCTATCGTCAACCACTTTGGGCTTTTTAGCAGTATGTAAGAGAGGTCGTTGGGAGCGAGAATCAATATGATAGGGTGTATCTTACTCCTCGAAGCAGTTTTATGAGGTATGGCACGTCGGCTAAGTTGCCGAGAATTAGAGTGACGGATGGATCTCGGTCTGTTAGATAGGCACTTTTCGTTAGCATCGCGTTTTGCTGTAAGCCTTGCTCTTTGTCGAGGGGATCGTACCTTGGGCCGTGGGGGAATGAAGGTAAGGAATGAATCATGTAGAAAGAGGGAGGGAGATCCAAAAGAGATGACATCAAGTAGAAATTCATATAGAAATAGGGGAGAAAAGACGTTTTGACAAGACAGGTGCGACTGGCAAATTGAGGAAGGAGCAAGACCGGTAAAGCTTCCTCAACGCTTGTTGAATCGAAATGATCCAATACCAGTTTCCTGACCCTCTAAATATCGTCAAGACTATATAAATATACTATGGAGAAACCGAGATGTTATAAGAAACTAGTAAATACTAATTTCAATGGGATGTATGAGCATTGTAATTGAGGATTTACAAGAAGTAGGCGTGGCACACTGGCAGCAAAGAAAAATGTTATCAGCCCTGGGTCAACCTAGCCCACCATTGATATATAGAACGAATCCATGCTACACAACACTTCTTACCCTACCACAGAGATTGACTCGCAAATTTCAGTGTTCAGTTTTTCACCCCTCAAACTAGGTGAACTCTGGATTCAACCTTTCACATCATGACTGGGAACAGCCTGGGCCCACATGGCTAGATGCCATTCACAGAGACTCATTCTTTCAAGATAACCCGCCTGGCCATCTCAATGGTTGGTGACTTATTATGGTCGGCGTATCAATACACAGAGACTTGAAGACCCAGTGTTAACTGGAATGTCATATTTATAACCAATGTACCCATGCTGCGTGTGTGAGTTGTCCAGATGTGCACCTCCACTGAGCGCTCGGCGCTAGGATTCTGGGTAGGTCTTCCACCCTTCCCTAGTAAGTATGATGCTCAAGGTATCCCAAAACGGGGGTATTGAGGGTAGGAAAGGTACTTTACTACCAACCACGCTATTCCTTCCAGATAATCCAACGCAAATCGTGCGCCAAAGCTAGCTACCTTCCTTTCTCCGCTTTTGGATTTAAAGTGGGTGGATCAAGATGGCATATCATGGGGGGTGTGACAGTATATTAGGCTTTCTATGATGCTTGTATGGTCATAGGTTAAAAGATAGTGGATGCGTTTGCGGTAGCAATAGGTCCGATTCCAACTGCCTCACCCTCCTGATACCTCAAAGGCTAGCTGTACCCGTGGATAGGTCTTCTGCACACGGCAATAGAATGCCATTGTATACAGTAAAATCAAAGCACAATCCATTGTCTTTCAACTGTTTGCTCCCAATGCGCTCTGCTTCCAGTGGAACCTAATGTTCGCCTTGTAAACGTTTTTACAAAGGAATTTTAACAAATGGTGACCTCAGTTGTTATAAGTCTTTCATATGCCTTTATTCAATGTTATCTAGCTCTTTATTTTGGGATTGCTGTATGTACGGTAGAAACATATCTATAAATTCAATTATCAGTTACGGCGGTGCTCATGCTGTCAGCCTGCAATTGCTATGATGTTGGCTACCCAGTCTGGCTCTTTCTTAAGGTAACAGTCGTACCTTCCTCATGAGTCCAGCTTTCTCTTATAGCCCTCGACAACCTCCCTTTCGTCCTTCTCTTCAAAAGTCTCACCTTCTTTCTCATCCAACAATTTTTCGAATTGTGACATAGTCGTGCTCGCTACCAAAGCCACATCTGGTGCCTCGTTCTCTGAGGTATGACTGACCCTAAGACACCTACGACAATGGGTGGGATCTACGTGGACAAAGAGCGCTCATCCGAAATGATTCATCAAAATCAAAAACATTTCAAGATATGATCGCTTCGACAACTACATTTATCTGAACCGGCACGTTTATAGAGCCAACGAGGACATTATATAGGTGGACTCTTAGCCACGTTCTTACATTAAATAACCACACGAACATTCAACTCGAAGGTGACTCACCCTCCCTCCATGAAATTTCTATCTTCGGTTACGCTTCAACATAAACCTAACCCAAAAAGGTGCCCAACACTCAACTAATCCGGAGAATCGAATTGAAGAAGTCATTTGGGTTGATACAGAATATGATGGGGTCTAGGTTCTTGGCAAGCATTGAAATATTTCACAGAGAGGAACGAAACACGCTACACCGCGATACTGTCATTCAGACATACATTCTCTTATCTCTCTCCTTTAATCTATGTAAGATTCAATATTCATTAAAGCCTATGTTCTCAGGCCGTATTCCACTTTACTTGGGACTTAATCACGCTCAGATTAGACCTTTTTGCACTTATGTCTCATCATAGAAAACTTGGATGTTAATATAGATAGCTTTCCTGTCATTTTGGTCTTGCTTCCCAATGACATATCTTACACAATATCTACAGCTAGCAACAAGGCCATGATGCCTCTGGGCTGGCTCCGTGCTCAAATCTTCATTTTTTAGAAGCGAAGTTTGCTATTTTGTGAAAAGTAAATGTACCTTGTTTGTTATGTCAGATTGAGTTTCTGTAAAAGGATAGGCGAGCCCGTTAGATTGTTCAAGATTTTCTATAAAAATAGGCAAGTGTCTCTAGTCTTCACATTGCTTTCACATCTCACATTCATATCAGTCGTGAGTATATATACATAACCCTGTATACGTGCAAGGGTATCGGGCATATTAGAATATATTTATCAAAATTAGCGAGAATGACTTAGGCTTTGCTGCCTTGATGTACAGCAGTTCTTGGTGAGGGGACCACCTTCTTTTCTCATAAGCAGGTGGTATCTCCGTTACCATTTAGGATCCTCATTGATCTTCTCTTACCTTCACCAACTACCGCATGTCCTCTGGGACTCAATTTTTACACATCTCTCAGGGGTAAGATTCCACTCCGCATAACAAGGCATAAAAAGCTACAACAGGCTGACGACCTCTGGTTGTAAAGTAGGCTGATTTCCATCAATCAACTCATTTGATATTTTATCACACCCACAATCCCACCCACAGCATCGGTGAGTTACAGACCCTCAACCCTCTAGGGTAAACCACATTTTAAACTCGAAGCTCCTAGGGAAGAAATTTCTGAAAACCACCCAATCGAGGCACAAACGAATAAAGAGCTACAAGCACTGACCTAACTTCGGGTTAGAGCTATACTGTGACCCCGCTACCTCGCACTGACTGTGGGCGAGGCACAGCAGATGTTACGATTTCTTCCTTCAGCTCAGCTAGTATATACCTCACCCTTGGTACTTTGAACTAGCGATCAAAATTCTTCAGTAACGGTTACCTATCTTCCTAGATATACTGGACAAACTGCGGGTCGGCGAAGAAGAGGGTAAGAGATCTTGGGTCTCTGGAAAGAACATATTTGAAGAAATTGAATCCACAAATGACTCAATATAGTCTTGTTGCCACACGCGTTGCTATGCCACAAGACGGATACAGTTGTCAAATTCCGTTTTAGTAACTATTAAAGCTTGTCTGTTTGAATCCTTGCGAAAACCTTTCTAACTTTTGCATGCTTGTGAGAATACATTTGTTCTCGCTGTACTCTCACTCTTTGATCTCGATCTCTTGGTTTCTTCATCCACCGCATTTCCTCTTCAACGCAATTCTCACATATCAACTCGAAGGTAAGATCCACATCCCATAGTAGGACTCACGGGGGTACAAAATGCCGACGGTTTCTCGTTGGAAAATAGACTGATAACTTTTAGGAGTTTATACTACCACTCATCCCACCTACGATATCAGTAAGCTATAAACCCACGGTTTTTTAAGCTGAACTAAGGTCTCGAATGAAGCTACGAAAGAAGAGATGTCTGAACCCCGAAATATTCACGCACCAATCAACGAGGAATTGGAGGAACTGACCCAGTTGCGGGTCAGAGTAATCCAGCGAGTCCGTCACCACGCAATAATTGTGCGTCGGGCACAAGAAATCTTGGATTGTTACAACTTCCTCCGTGACCTACATCAATAGATCCCCCCCCATATATGCCTCCAGCTAGTCATCGACTTCCTTCGCCAAAGATAGACCATCATACTCAATGTTTTAAGCAAAGTACGGGTCGAGGAACAACGCGACGAGGAGATACAAGGTTTTTGGGAGCATTAGAGCAAGGAAAGTGAGAGCAAATAATATCTCCATCTTCGTACGCCTCTATGCCTTTGCTGTAAGACCAATGAACTTACCAATCCCTGTTTTACTATTTCTCGAAGCTTTTCTATTCAATCCTCTCTCACTTTTCTACGCATATGAGAACACCTTTTTCCTCACTACACTCTCACTCTTCGATATTCATCTCTCAATCTCTTCGACCACCACACTTCTTTCCTGCAGCTTCTACATATCACCTCAAAGGTGAACACCCCCCTCCCCTTCCCATACTCGGACCCACGAGGTTACAAATACTGACAGGTTTTGATTGGGAAGCAGGCTGATCCTTTGTATCAATCAACCCATTCGGGACTCCACTCCAGCACTGTTTTCACCAAAGATATTGGTAAGCTATAGACACAGCTCTTTGGGTCAAGCTAAGTTTTCAAAAGGAAGCCAAGAAAGATATGTCTGAGAACCACCCGATTCAAGCACCAACCGATGAAGAGTTGGAAGAACTGACCCAACTACGGACCCGGCCGCTCGAGCGAGCCTTTTACCGCGCAACAATCGTGCGCGAGGCCCAGGAGATCCTAGATTGCTATGACTTCCTTCTGAACATCAATCAGTATATCCTCTACCCGGAATACCTGGAGCTAGTGATAAATCTTCTTCGCCAAAGATGGATCATCCTTTTGGATATGTTAAGCGAACTGCGAGCCGAAGAGGAACGCGACCAGGAGACGGTAGGGCTTTGGGAGGACTAGAGGATAGATAATGAGGGAATGATATCTACCTGTTGGCACATATGTGTCTATGCTGCAAGACCGATAAAATTGCAAAGTTCTGTTTGAGTAACTCATCTTTGAGTACCTGTTCAAACTTGTCAGATTAAACCTTTCCAATTTTTTATTCTTCTCACTTTACTCTCAGTCTTTGCTCAAATTAGTCCTCGTATATCTCTTGCTTAGAGATCACTTAGAGCTGTAACTCTTTCTCCACATGAAGACAGACTTACAGCTACCAGGAGAAGATCCCCTTCTAATGCAAGTTCCGAACAGCATAATTGCTTATTTAGGAAATGCAGGAGGTCAACATATACAGCCGCTAGTAATGTATCGTCTATACTAAATTTCGAGTTCGTGATCCACCGCAGAATCTTAGGAACTAGCGGCCGGCCACTATGCCCTCTCATCCATAGATTTTCAAGCATATAGCATAGCTTGAAGACCCAATCCCAAGGCAAATTGACTTATGTAGTCTGTCCATTTCATATAAATGTAAAATGAACGGAAGAAATTGTGGGCATATGCCAACTACCGGGTGAAATCAGTAAAGATTATATCCAAGGTAAATTTGTTAATGATTTGGGTAATTTCAGTTTGAAATATAAAATTTGTTGCCATTTGAAAAGTGGAAGATACACAGAGAATGTGTACGACATTTGAGCTTGCAACGACGATTTGATAGACGGATGCATATACTACCCATGAATTCTCTGTCTTATTTCTCAATCTCTAGAAAGACGGCTTTACGCCTGCATGGCTTTATTTATAAGGCTTTATTCCTATATACTTATTGATAAGAATTGCCTTTGTATATTCGCAATAGGCTTAAGTGAAATGACGCATTCCGCGGGCTGATATAGTGGAGCCCTACTCTAGGATATAGCTTGATTTACTTACACACGGGGGTGGGTGATAAAAGGCTTGATCCTGCTCAATAAGATTGGATTGGAATTACCATTTACATTATCTCAGTCCGAGCTACTTATTTACTGGGGGTAAATTAAGTTTCTCATCAAAATTTGGACAACAGGCTATCGAGTACATTGAACAATTGATGACAGAGAAGATGATGATATTTTCTATTCAGAAGCAAGACTGTGTGAGAGAGAAAGAAGAGAAAGCAAGTGTGAATAGGATACTAAGATCCTATTTATACTGCCAAACATGATGCCATATCATGCATGTTTGATCTATATGCCTGGATACCTATGGCATCCGACAACAATAAAACATAAGCAGTAAACTTCAGCATCGAGCCGAAATATTAAGGTGAAGTGTGAAATTCAAAAATGAATTCGCGCAAGCTGACAACTTGTAGTTTGCTGATAAGGATTGTTCGATCAAGTGATATATGATATCCGAGATTCAACTAGAGCATAATTTACACCCCCGGTTATCACATTTAAGCGACGTTGATGGAATTTGGACGCTTTTCGAGCGGGAATTTGTCCCAATATATAGGCAGGGGTTCTCCGGTGAGCAAAGCCTTCAACTGCAGGGCTATGAAACGTGAGTAGTACCGAGCATGACTACATGGCCCGCCGATGTACCACAGGGCAGGATCTAGAAGGGCTATCAGCTCCGGGGTTCCTTTCTTGCATGGAGATTCGATAACTTACGCCCTGTAGGCTTGAATGCGCCTTTGAGCTCGCCCTCTTCATCCAGACCCCAAAAGCCGTCGACCTGAGATGCAATCTCCTCTCCGAAAAATTTTCCTACCGTCTTTTGCATGTCATAAACAAACCCAGTTGCAAAAACGATGATATCTGATTTCAAATGATCACCGTCGCTGCATCTCAGTCCATCTTTGGTATACTCAGTTGGCAGCGCGTCTGACTTCACTTTGATCTATTTTTCAAAGATGCGCTGCCATTAGCCCTCTGAACACGACGGGGGAACCGGTCGTGAAGTGAGAGAATATGGAGTACTTACCAGGCCAGCCCCAATCTTTCGTGATGCACCTACATCCATATAGTGTCCCCCGGAACGCTCGTAAAGATTATGCACTATATCTCCATATCTGTCGGTCTTGAAACCAGCGGCTTCAAGACCATCAAAAGGTTGGGATTCTTGGCTTGCCATGGCATGCAAAACTGTCTGATAAACCAATCTGGTCACAGCAAGGGGCATATTGTGATAAATGCGATCAGCGATTTCCGTTGGCACCGAGGAATTGTAGTAGGCTAGATATGGATTCAGTCCGTTGCGTCTTTGATATTCGAGTGATTATGCTCACGGTCAAGTAATGTATTAATGTGGTCGGCTGGGACAACATCTGCCAAACTTTAGCCAGGATTGTCAACATGTCTTCGTCAATGGTCCCCTACATGTCGGGGATCGCTGAACCATCGTTACTGATGCCAGACCTGCGTCTAACATGTCTTCCGCGATGTCGTGGCCTATACTAATGTTTAGACGTTGTGGACAATGGTACATCGGAAGCGCCCACCTGTATTCGCCGTGCCAATCACGATCCCATGTTTTCCTACCCATGGTACCCCTGACTTGTATTCCGCTGAATGCAGAATGGTACCTTCAAAGCTCTCCTATACGATGGAATTTTTAGAAGAAACGAGCCCAAAGTCGGCAATGCGCCTTACCTGATTCTTGTAGCTTGGAGATGCAGGTATCTGAGCTCCTCCATTAGCTAGTACCACATGGGCGCAAAACATCTTCTGGGCTTCTCCGTTTCGCTCGACGTTCAACTCCCAAACACTTTCTTGTTCGTGCCACTTTCCGGAACGAAGGGTGGTCTGCTGCCATATATTCTGAAGAATTTCATTAGAACACTAAAATGTGAATGCCATATTGTTTGGGGAGAACCATACAATTCCGAATTTTGCAACCCAGTCTTGGTACCCTTTCGCCAAGTCCTTCTTCGTGAGAAATCTCTGATAGGTGTCTGGGAAAGTTCGATCAAAGGGGAGATGTGCTTGAGAAAATCAGTTTTGTGGGACAAACGACCAATCTTCATCTCGCGGGATGGGATTACCAAAGTCTCTGGGTGTATGCACTTCCAATCTATGCATTAGCAATATTTCAATTCGAGGGCTGCAGAAACTTACATTTCACATAGTCGTAACGAGTGTTCCAACTATCTCCAACCTCATTATTCTCATCTAGAACGACATAGGACATGGATAATGCCTGCAACCGACCGCCACAGCTTAGCCCGGCTTGTCCTCCACCAACCACTATACAGTCATAGCAATCTGTTGGGTTGGAGCCTTTGGATAATCCGTTCAATGGGCTGTCTTCAGGCGGATCAAGCAGATCCACGTTATTCTCGCCGGTCAATTGCTCGAGGATCGTGCAAAGAACCCAAATCTTCCAGTTGCCCTGCGCGTCTGGAACAAGGGAAGCAGTCCCACTGCATGTAGTCTCAGGTGGACCCTTTGTTTGGAAAGAGAAACCTACATCGACCCATGAAATATTCGCCGCCAGTCGAGTAGTTTTGGCAGTGTCTGGGGTTATTGAGAACCCGAATGCCTTGACTCTGGCATCGGTTGCCTTCCAGGCGGTACAGACTGATTCTGACGTGTAGAATGTACGAAGTGATCCGGTCATGGCAAAGGAGTCCCTCCAAATGGCATCGCCGACAAAGCAATCCTGATCTAGGTTTTGCAATTGTTCGACCAAGCTGTTTGTGACTTTGGAGATATCCAACTCGGGAATATTGATGTCAGGTAGGGAACAGGGAATTTCGGGAAGCGGATACATGGCTGTTGATCTTTCAGTGTAGTATGTGATGCGTCTCAGAGAATATGAGTGAAAATAAGACTCTTGGCCATGGGGGGGGAGTAATATATATTGAAATCAGATTTTATGGAAAGGATGCTAAGAGTCAGTTGTATAAACGCTCGCTTAGCTTGGGGGTTGCTTTGTCTAGAACCCTTCTGTTTTGTTTACAAGTCAGCTTTCAGCCCAGATCAACACGTCCACGACGACATAATGCATCAGGCGCATTTACCACTTTATAACAGTTGCGAGACCTAATGCACGTAATACCCAATGGGTAACAATCTATATCGTGAACAGACATATGCTCCTGAATTTTCATTTGCTATTGGGCCACAGAAGCTAGATCTCCTGCTCGGTCTGTTAGGGCCCATGGACCGTGTATCATGAGGAATCGCCACAATATCCTGATCCAGTAATCAGGCATAGATTTCATAGCAATTCATGTGCCTGAAATTGGCCGGATAATCTTTCTGAGATTATTTCTGACAAACTATGAGGCCTTTTACTACAACCTGCGTAGGGCAAGTGGAGTAAATAGGTTTCGGGGACGCTAATTGGATACGATCAGCATGTAGGATTTTGTTATTGTTATTGGGCTATAAATGACTGAATATAACCCAGCAATTCTAAGTTGATTGGAATTCACCTCCATTCTACACCTGAAAAAGTATTTCCTATACTTAGTCTGGGTTCCTGCAAATCCTCCTTTGATTGAAATGCACGAGACAGGATATATATAAAGCATCCACTTCAGAACAACTTCAAAATGGAGATGCATTAGTAATATTACACAATAATGTCAATGTAATCTTTTTATCTTTTATTAAGAGACCTACACCCCATGAAGTCTCTCCCTTTCTTGGTTTGATAAAAAGAAGTTCATAGGTCCGTACTAAAGGTCAACAGGACAACGGACTCCCGCGGCCGAAGTAGTAAATTCCTACCCTGTAACATACCTTCAATATAAACTGTACCGAAGAAGGATCGATACTAGATTGAAGTTGATAACCTCAATTCCGTACGAGATGGGATTTCTTAGCATATTGAATTCGGATAAACGTTTGATTCCTTTCCATACATGCAAATTCCTACACATCAACTTAGATTTCCAACAGGATCCTCATCAGAGAGCAAAATATGAAGTCCAAATATTTAATCAGTGGTCGGGAGAACTACATTTGGTCTGTTGCCGACGGGGCGCCGAAAATCATCACGAGTGCGACCTGATTCATTCCAATGGTCCCGGCTAGAGTCTCTCGTCTGTGCTCGTACTCCTAGGCATTCCTAGGGCAGCTCTGGGGCAGAAAAAGCATTCTGATCCATTTGGTGTCACTTTTATTTTTCCACCCATGTATGATTGCCCCATGTACCACAATATCCCCCCTTTTCAAGACCTTTGCATCTCTTGAATCTAGTCGTATCTCTATTCGCTCCCAATAAAACACCGTACTCTAAGCTCTGGATCACCTGTGTGATATATTCGTTTCCTGATATAAATTCCACAATGACAGACCGTTTTGTCTAGGTTGACTAAGCTTAACTAAGCTTATATCGCCCCTAGAGCTGGTAGTCTCGCGGTCATTAGTATCGGCCCTATCAAAGAGATTATGAGGAAAGATTGTCATCGTGTAAACCAAGTCTATCGCTAATCCTAGCCTATTGTAGGTTTCTTAGCTTCTAAGCGTCTGTCGAATGACAATGACTTTCAATATTGAGGGGTGATTTCCCGTAGTGTAGTGTCACTTTCTGTTTGCATGTATATTTTCTCTTTTCTACCACAGCATTTCCAAATGCGATCCTCACTGTATTTTTGCACTTTCGAAGAGGGGGGAGGCCTAAAAACCTATTGTCTAACCGCCAATGCGATGGAATGCAATGCAATGCAATGTACCAAACCAAATTCAAGCATCACCCGGGGCAGTGATCATGACCCGGTAGAAGCAATCAAAGGATGCTATCTACATTGATTCTCGAACTCATGTTCAAAGAATATACGTAGGCCGGAATAGAACCATTCACGGTTAATTTTAGCGATCGAAATGTGCTACATAGAGTGAGAATTTCTTCGCCTTCCAGCTGAGAATAAACACATACCACAGTATGCTGCACGTTGTAGGAGCGAGCCGACTTTGCTAGACACCACACTAATCTTTTTTTTTTTTTTGGTTCTCGTCCAATACATTCAACCTACCAACATAATTTTCACCACGTACAGCTGCATGCAGGGCTGACTGCACGCTCACACTGACCTAGTATTTTGATTTTTGCTTCTTCTGGGACGGCTACTGATAAATGTCGAAATCTCTCAGCAGTCCATATGCGAGTTTGCTTCGGGAAAGCTTTACACAGAATCCGGATTTAATCAATAATACTTAAATACTTCTTACCGTGGATTATCACCCGCCCCTGGCAGATCGAACCGAGGGGTACTTGCAGTCACCGAGTGCGGTAGTAAATTGTTCACGAGATGATCTCAATGCCTGCTCGGAAAACCGTATTCGACACAGCTGCTTATTATAGCGAAGCTTAAGAAATACCTTTCTTTTCTTTCAGGCGTATGATGCTTTCCACTACAAGGTATGCTAGCACATCCGTAATTAAATAGAAGGGCCGGGTTGTCGGGAAATACCTATCTTTGCGCTTTTAGATGTACGGAACAGAGCTGTAATGGCTGGAAAAAGCCTTTCAGCGGACGCAGCTGACTCTGTATCGAATTTTCCCACATCGCAGCGGGAAACCGACACTCTATTTGGCAATAGTAAAAATGGTCGTTGAAACGGTAGGCTTAGGAGCGGGAGGTAGGTAGATGATGGAACCTCATGTTACGAGCCATGAAATATTCAAGTACATGACCTTCATGAACTTCGGTCAATTTGGCACTGGCTCAATTGTGCCTGTGATAGAAATATAGCTGCATTCCTGATCTGAATAGGTGTTTTTATCTTTCAGTGAATTTTAAGATTGCTAGAATGCCTCAATGACAATTTATAAGAAACCGAGTTTGAATTGGGAACCACAAGATAAAGAAATGATCACAGAATAAATCAAGACCGATTCATTATGCTGTGTTAGACCAACTTTGGTCGACTATGATCTCAGCCAATGCCGAGAGGGACTGACTCGTAGTCAAGTCGAAGATACTAATATCGGCTTTGGCGCTCTGGACAAGCCAGCTGCGCAACTCCACTGCCACCAGAGAGTCGACACCATATTCTGCCAAAGGCAGTTTGATGTTAATATCTGACTCAGGTATCATGAAGATGTTAGAGAGCTTCATGGCGAGAGCATGAATGATGAATTCCACAGCAGCTGACCGAGAGCTACAAAAGGACAACCTTTCTTTGAGCGAAACAATACTCCTGTTTTCCTTTCCTTGCAAAGTCGAGTAAGAGCTCTGATACCGCGAAAGGTCTGCAAAGCGAGCTTCCTTTCTCCAGGGAATGTCTTCGTGATTCGAGAACGCGGCAATGCCACTCAGGATTCGAGCTGAGCCTGGCTCCCGCAATGGACTTTGGATAGCTGCCTGGAAGAGTTGGAGAACCTCCTCTTCTTCGTTGGCCCGGAACCCTACTCTCTCCAGATGACTGGCAATATCCTCTTGTTTAGCCAGGACACCGACTGACTTCACGTTGCCGAGATTGATCGAAATGCTAGGAAGGCCTCTCGCGGCACGGTAGTCCGCAAGAGCGTCCTGGTACGTACAACCTGCGGTATAATTTGCCTGACAGGCATTTCCTACAATGCCGCCCACGGAGGATAGAGTGATAAAGAACTCAAGGTCCGGACTTTGGAACTGGTCATGGAGGTTGAGACTGCCAATTACCTTGGGCCGCAAAGCTGCTCCCCATTGTTCGTAGGTCATGTTTTCGAACAGGGCATCTTGTAATACCATAGCCGCGTTTACAACACCCTTGATTGGTGGCATCTCATTCTCGATATCCCGGACCATCTGCCGGAGGTCTGATGCATTTGAAACATCACATTGTCGTGCCACGCAAACCGTCCCTGTTTTGCGGAAGGTCTCCAGGAACGAATGTGAATCCAGACTCTGCGCATTTCTTGAAGCCAGAACAATGAACCTGGCACCTCGATGAGCCATCCAATGCGCCAAGGAACGTCCAATGCCACCCATGCCGCCCACGATGAGGTATGAGCTTTCCGCGGAAAAGGAAATTTCATTGCGCTGAGGGATCACCTGTTGATACAAGTCAGTTCTCTTCTCGTTCCACTTATCATTCGATTTTCACTTTCTTACATTCACCAAATCTTGTGTATCTGCTGTGACCACGATTTTGCCGATGTGCCTACCTGATTGCATGGTGCGAAATGCTTGCTGGAGGTCTGAGATAGAAAAGGTGGTGATTGGCGTGCATGGTTTGATCTCTCCGTTTTCAATCATTTTGAGTACAGTCCTCAGAATTCGGGATACCGATTCCCCTTTATGAGTCCCAAGATGCAGCAGATCCATTCCGCAGAAGGAGACTGAGCGACCAAAGTTCGCCATCTCAAGCTCCCGATTTTGCTGGATGTCTCGTTTCCCAATTTCCACAAATCGGCCTAGCATCGCTATACACTCCCAACTCGCTTGGAGGAGCGGCCCTGACAGCGAATTCAAAATGACATCCACTCCCCTGCCTTTGGTCATTGACATGATGCCTTGGGCGAAGGAGGCATCCCTGCTGGAGTATATGTGGTCAAAAGGGACTCCATAGGTATCATGCACAAATTCTCGCTTCTGTTGGGAGCCAACAGTTACAAAAATGTCCGCACCAATGTGTTGTGCAAGGCTTATAGCGGCCTGGCCGACACCTCCTGCGGCGGCATGAATCAGAACCGTTTCCCCTTTTTCAAGTCGTGCGATCTCCATCAGAGCGTAATACGCGGTAATATATATCATCGGAATCGAGGCACCCACTTCAAAGGACATGTCGTCGGGCATATGTGCGACCAAGGTGGAAGGAACATGCACTCTGTTTGCCCAGTGTCCTGCTGTCATCAGAGCGCACACTTTGTCACCGACCCTGAATTTGTGGGAGGAATTTTTATCCACCGCCGTGACAACGCCTGCACATTCAAAGCCCATCAGCTTTTCCTGCATCTGGCCCATGGCAACAAGAACATCACGGAAGTTAAGTCCAAACGCGCGTGGTGTAATCTCTACCATCCCATCGGCAAGGACTGGATCGGGTCGACCGGTGAAAATTAGACTATCAAGGCTACCAGGAGATTTTGCCTCCAGTTGAAGATATGTCGATGATTGATGAAAACATTGAAATTCAGTCTCAGGTTCAGATATCTGCTTTGCTATTGCCAAGTTCTGCGCATGATCCTCGCTGATTCGAGGCACAAGAATCTGACCGTTCCGCTCTGCAAATTCGTATTCTGTTCTTTGTACCTTCCAGGAATCGATAAAGGTGTTCTGTAGAACCGTAGCAATTGTTATGGTGGTTTGGGAAGTCCAGGAGCCAGAGATCGGATCAAGGTCCAAAGATATGTACCGTTTGCTAGAATGTTCCAGTCGTAACGTCCGCAGAAACCCGGTGGCCATGGCAGACAAAGGAGAGTCGCAATTCATCACGCCTCCTTTGGTAACCCAAAGGGCATATTGGCATGCCCCAAGAAGGGATTTTAGATTATGGAATTCATCTACTGTCAATTGATTCAAACTGGGTTTATCAAGGTCGCCCAGATAAATGAAGGCATCTGCCCGGATCTCGGGCTGGCACGTCGAATGAACTGAGCAAGGAACTAGGGTTGCTTTCTCAATGGTCTGAGTAAGATCATCTATCCATTCTTGTGGAGGCGCTTGATTTGAGGGAAGAATAATGGCGACACTGGCCGGGGGTGGTGTCTCGGGCTCGACGCTGGCAGTCGCCATCATGACACTGACAGCATACTCCTGTCGGTTTTCGCTGTCTCCTATCTCAATATCCAGTCCGTCAAAGCCAGATTTATCAAGGATAGAAGTCCAGCCATCCACCGTGAGCGTCGGAGAAAGTCTTCTCTCGGGCTCTTCGCCCAACCACCACCCCGGAAGAGTTCCGAAAACCATTTGGATGTTCATTTCATCTCTTGTAGCTTCCACCATGATCAGGCGGCCTCCGGGTTTTAGCAGCATCCGGACATTTCTCATAGTTCTCTGCATGTTCTTCGTAGCATGGAGAACGTGAAAGGCCACCACAAGATCATAGGTACCGATTTCAAAGGACTGGTTTGCCGGGTCTTCTTCAATATCTAGGCTCAAATAGTTCATGCGCCCATCCAATAGTCCAAATCTCTCTCGGGCAGCTTCAAAAAAGCCTGCCGAAATATCGGTAAAGTCATACTGGGCGAGCTTGGGCTTTGTTGTCATTTCATCGCTTGCCCCGAGGGCTCGGAGGACTGAAGCGGTGCCCCCACCGGTTCCTGCGCCGATCTCGAGCACCTTCGGTCGAGGATTGGTGTGGGCGAATAATGAGACCAGATTCTCGACCTGTTGGAGCGATCGTTTGACCTTCAATGCATTTGCATAATATCGATCCAGAAGGCTATCTTCCATCATCAAGGTGAGCGGATCGACTTCCTTTCGGAGAATCGACATCATATTAGACCCCACTCGACAAAGCATTTCTCCGTTGATACTCTGGTGGGACACTTCTTCTATCAAAGAATACTTCTCCTCGGGGGTCGGAAGACTCCATTCCCCGGGAGATGATCCGTTGATATGTCTCATCCAGTCAATCAGGCGCTTATGGTGCCACTCTAATTTGGATTCGTCCTCTTCGGTGAGTAATTGTAGAACACCTTCTGATATATAAAATGCAGCTCGTTCCAAGTTTGCTATAATCATAGACTCCCTTGAATCCTCCGTCACAGCCAACTGGTGGTGCAGATCTCCCTTTGTCAGGAATGAAATATGAGGACCCCAGGTGGTTTTTGAACACAGAGTTGGATCGAAGACCTGATTTTTAATGGTTGTCCGGTCGATAGATCTGCACAACATCCCATCGACCTGGATGAGGGGAGATGAAATGGTGATGTCGTCGACTATCACCTCCAGCGAGGCCTCGAAGCCTTGAGAATTCACACTCCAACCATGCACAGACGTCTGGAATACGGAGTGCGGCATATTTCTCAATTGACAGGATACATAGAGGGTTTTCACAAAGGTGGGGATTGTAAGCCCCATCTGCTTCAATTTTGCCAGAGGGATAGCCGAGTAAACTGTATGAAAGGCCGTATCTAATGTAATGGGATGGAGTAAGAGCTTAGATTTATCTTTTGATGGAGCGTTGCGTGCGATTTCTGGTACTGAAAAAGTTGCCACAGACATTGAGTCAGTGGCCTGGATGTCCTGCAAGTTTCGAAACAAAGGGCCAAACGTAGGGCTTATGCCTTCAAGCGACCTGTAGAAATGCTTCGGGCTGATATTTCTCCAATTGTGGCGGTTATGGCAGTCCTCTTGACCCATCAATGAAGATTGATTAGGCTCGGACCTTGCACAGATAAACCCTTTACAGTGCTCAGTCCACGCTCCTTCGGGGCTTAGGGAATAGGCATGGAACTTGTCTCCTTTTTTGGGATTCAGATTTCCATCACCGGCTTTTCGAATGAGTAGCTGGAGATCAATCCCCTCCGTGGTATCGGGAATAAGAAGAGCGTTTAGTAGTTCGATGTCTCGTAGCTCATAGCCACCCTGTGAATTTGCCTTTTGTGGATAAATCTGTGAGAATGCCTCAATAGCAATTACTGCAAACCCAGCGGCAGGGAAAATCATTTTGGATTGGAGCAAGTGGTCTCTCAGCCATGGCATTTCTGATACACGGATGCGGCGGCGCCATGTTGGCTCTGTTGGGACTGTTCCGACGACTCGGGTTCCAAGGAGAGTATGGGACTCATATTCACATACCCGCTCTCTCTTTTGAAGCGGCGACTCGTGCCAGTACCTGACCGAATGGTTCCAAGGGTATACCGGCAGGTCGTGAATGACACGGTGCTCTTGGGAACCATTGGGGAAGCTGACAGCTTCGAGATTGAAATCATAGCCTTTTACCTTCAGTAAGCACGCAACACTTTGTATAGTCTTAACAGCGTCCTGCCCCCGAGATAGGCACGAAGCATAGGAGATATCCAAATTTTTCAGTTCGGGTGAACTCAGTATCTGTCGAATAGGTCCACTCAGTGCTCCATGTGGACCGATTTCAATGAGAATGTCAACATTCTGCTCTCTTTGGTTCCCTCCAGCTATCATATTACGTAGGGCTTTCTCGAAGAAGACAGGGTTTACCATGTTCTCCACCCAATGTGCTGGACCTAATTCATGGGCAGAGTCCAACAAGCCTCCTGTCACGGGCGAAGAAAATAAGATGTCATCAAAACTCCCCTTCACTTGGAGTTTTTGCCTCAATAATTTCTCGTATTCAGAAGCCATTGGAATCATGTGATGAGAATGATAGGCACATCCTGCCTTCAGGCGGCGAGCAAAAACATTTTCCGCTGCAGCCATTAGTTCTATTTCCTCAATTGCATTAATATCCCCTGAGATGGTCACACTCAACGGGCTATTAAAACAGGCAATCACAGCTCTGCCAGCTGTAAGCCGCTGTAGGTACTTGTCGGCCAGTTCTTTTCCATGTCCAAGGGCAACCATGCCACCACGGCGATCAGAGCTCTCTAAAAGACTGTTGCAAAGATAACCTCTAAAGTAGGCACAGGCCATGGCTTCCCCAAATGTCAGAGCACCAGCGGCGTAAGCGGCAGAAATTTCTCCGCTGGAATGACCTGTCACGGCAGTGGGTGAGATTCCCCAGGAGAATAGAAGGCGAACAAGCGATATCTGAATGGCCACACACAGCGGAAAGCTCAAGAATGGCTCGTTGATCTTGGTAGTCTCCTCGTCCCTCAGCAGTTCATCTGGTTGTTATCTATCAGTAACGATTATCACATGGGCCTGGGTTACCTGCCTACTAGCCCCCAAGAAGCCCCCATTTCTTTAAGACAAGAGTTGGCCTCGTTGAGTGATCCCAAGAAGACTGGATAAGCTGAAATCAACTCCCGGCCCATGGCAAACCACTGGGCACCCTGTCCGGTAAAGACAAATCCCACTCGAGGGGGTTGCAAGGATAAGACTGGACTTGCTCGAGGATCCAAAAAGCCGTCTATGAGATCTTCCAAGTTTTTGGCTGATACAGCAACCCGCCATCTGAAGTCGGACCGTCTTTTCGTCAGTGTATGGGAAAGATCAGCCAAGCTCCATGTAGAGGTGCTTCGCATTTTCTGGAGGTAACTAATCAAGTTTTCTACCATTTTCTTTGCAATACTTTCCTCTTTGGCACTGAGCACAAAGATACGTCGGCTGACTTCATTGGGGGGAAGAGTCAGGTTCCTAGTATCCGCCACTCCATCTTCGCATCGCTGAACATGGATCGATCCCCATGTACGGCAAATCAAGCCATCTTCAATGATCACATGAGTGTTGGTACCTCCGTATCCGAAGTTACTGATCGACACACGACGAGGTTTGTGCCTTGGCCAGGTTGTGAGCTCGGTAGGGACCTAATTGATCCAGGGTTAGAACGTTCATGGACGCAAAGACTAAGAGCAACTTTCGTCCGGCTCACCTTGAGTTTGAGGTTATGAAAGTCAATAGCCGAATTTGGAACATGAAAGTTGGTGCTTGGGGGAATCAAACCCCGATCCAGCATCATACAAGCTTTAATAATTGAGGCGAGGCCACTGGCACTTTCTAGATGACCAAAATTCGCCTTGATTGACCCGATAAACAGTGGGTCGTCAAAAGAACGATGTTCACCAAAGACTGTGCCAATTGCATTTGACTCTGTTTGGTCGCCGGCAATCGTTCCTGTTCCGTGAGCCTCAACGTACCCTGTATCCAAAGGATCCAATCCGGCGAGAGAATAACAAGTGCGAATCAATTCTTCTTGGGACTCCTGTGATGGAGATGTGATGGTAGGAGTCTTCCCATCCTGATTCACAGCGGTTTCCCGAATGACCGCGCGGATCGGATCGCCATCACGAACGGCTTCGGAAAGTGGCTTAAGTATGAGACTTGAAATACCATCACCTCGCCCATAGCCAGAAGCGCGGCTGTCAAAGGAATAGGATTTTCCGTCGTCGGAGAGGAATCTCAATCAGAAGCGTCAATCGTAGAATTTAAATGTTTCCATAGGCAGTCGTGACTCACCCAAGGTTTGACAGAGAAATAAACATGTGCGGATTCAAAAGCAAATTAGCACCGCCGACTATAGCCATCTTCGATTCCCCCGAACGTAGACTTTGACATGCAAGATGTAGAGCTACTAGACTGGTTGAACAGCCCGTGTCCACCGTCAAACTGGGTCCTCGTAGGTCAAAGAAGTGGGAAATGCGGTTGGAAAACATTGCAGCCCCATTTCCTGTCAGAAAGTACCGGGGGATGTTGTCGACATCTTGCATCAAGCTGTCATGATAGTCTCTGAAACACGCGCCAGAGAACACAGATGTTAAGCTCCCAGCTACCTGTGTGATAGTGATCCCCGCTACCGTCATATTAGCAGGACTTTGCCGCAGCGAGAATTCGATTTGCGCTCACCACTCTCCATAGCTTCGTAAACGGATTCAAGTTGTATGCGGAGTTGCGGATCCATAGCCTTCAAACCGTGAGCTTCTCATTTCCAATTTCCTGCTTTGCCTGAACATACATTTGCCACTTCTGTAGTAAAGTTGAAGAATGAGGCATCAAAAAGTGATATATCTTCGTCCAAAAAGTGGCCTCCTTTTGCGTTGGTCTATTGAGACATATGTCAGATTGGGAAATTTCATAGCTATGAGGAGGGTTGGACTTGTACACTGCCTATCTTGTCTCCCTGTGGATGATAGAATCTGTTCAAGTTGAAGCGACCTTCCTTTGTCTGTGACCAAGTATTGCGACCATCGGCACACATCTGCCACAGCCTCTCTGGTGTTGTTACATCCCCAGGAAATCTGCAACTCATTCCAATGATGGCGATTGGCATTGTTTGGGGTGGAGCCATCGCCGACGGCATTTTGTTCTTGCAATGTTTGTCTCTAGAATGTATTATTGGGGCTGTTTGACTTGAGAATCCCAAACTTCAAGACCGGGAATTTGCTGTGTATTATAACCTCCTGACTAATTTCTATAAGCAATTTTTGACGAACCCGATCTGCGAATTACGAGAAAACTGGCGAGAGCAGTAAGAGATAACGTCCTCAGCACACATAACATATCTCATTGGATGTCTGGATACCTGACACTGCAGGACACCTGCACCATTCGGACACATCCCCTCTCTCGCTCTCTTATCCTGTCCCTATTTTCCTGGGAATTTGAATAGACTGTTCCTTGATTATTCAGTCCGCTCTGCAGAAGCATTCCCCTAGACGTCTGAGTTTCTCGCCCTCAATACTTGATTCGTTGGGTCATACGCTGGGGGTAACACAGCGGTGCTCTTTTCTAAATACGAACTATAGAGTTGAGTAACCTGATACATCCAGTTCGATGCAGTACGTGATGACGCTTTTATTCGTATGCAATGCGACATAAATGACTTCATTCTATGGTCAAGCTGCGTTGTGAGGACCGCAAATTGCTTCTTCTACTGCAGATCAGCGATAACACAGCTTCTTTATGGAAATCTACGCATCTTGGCCAGACTGATCAGGTGGATGATCCTTTTTTTTTCATCTCAGACGCCTCGGTACTGGAAAGACATATCCATCTTCAATCATTCGGGATGACATATAAAAATATGTTTGGCCTGCGCGTTGTGAAACATATATTGTTCTTTGGCAGAATCTGCATTAAACTTGTCTCCGAAAGACTTCAGTCATATTTTACTCTCGACGATGTCCTCTATTACAGAAACTCGCCAAGGCTTGGTTGGCACCTGGTCTCTCATTGAATATAAGGCAGTGCGAGCCGACAATGGGCTTGTTAGCCACCCTATGGGTCCCAAAGCTGAAGGATTCCTCATTTACACCCCCGATGGCTTTGTTTCTGCCCATTTGATGGAGCCGGGAGCTCCAGAATTTTCAGACGCCGACGTTGCAGGAGGTACTAAGGATGAGCTATATCGAGCCATGAAGCATTATCTTGCGTATTGTGGCCGTTTTGAGTTGAGTGAATCGGATGGAAAAGTTCTCTTGAGGCACTATATGGACGTTTGCTCGTTTCCAAACTGGATTGGTACTTCACAGGAGCGTGTGATCACGCTGAAGGATGCCATCTTGGAGATCAGTACTGCCGAGCCCGTTATGCATGGTGTAAGTGTCCTTGGTATCATGATTATTTCCAACTAAAGCTCAAACGGATGATTTCTAGGGGCATCTTCAGCATGGGTCGCTAGTGTGGCACAAGTCTTAGTCGACAATTGACTTTACTAGGCTTTTTGGGCTGTTTATTTCCGGTGACCAGCCATGATGACAAGCAACTTTGAGACAAAGTAAGATTGACAGTCACGGAATCTTCATTTTTCGGAGAGGTCAACTGAGAGAGTATAGTATGCTGTCAAGGGGGTCGCATCAGATCAGAGAATAAATGATTATTTATGTCTAAATATTGTCAAAAGCTATATGTACCGCAAAAAAGAGATGTATGTGAATTTGGATAAAAAGAAATTGACAATCCACTCAGTGGAAGAATGGGGAAGGTAGAAAGCAAATCAAATCAGAAGCAGCGACGAGTGCTGTTGATCTAGGGTAAAGCCAGGCATCTTCAGACATATGTTTCTGTACACCGTATCCACCTGCTGCTATACATCGGAGTTCGGGCAGAGTACGAGTCATCAGCTAAAAAAAATACGCGTTCCTCAACACCTATGTTTTGAGGCGGATGATTGAGGACCAGGCGAGAGGTCGTCCCAAGAAAGAGCACTTAGGGGGGAATGGCAAGAAAAAGACACTATAACTCCATTCTCCAAAATGACCAAGTGTGCCATGAAATCGAGGAGACATTGTCTTCGAAATTCAGACAGAGAAGCGAAGAAAGGACAAGGGTATCGCAAAACAGGGGGAATAATCGTGTCGAGCATGACTGACACTTAAAACCACTAGAAATTCATTAAACTGGGAGAAAGTCAGCGAGGCTCAGTCAACATGTGTGGTCTCTGAGAGTACATACAGTGAGTACCTCCAGGCGTCAGAGAGGAGGGAATCGCAGAGTCATTGGGAGGTGATGGTCTACGAGCAAAACGGGGATCCACGTCTTCATAGTAATTGGCACCGGTATTGTTCGATTGCAAGGGTTGCCCCGGCGGCCGGGGGGACACGGTACGAGGATCATTTGCACCCCAGCCCGAGCGAGCGGGAACGTAGGAACTAAATATAGAAAGTTAGCTTTCAATCGAAGGACGATACTTGTAAACCATTGACTTACCCAGGCCGGCTGTACATGCTTGTCGGGCTCTCGGGGATGGGGCTGTGATTTTCGGCTGACAGCCCATGTGGTACACTGCTCATTGGTTGGGTCGACTCATGCATATCGTACTGCGACCGAGCTTGCGGCGTCATCTCAATGGCTTGGCCTACCGTCTCCGGTGACACAGCCATGCCAATGGGCCCATGAGATGGCTGGCGCATCTGACCCGGTGGGCCATAACTGTGAGGGTCATCGATAGGAGGTGACACAGGTCGACCATATGCGTCAAACCCGCGATTGGGGCCGCCCGGACCGGGTCCATAGCCGCCTGGTGGTCCTCGAGGTGGCATCATTCCACCCCGACCTCCGCGCCCTGGCATTGGACCCATGTAGCCACCCCGGGGACCATTGGAAGGTCCGCGGGGGGGTCCCATGTAAGGTCCTCCACGTCCACCCCGGGGAGGATATCCACCCCGCCCCCGTCCGTTGAAGCCGGGTGGGGGTCCTCCCCTTCGAGAACCCATGCTGCCATCAGAGTATTGGGGACGAATGCGTGGATCAGAGGGGTTCCGTGACATTGGACCAGCACCGTACGGGCCCGGGCCCTGCGGTGGCAAATTGCCAAATTCATCTTGCGGACCACGATAGGGGCCACCTCGATGGTCCGGGGGTGCTGGCACCTCGCTCATGGGTGTCCGCGAATTGAGGGGCGTTCGATCATCATCACTGTCTTGTCTTTCCGTGTGGAAGGATGCGAATGTTGGGCCCGTGTCGGAGGTGAGAGAGTTGGACACGAAGGCTTCCTTGGGTTCGACAGGGGCCGGAACAGGAGCCGCAACTGCAGCTGCCGCAATGTTCTGTCGGTTGTAATAGTTTTCCCCGCTCATCTCAGCATTTTCAGCAATCCGGCGTTTCCTTGCCTTCCTGCTTACAAGGGTTCTGCGCATAGCACAAGTAACTACCCCACAAGAGGTCAGGATGATGGTCGCAGCTAGGACAATCCAACCACCCCATCCTAAATGTGGCACAAAGAGCAAGATATCGACGAGGAATGCGAGGAGAGTCACGAGAAGTGTTGGCAGTAACAGGATGAGGAGTGCCAACAGGAAGCGTGGCGAGTGCGAGGGCGCATGAAAGTGGGCCGCGATGGCTAGACAGAGGCAGATGAGGGTCAGGAAGGCGGCGACTGGGTGAATGATGAGGATTGAGGATAGCGACTTTCGAGTACCGGAGGGAAGATTGAAATCATCACCGGTGCTACTTATGTCATCTGCATAAGACTTAGCGGAGAGCAGGCAGAAGCACAGGGAAACGACTTACTGCTCGTGTATCCCACATGGATGTTAGTGCAGGTATTACCCTTGCAATATCCAAAGACACCATAATCGACATCTTTGAAAGTTGCTAGAGGAATTCCCTTAACAATAGGAGTTGAAAGACATGAGAGTAGCAAAAGCGCAAAAGCGATCAGGAGCAAGATGGTGAGCGGTGTCGCAGGCTTGAGCAACATGGTGAGGGGAAACCCTGGAATTCAACGTTGTTTGTTTCCCGACAAAAGGAGAAATCAGATAGAACCACAATAACCGATTATGTCTAATGGCCTAATGGCACACGCGACGCAAGAGTTGGGAGTCTAGAACTGCATTGGCAGGGGACATCTGAACCCGAGATCGAAACAAAAGTTTAGGCAAACTGAAGAAGGAAAGGAATGAATGAGGGGAAAGACCAATAATTTGAGGAAATCAAATGAAATTTAAAGCCTCAAAGGACTCAGAGAATAAAGGAATGACTAGAGTGCAGATAAGCCGTTGGAGGGAGAATCCGTGGAGATGAGGTTTAGATATTTGGCCTCAGGCATCAGTCAGATGATCCCACTCTATTTCTACGTCTTGATCTCTGTCTGCTATCTCTACATGTACTCTCTTCTCTATTCTAATATTGTATGAAGCTTTTTATTCTGAACCACTTTCAACTCCCCCTTGGAAGTTCCAATGCGCTCGCTGCACGGTTCCCCTCTATGGAAGCCGGGGTTTTGTTGGCGCAGAGCTATTGTGCTTCTCATTCGCCCTGCTCGTTTGAAGTGCCACTTCGGGACAGGCTGCCAAGCCGGGGCGTCGGAATAATTACGGGCAGAGACTGGAATAATCTCGAGCTTTTTAATATCCATGGCCATTGGTTCTAACCCCTGGCTATTTTGCCAACTTCTTGGACAGGAAACAAGACTTTTCCTCTGCCGTGTTCGATTGGGTCCTGCTTTTGCTACAACCATGAACCTCATTTCTGTTTTCGGATCAAGGTCTTTCGAGAGATAAGTTTCAGAGGCCGTCTTGTTAATCATGAAACATGATCTATGTTTCTGAAGTGTATCCACATGACATCAAGCATATGGTGCAATCTATCAATGAGCACACATTTGTTGTATGTATGCACTCCATTCTCCATACACCTCAATAATATAGCTTGTAATATCGCCAGCCACCCTTTGACCCACCATCACGGCACAGCACTTTCTGCTTTCAGTCGGGATATTTGGCCCCAGAAAACGCTTAGACCTGAAATCTGGACTTGTAGCACCGTCGGGGGCCCACAGTCCCACATTGGGTTAATATGAAACAAGCAGTTCCACCTCAAAGTTGTAACCCTGGTTTCGAACACCATTCCATTTGCTAGAGACCAGATAAGGTTGATCGCCTTTCGTTGTGGCCAGCTGATGTTCTGATTTTGATGTAAAGTACTCCGTACAGCGTGCACTCTTTCCAAACGCAGTCGATATCTAAAAGTCATCAAGTTAAGCTTGTGAGCTCGCAGACCAATAGCCTTCTAGTAGGGAGTCACTACAGAGTACTACGTCGCAGTTGTGGGACTGACCTTTTACAACCCGGACACACCACTACAGCATTTGGCCCCTGATGGACTGCACGTTAGGATCACGAGATGCCTATCAATAGTGATGTTCAACCCTATTTTTGAGGTATAGAGAACAGACGTCCTCCAAGGCTTTACTGGATTCAAACCAATTTCTGTTCATATTGGTTTCTGGGCTTTCATGAATCGTCCAACGGCTACTACGGGACCATGCTGTTACACATAATGGTAAAGTTGCACCCTTTCTTGGACATCGGTACATTCATGTGTTTATCGCAAACGCTATGGACGCTTTGCTCATATCCCAAATGTGGGACTGACCTGTCTACCACCAAGGGTTGGTTGAGATATCATATCTTCCTATATTTCAGATCCTCTTGATATATCTTGCATCAGCATAGTTGTGGTTAGATCTTGTCATTTCGGGGAAATTGAGACTTGAGGTGTCGTACAGTCTCTGCGTAACCCATCGTGTGAATCCGGCCAGGAACCGGCAAGTTAGGTGTATAACTAGCTGTGATTCCCGCATATGGCAAGGTTATGCACACCATTTTTAAACTGAGTGGACTTTTCGAGCCAAACGTAAGTTCAACATATCAAGACTTTAAGAATCAAACGTCTGATCTAAAAAGCTGCTTCAAAGTTGTCATCTAGTCTACTCGTGCAAACGAAGATACCAGAAAGTCTTCCTCTCTACCTGTCCGAACATGCGCTGCCTATGGAAAATTTTTAGTTGGCCGAAACGGCAGAAATCCGAGGACGATGATCAACTGGCATTGGAGACTTTTGACAGAGTGACTCTGTTCCAGTCATTAGAAGGCCCTCGGCTCAGTGGGATCCAGGATATTCAACCGACGGCCGGTCTTCAAGAGCGCTATGTTAGATTCGGAATCGGAGGTGCTGGCAATATGCGCAAGTCCTGCTTCCCTTCCCTGAGCGCTTTTATGCCCTCAAATTTACTGGATCCTTTTCTTGCTGACATGATAAATATGAACAGAGTTATTTCCCATAACGGACGAGAAATAAGACTGAGTTCGCATTGAACGATGTCAAGATTTGATTTGACATCAAGATCATGCATACATGTTAGAATGACATACAGATTCACATCATGTGAAGCTGCAAAGCGTAGCAGAGCGTAATAGAATGTGACAGAGCGTAAAAGACATCTTACTTTGAGCTGCAAAAGAATAGAAGGAGAATAATGGTGTCAAGACTTTGTCAACCATCCAATCCCTCACCCATCGCTCACACTATCAATTGCGACGCAATTGCTGTCACAAGGCGCAAGAAGGGCGCCCGCCCTGAGGCGAACACCTCCGAAAAGCTGAAAAAAAGCCCAATGCCTAAACCTGGAGCGACAGAGCCTTGCCCCGAAAGAAGCTCGATCAACTTAGAAATTTAGCGACATGGACCCCGCAGAATTCGACCAGAATTCTGGCGCGAAGCAGATGGCCACGGCCCCGCTATGCCTCCCATATACCTCTGACAGCGAAAGTGAAGGGGTACATACCACCCGATTTGACCATGTAGGTGGCCACGAGATGCAAGATGATCAGAACGGACTTGCACTGATGTGAGTTCGGTTCTTTCAATAGGAAAGCCTATCTCATCAGCAAGAAGACTGTAGGACAAACAAACTGTGATAGAGAAACCCTCATCATCTTGTTCGAAGAATATTGCGAAATATATTGTTTCTAGAGCTAGACGACTTTGAAAGCTGGCGCCGAGTAGCAAACGAAATAATTATGTATGTTAGTCTCTCTGTTTCTCAACTGTTGATTCCCTCTAGTACATAGTGGGCGCTATGTATGTGGGTTTCTATTAGTTCGTTTATCCATAGTGGCCGACCTAGAAGCCAGAAAAACTGGAGTCATGACAGGTATCCTAAACACTGTCTGAAGATAAACAGTTGCCCTCGATCATATGTTTCATGCTCGCCTGAGTACAGCCTTATGTTTTCATGTGTTGTTCAGCAGACCATGAAGCCCTAGTTCCAGCCACTTATACCAGCAAGGGAGAAAAATAGTTCCAAAACCACGCTACATCATTGATTTGCGACCATTGAGGATATTTGGACACGCCCTGCTTTTATATTGCGTATAGTAGCTATCTAGGATAGTAATTGTTGGCAATTATTGCCTTGAGGCTCCAGCGTAGAGCTTGTAAGGGGAACCGAGGCAGAGTCCAGATTGTCACCTCGTAGTTCTACGGGGTTCGACAGGAACGTACAGCGTTATAGCTATGACGATTACCATGGATATTATTGTTGAAATTGGTTCATTGAAACACATGCTTGTCTAGTGTGAGACCTAGTGAGACTTTGAGAGATGGGAAAAGGGCCAAGCTTTAGGCTACAGATGTGCTGGTGATCGGGCCGCGAAACAACTCGACCATTTCCTAATTGTTCCTCGAATTTTGATTTGGTGTAATTTCAAGTGTGGTTATCAAATCAATAGTGTCTGACTTGACAATCCCTATTTTCATTCATCCCTATTGGCTTGTTAGGTGCAAATCTCAGTGTGGTGGCTGGGGAGGCTGGGAGACGTCACCCAGCACTATGACCGACAAAATCTCGCTGGGCAGCTATTGCTGGTCCTCAAAAAATCCCTTCGCATCTCAAGGGCGAGGTCAAGGAATGCTTCTGGATTAATTGCCGTTCCGCGTGGGATCAATATCCGCATTCCTGGCCCAGCATGACGGACCCGACGAGAAACTTCAGCCTGCGCAACGTTAATAGTACGTACATATAAGAATCCCCGCCCCGTTGCCTTTTGAATTACAGAAATTGCACAGCTTTCGGAACTCTCAAGTCAACTGACTCCTATATAGCAAGTAAACCGCAACTTGCTCGGACAGAGTCTCAACGATCCGCAGCTGCATCAGACGACTACTATTCATTCTCAGATCGAGCTCTATCTAGTACTGAGAGTCTAGCAACAGTCATGCAATTTAGAACTGCAGACTCTCATGCACCATCACCCGCCATGTCGCAAACACGGCTTGCCCAAGAAGATCTTGAGTCCCAGCGCCCCCCAACATCCAGCACGGTCCGGTTCGCAGGAGACAGACCGGCTAATATCAGTCCCACATCCGACGCGTCAAGATCAGAGGGAACTTCTCGCAGATCACCCAGTGACTACCCTGGACCAGCTCCGACCCCAGGCCTTGATGACTCCCCATACGTCCGGTTTGCAATCGACCAGATCACCCAAGACAGAGCTCGAGGGATTCAAAGGAATGACTCTATTTCCACCACCACGACAAGTGACTACCCAAACGATAGGCTAGTATGGGATGAGGGACTCGGTTATTTCACCCGCACCCGCACCCCCATTCGACATGACACTCCACCAGCGAGACCTTCATATACATCTCCTTCACCACAAGCTTTGCCGCAAAGGCCAATGTCAGTGGACCCCGAGTCCTTTATGGCCGTCGATGCGCCAGAGCAGAGTTTGCTATATCCTCCTCTTGATTACTTGCCTCTTGCCCTGCGACCCTGGGCTTTGGCGCTCATGATATTTTGTTGTTTGCTCATGACGGCTGGTATAATCTTTTGCAATATTTGGTCCCGCGGTGAGGAAGGATTATGGAACTACGCGCGTCAAGGTGGTTCGAGGTATTTTGTGCTTCAATTCCTTCCACAGATTGTTGCTGCACCCATCATCATCTGGTCATTTGTCATTCAGGCTGCAGTATATCGCATAGCACCTTTTTCTATGATGTCAGCTGAGCGCCAGCAAGGCCTGGTAATGCACCGCCTGCCCATCTTGTCAAAAAACTTCATCTTCCCTGATTTCTCCCATTTCCGACACGGTGAGGCCTTGTTCGGAATCTCTCTGTTCACGATTTGGCTTTCAAATTTCTTTGCCATCCCTCTCCTCAGTTGTCTCTTCCAGGCAAAGTACTATATCATTGACGGGCAGGGTGTCTGGAGATGGGCTTCGGTTCAATCGGTGGGCTGGACATTGGTTGGGTTGTATGGTGTTCTGACACTCGGCCTGATCATGCTATTTGTCCGTTTCGTCAGCGGCTGGTCTGGGTTGATGTGGGATCCCACCAGCCTGGCAGATTTGATCTCGATCATCCAGCGATCAAACATTCTTCACGATTTTGAGCACTCCGAGACAGTCCCCTCAGTTCGAGAATCGCTTGATCCCCGCATCCTTCGACTGGGCTATTGGAAGCTCTCAAGCAAAACCGAGATATTCTACGGAATTGGTGAAGTGGACGCTCCTGTGCGCACCCCATCTCTCCACCAGAATGGTAAGAACCGAGAGAACCAGCCACATGGACTTGCCAAGGTTTGCTTTGATGTTGAGCACAACGGTGCATTCGCCAATGACTCGAACGGTAACCACCTCTACTCGGCAACCGCCCGTTACCGTTGGACACCTTGGTTCCTACGTAAAGTCTCGGTATTTATTTGGATTGCCATTGTCTTCGCCCTCTTCATCGCTTTCGTGGCTGTTAGTTTTATCAATCACGCCATTGAGGGCGGGTTCCCTCCCAAGCTCCCAACACTCCCATCGACAAGTGCATTCTCATCCTCGAATTTCCTATACAGCTTCCTACCAGCCCTCATTGGCAATGTTCTCTTCCTTTCTTGGCAACCGGTTGACGTATACTTCCGAGCTCTCCAGCCATATGCCGAGCTCTCATCCCCCAGCGGCGCATCTGCCGAAAAGAGCCTTCTGCTCTCTTACCCATCCTCCTACCCAATCCAAGTCACTATCCAGGCCATCTTCAACCGTCATTTCAAAGTGGCCTGGATCTCTCTCATGAGCCTACTATCCCTCGCCATCCCCATTCTCGCCGGGGGCGTCTTTATCGCCCTTTGGTATCCCTCTCAGGACGATATCCGCATTTCGGCCTTTTTGCCCGCATTCTACGCTTTAATTGCTGCCTGTGGCCTATATGCCGCGTCATTTGTGGCAATTTGGCCGGGTCGTGGTCGCTATCTCCCACACGACATCTCCACCTTGGCCGATCTGATGAGTTATATTTATCAGTCCCCTCTTCTGTCCGATAAGATCCTGCGCGAGCCGAGAAGCAAGACTGACCTCGTCACTCGTCTTATCATTGCGCCGCCCTCTGAGCGCGATATGCCTCTGTACGGCTTTGGCATTTATGTCGGTCGTGATGGTAAGGAGCATCTTGGTATCGATCGCTTCCATCGGCCTGGTCGCACTGATATGCTCATTACCACGGGCACTATGAAATAATCTGCTTGACGAACTTTTTGATGGCACCTTCTGTGATGTTTTATGTGATTGACATTTTTTATGAGTATAGTATATTGATGATCGTTTGGAAGCGCGCCGAATTATGAACATATGAAAATGATTTTGGAATGTCTTTGATGGTTTTCGGTTTGGACTATTGTTGTTCGGAACGTTGCATTTTTGGCGTTTTTGCTTACTTTAGATATCATTCTGATTCAGTATTTTGGATTGGCGTTGTGCTTTGCTGATACATAGAAGATAATTCGTTCCCTGACAGCCTGAATCTACAGTTTCCCTATGAAGTACTCGCATATGGAAAGCATAGAGTTCATCACTCAAATAAAATGGATGTTTCAAACACCCTGGAAATCCATTTTCGCCATTGCTTACCACAGAAGCTGGTTGGACTTCGGCTTAGGTGATTCTTCCCTTGATTCAAGTCAAAATGTCCCTCGAACTTTTGTACAAGATGAAAGAACTTGTCTTGTACGTACCGGATACGAGGTTCTGTCATATACTCCGCGTTCCGCCCTGTACTATCGCAATTGCTGTATATCAAGCTTGTTCAATGAGATATCCGAGTCAGCCTATGATCTAGCCCTAAAAGCTCTTATCGCTCGGTCTCATATACGAGATAACCCTACGTTGCCTCATGTCATTCTAACAGGCGTATGTTTATTTAATAGCAACGCTGTTGTTTCACAGAAAAATGAGTCCAATTTCCACCAGATCGCTGTCATGTCAACGCGTTCAAACTCCTCGGTGGAAAAACCGGTCACGTGCAGGGGATCTGCAATATCTCCGCCTCCGCACGGATTTCAAAGCTTCGTTCAGGACAACAGCAGACGAATTTCCTAGATACAGTGTGTATTGACTCACCCTTGAGGGAAGCCATACCCAGTCATTTTCTCCATTGGATTTTCACACTCTCAATCCTTCGGCAATCTTCCTTTTCCAGCCCCATTCAGCTCTGTTTCCACATTCGCATCAACAACCACCCAGCCCTCGTCTTCACAGACACCGCGCATAGCAATGGTCTCATTATTCGGTTGGGGCTCCAGCCCAAAACCCGAGTCAAGCCAGCCAACTCCTCAAGAAACGCCAAAACCCGATGAACCCGCAACCCCCGCACCACCAGCACAAACACAATTAGCGCAGCCAGCCTCGCCCCAAACAAACACAAACCTCAAACTGTTCTTTGGAGGAATGACTTTCTTCGCGCTCTCGGTATGGGTCACCCGTCGCGCGTTCCATAAGAAACGCATCTCCTGCATCCCGCCTTTCTACACAAGCTCGATATACCATAAGCCCCACTCGAACTCTGCGGGTGATGCGTTCGAGGCTCTGAATCTGGCTACCCTCAATGTGATCTCGTTTGGCTTGATGGCTGGTGGTGCGGTCGGGTATGCTTTGAATATCAATGGGCTTGAGGATATGCGGAGATTTGTGCGGAATGGTTTGCAAGGCGGTAGTGATACACCTGTGAAGAGTGATGAGGAGCTCGAGCAGGAAGTCACTGAGTGGGTTGCTAAGATCCTTGGTGACAAGTTTGAGAAGCAGTTGGAAAAGGAGAAGATGAAGAGGGGAATTCGGGAGGATCAGGTTGATCAGGATACTAAGGCGAAGTGAACTGATTGAGGGACTTGATTTTCCAAATACTCACACATACCAACTATACTCTACTCATGATTTGATACCATCTGTACATTATGCATTCACTGGGCGTTACTTGCCGCTTACAATGGAAAGACACCCGGACGGGTGCTTGCAAAATTACTTGTACAAAGTTCATTACATGTCATTATTTTACATTTAATGTGCCACACAGTTGTGACACACAAGGCGAGCATCAGATATTCCCCCCCCCTTTCACTCTCACTTCACATCCCCTCAGAAATCAACCACTCCCTACCCCCTCCACCGTAATGATAAATTCAACCGTCCTGATAATCAGGAACGGTCCATCTCCTCGTAGCGCTGGCGTGCGGCGTCCTTGGTCTTCTCCAGGAACTCGTCGTAACGACCCCTGGTGTTTCGACCAGCCTCCTCAGTTGCCTCACCCAGTCGACCTCCCTGAGCACCCAGTCCCACACCCTGGGCATAAATTTCAGTAGGAATCGGCGCGGTCACACCGGTTCCTTGAGCGCCGAGGCCAGATCCTTCGGACCAGCCCATCTTGCTTAGAAGAGTAGCACCGATCGAGGAAGTCTGTGCGGGTGTCTCGTCTTCCTCTTCTGGCTCGGGGGCTCTCTGACGAGCATTGAAATTATCACCGAACGCCTTACGACGCTCTTTGGCGCGGTCTCGGTATTCAGGAGGCGCCTGTGCGATACCTGCCATTTTCAGCTGCTCCAAGCCCCACTCGATAGCATCTTCTTTGGTCAATTCTTCGCGGTGGTAGTCACTCATGCGATCATGTATGAGGACCTCTACGGCTGTATCAAATTGTTGGAAGCACAAGAGGCACCAGTTCCGCTTGAGGTCTGCGAAGGATCGAGGTGTTGGAGGGATGGAATAGTCTGCCTCAAGCTTGTCACGATATTCGTCTTTGCTGCCTTCGTAATTTGGAGAGTGCAGAGGTATGACACCATAGGTCATCATCCAGCATACGCCGCGTTGCCTCAGGAAGAGATCCTTCAGATTTTCCCTGTGGATGTCGCTTTCGCGCTCGTGATATTTGAGATGTTCCTCATCCTTAAGATATTGCATGCACAAGAAGCAGCAGATTTTCTTGAAGTCTGCAAATGACGGAGCCGTTGGATCATCCGTTTTAGTTGCCGCGACTACTGAGCTCGAGCTCTCCGGAGGATTTCCAGCAGTATCTTTCTCGGTCCCATGTAGCTCTGCTTGGCGGTCACTCCAGAATTTCAGCTGAGTTGGCATTGCAAGTTTCTTGGCATGCGCAGTAGTGGTGGCATCGGCTTTTCGCTTTTTTCCTTTATCGGAGTCCTTGGTTCCTTTAGATTGGGCATCTCCATGATTAGAGGTTGGCATGTGAGCAGCGGCATCGTCTTCCGGGGTTGACAGCACGAGTTCGGTCACGTATGCTGCGTCGTCCCAGTACATCAACTGCAGCGAGGGGTTATTGGATGGGGTGAATGTGTAATAGCTAGGACCAGATGAGGGGTTCATGACTGGAACAAACACTCCGCCATGAATGTAAGTGACCAACACCGGCTTCGAGGAAATGGTAAATTTTTCGAAAGACTTGAGCCGCGTCATTGCAGCTTGTGCATCCTGAACAGCCAAGGGTTAGACATGAAGATAATAGAAGATATGAAGGGAATAAGCGTACATTAATCCCTGCAAACTCTGCAAATCCGTAACGCCAGCTTGCATTGGTTTCGCGATCACGTACAAGGAGCACACGACGGAGAGAGCCTTCGCGCGCTCCCAAGTTGCTGTCGCCAGTCGTCGAGGCTACTTTCGATCCTTTCTTTTGATTGTCAGGGACGCTCTCATTATTTCCAGATGGCCGATACAGCTTGGAAACTCCTTTTGCAAGAAGTTCTTCTGTAACAGACGCCTCCAAACCACGGATCAGGAGGAACTGGGAAGGCTGGTTCTCAGGAGCAACATCATTGTCACCATCATTAGCTATCTTGAGAGCCGGAACTCCAGGGTGGCCGATAGGATCCATATCTGCTTGCATGGTGATAGACAGTTAGAGATGGGAAAAGGGGTGGTGAGGGGTGGTGAAGGTATACGTACTGGGTCGTGGTGTACCGCACTTGAAACAATGTGAGCGTGTGGAGAAGTTGAGAACGAAACACTGATTTTGTCAGCGCAGACCAATAGATAATTCTAGGTTCCTTCCGCGTAGAAAGGCAGCGTCCCCCGGCGCTACCGCGTGGACTTACCTTCCTACAATTCCAATCACTTGCACCTTTTGCACGAGTTCGGTCTTCCCTTTCGCGGCTGTAAGCAATGCGCACTTTGGTGCTTTTCTCATTGGGACCATAAAGGAATATGGAAGGTTGGTTGCGTTCGTAGAACGCGCGTGATGCATCAATCGAAGAAAATCGTAGGTAGCCTATTTGCCGCGACACCTCTGTTGATAAAATAAGACGTTAAAACAATTGACTTTCTTCAGAACTGGCCGCGGCTATCACATACTGGTCTGTCGGTCACGAATGACCCGAATATCTTCCAGGCCCTCGGCACGAATGGCACTGAGTTCAGATGAGATCTAAATTCATAAATGACCGCATTGTCAGCATTTGTTCTCTACGGCGCATATATCTGAGTGCCTGGTCCGCTTGATCCAGGCACTGATTTGATAACTCACATCGCTTTCCGTCATGTTTACTGGAAGTCCCTCCATCATGAGTTCTCGGCTGACCTGTACCACATTGGACTGTCCACTTTGGCTTCGATTGCCGCTTTCGCTTCGGTAGCCCTCTCGGTCACGGTCTTTGTATGTGTTTCTGCCTCTATGGGGAGATGAACGCGAATTCCGACGCCGATAATCATCTCGATCATTGCTTCGGTAGCCTTGTCCATATTCTCGGTCTCTCGAGTACTCGAGTCTGCTATCGGCAGCTAGTCTTCCAGAAGGCGAGCGTGCACGATCTTTATCCATCAATTCAAATTCAATTGATGTTAGTCACATTTCAATACCACGTGCAGGACTTTCTCATGGGACAAAGATATCTCTGGGCTGGTACCCGTGGACACCATCGACGTGCGGGGAGAAGCTTACCTGGCGATCGAGATCGTGATCGATCATCATACATGCGACCATCGCGATCACTACGCGAAGGAAAGGGTCGACGAGTTGGTCCCGAAGGAAAGTTATCGTTCCGATACGGAGGAGCCATGTCTGAGCATGGGATTTGAAAGGAGCATGAGCAACAAAGTGTCGAACACCAGATGGAGAAGAAAGAGGATGAGGACCTTAAGTTACGATTACGGATTAGCTACGATAACGATAAGCCCAGTATCGGGTATCTCCAATCCGAGTTTCGGAGTATCTCGGAATATCCATGTTCCGGTTCTATCCGGATTATCTATATTCCGGACCCGATAGTCATCTATGTACTCCGTACTCCGTACTCCACACCTACAAGGAAGCCGTGAAGGTACAAAATCCTATGAATAATCTTTGAAATTCGGGACACTGCAAAAGTGTTGACACCTCTTCTTCTACCGCACTCCCAATCGATCGTATTGCCAGCCCTGGTCATCTTTTAATTGATACCAAATGGGCAGAACATAGGGTGCTAAAACTTTGCGGTGTCACTGAGTGACTGGACTTAACACGCATGGTACGTCTTTGGTGCTTCTTCAAGGCGCTTTGAACTAGACGTTACCATCTAGATCACCTCTACTCTATCAGCAAGCCCCTGAGTCAGTGTGGGTAAACTCGCTCAAATTTGCACTCATTCAGTTTGAGAGTAATAGAATTTGATCAGTACACTGTATGTTTATTTGATCCGTCGTAGAAACTGTAGAGTAGAGGAGCTTCTATATGATCTATATCATCAACTGAGGAAGTATACAAATAATATCCAACTCCATACTTTGTGTAGTATCCTAAAGTACGTATGTACCCTATGCCCTGTATCGAATGATGCTAACTTGCGGAAGTATCAAAACGAATATCCCGACGTGGTCTGCCAAGAACCCCTCCCGCCCAGTTGCATCATCTATGGCCTTTACGGAGTCCTGTGGAGACGATCCACTGAGATCCTCGGCTTCTGATTCAATGTAAACACCCAAGGTGCATTCCAACTACCCTTGGCAAGTATCTCGGGCCGACACATCAATCACTAAGAGCACCGATGATTCTCCGCATCTGCCCCGCGGTGGGATGAGGATGAACGATTGGTTATGCTCCAAGTGTCCTTGACAACACAGCAAATGATATATATATGTACTGCTGCAAATCCTAAATCCTCTCCTATTCTCCTCCGAATATCCTAAATTCTCTAAATCGCCATCCTACCACTATGGCTACCCCGGGAAATTCCAACCACCGTGCCTGGTGGAAAGAGAGTTCCGTATACCAAATCTGGCCTGCTTCTTTCAAAGATTCAAATAATGATGGTATCGGCGATATCCCCGGCATCATCTCCGAGCTGGACTACATCAAGAACCTCGCCGTAGATATCGTCTGGCTGTGTCCATCGTACAAATCGCCGCAGGTGGACATGGGCTATGACATCTCCGACTACTACAGCATCGCCGATGAATATGGCACCGTTGAAGATGTCGAGAAATTGATTGCCGGCTGCCACCAGCGAGGTTTGAAACTCTTGATGGATTTGGTCGTCAACCATACTAGTGATCAGCATGAATGGTTCAAGCAGTCACGCAGCTCAAAGGATAACGAGTACCGTGACTGGTATATCTGGAAGCCCGCCAAATACGATGAGCAAGGCAACCGTCACCCTCCCAACAACTGGGTTTCTCATTTCCAGGGTATGTGTTTTGTTCTCGTTGGTGAATTCCCTCTAATCCAAACTCTACTCTAGGAAGCGCCTGGCAATGGGATGAATTGACTCAAGAATACTACCTACACCTATACGCCGTTGAGCAGCCCGACCTCAACTGGGAACACCCACCCGTCCGCAAAGCAGTTCATGATATCATGCGGTTCTGGCTCGACAAGGGCTGTGACGGGTTCCGTATGGACGTGATCAACTTCATTAGCAAGGAGCAGAGCTTCCCTGATGGACCCATCAAGGACCCGCGCACTCCCTGGCAGTGGGGTGACAAGTGGTACGCCAATGGTCCGCGCTTGCATGAGTACCTCCAGGGTCTTGGTAAGATCCTCAAGGAGTACGATGCCTTCAGTGTGGGCGAGATGCCATTCGTCACCGACGAGAAAGAGGTGCTCCGTGCGGTACAGTTTGACCGCAATGAAATCAATATGATTTTCAACTTCGAACATGTCGACATTGATCACGGCAAATATGACAAGTTTGAACCTGGTAGCTGGGAACTCACGGATTTGAAGGACTTCTTTGAGCGTTGGCAGACGTTCATGTATGACAATGATGGTTGGAATGCGCTCTACTGGGAGAATCATGACCAGCCGCGTTCTATTGATCGCTACACAAATGCTAGTGAGGAGCATCGACTGGTCGCATCTAAGATGTTGGCTACTGCTCTGGCATTGCAGGCTGGTACTCCGTTTGTTTACCAAGGACAAGAACTCGGAACCAGAAATGTACCCAAATCGTGGGGCATTGAAGAATACAAAGATATTGATTGTCTGAATCACTGGAAAAGGTAACTTTCTTCACCCCATTCTTGTGGATAGTGGCTGACTATATGAATTCTATAGAATACCCAAGGATGACACCGCTGCGCAAGCAATTGCTTTGCAAGAATATCAGAAGAAGTCACGCGACAACGGACGCACTCCGGTCCAGTGGTCAGCTGCTGAGAATGCCGGTTTCACTGGTCCTGGCGTCAAGCCCTGGATGTCTGTGAACACCGACTACGTGCGTGTCAACGCCGAAGCAGAAGTCAAGGATCCCAACTCAACATATCATTATTGGGCGACTGTTCTGAAACTTCGTAAGAAGTACCTTGATGTCTTTGTTTATGGAAATTTCACCCTTTTGGACAAACCAAGCCAAGAGGTATTTGCGTATACTCGCCAGTATGGCGACCAAAAGATCTTAGTTCTATGTCACTGGACAGAGAAGACTCTGGAGTGGGATGCAACCAGCAACGGTATCACTGGCGTGAAGCAGGTCTTACTAAACACTTATGAAGGTATCGAGTTAGCTGCCGATCGGTTCTCTGGTGAGAAGTGGGCACTTCGCCCATATGAGGCTGTGGTGTTGCTTCTGTGATATATATATACATGAGATCTGTAGTTGGCTACAAGCCACTTTCTCCATGAATTGTACCTAGATTGTTTTCTCCAATGAAGTGATATGAATACAAGCCCATCCAATATAACCTGAGTCATAGAACAAACGCCAATCCCATACCAAAGTTATCAACTGTGCAGACCGGGGCTCTTATCGACTCCCCGCAGCAGATAAGCATCGAGGGGCCGAGTAGTCTGTCAACTCCAAATTGAAGTCCAATTCCCTACCCATTTCACCTCACAAACCCAAGACAAAATGGCATCAGAACCACAATCCTCAGAATCAACTCCGGTTCCAGCCCACCTCGACCCAAAAACCTACCCACGCACTCACCACAACCCAACCCAAAACATTCACATTACCCTAACCTACGAAACTCTGGACCCAAACACCTACCTATCGCAAACCGCTTCCCCAGCAGCAGGCGCCAATACACTTTTCCTTGGTACAACGCGCGACACCTTCGAAGGCCGCTCCGTCTCGCAGCTCAGCTACACAACTTACCCGCCTCTAGCGCTAAAGACGCTAGCGGGGATCGCAGAGGCAGCCGTGAAGACGCATCGACTTGAGGGTGTAAGTATTGCGCATAGACTCGGGACTGTGCCGATCGGGGAAGCTTCGATTGCGATTGCTGTTAGTGCAGGTCACCGAGGTGCGGCGTGGAGAGCGGGTGAGGAGGTGCTCGAGGCTTGTAAGGAGAAGGCGGAGATCTGGAAGAGGGAAGAGTTTGTTGATGGGGGGATGGAGTGGAGGGCTAATGCGGATCGGGATGCGGAGGGAAAGGCTGTGGGGACGGGGGTTGTGTAGGGGTTTGTTTAGGTTGGGGTTTGATGAACTTGGCTGGTCAGTAGTTCTCCTGGTTTCAGTTTGTGGACAATGCTGATCGGATCTTTTACAGGTGTCACCTAAAACAGAATTGGTCACTCGGGCTTCTTGGTTTTTTTTGCTTCGGACCGAGTTTGGCCAGGAGTATACGAGCAATGAGCACGAAAAAAAGAGCATTGGGAACGCGGTTCCAGCTGAGTAGGGTATTCAGATATTCGAATGACTATATTGTACAATTTGCATACACACGTCTAGCGCAAGACACTTACTCCGTCTTGAGTGGCTTTCCCTCCCTCTTCCAGTCATTGATGTGCTCCAAGATCACCTTGGATGCAGAGTCGGGGGTATCCTGGCGGCCGATACACTCAACGAAGTCATTGTCGGGGTCTATAACAAATGGTTAGCATACTGAAACTGAATACCCAGGTTATAGCAATTTATCAGTCCACACTCACCCATCAAGTAGAAGTAGATACTGTGATCGACGAGGTAGTCCTCGCCGGGCTTCACGTCCTTGGGAGTACTGAAGTAGACACGGTACTGCTTGCAGACGTGCTTGACCTGCTCGTACGTGCCAGTCAGGCCGATGATGCCGGGGTGGAATTCCTTCAGATACTCGCGCAGCACCTCGGGCGTGTCACGGACGGGATCGCAAGTAATGAAAACAGGCATGAAGAGCTTCTCATCTCCGGTAGCGGCCTTGACCTTCTCGATGATCTCGGCCATCTTATCCAGCTCATCGGGGCAGATGTCGGGGCAGTGAGTGAAGCCGAAATAGACCTGAAAAAACCAAGCGAAACGTGTCAGCAAACAAAGCTTGCCAGTGTATGAAATCCATTGGTTATCCTCCGTTCCTTGTCCGAGTAACTCACAAAGCTGTATTTGCCCTTCAGGTCCTCCGCTGTAAACTCTTTCCCGTCAAGATCCTTCAAGATGAACGGACCGCCAACCTTCGGCTTGCCAACTCCCTTGCTCATCTCCGTCATGCGCTTGCGCTCAAGGCGGGCCTTCTCAACCCGGAAGTAGAGCATCATACCGGCACCGGTCAGCACGAATAGCAGTGCGGCCTTCCATGAGAATGGGCCGGTCGAGTTACGCTGGCGCATCTGGCCCATTGTCTTAGGGCCAGCTCGGAAGGCGGAAGTTGAGAACTGGTTCTGTGTGGAGATCATGGTGCGCATGGTTTGGTCGCATCGTGGGCGCTGTGCTTGGGTGTAGGCTCGGCATGATGCGGTGTTGTTTCGGAGAAGAGGAAGGATGCGTTGTGTTGGGATGGATTCAATGGCAATATTGCGCGTGGCTCGGGCCAAGAGACCATTTGCCAATCTCATGGGAGAAGCCATTTTGAGTGTTGCGAAGTGGTTGGGGAGAGGGAAGATTACCAATTGCCAACTACGGGAATTCGAGAATCTCCAGATCGACGGCCCAATTAAGTTTAGGGTGTCTGCCTCAGGCGCCAATCCACTATCGGAGATGCAATTACTTATGTCCAGTCACTGTATAAATTGTTAGGAAAGTGGATACAGAAATACAGTGACTTGAACACCATTGATCGGGCCCCTACATTTTCGATACCAAGTGATTTAACAATAATCAACAAAGGGGGTTTTGAATTCCAAGGGTTGTTTAATAGCATGGATGTCAGATTTTTTAGCTCCATAGAACCTAGCTTCCACAACTCTCCAATCTATCTCACATTACACTATGCACATTGACGTTGTCTCTCTTTATAACGATTAATGTGAGATATAGATTGGAGATTGAAGAAGCTAAGCTGTGAATTAAGAAATTTGACAAGACGGATAAGAAAGCTAAAAGTTAAGACGATGAGTTCTGATTTGGCTACTAGCATCAGTGGGGAGAAAGAGAAGGAAAAATCACGATGGATTCAATTTAGCAAAAGCAGGGTATCTATATCCTCGAGACTAGCAAGCAAATAAGCCTGAAAAATCAAGTATTAACGGGATGATTCAACCAGTTGTGGCAGTCTTCAAGCCTCCTTATACCTCAATCCACTAAAATCATTGAGGGTCAAATCACTAAAGCTATTGATAGCCTATCAAACCAAACAAAGCCCAAAATTGCGAGAACTACACGCAGCTAAGGATAGGTTTATGTAATACTGAGCATGGAGTGAAGGGGCGAGATCGGATTCTTTAAGTGTTAGGCTAGTTGCTACTCAGTTACTGGGTGCTAATTGCTAGGTGCCAACGATACAAAAATAAAATACGAAGTCAAGGAGACTTGCAAATTGAAGATAAGAATCAACCATGCTAACTTACTGCTAGGAAGAATCGTCTCAAGGTCAATTTCGCTCCACTAAAACAGCAAGATCATAATGACAACGATGACTGGCACCAAGAGGGCTGGCTCAGTCACCTGAGACCAATGGCAGCCTTTGTAAAGAAAAAAAGTCATATAGAGCGGCCGCCGAATTGTAGCGGCAAAGACTAAACATACTCTGGCCGGATTCTGAAGTTTCTCTCGAACTAACCTTATGGAATATTCAGAGAAGTTCTCTGGATTTATGCCTTTTACCGTGCTCTAGTGGTAGTTCTCAGCTATATATCACAAGAGACGTTCAAGTTTAGCTATACAGGCACTTGAAACCCCATTATAAAAACAACTGCAGTCATATTTTATTGGAAAATTTTCGACATCGTCGCACACAAAGTGGGTTTTCAAACAAGCCAAAGACCAGTAGGAAATCCCTAAAATAGCTGTAAAATCAGCAGCGCATATCATCGTAACCTCTATAGATTCTCATTTTGTGAGAAAGAGAGTTCAACCAGTCGTCTATATCACATCAGATGCCGCTCTCTCAAACAAGCTCTTAAACATCATTAGGGAACACATGAGGGTTCTTAAGAGTCTTGGGAGTAGAGCGAACTTTGTTCCCAATGAGATGGTCAAAGGCAGGCGAGTGCTCAACACGAGGACTCATATCCTTCAAATCCCACAAGTAACCAAGAGTCTTCAGCACCGAGGTAGCACTGTAAGCGGATGATTCACCGGTAGCGGGGTTGGTACCGTATCCCTCGACGTGGCCCTTAGGGGTATAAGGAGACAGCAGCCAGGTGGGGATACGACCACCGAGACGATCGAAGCTGAAAGTGTATTGGCTGCCATCGTATGCCTTCTCGGTGTAGGTCTTCTCGTCGGGGCGGACGGCAAGCGGGGGGCGACGTGGTCGAAGAATCCACCAGTCTCGTCAAAGGTAATGAGGAGGAGGGTCTTTTCCCATTGAGGGCCGGTGCGGACGGCGTCGTAGATTTGCTTGAGCAGGACCTCGCCGTAGGAGACGTTGCCGGAGGGGTGCATGGAGTTGGTGTTGGCACCACAGCAAGATGGGTTGATGTAGGAGAGCTGAGGAAGAACGCCTAGGTAGGCATCTTGGTAGAAGTTCTCGAGAGGAACGACGTTCTTTTTGGCGTTTTTGGCGGTCCAGTCGAAGAACATGGCATCGGGAAGGAAGGCGCCGTTGGTGCCATCGTAATTGAGCCATGAGATGCCCTTCTCGGAGGCAGCCTGGAAGATGCTGGTGGTGGGGATGGCGGAGACATCGAAGTCTTTGTCGTTCTTGCCGTGCCCATCGGTGACACCTGCGACTGCGCAGAGACGGTTGGGGTTGGTTGGCTGGTTGATGGTTAATTTGATGTCTTTGGCTAGGTTGGAAGATGGAGGGTACTTACACCAGGGACACAAGAGTGCCAGTTGTTGAAGGTGGTGAATTCATCGACCATGTCAACGATAGTGGGAATCTGGTCCTCAGAGTAGTATCCCATGACCTCATCGACTGCTCGCTGGGCAGAGATCTTGGGGTACTTGAGCATATGGCGGTTGACGAAGCCCGACAGGTTGGCAGTCAAAGAGCCATTGGCAATGGCTGCATTGTCAGGGCTGTACTGGCCATAGAGCTCGAAGTTGGTACCGGTGAGCGAGTGGTCAGGATCATTGAGAACCGAGTCATAGTTCTTGTGCTGGCTGGGCCACTTCTTGCTCTGGGGGTTTTGGACATCCTCCTGATTATAGAAAGGGCCATTGTTGACAACATTGTCCAACCCCTTCTTCTTGATACCACCCAGAATGTTGTCGAATCCACGATTTTCCAGAAGGATCCAGACAACATTCTCGATCTTGTCCTTCATATTGGCAATGGACTCCTTCGAGCCAGACTTGTAACCGAACGGCTCGCTTGAGTGCTTGCTCCTATCCACAGCCGCACCAAGGGCCGCGCCGGACAGGCCGAGCAAGGAAATGAGAGCAGTGCTCTTCATTGTGCCAGAAGATGATGTGGTAAAGAGAGTTGGATTGAATTGAGGATGATGATCATTTCCTTGGTAGTTGCAGGCCTTTTATACCTCTTTCCCTGCATTATATGTGCATTAGTAGAGGTGATGGAGGGATATACAGGCTGGAATTGGGTGCCAGAGCAAATGAAACGTCGCCGTCTCTGGCACATGTTCAATCTATGAACTTTCATCGGTCGATCAGCATGTCAAATGGTAAGAATGGCTCATCAACCCGTGTAGTATGTGGGGATAAAACATCTCGGATGCCGGTAGTCTCAGGATACTGACAATTCCCATCTCGAGATTGGACACTCCGTCCGGAAAGATTCCTTAGGGCATGGGAAGTATAGGTGGGTCTACTACAGAAGTGGTTAGCCCGGTACACCAATCACATCATGCACTAATGCACTTTAATATATGCCAAGTCACCAATCACCTTTCATACTTTCCGCATGCTCTCAAAATAATCCCAAGACCCTTTGACTCCATGTGGATGTTATCCGGGAGTCGGAATGAGAAACGCTTACTATACTTGTATACCTCTTAAACGGGAAATTCACGGAAAATGAGAGATCCATATGACACTGCACGTGGCATAGAAAGGATAGAAGAGTCGAGAAAATGAAGTGGGGAGTCTGAGATTTGCAAATAAGTCTAACCTCTACCTAGGAGAATCCCTCGGGCATCGAAGTACTCAACCAACCCCTCAATAGACGGACCCTCAAAAACGCCTGCAATATATTGGTCAGGTCGAATCAAGTAAACAGCATTCCTAATCAGTCCAACTCTGGCGTATTGGTCGTGCCAGGGGAAGACAAAAACCTCCACACTCATCTTCCGGGCCCACTCCTCAAATTGCGGTAAAGAGTCCCCATAGATATGGAGCTGCCAGCAAATCCCTCGCAGGGTGGAAAAATTGTCCACCTGGCTGATTTCAGCCCACGGGGGACGATCACCAGGCTGTATGGTCCCTTGTCCAGGCTGACAAAGACTGCTGCCCCTGTAGTTGCAAATGAGCTGAGAAGCGCCTCGGAAGATTCTGGTCCGGGCAAAATCAAATTTCACAAGTAGCGGCACAAGATACGGAATCAGCCAATTTCGAAGAAGGTATGGGAAGAATCCTTTCGATGTCAGCGTTGTAAAACCCGTGTCCGTAGATTTGACGATCATCATGGCGAAGGAGCGGCGTTCGGATTCATATGATTCCAACAGTTGGTGTTTTGCTTCCTCGGTCATGTTCATCTGTTTCAGGACCGTCGCTAATTTCCATGCTAGGTTGATCGAGTCCATAATTCCGGTGTTCATACCCTGCCCGCCAACTGGACTGTGGATGTGAGCCGCATCCCCAACAAGGAACGCACGATTGCTGCAGAATCTTTCGGCCACTCGGTGATGGCTGCGGTAGGTGGAGAACCAGTTGACCTTTGTAATTTCCAGATCCATCGCTTGCATGATTTTGGGTCGAACATCTTCAAACGTGATCTGGTGCTCATGCCCGGATGATTCACAGTTGCCATCGCCATCCTTATCTGGGATCAGGATACCAACCAACCGTGCATGACCTGCTTTTTTGTAAGGAACTATCAGGTTGAAAGTATCGTCTGTGAAGACCACATTCCCTTCGCCGTTGAAGAATTTCTCGCTTTTGCCTTCAATGTCAGCGATGTAGAACATCGGTTTGTATGTTTCGCCCTCGAATTTGGCACCAATCCCGTGACGAACAGCTGAATGTGCTCCGTCACACCCAACTATGTACGACGCCTCATGTGTGGTTGAGATCCCATCCGTCTCGCGGAACAAGGTGGCAGTAATGCTTGACCCGTGGTCCACAAAGCCTTGCAACTTCGACCCGCGTTCAACATGGATGCCGATGTCATTCAGTCGTTTTTCTAACATTCTTTCGTGGTCGTCTTGTGGTATACTCAGCATAAAGGAATACGGAGTCAACTCGCGACCGAAGTCTTCTAGCGAAATGTGTGCTTTGTGTTGTGAACCAATCCAGAGATTTGTCGCTGGCAGCTTGTACCCAAGTGCCAGCAAGTCTTCGGCCAATCCAAGCTGCCTATACAGCTCTATTATGCGTGCGTGAACAACTATCGCTCTTGAATCTTTCGCTGGAGCCTCTGCCTGGTCGAAAATGTGAACGTTGACACCTTGATGGTGGAGCCATAGAGCAAGGACAAGACCAGTTGGGCCTGCTCCGACGATGAGAACATCTGTTTTTGGTTTCATCTTTGGAAGTATCTTCGGAGCGAAATATGTAGGTTGAATTAATGTATCAAGGAAAGAATTTCGTGGTCGAAAGAGGATTGCAGGTAGGAAATTGGTGATCATACATCCAAAGTCTGCACTATAGGGAACTGACTTGCTTTAAATAAGATCTTGACCAGATACCATCGCGCTGTTAAATGAATTCACTCCAAAAGCCAAGGCTGATCACCAGTTCTCGGCCGTTTAATCGCCGACCCCGAGATTTGGGGAGGCCAAGACCTCCAGACGGCATCGGAGCGTCGCTTGCCGATCGGCACGAGACTCCAACGCGCCCCGATGTTGGGGTATACCTGTATTCTTGTATCTTGAATGCGATGAATTCCTGTCACACCGGATTTGCCACAAATAGTAGCGTGAGCGCGTTTTGAGTCATTGACACCGTCGGAAATAATGCTTGGCTCACGACAGATAAATTGAATCGTCTGTAAAAGATGATTGGAAATTACTGAGGAGATTGTCCCATTCATTCCAATCCTTCGGACTATCACCAAGCATTAATCCAAAGTTTTCGGCCTCCACCCCAAACTGTGAAATAGCATATTCCTGCCTAGGTTGATCTTGTGGAATAGCACCGCGGTCAACAGGTGGGAAGTTCTCATCTTCCTCTTGCGGGCCAGAGACTCCTGCTGCATTAGCTAACAATGATGCAACGATAGCTGGACATGGGGTTGGTGTGCAATGATTGAGGTTACATTCTTCAATATAAGTCCGCCAGGTCTTGACAATCAAGTTTTGAATAGCCATGTGAAGAGGTGTCGGGCCATTCTTGCTCATCGCCTTGATATGCCCAGAATACACATTTCCAATCAATTGCCAGACTTTACTTTTCTCTTTGGAATCAGTCCGGTGCTGCATCTCCGAGAGCATAAATATTATAGCGTCCCACGGCATATGGTTCACCATGTGCCACATGAATTTCCGTACGACTTGATTGTTCTGGGCGTAGTCAGCATATTCCGTCATCTTGAGGGAATTCTCGAAGATGACGTTTCTCTCTGCTTCGGAGATCCGAATACTAGGATCCTGGTATTGACGAGGATGGTGTGCCATCATCCGGGTATAGTACATAGCCGAACGCACCATCATTGTCGTTGCCATGTGCAGCGGGATGGATTGATCGCAGTGCCGGAGGAACTTCTCATCCAAATGTGCTTCAAGTTCATTGATGGTCTTGTCCTTTTCCTTCAAGGGCATCGCCGATGATGATAAAAAAGCCCATGGCCCAGTATTGGACGCATCAATTTGGTTTGACAAACGAGAGAGCCATGTTCCGAATGCACTGCGAGCCAGCACGAACATCATTTCTGTCGGCCCCGGCTTTTCGCAGGCTGGCTCGGTCATGCGAGGATCGAGGTCGCTATCGTTTGCATTCATTGGTGGTTGGACATCAATTGTGGCTGGGAGCGGCGTTGGTGCAACACCACAGAACTGCGCAGATGTGGCGTCTATGATCATGAGCTGGAACCAAATGCGACGTCGCATCTCAGTCTCGAATACCGAAAGTCCATGTGCAGACCCGTCACGGTGAATTCCAATTCGTTGAGCGATTCTTACGGCAATGCCACATAATGTCCAAATAGTATGAGGGTCAGAGAAGGAACGCATGCAGAGCTACCGAAACACAGTTAAATGATGTTAAACCTTGTCAAAGGAAGGTGAACACACGAGGTATAGCATAAACGCTTGGAGAACAACTGAGCTTGATGTACGAAGAAGCAATGCATTCTTGAAAGCGAGTTGGGCTCCTCGTCTGCACTTTGATAGGAGAGTTTTCCTGCTTTCTCCAAATGATTTTTCGACATCTTCTGCTTGCATGGAAACCAAAGCTATGCAGTATATTGCGAACATCAATGCCTCGAATTCCCGGCTTACTTTTGGCAGATCACTCATGGCTTCCAAAATCTGTTGTTGCACGGTTGGAGCATGTATAATCTTGGTCAGAGGGTTCACATTCTCGAGAAATGCCTGCCACAACTTGAAGATATTCAGAGAGTTCGGGTGGAGCTTTGTGAGAACATCTCTTGATGCAGATGTCGAGAGTATCACATAATCGTCGCTTACATCCTGGCCAAAGTTATCGGTATCACCGGTATCACTATCCGATCTATCGCCCAGTACATCTGCTGCATTTGGGAGCTGCCAAAGATGGTCAGAATCGCAGGACACAAACATCGGAAGACACTTACTTCATTGCTGACAGTCGTCCAAAGATTGCTGGTGTGCAAGTCAGAATTCCGGCATTAGACCAATCACAGCGCAACTTACTTGTCGAGATAGATGGAATTGCCACCTTTCATGATCATCCGCCCAGATCCACTTTTTCTTGTTTCAGTTTGTTGCTTGTCTCCAGCATTTCGATTCTGAGTGGCAGAGGTGTTTCCATCAAATGTCGTGCTGCGTCTAGAACATTTTTCGCGTTCTCGAGATACACTTTCATTGGTTTCCCGGTCCCTCTTGCGACGAGGCGCTGGTGGAGCACGGTAGATACATTCCACATTTGCCTTTGCGCAATTTGAACAGGGGGTACTGGGATCTTGTCTATCGCATTTGACCTTTCGATTGTGACAGACCACGCATGCAAACGATGCGGATTGTTTTGATGGCGAGTTTGTTGCCTGGCCACCATTCAAGGAGCTATTCAGACTTGGGCTGTTCATTGCAGCAGCGCACTTTTTAAAAAAATCAAGGTCCAGCTAGGTATAAATGACTGGCATGTTAAGTACAACCTAACTAGAAGGAGAGGAAACGACACAAATCGGAAAGGCGGTGCCGTGACACTTTTGCGCCTTATGTATCAGGCCTATATCAGGCATCAACTCAGGCACCACTCAGGCACCCACTCCACTTTCGGTTCCAAGTTTCAAATTTGCTTAATTTCAAGGGCAGAGACCTCGGGATTCTTAGGTAAAATCGGCGAACACTCGTATTTTTGAAGTACCCAGAGGCTGTGTTTGTGGAATCTTCAATCTTGTTCCGTCTACAGTCCGGGCACCAAGGGCCCAATCCATCTCTTTCTATTATCCATTTGTCTTCTTTACGAGCTATTTCATGGTAAATATTCCAAATATACAGACCAAATCTTGGATATTTCCGGTGATTCATCATATTTATGAACCATGACGCATTTTCTCGATCGAGTCCGAACTGTCCTTCGGGGAGGTAAACGAGGCTGCTCAATGTCAACTGTGCCCAAAGCTTCGGGATGGACGCGACTCCCATCTCATGTCTTTGTTGCGATCCTCGCATCTTGTGAGCTGAAGGATATTGGTTCTTTATCTCTTTCGTGTCGAGCACTACACGACCGGGTTTTGAAGCTGGAATTTGCCATAGCATGGGCATACATTCAACTTCGAAAACAGATGCGTCATCAAAGCCATTACATTCATGGCACCCTGTCGCCGGGTGACGACATTTCCTTCATCTCCGAACTATTCCCCCTCCACCTCCTGAGTATAGCATTGGCGTGGCTCATGATAACGCCGGATACTCTCTGGGATATCTCGGTGATCTGAAACGATGCTGGAATACTTGCATCCGACTCTCGTACCACCTGGCTGATCATGTGGTTGAACATCATCTGGAGACCGATCCAATAGCTAAAGTTTTGTGGTCGTCTTCCAAGACCGAGAAAGAAGTTGTCTTCAGTAAAGCCGTGGCTTCGTTGCAAGCCAAGCTTTTGTACCCGATGTGCGGCCCCACTTTTTATTTTTCTTGCAAGCGCACTGACTCGAATATAGAGCCTACGCAATTTTCTTCTTGGAAACGTCTGCATCTCCTGACTCTGACTCGGATAATTCGCTGTATCATAAAATGATGAAGGTTGCTTCTATTGAAAGACAACAATCAATTCTTCAAAATGCACCTTTCGACGATATGCATGTATTTCTGTCGACCCACCACTGCATGCAGCTTCTATTTTCGACTGTCCAGCGCTTGATGGGCCCTGAAATCTCCCATTCTACCGCTGAAAGCTGGGTCAGTCTCCTTCTCACCACTTCAACCATGGAGAGGATAGTCAAATTTTTTGTCTCCATCGCAAAGGATGACCAAAGAAAGCAAAAAGGCGAACATGATTCCACGTGGTCTCATAGAAAGGAGTTTTTGTGGGCGATGCGACGAGATTTGAACGATTACATGGCCTCTTTCAGTGATCATGGCGAACAACTAACCATCGAGCCAAAGCTTAACCATGTCTGGTTCCACGCAGCATGCAAAGAGATGGACCGACGAGGAGCAATTCCGCATACTGTCAAGGATACAGAAGTGCACGTTCTCCATGGGTCTGTTGTGAAATTGGAATGTGATTACTGTTATGATTGTTTTGACGAATAAGAGCTCAGGGCAATCATTTGGCACTTTGTTGCAATTGTGAATAGTACCAATCAAATCATTATTGAATGAATCAACACAATTACCTACATGTGTACTCCGTAAGTAGCAAATGAGCATGTCAACAAACTTCTATACATCGGGCTATGCGCTAAACCTCTTTCGGTCGGCTTCCGGCAGTTCGGACGCGCCGAGCACACAACCCCAGACTTCAACCAGGCTCCCTCTTCCCCTTGAGTACTGGATTTATATGCTTTGATTCCGAAATTCCGTTCAAACTTCCGAAGCCAACATGTCTGCAGTGAGTTTTCCGGGATAACAACAAAGTGAAACACATACGCTGTTTCTGAAACATACTAGCAGCTCAGCTAATCATTTACCAGTGCGATCTATGTCATACTCGGAAGGTATAATCATTCGTTTCTCGCATTCTATCCTTTGATACTCTAATACTCATCCGGAGTCAATTTAGGTGAAATGCGATCGCCAGGATCCTTGTATGAACTGCACCGATGCAGGGGTAGACTGTCTTCGCAATCGCCAGGCACGGGTTCATAGACCCCGGGTCTCTCGGTAGGTGAATATGTTCCACGTCTTCAGAATCAACAGCTAAGAATCCCGAGATTGGAAACATTGACCCAAAGATTAGCGAAGCTGGAAGAATCAAGGAATAAAGAGGGGGCATACTTCCCAACAAGTCATCACACCGCTAGCAGCACATCTTCGTCGCCTTCAGCCAATTTGACAAGTATTAGCGAAGTGCTCAATGAAAAGCAGAAGCGATATCGAGCATATGATCTCCATGACCCAACTTCCCTGCAGCCACCATCAAGTAAGCATCGCAAGTCTCAGACTGTGTCGCACCAAAATGTTCACCAGGCACATTCTCCTGGCTCAACACATCATGCTAGTGAGGCCAGAGAATACATTGAGCATGAACTCCAATGTAACCCAGCTCTGTCAAAAGACAGACGCAGTGCCCTTGAATCAGCGCGCAAATTCGTCAGCCAGCTGTCCAATCCGACTTTACATTGGCAGGAGACTGCGGCAACGCATGATATGGATGTTCAAGAAAGCCTGGAACCCCCTACTCTCACACCGGAATTGCTCTACATGATGCTACCTGGTAAGTCACCCAGGGTGGGGCAGATGTCAATGATACTGATCACTATAGGACCTGATAAGAAAACAAACTCCCAGGGAACAATCATTTGGCCTGATCACATCTCCGACAAAGTTCTAGAGCAAATGGGGCTTGCAATAATCGAGGGCACAGAATGTGAGCAAGTACTCCAACATTACCGAATGAATGTCTGGGTAAAGGCCATGGGTTGTATCTCAAAAATGGCCCCTCTGGTTGCGAGCAAGCCTTTGCGGAATCATTTCCGGTCACTCAAAAAGAGGTATGAGGCTGCTGCCATCGAAATTTTGAATCAAATTCCGCTGGCAGCTGAACCTAGTCTTCTTTTGCTTCAATCAATTATGTCTGCGGTATGTTTTCATCTCTTCGTGCGGCTCCGTATATATCGCCTCATATCTGATTCATGGCAGACCCGTTTGATGCAATATTTAGGAAACATGACACGCTGTTGGATGCTAACAGCACTAGCATCGAGAATGGTCGTTTCCTTGAACTACCACAATATCACAGATACCAGTCCTCGAACCGAGATAGAGGAAAATATCCATGCCTGTGTGTACACATGCTATTACTTTGACAAAACTCTCAGCCTGCTGCTCCTCCGACCACCGTCTCTACCGGATTTGAAAGTCAGACCAACGCAGTTGATTCACCTCGACCCCGACCTGCCAACATCTACCATGTTAACAGGCATAGTTGAATATTCTGAGTTGAAGAGTGCCCTGCTGAACATCTTGCTTGATACCAAGACAATAGAAGACACGGAGAAGGCTAATATACTTTCTGATCTTGTGGCGCGGGCACACACTATTCACTCCAATATGCAAATGGTAAGAGGGCGGGAGCATCGAATTCCCTAGCTTATACCTGCTAACTGGACTTCCAGTTTCGTCGTCGCCAAGAGCAGGAATTTTCACAATCATGGAGTTATCTCCGACGTGAATGGCTGTCAATGGACTTCAACTACTACTCAATTCTTACCACAATTATCCAGGCCCGATCGTCGGTACTCAAGTCGCGCTTGGTCTGCGAGAACTGTCTATACACAGCCCGGGAAGCTCTCACCACTCTCCGAGCTTTACAGGAAGCATTCTCAAACCGCATCAATTCTATCGACTCATATCCATATTTCCTTACCTGGTAAATAGCCATAAAACCATCTCTCAATAACCTGAACAGTCAAAGCTAATGACCTCTTGAATAGGACAATGCTGCTCTTCCCGTTAGCACCGTTCTTTGTCCTTTTTTGCAATGTGATCGCAACATCAAACGAGAGAGACTTCAATATGATCAAAAACATCACCGACGACCTACATCAATTCGCAGAGGCGAATGCCTCGATTGGCAAGCTGTACAGGCTATTCTCCAAATTCCTAGACCTGTGTGTGCCTTTGGTAAAAGGCAATTCTGAGCCATCCCGTTCAGAACAGCAAGCAGCTGCACTCGCTGATGCAAAGAAAGCTGGAAACACCGAAGGCCAGATTACCTCCTACACAGATCTGTTTGGCCGTGCTGCCAATCAGCCTTTGGTAGGTCTTCGGGACACAGATTCCACTGGAGGGGATTCCACTGCACCGCCCTCTGTGGAAGGATGGAATGACAGTCTGGTGTGGGAACTCTTTGATAATCAACCCTCGTTGGGGTGGGCGGAGTCAGAACTATGGAATGTGATGACGCAGTTTGATGCATGAAATATGTATGATGAAAATACTTGCTTTGGGCTCTTTCTGGAAGTGGTTCATGGTTATCCCATGATCTCGATTGAGTGTAATCGAATAGTACAAGAGGTGTATTTACGCAGGTGACTCTTGAGGACACAGTCCCAAGCAACACATAGCAAAAAGCAGACAAGAAACATGAAAAGAAAGACAAAGAACGTGATGGTTTCGACATCCCAGAGTCTAGCCAGAGAGTAAAAAGAAACAGGGATGCTCAGCGGGTGCGGACATGCAGAAGGGCCATGATCTGTCGAAAACCACGGGCCAGGTATTATAATACAGTATGAAAGGGAAAGAGGTAGATCTAGCGTGTATCACGAAATCAAGACCCAGAGAAGGAAGAAGATCTATAGCGGTTAGTTGAAGACACAAGCAAGAGACTCAAGATGAGTGAACGTACCATCAGAATACCAAACATTTTGGCGACTAGCCAGCGATTTCCAGACACGCGGGTCCAATACTTCATTAGTTCTCTCTGCGCCCCCTGGACGTTGTCGACCACATCTTCGGTATTGGCATCTATGCGCTGGATCATTTCTGACTGTTCGCTAACCATCTGCGCCAGCTGACCAAAAATTCCACCTAATTCGCTAATAGTTCGCTCAATAGCTTCGATGGCTTCGCCTCGAGCCTGAACATACGTGTTACTCGATTCTCCTTCTTCCATTATCATCAATTGTTGGTCTGATTGGAATGACGGACGCCCTAAGGGTGAAGGGTTCGAAGGCTCGAGGGTCAAAAGATCGGAGGAGTTGCCTTGGTACCCGGGCTGAGGAGTCCGTCGTCCGGAAGTGTTATACAGAGGCGAGTCTGAGCGCTGGGCGTCGAGGGCATTGTGTGATTTGGAAGATACCGACGAAACGAAATTCTCGGTTCGAGTTCGGGATGCTTGAATATTCTTTGTGCGGACTTCGAGTACCTCTTTGAAACTAGCACCTACATCGGCTAGTTTTCCCTGCAGCATAACAACGACCTGTAATTCGGTAATCAGCTACTTGTCGGTGCGCGGCCTTTCATGTCTCACTCACATTATCATTGTGTTCGCCTTCCTGGTCTGTCTTCGAACGATTCGATTTCGGGTGTTGCGATTGGGTGAGCGCCTGCAGCCCGGCGATGCTTTGGTTCAGGGCGGCAAGGTCTTGCTTAATCACATATGTCAACTCGGAAATTTCGACAGGTCGGTCATCGAAGAGTGTTTTCCGTTTCGCCACTAGTTCCTGGTTAGATTGCTGGCATTTTGAGCAATGTGACCAGACTCACATTCCGCCAATCGCTGCAATTTCGCCATTGTCCCAGTAATCCCCCTTCCGATATCTCGCGCCCGTCGCGCGAACTCCGATCTTGCGACCTTCGCCTGCTGCGCAGCACCCTGGGGTGACGCACTGGCTTGTCGCCTTTGCGCATCAGTCAACAGTGCCTGGCGCTGTGACCCAACTTTGGATGTCCCCAGGCGCTTTTGGGCCTGGCCCAAGATAGCGCTGAACTCGCCGGTTCGATCTTGTATCGACGGGCCAGTCATTTTGCGATGTGGAAGGAAAGATGCAAAGCGAGATTGGGAGAGGAGTATGGTCTTTCAAAGCTAATGAGACTTGAATGTAAATGAAGGCCGAATTCGGTGAAACTGAAGTGTGATCTATCTGTAATCGATAAGGGGGAGGTGAAGACGTGTCCGCTTGCAGGCTGCTCCGAAGGTACAACGTCGTGACTTGGAACAAAAGAGAATATACTCCGTACACTTCAAGAATATGGAGAAAGGTCAGCTTTCCAAGTTAATCTAATGAAACCCCGGGGCACGTTGAAGAAACGTGTTACATAAGCCCCGCACCGCCACCTGGGCACCTCCATGGCTAATTTTAGTTTGACCTCAGGGGAGATTCTCTATTTACTCCATACAAAAATATAGCTTGCTATTTCTCTTTCTCTCTTTGACATAGTTGGATATTCTTGTATCCCTTTGTGGATACACGTCATTCTTGTACACTAATCTCGCTACTTCCGAGGTCCAATTATCGCAACCCATTTGATCGGTGCCTTGCGCAAGTTGGGCCAAATCGCCACATTCGTCCTCCCTATATACCCCAGGGGGAACAGTGTTGCTCTTACTTAGCTCCTTACAACTTGCGCTTGCTCTTGTGCAAATTCATCTACCAGGCAGTCGATGCTGGTAATCGAGCTCGCCTCAGTTCCTTGATCCTGGTTTCCTGATGGCAGACCCCACTCAAGCGCATGGTCGCGGAGTCCAGCAACTGTAAGACTATCTATCCAGCTCTAGTATGTCTAGTTGCACGAGTACTGAGACCTACTTTAGTTCTTCCCCGCAAAATGTTCGCAGTCCACTCTCGCCAGGCAGCGGGAGCGGAACCCCGATCTCTTTCCAGACAAACGTGAATCGCTCAAAAACAAAACGTTGGGTGGAAGCAAAGCAGTATTCTTATGACGGAGGTGACTGGGGTAGCGACGATGATGAGGAAGAGGAGGAGGAGGTGCCTCCTCCAGTACCTCGGCCTCCCTATGCCACCCACAACACTGGCAGTTCGTCTGAGTTGTCCTCGAGGCGTTTGTCTGGGATGGGATTCGGAGCCGGTGAGTCGTATCCGGTTGACAGCAAGGGTAGGAACTTTAGTGGAGGAGAGCAGAAGGCTCTGCCCTTTGTCAGGCCGGCCGACCTCTATAAACGCATGCGCGAGGAGAAAGCGACACAGCCGTCTCCTATCACTAGTAGCAATGATCCCAAGCCTGACGCGTTTGGAGCTCCATCTCAAACAAACCAACAGGGGCCTGACTTGGGCTTACCAGAAGTCAAGCGTATGTCTAGCTTTGGTACCGATTTCTTGGGTGGTGCAGACTCCCACCCACCGCAGGATCTCTCTGCATCTGAGGAGCCCTCTTTGAATCACAAACCTTCATCGGGATTCCGATCGGTAGTGAATCAGGCCTTCGATGTCCCAGAAACTCCACAATCCACTACCACTAGTTTCACACGGTCGAACAGCGATGGCACTTCGACGATTAGCCCTATCATGGGCTCTCGTACTCTAACTGATGAAAGAACACCCACCATTCCAGAGGAACCTAATGAGTCAGGCTCCCCGAAGGCAGCTGCGAATGCGGTTCCAGCGTTCAACCCCGGTCATCGCCGGGACCTGAGCCTTCCTAGTTCGGACAACAGTCCTTCGAGAAAACCCCAAGTCACAGACCAGGACACCCCAACAGCCGCCCATGCAGAATTGTCCTCTATTCCCCCTCTCCAGAGTTTGTCCCCAGAATCGTCTGATGTGGCAATTTCTCCTCAAATCCCATTGATGCAACCATACCCGAACAAGGGGCAGGATATTCCTGCCCCTCTCAAATTCGGAAGCGCATCGGGCCCTGATACCTTCCATAGCGAAATCCCCACCATCACGGGAGTCGAGGAATCGCCACAGAATACCGACAGCGATCGCTTGAGGGAGGAGATTATCCGATCATTAAGTCGGGAAGCCACCCCCTCGGAGGACCCGGAGCCCAACAAGCAACCCCAGTCGCACGCACCCGCTGAACCCATCCTTTCTGAAAGCCGCCCAGACTGGAACAGCCCCCCTCCTTTGCCGTCTAGAGACCCTTATGTGAATAGTCAAGACGCGACTGGTAACTCTTCATCCACGATCGGCGATCAGCCAAAGAAGCCCAAGCTAGAAAGACGGTTCTCATGGGAATCCTCTGACGAGGAAGAATTAGAGCCGCCTCAAATGCCCGGAAGCTATTCATCGCCCCCTCCTTTGGCCGCATCCTTGTCTACGCAAGAGCCTGAGCCGATACATGAGGCGCCCGCTCCAGTAGTGCCGGATTCGAACGTGCCGCACGACTCGTTTACTTCTGATGAAGAAGGGTCTGATACCCAGCGTGCTGTGGCAAAGCCTCGACTTTCCATTGTTCCACCCATTCCGGAGAACACTACACCACCGGAGCAGGTCATGGGACCAGGGATTACGCCACCTACACCACCTCCGCGAGCTCAAGTCGCTTCTAACGCCGTCAGCTCATCACTCGATGAGTCTCAACTTCTTGGCTTCCGTGACATTCTCGGTATCACATCTATCAACCAGCGTATTAAGTCTTTCGAACACACCCGTGACCAGTTCGCCACCATTGACACTGGTTTGAATCATTGGCTGCAGTTCATGGTTCATGAGCACCCCGAGCATGCTAGCGTGGTACAACAGACCCAGAGTTTCTCCCCTACCGTGCCAGCATCAGATATTTCCCGCAGCAGATTCCCCAAGTTAGGTGCTCTTAGCAGTCTTGGTTCCTTGAATGACGGTACTCCGACTAGCTCCACTCATATCAGACGCCCTTCGGGCCATCTGGGTACTGTGATGAATAAGGAGAAGGTCGGAGAGAAAGGAAAAGAGCTTCTTCATACTGCGGGTGCATTTAGTGGCAAGGCAACTGGAGCGGCTAAGGGGCTGTTTGCCAAGGGCAGAAGCAGGTTCCGACCCAGTGGAGGGTCTGAGAAGGTAGATACCTGATTTTTCTTTGTCTGAGCGAGTCGTTTACCGGGGTAAGCACGGTGGAGGCCGTTGCTTTAATGTTTCCCTTTTAATACCGCTGCATTGCTTCATTTCCTGGATACCACGATGTAATTCCGAGCACCTTTTTTGGCATTGAGCTCTAGAATGCGACACGATTGATGCATCTGCTCTTTCTCTACAATCCAACACCCCATCCTTATATTTGTTTATATTCTGATGTTGGTAATACTGTAGGTTCAGTCAACCCCAAATGCTTCTCGCCGCAGCTTTCAGTTCTCCTTCCCTTCAGGGTCGGGTGAAATGTCTGGTAACTCTTCTCGACAAACATCTGTTAGCTTTGGCAGTCTGCCCATCTTCAAATCCGAGCGAACCGGACCCAAAGTTGATGATGATCCGCCGGTCAGTCTCTGTCTAGATGGTCCAGAGTGTGAACACAATGCCGGAAAATTCATCAAGACGACCAACTCGGGGAAAACCTCCCTGTCGCACAACCATGTTGTTCCTCCTGTACAACCGAAGCAACCGTCATCTTCCAACAGTGTCCCTCTTAACCCCGAGGTGCCCGGAAAGTCTGCTTTTGCTGGCGACTTGGAGCAGGAGATGATAGCTGCCCTTGGCCTTTCACCCACAGATCCTCATCCTCAGAGGTGCACAAGTACTCCGATGGTGTTGAATGCATTCAGCCAGGCACCTGACAGAAAACGCCAATCCACAGAGCCACTGCCGCAAGGGCAAAGCACAACTAGCAATCAATCCGATACTGAAGCGCCAGCGGTCAAAGTCCCAGTTTCCGAGAACAGCTTGCCAGTCATTCCTGATGAGCCTTTTCACGTCTCTTTCCCGGTTACGAACGGCCAGAAGCATCGATCAAGCAAGTCTACACCAGAGGTCATTATTCCATCAATCCGTCCAGTGTTTGATGAAATGCCTAAGCCTCCTTCATCACCTCCTCCTCCTCCTCCTCCTCCTCCTCCTCCTCCCAAGGATCATGATAACAGGCTTGCACCTAGGCAGGACCATAGGCGTCATCCCTCTGTCTCAACACTCGGAGCGGACGAGCGAGCTGGAAGTACATCCGACGGTGAACTCGACAGGCATCCCCCCTCTCCTATGCAAGAAACAGCAAACGAGGTAGTACCAGAACCATGGTATAAACGCAAGGCTGAGCATTCTGTGGATGGCGACTATGATGACTCAGTGTTATCTGTTCAAGAGAAGAGGAAGTCCTTCATACCTTTTTATCCGTCACGTCCCATCAGCGCTGCAGAGCTCCTCGAGCCCAAAAGAAAATCGATCAGTGGCCTACCGCCATCTGCTCCGGACGTGCATAGTCCCTTGAGAAACGAAGTCAGATATTCGCCAGGGACCCGAAGCAGCATGCTGAGCTTTGGTAGCTTCGGGAAGCAGAGCGTCAACGGCAAAGGGACTCGTCCGTCTACGCCTGCTAATGATCTTTCACAGCCTTCAGAAGCTGGAACTTCTGCAGGGAATGGGGAGTCTGCTATTGGGAAACTCAAAAACTTTGGGAGACGACGACGCGCTTCCGTGGGAGATCTCCTTTCCGGTATTCAAGTGCAACAGTCTCAGGGGGCCCCGGAAGGCCAGCGGAAACGAGCACTCAGCAGGATTAGTGTATGTGGTCTCTGGACAATTTTTTTGATTTCTTTTTTTCTAACTCAAACAGGGACTGTTCGCCCGGCAAGGCTCTCAAGATCCTGAAAGAAAATCGACCGGCCACACAAGAACTACATCGGAACAGCTGCAGAGCCAATACCTGCCGACACCCCCGTCGACAAATGGAAATTTAAATACTAATTTTGCTGCACTGGATGAAGCGCCAGCCCTCAGCAACCCATTTGAACAAAAACCCTGGGCAACTCAGCCCCCCAAGCCTACGGCACCTCCACCACCACCGCCACCACCGAGCGACGCAAAACCTCTACCGGGCGATAATCACCAACGTCCCAGTTTATCACTTCGAACTAGTCCATCATCCAACTCCCTGGCAACTGGTCGGTTCTACTCGCAGTTTCAGTCTGGATCCACGAATGAACCCTCCACCGGCTCTCGCCATGGTAGCCTACTCAGCCAGCCTCTCCCTGATCATTCCCGCTCACCGTCTCCCAGGTCACTCCATGAGAATGGAGCTGCACTTGCACTGTCGCCGCTAGAGGAGCTAGAAGGCCAGCAGATACACCAACTGCAGGCAGATGAGCAGCGCAAACAAGAAACCCAGCGAACCCAGAACCAGAATCCGCACCTAGACACCCTGAACGAGAACCAGGAGCAGGAGAAACACGAGGAACACAAGGATCGCGTGCTCAGTGAGCGCCTTCAACACGAACTATATGGGGAGATAAGCGAGGTTGCGACCAACAATCAGAACCCCTCGGGGCAACAATACGAATTACAAGGTGATCTCGAACAACAAAGCCTGGCTCCTCAGCTCAGTATTCGATCCCGAAAGCCAGTGAGTTCAGATTTGACATCTCCAGCCTTGGAGAACCATACACCGCGCAACATCGCTGTCTCAAGCGCCTCCACGCATCCTCACCGCAGTGAGGACATAGCCCGTGTACTCAACAATCCACCTCAGCCGGTGGAGCTCGCCATCACCGCCGACGACTCCAGCGAGGAGATCGTCATGTCCCCCACGTCCTATCCTGGACAGGAGTGGACGCCCATGCATTTGTAGCATGTTTGATTAGAGCGTGTATTATACCCACTATCTCTTTTGCGATGCCCTTTCATTTCTGTGAGTTGTATTTGCATACCTTTTTTATACCACGCATACGTGTACTCTACTGTTCGAATATTTGTACGGAGTACTACTCTCATATATCTCTTATCTATGTCATCTATTTAATAATCTGATCATGTTCATTATGCATACCGATCTGTAGATTTCTATATCCAATTGCACTGCCTAACTGTCAATTTAAATCAAACATACTGTGTTTCAAGCACAAATCCTACAAATTCAATAGATTGCATGGGAATCGGAAGTTCGGATTTTCGATTTCGAGATAGCTGGCGATCGTAATAGTCGTAATAAGTACCTGTCCTTGGCTGAGATAACGAATTCCTCCCCGCATTGAAGATATAAGACCAGCTTGGGACTGCATGAAAGTCGACATTCAACGTACTCTCCAAGATGAACCCTAACGAGCCTCCTATTATAGATTTCGCCCGTAAGCATTCCCTATTAGTTCCATCCTATCCAGTACCTAACCCTCTCAGCCTTCTATACCAACGACCCAAAAGACCTCATCGACCAAATCAAACAAGCATGTGAACAATTCGGCTTCTTCCAGCTAATCAACCACCCTATCCCAACCGGATTACAAACCGCAGTTCTAAAACACTCAAGCGAATTCTTCAATCTCCCCTTAGAAACAAAAGAACAATACAACCAAGGTAATACAGCCAACACTGCATCAAATACAAGACACACCTAACTGACCCCCAAAAGCCACCGGTGGCTTCAACCGCGGATACGAGCGACTACGCTCTCAGAACTTCGAGAAACGAACAAAAGGCGACCTCAAAGAAGGCTTTTATCTTGGTAAAGACCTCCCACTCGACAATGAATACGTAGTCCAGCGACGCTTCGGTCACGGACCGAATAAGTATCCATCCGAAGTCAGCGATGCACAGGGCTTCCGTCGCGTCATGGACGAGTACCACGACGCCATGATCGAGCTTTCTGTGGCCATTATGCAGGTTCTAGCCCGCACGCTGGGTCTAGATGGTGATGCTTTTGGGGATTTTTGCGATAACCCTGTCTCCATTCTTCGATTGCTTCATTATCCGCCTCAAGAGGTGGATGCGTCGGGTCTTGAGAGAGGTGAGGAAAACAGAAACCTCGTGTTAGAATAGCTCAACACGGACTAAATCGAGTCTAGGAATCGGCGCTCACACGGATTTCGGCGCTATCACTATGCTTCTGCAGGATGATACGGGCGGTTTGCAGGTCTGGAATAACCTCTCATCCGAATGGGTCGATGTCACTCCTGTTCCCGGGGCGTATGTTGTCAATTTGGGGAATATGATGATGCGCTGGACGAATAACCGGTACTTGTCGAATCTGCACCGTGTCATCAATACCAGTGGGAAAGAACGCTTTAGCGTTCCGTTTTTCTTCTCCGGGAATCCGAACTACACTATCCGCTGTCTTCCTGGCTGTGAAGATCCCCAGGAAGGCGCAAGATATCCCCCGATTACCGTTCATGACTGGATGACTGGAAGGTACGCTGATACTTATGGGACTTCAGATGGGAAGGCTATTGGGGAGATGCGCAAGGAACCTGGTAAAGATGTGTGTTAAGTAGTAGAAGTGAAGCATTGAGATAGTGTGTTTATATGAGACTTTCATCAAATCCCATCCTCAATTCCCCTTGACCACCCCCCCAATCAACCCACTTCGTATCCTCAAATACCTTCTGGGGAGCACTATACACTTCATATCCTTCCCATCCAAGGACATCCGTAACACCACCCTCAACACGACCAGTCTTGTTATACCCAGGCCCGAAAGCCCGATACTCTGCCATAAGCGTTACGCCCTTTTCGAACCTCCCGACGCCACCAATAACCCAATCGATATACCCGCGCGAATCAACACTCCCATCCTCGTAAGAACGCGCAAAGATAGACCGGTGCTGACTGTTCCACGGCCGGCCGAGCGCACACGCACCCTTGATCTCCGCCGCGATGGAGGCGTTCGCAGCCCGCACGCTCGAATCGACAATGTACACGCCATACTTGTTGGGGGTTGTAGTGTTAGTTCCCTTCCAAGCTGTGATGCCGCCGCCGCAGCCACGGAGCTGGAGGGCGCTGGACTGGATCCAGGCTGTGCCAAAGCCGTAGAGGAAGTCGGTTTGACCGGCTAGGATGCTTTGGTAGAAGTATGCGTTTCCGAGTTTGCCTATGTAAACCTGTGGAGGGATTAGTGGTTGGTTGGTTGAGAATAGCATAAATAATCTCAAAAGAGAGAGCACAGAAAAACGTACTGTATCCTGATACGAGTAAAACCCGCAGTAATAAAACCCCCCATTAGCACGACTGAGACTCAACGCATGCGCCGGCCCATCGGAGTACTCCGCCCAGGTATTATCAAAGTCGATATTATACACGCGGAAATCTGTATTTCCGAATGGCGTATCGGCTGGCACGGGATACCCCGTTGGCCCTGAGCCCGTGAGACTTGCTTCGAGCGTGGGTGCTACGACCAGGACGCTGGAGAAGACGTTATCGATGCTGCCGGTACTGTCCCTGTTTCCAGCAGCCCAGACGATGCGCACGCGGTTGCGGGATGCGTCTTTTGGGGAGGATGTTTGGCCGAGGAGGGTTATTGGGCCTGAACGGGTTATGTTTACTTGCTCGATGTAGGTGCCTGCTAGAATGAGGATTGTTTGTGGGGTTGTGTCGTCGGGGAGGGAGTTTATGGCGGATTGGATGGTTTTGTGAGAGGCGTGGTTGGAAGTTGGACTGACGATTAGGGTTCCTGGGGGACAGTGGGTTCCGGTGGATTGGCAGATCTGTCTGGAGATGGGTGGGATGGCGGTTGTGTTGGCTCCTATGGTGTGGAGGAGGAGAGCTAGTAGGGAGAGGATGGATGGGAGCATTGTGCTTGTTGGGGGATTGGATCACTTCCAATGGGCATGGTCTATGGTGGGTTTACTACTCTTTTATAGGACATTGAAAGAGGGGGCCTTGTATAGAAGCCACTGCCGGTTGTGGTAGACGGAAAATTAAGAGATTGACGCATGGAAGGCTAGTGCCAACATAGGTAGCCCGGAGTGCGATCCAGTTGGGTACATATTGGTGGCTTCGTTATACTTCATGCGTAAGAAAGAGAAGGAACGGTCTGACGGGCGAAGCTTGTCTCCACGAAGTGGAAATTCATCCGAGGAAAAGTATGGGGACGGAGAATTGACTTCCACCTGTGAGCGTTGAAGGGGGAGAAAGAGGGTGCAGGGTAGATCGAGACTTGGAGAGTCAGGTCAGGAATTGAAGACCAGAGAGAGACTAGATTGTTACGAAGCTACAGAAGTTACAAATGAACAAAAATGATTAGAACCCCTTAGATTGACTAAGTGCCACTATTAACGACATACATACACGTAAAGAAGAAAAACATGACTCTAGCAACTCGAAAGCAGACCACAGCCAAGGGGTAAATGAAACACACAAAGTCTATAATACGGGTAAAAAGGGAGAAAAGAAGACGGGACGGCCTTTTTTGACTCCCACGGTATGCATGTTCAAGTAGGTGGCACGGCAAAATTTGCGGATAATCGCAGGGAGATAAAGAAATTAGACCTCGAATCAGTAACGAGTCGCGAAAAGGCTAAACGAGCATTTACTCGTCGTCCTCGATCTCCTCGGCGCGAGCACCAAGGGTGTAACGAGTCTTTCCTTCCGAGTCGTGCTCCATCTCGATGGCGAGCTTGGAAAGGTGAGCGATCATGTTCTCGATCTTGGTGTCGGCCTTGGAGCGGGTCTTGCGGCCAAGGTTGTCAAGAGCGGGAACGATGGTCAGAAGGTAGTACACAACGGCAATGATGACAGTCACACCGATGGAGTAAGCCCAGATGACAACGACGGTGACAATGTCGACATCGTTGTTCTTGGAGAAGCCGGGGCCAGCAGCATCACGGGGAGAGGTCTGCTGCCAGTCGGGGGCGAGCCAGCCGAAGACACAGAACAAGGTGGCCAGGACATCGACGATGAAGATGGCAATGACCAACTGCCACGAGGGCCAAGTCTTTCCACCACGGGTAACGAAGATGAGCCAATTCTCAGTCAGAGCAATCTCAAGGAAGAGAATCTCCTGGGGAGAACCGAAGTTCTGGATGATACCACCGTTCTCAAGGAAGAGAGTACCACGGATGATCCAGGTAGCGGCAGCGAGCATGATTCCGAGAACGACGGAGATAACCCAGATCTTGGGCAACTGCCACTCGACGGGGCGGGCTTCGAAGTGAGCGTTATCGTAGGCAACGGCGATGGTAGCAAGATCAGCGAACAAGGCGATGAAGACAATGAGAGCAGAGTCAACAGTCTCGTTGATGATGATCATGGAGGTAACCAGGTAGATCTCGAGGTGGAGACACAGGGCAATACGGTACTGAATGTAAGCCTTCATGCGCTGGAAAATCTGGCGGGCAAGCTTGATAGCATCGACGATGGTAGAGAGACCGGGGGCAAGGAAGACAATATCGGCGGCAGCCTGGGCAGCCTCAGTGGAACCCTCGACAGCGATACCACAATCAGCCTTCTTGAGGGAAGGAGCATCGTTGACACCGTCACCAGTCATGGCGGTCAAGTGACCACGCTGCTGGAGCATCTCGACGACCTGGTACTTGTGCTCGGGGAAGACCTCAGCGAAACCATCAGCCTTCTCGACAAGGTCGTGCTGGGCGGAACCAGCAAGACCACCGTGGATCAGACGCTCAGAGTTGTAAACCTTGGTACCAAGGGCAAGCATCTTGCAAGTCTCCTTAGCGATAGCGATAGCGTCACCAGTAAGCATCTTGACGGAAAGACCGAGAACCTGGGCCTCAGCGATGGTGTGGGCGGTATCCTCACGGGGGGATCGAACATAGGGTACATGCCCAGAAGCTGCCAGGGCTCACCCTCCTTCTGGACGGCGACACCAAGGGAACGGAAACCACGACGAGCGAACTCAGTGACCTTCTCACGGTAGAGCTTGGCCTCCTCAGCGGAGCAGGAAGACATGTTGAGGATAGCCTTGGGGGCACCCTTGGCGCAAATGTAACGAACACCATCGCAAGTGCAAACAGTGGTGATACGCTTGGAGACGGGATCGAAAGGAGTGTACTTCTCGGTAATCCAGTTGCGGGAGAGAATCTCACGGGCCTTGGGGTAACGGCGGAGGGTAAGGACGGTGACCTTATCAATGGGGTCAAGGTTCTTGATGTTGTGGGAAGAAGCAATAGCAGCAACGGCCATCATCCAGTTGACATCAACACCCTCAGCGACGTAAGGCTCACGGATGGAGAGCTGGTTGGCAGTGAGAGTACCGGTCTTATCGGAGCAGAGAATGTCGACACCAGCGAGAGACTCGATGGCAGTGAGCTTCTGGACAATAGCCTTCTGCTCGGCGAGGTAGGCGGCACCGACAGCGAGAGTGGTGGTGGTAACGACGGGGAGACCGACGGGGACACCGATGATCAGGAGAATCAGGGTGTAGTGCAGCAGGTTGTTGTCGGTGTCCTCGGGGGTAGCGATCTTCAAGTGACGGAAGAAACCACCAATCCAGGCGGTGAGAATCCAGAACATGACGAGAACGAGCAGGGAGGTACCGATGTTGTCCATGACAGCCTTGAAGTGACCAGAGTCCTGGGCACCCTGAACAAGGGCAGCAGTCTTACCGACGAAAGAGTGACGAGCAGTGGCAGTGACAATACCGTAGGCCTTGCCACGCTTGCAACCGGTGGTGTAGTAACAGACATCAGCCATGTACTTGTCGACAGCGAGGGATTCACCAGTGATAGCGGACTGATCACAAGCAATGAGAGAGACACCCTGGTGGGTCTCAATATCATCGTCGTCATCATCACCGTGCTTCTCCTTGAGGTCGTCGGAGTTGGTGTTGGCGAGGTACTCCTTGTAGGTTTCGAACATCTCGGGCTTGGTGTAGTCACAGATCAGGCGGACATCGGCAGGGATAACGGTACCCTCCTCGACGATAACAATATCACCAGCAACGAGCTCACGAGCGAGGATCTCCTCCTCCTGGCCGTTACGGACAACGATAGCACGCATAGCGATATCACCCTTAAGAGAAGCAACGACATCGGCAGCCTGCTTCTCCTGGTACCAACCGACGAGAGCGTTGAGCAGAAGAATACCACAGATAACACCAAGATCAATCCAGTCACGCAGACCGGCAGCGAGGAGGACAGCAAGTTCCATAACTGTAGTTGAGATCACGTGTTAGTCACCCCTTGGCATCAAGACGCGTCAATTCAGACGAATGTCCAGGCCACTTACCATAGAGAATAGGACCACGGAAGTAACCAATGAACTGAATGAAAATGTTGGTCTTCTCAGTAACCAACTCGTTCCAGCCAGTCTTCTTGCGACGTGGCTCAATGTCGCTGGAGCTCAGACCAGAGCGAAGGTCGGTCTGGAGCCACTCATCGGGGGTAACGAAACCATCCTCGACACCACCGCCGCCCTTGCCTCCGAACTTCCACCAGGGCTTCTTCTTCTCGCCGCCAGAGCTCAGAGCACCGGCGCTCGAGGTGGAGCCACGACGGTTGTCGCGGGCAGTCGAGATGTATCGGTTCAGCGCAG